ACTTCATATAAGTTGAAACGTTTCATGTAGATACAATATCGAAAATAAACAGACTCTCTAACATGTTTCAACAGCTAACAACCCCACGGTGGTAAATAAAATACATAGTTTCGAATTTGTTAATCGCTCATGAACCCTAATTTGATTCTCGCCAGCTAATTAATATTATTATCTTCCATATCGTAATTACATGAAAGATTTAATATAGCGATGCTTCCGTGTTGCTGTAAACCCTCACTAAACCGTTGTTACATCAGCAACTGCTCCCGAGGGTAATATTCAAGTTTTAGCTGGGTATTCAATGTAACGAAAGGGTGAATTCGCCTGTGAACACGCGTTCTTGAAGGAAAAAGCATTGCTCTAGTTTGAGTTATTTTAGAAAGTAAGAGTGTAAAGTAAGCTTCACGTTGTGCAAATTAGAATGAAGGTATTTGTAAATTCGAATTTGAACTTAAGTATGAGAGGATCAAGTTTAATACTTATACACCAACAAAGAGTAAATATTATAAGTATATGAATATTCCTAACAACGTAGGAAATATATTAATAACGCATCCGTATATACTGTTGGATTTTTAAAAATTGAAAAAGCTTTTATATTTAGCAACAGTAGATGCTATTGTACGAAGTATAATAGATTTTTTTTCAGTTCCTATGGATAGGTATGATTTTAACATTCACCAAGCAAAGTCTACTAATCGATACAATAGAATTTCAAACAAATCATCAACAGAATATCAAATAGGCGAAAGCAAACGAAGCATAGGGTCAGTGCTCAGCCAGGAAGTAAAGAGATTTCCGTTATTTTACGGGTTACGTTAAACTTTATATCCCCTTGCGCCAGCTGATGAATATAAACTAATCAAAATTTTATGCTCGTTTCCAGGGACAATTAATTGCTAATCAAAATGTAAATTATTCACAAAAATACTAAATAGTTGTGTTGAACCTGTTGAAGACAATGAATTATTTTGAATATAGTAGACAACTGAAATGATTTGTGTGTGATATTATTTGTTTAATTTATTTACATGTAACTAATATGGTGTAGTTGTAAAAAGCCTGTTTTGTGAAAATATCACATACTAAACTGGGCAGGTTCCAGGTGAATACTTCACATGAACATTTGAACACCTGATGGATTGTTTTACGTTTGCAATGCATTTTTAATTAAACCAATTAAATGTTAATGAACTGTTTAGCAGTAGTATACTCATCTACCCACTATAGCAATGTCTAATTATCTAATTATCTCCAAATACTTAAGCGAACTTAGCGAGTAAAATTTTAATATCATTTTAGATAGCTGTGTACGTATTTATTAGAAAATTGGGAAAATTAGGGGAGAAACGATTAATTTCCAGCAATAAAATTAATCCAATGATGCCTTTTTTGACTTTTTTCTAAATTGAATTAAATGAAAGTGATTTATTACAGCAGCTCAGAGCATTCTCGTTTAAATTTCGAAATAAAATTAACATTTTTTACAAAAACAACGCTTCTTTTTCGCATTTACATTTTCAATTCTTTCGGGACCCTGCCCCCATCCTACCATAAATTTACAATTAAATTTCGCAAAATTAAATACCAAATTATTGTGAATTATTTTTCGAAAAAACATATAATATTACTGATAGAAATTGTAATTAACTACAATTAAATATTTATTAACAACCTATTTATATACGAAATATTTAATTTGTGCAAAACACAAATGAAAATTACAAGCTGCAAAAGCAAAAAAAATCGAAACTGTCGTTCAAAAAGCCGAAAATCAAAAACCAAAATAAATTATAGTACTTATTTCCGATTTATTTTTCGTCCACGTTACGGTTAATTAGCGTCTGTGTATTTCATTGGTTCGAATCGGTAATTACAAAGGATGTTGACATTCGCGTTCGGTGCATTATTTATTATTATCTCGTTCGACGTGAGCCTCGGCATTCCCTAAAGCCGTTCCACTTTTGCGAGTTCAATAATACACAATTTAATTGCAAATTAGCATTACATCAAATAATACACCGGCTTTTTATTGGAAATCGTATCGAAAAGGCATCTGTAAATTCGTCATATCTAATGAAACGTTCTTCCCACGTGTAATTGCTAGAGAAACACAAGTTTATAGATAGAATTAATTTAAAATTAGTGCTTACTATAATCATTCAATTAAGGAACTAAAAGAAAATTACCCGTTTTCCTCCATCCGTATAATTCTGTTCGAGAGAACAGCTATAGAAAATAAGAAGGTATGCGCAGAAGCTGCAATTACGTATCATACAATGATGTTTCGATTTTCAACAAACTTTTGTTAGAAAATTTCAGGGAAATATTTTCGAAAGAACGCAAATTGGAATTAAACCTTCAACATTTACCATCATTATATTCATTTATTTACTTTCGTGCAAGTTCTATTCGTTCTGTTTTCATAGAAAACAAACCAGCTTGCAAATTCGAAGGATTATATTCTGTTTATGGATGCGTAGAGCATTTAGGTACAGTTAAAATAAAATAAATATATTGAACCTACAATAATAAATTTCAAAACGATTTTATAAGTAAAATGCCTTTTAATACATCTTTAAATGATTGTCTTCGGAGTACAAATATTTCAGTATAAAGTTGCGTTATTAATATTCAACATAAACGCTTTGTGCTTTCAATATTATCACAGATAATAAATCAAATAAGAGATAGAATATTATTTTACTCACATAGTTTAGGTCTGTTTAATTTTAGTGATGAATGGACCAGGAAATTACGTTGCACTCAGTTGCACGTAGATAACAATGGCAGTAAACTCGAATTAACGCTAAAATAAATTTCGACACATCAGAAACACACGAAGCTTTTTCCGATTGCTTCCCCCCTTGTCTCATTAGGACTACCCTAACGCAATTTTCTCCAGCCCCAAATCAGTGGGAGCCCATGCTTTTCACCAAAATTTTAGTTCTGCTATATCTGAACAATTAATCTTCGACAATCGACAGGACAATTAGTAATTTGGAAGCACTCAAAACCAATGGAACAAAATGCTTTTGTGCTACCTTCTACGTTTTATAACGAACTCATATTAACAGGCAAAATTGTGGTAAATGCGAAGATATTTTCAAGATGTATTAATGGTAAATAGTTGGATTAATTACGAGGAAATATACATTTAATAGATTTATAGTTCTCAAATAGATAATTGAATTTACTAGGCGATGCTTTAAAATTACAAAATTAGCTCCACTTATAAGCAACTAAAATCCATTCGTCTAATTATGTAATTAAAAATAGACTCAACCACTTGAACCCTCATCTACCTCCTCGTGGGTAAAACGTTTATTTTTATACTCCATTTTAACACATGTCTCGGCCGTTTCGATTAAAGGAAGACACATTGCGAATATTTCGAATGGTTGTCAGGAAAGTTCGGATGCTTCCCATGCTAAATTTTTATTTGTTCTTTTTCCATCAAAGAACAAGTGGTTTAAAAATGCCAACCCGACACATATTTGAAATGTTTTCAATATGTTTGTACTTCAAAATAATAAAAAAAAGTACTAGTACATTGGGAATGTATTATAAAGGAATAAATGTGGATTATTACTGTTTTATTAAGTAATAATATTTTAAAAACCGATTACGCGAGGCTCCCAAAACCAAATAGTTCAGGGCTTGTCTACACTTTACTACTGCAGACAAATGATACCATTCAAAACGTGACGATGTAGAAATGGCAAGGATATTGAAGGTTCAATGCTTAGGCATTTATTTGATGCCATAGTTATTTTAGAACATATTTCAATGGGTTTGATACCTCCATCCGCCTTTTAGGTCAGGTATACATACCCAGGTATGTAATATTGTTAAACATCACTACGCTATTATTAACAGTGTGTGGGTACAAAAAAGTAGCAGGTGAAGTCTATTGAATGATTTTTTATAGCTTGTAACTTAAAATTTTCTCACGAACTTTTCACAAATGCGCTTCTTTTGTATGTATTTGATATTAATAAAAAATCTCATATGTATATCAACGCTAATGTTAGGAAGACCTGATTATAGATTTTTTTGCAATCGTATTGAATTAAAAAAACCTTCGATTTAAAAAATCGCTTTAGTTCATTACTGATAATTTTAAAGCCTGATTATTTAACTTCCTTCCTAGAAATTACATTCATTCACAATATTTAACCAACCGTGTCGACTCAATAAAAGCACACAAAACTCCACAAAAATAGGTATGACCAATATTAAAATTAAATTAAATTATATTCGATAGTCCATTAGAGAAATGAAGCAATTCTATTAAACAACATTGTTTCATTAAATATTATTATCTGTAAATTTCTTCCATTTATCGAACTAATTTAATTAAAAATCTGTTTCCATATCATATGCACTATAAAAAAATAATCATATATACATTTTAATCAATATATATTTGTTCTATAAGTAGGCTGATGAGTTTGTTATTTATAAAATTTAGTTGAAAATATTCGGAATTAAAACATATTTTTTATAATTGATTCTTTTTCATTTTAATTAGACATACATATGTAAATAAATCTCGTTAAATCCTTTTCCCAAAAAGCTTATTTATTCGCAATTCTTCAACCAAGACCACCCTAAACATCTACGCCTCAGCGCATCGGCGAGTCCGGCAGGTGTAAAGTTGAATTTAAATGACCAAAAAAACTAGATTAACCACCAGAAGGCCTTCGTCCAGATTCAATTCGAAGAAACGCCGATAAAAAACAACCCGCCCCTATTTCAGCATCACATAACCTAACCCTTAATCAACCCTTATAGGATGCTGCAACTAGTTTCAAATGTCATCTGTCACCGCTCATTTTACAGCATGCAGCAACTCAATAACCAATAATAAAATCGCTCGAAGAGCAATTTCGCAGGCTTTAAATGAAAATCTAGCAACCGAAATAAAAAATACGGAATCTAAACCAGTCGGTTAAGGGTTCTTCACCGAAAAATCAAACAGGAAGAGGGTCACTCACCCTTAGAATCGGCAGGGTGTTCGGTAGGGAACGCATCCAAAAAAAAATCGTCGCTACTGTCACAGGCCGCGTGAAAACGCACGTGCACTGTACGATATACAAAAATCACGCACTAACCTTAGTAGTTTCATTAGAAACACTGACGATGAATCGGCTGGCGTTTGCAGCCCTTCATTTTCAAAGCCCGCTCGATGCTTTACTACGTGCGCAAAGGACCCGTGCGCTTACGGCCACTATGCACGTTTATACAACAACAAATGAATTGAATGCTTCTTGCGAGTCTTGCAGTTCCGCGATCACGTTACGTTGTGGTCCCGGAGCATAACACGCCGAACGAAATTTTATACTATCTACAGCGGTTAATACGTAAAATTCTTTGATTTGTAGGTGGATGATGTAATTCCTCATATTCTCTTTCCTTTTCCTGATTTCTTTTCATAGTATATTCCTAGCCCTCTTTTCAAAATCACAGGTCCTTTGAACTTGACTTAACACTTAACACGACTCGTGCCTCATGAAATAAATTTTTAAGTCAATCAATTTTTTGTGATAGAAATTTCGTCCAGTTTAGCAGGAGCTTAAAATTACAGTAACTCTTGCTGATGCTGGTACTTGTTGAGATATAACGGCGCCAGGTTTCGTATTCTGTTTATTTAGTACGTATCTACTTTGTTGATGAGCTCGCGTTTTAATAATAAAGACAACATTATAGTAACAGGAATACAAATAATAAATAAATCGTATGAAAGTGTTTTTTGTAAAGCCGGCATTACGACTTGTAGCCAGAAAATGTAAACAAAAATGATTGAGAGGATTTGGTGCAATTATGATGGAGAATATGTTATGAGTATTATCATCACAGCGCATTAATTAACAACCAAAAATTGTAGACGGAAACTTTTACGTTCATCCTGACCAATAACAATAAAAATTATATTGGCGCTGCGGTAATGTCGCTTAAAACCCTGACATATAGGGGCATTAAAAGCAGTTGATTGCAGATAAGGTATCACATACGAAATTTAAAGGCTTCTATTGATTACATTCTTCCTGGCAGAGTTTCATGTTCTCTTCCTGTTAGGGAAATTTATAGATTAGACGCCCCGGACTGTAAATCGATCATCGCGAATAATTCAAGCGATTAAATAAAATTTTAATTCGCCATCGTTCCCGCTGACTAGCACTACAGGATATTAGCAAGGGCGGGACCGGTCAGGAAGGAGTTAACGGGATGAATGATGCAACAATGTTGTTAATTTAGTTTTTCTCCTACCAATAAAATCAAATTCCGAACGTCAATTAAATCAATCGGCCCATATCTACTGGATCAATAAAAAAATTCCTGATGGGTCAGATGTATTATGAAGGTGGGATGACTCCGATGGAATTTACCTACTCGATCGAAAGAAAAACAAAAAAATTGTAGAAGAGCCAAACGATGTCTTTTCGGGTAGGCTTTTTCCGGTCACAGCGTGGCTTGTTTGATGTTAAATTTGAAGGGTGGATTCTCAAGACGCACTTCTCCTATCCGCAACAGCTCGACACGTGCTCCTCACGGATGCAGCTGTTTGCCCTTTCTTATGTAATGGATGTTTGCCCTTTTTCTCGTTGTTCTTACTTCCAAGCTCACCAAACTCGCTTCGGAACAACAAGGACTAGTATAAATAAAAACAGTCGTGTCGCTTAACGCCAATTAATGACTAAAGTGATTATAGAAGCGTCAAAGTGAATTGAATTTATTGCAGTTTGTAGAACACTGCTGTTGTTTTGTGAGGAGCACTAAGAAATTAGTGAAACAAGAGTATTTTTTGAGATTTTCTACAAAGTTACAAACTAGTTAACTTATTGATTAAATCCAAAAGGTATCTAAATAATTCTCAAGTAAATACCAACTATATTCTAAAGTATAATTGTAGTAAAAGACAATATCCGTTTTTGTGGAATTTGTTGAGTATTATGCAAATTTAAAAGTAACAACTTATGTTATATCTCAAGTGAAGTCATGTGAACATACAAAGTACACTTAAGACTCCTGACTAATATAAAAATCCTCTCAAACGAGTTCGGAAATGAGGCTGATTTTCCCCTAAGAAATATCGTCTGCTAATCCAGCACGTGCTACAAAATTGGGGATTTATCTACGCCGTCAGGATTCGAAAGTTACATTTACGCACTTAAGATGTAGGTTTTTGGGGGTCCTTATTAGCATATCAAGCAAAACTACATCCTGATCTTGTATAACTGTATAGTTAGTAAATAAAAAAAATCAAGATTTAACTACACAGTGACATCTTGGAGATTTTAAACAAATCCGCATTCTACCAAACAACATTAAAGAGTTTAATTGTCGAAAAGATTATTTACACTAAACAAGAAAACATTTACATTTCGTTTTATAGGATAATCTTCATCGGCTATAAAATTAAAGAAGTTTTTACTACCTCTATAATACTATTGTTAGTTCGAATACCCCATAGCCGATATAAAAAAGCTCCTTTTTCTTTCTGCTCGCAGCTGTTTGTACCCCAAACAAATAATATAAAAGTTAACTAGAGGCATCTGTGCACATATTATTTTTTGTAAATCCATCGATTGTTCAAGCATACCTGTAACGATGACAAATTTGATATATTGTCGACAAGTTCGACATGTTAATTGTTTGAAACCGCATTGTATCCGAAGTTTATTGATGGATCTGTTTCAACAACAAAATGTAAACAAATTAATTCGAGAGAAAAAAGTTCACACTAGTTCCTTATTTATCAGTTTAGGTAATTAACTTTTATAGTCGCTTTCAAATAAATAGCGGAAAACAAACGACAGAAAGCCAGTAAAATGAGTGCTAAAATGGAAATAAAGCCTTTAATAGTTTTATAGAATCTAGTTAACTGAACCAACAGACAAGCGTAATTGGATTTGATGAGAAATTGATGCTCCACTCAACTACATAATCATGCGATTAACGCAAGTGTAATGAATAAATTCGTCCATTCCACTACGATATTCAATTTATACGAAATAAATACTACTTTATTAATATTAAAAAAAATATATTATTCATATACATAAGTCAATTATACCTCATTAATGGGTATTTAAAAACCACTTTAATTCAATCAGTAGAATCGTTTCAAATAATAAAGTCACACTTTAGGAAATCTCTATTATTACACACGGATTCCCTTCGTGTACAATTCCCTATTGAAATACTTACGAGTAATGTGTTTACCTCCGTGAACTTCTCATCCACCTGATCCCATTAAGATCCTAATCTGTGCATGAATGAACGTAACCAACCCGCATGCTACTTATGCATCCGATAATTTGTAACTCATTATCCAATTATTCAGTCTAAGATTTATATTGGATGAATTAGAATTTATTGAGAATTTCCAGTCAACAACAATTGAATTTTTGTTTGAACTTACCTGCAATTAGTGTTTTAATAATTTATCATCTATAATTGGTTAAAGTATAAAAAAACAACAGTAGGTACGATTAGCTGTTAAAGAATGGTTTGCATCTCATCTTTGTTTGCTAAAATGTAGTAATTTTTCTATTCGGATTTAGGACTAACGGAACAAACTTTAGTTTTAAGTGTGATAAATTTTAGAGGTGCGATTTAAACTGGAATCCAAACAGATTATTCGGTATTGCGAACTTTAAATCGAGAAAGTTTATCTAACGAACTTTGTAAATCGTTCGGACGCTTCCACGTAATCCTGTGCCCGTCTCCGGAATTGTTCCACGGGCATTACGAATTCTCATCAATACGGTAAACGTATGCGTTTGCCGAGCGCACTTTCGCCCGTATCGAATGCATTATTTCTGTTTGATCGATGCTGCAACGAAGTGACGTGACTTGAATCAAACGCACCTTGCCGAATATCCGATTCATCCCCTCGAACCGGCAATTCGATCGCACCGACAGAAAGCTTGCGCTCATGCCGAGGGTTCCTCCCGTGCTTTATCGTCCACCCCTCGATATACCAACCCTTTCTGTACTTTTTTTCGCTCCGTGTCCCAATGAAGCGACACTTAACGCGCCCACCTCCGCTGAAATATCGCCCTTAATTTACCTTCGCATACAAGTCTTATTTGCAACGCGTTGCTCGCCAAAGAGTCTTGTTTTCAGGACGCGGTTATTTGCAGGAACACATGCATTGATGGGCAAATGCAAATGGGTATACAGTAAGGGAACATAACTCGATTACTACGCAGTGTATAAAATTTTATTCTAACGTTTCCATTCGTTTCAATTCTCTCAACGCAAAAGGTACTTCTTGTTGTTGAGATCCGGAGGAAAAGGATTCGGTTTAATTTTCATCAACTGTTGAAATCCGCCGAGAATGGCGCCCCATTGGCTCGTCATTCTTAAATGCACGTCGAATTGCTTGGTAACCATCTCCAGCGTGGGGTACAAATGTTTGAGCAAAGAATGGTCCAGCGTGGGGAAGAGATGGTGCAAAGCATGGTCTCCGAAGGAAGTCAACACAAGAAAATCCGAGCCTGTTATGTCTGTTCTGTCCATGACAGCGTCCAATTGATTCAATCCCCAATCGTACGATTCGAGAGATCTAAACAAATAAATTATTTTATTGTATTGAAGTGTTAAGGGGGGTAATTTACCTCGGGGTGTCTCCATCGTGAAACACATCGGGATGATGATGGGCTGCATTAAGGCCTATTGCTGTAAATACGAATGAACCAACACTTAAAATAACTTCCCATAATAGCAGCGTATGGAAAAGCGACTGCGTTCCAAAAATATACATACATATTGGCAAAAGTAAGCCTGACAAGCTTATGGGCTTTATAGTTTTATAATTTACCAGACTAAAAATAATCAGTCAATATCGATATATTGTAGAATTAAATTAGAACTTACCGTAATAAAAACAGTACCTGGAAAGTGAATAGCCACACGAACGGTGCCATTACAACAGATAAATATCCATGAAATATTTTTTTAATAGGAAGGAAGTTCAAAAATGGTTCCACCATACATATCTCTAAATCTATTACGGTGTTTGTATACAAATGATGACTTAGTACGTGACTTACGCGCCAATCCCTAAAAAATTGTGGGTGTTAGAAAATGTGTTATTAAAATGATTTTCTTAACTAAATACCAACCTTACTTGTAGCAGAGAAAATTGGAAATAGAACATCCTAAAGCTGCTCTTCCTGTGAATGTAATTATGCCCAGCTACAGTAAGCAATCCCAATATTACACCAGCGATTACAGCTAAAACATAATTCCAGTATCTCACAGAGAGCAGGGAAAAGATTAACAATCCCGTGAACATAATATCGCTGTACATGTCTGAGGTAGGATACAATTCCTTTGGGATCGTTTTCAAGCTTTTTCTAATCTCTCTCTTTAATGTTCTGTAGAAGCCGTCCTCGTGGAATGTAAACGGGAAATTCCTTTTGGCTTGCGCCGGCTTGATGTAATATTTTTGTAGCATCTCTTCTGGTGCATGAGATATATGGTGGCTTTCGAAGGCTTCTGTAATATCGGTTCCCTGCAAAGCAGCAAGTATTACTAATTAGTTTTATTTCTTTGATAGATTTTGTTACTAACTTTTGTCAATACAATCCAGTCTGATCCTCCGGGGTGATAGTTGATGAAACTTGTAAAATCGTACAATTTATCATGAATCCTCCACAGTCCCTCTGCTCCGTCCGTTTCTCCTCTTTCCTCGAGCCATACGTACGGGGTTAAGGCTATAGGATTTAGTCTGGTCCGTGGAGGAACTATTCCTAACGAAGAATTAAGGAAATTGTCCTTTGCACCCATTATAAAACCGTACGATTTATCGTCGAAGGTCGAGAGAATATAATTTTTTAAAGTACACACATAACTCTGAAACAATACAAACTAATTTTATTACGTATGGATACTTAATTACCTATATTAATTAACTAATACAGCAAAGTACTAACTACCTAATTAATATAATTTAACATAATAGTTTTTAAATTACTTGGTAAATATAATATATTAAAAAAAATACACACCCTTCTTAATTCAAAAAGTGTCCGGAAACTTCCTGATATAAATGCCTAATATTATTTCTAGATACAACTTACTTTCGCTGTGTTATTTGCATGTAGAGTATTACAATGATACTTACAGGCACATTTTAAAACACAGGTTATATTGTTGGGGACTACCGAGTTGTACCACGACTACCTGAATTAATCCCTTACCGTTCTTTATCCGGATTACATTGACTACCGAGTTGTACCACGACGTAATTACCCCTAATGGCCTTAATATGCTCGGGATCGTCGAGTTGTACCACGGGATAGCATTTATGCCAAGCGTGGTACCGTAAAATTTTAAATTTAGGACTATCTAATGAATACAAAGAAAAAAATTCGGAAATTGGTAAGTTTTTGAAATTATTCTTCGGCCTACACTTTCTGGAACCTACCGAAGTAGGTGATTTTTTCGCATTCCAAATATTAGATAAATTACCCAATGATGAGAAAGTAATACAATTTTGCGACTACATATTGGACAATTATGTGTCAGAAGAAGCTAGCTTTCCTCCGAAAATTTGAGCATGTACCACCAATAGCATGTACAGGTCTACGAACGCTTGTGAGTCGTTTCATTCGGTACTGAAAAACAGTTTTTATTCTCCTCACCCAAATATATTTCTTTTCACAGACATGCTAATAAATATACAAAGTGAGACGTTCACTAAAATTAAGACTGCCAGTGAATCAGAAAATAATAAAAAACTGAAGTCTGTTACAAGAAAGAAATTCGATTATATAACATTAAAAATTAATGAATTTAAAGAAAACAAAATTAATAAATTTGATTTTGTAAAGTCTTTAAGTTTTTACTATTTGCCGCAGTAGAGCATTTAAATGTGTATGTATAAGTAGATTATGTGTAGATATTTTATATTTGATATTTTATTTTATTTTATTTTATATTTTACTATAATTTTGTATCTAATTTATAATAAAATTGTTAATGGTTATTGTCGGGCTTTATTTTTTAAGTCGTTAAGCCTCATTAGAAAATTCGGTGGTACAACTCGGTAGTAGGATTAGACCTACCTGCTATCCCGTGGTACAACTCGGCGATCCCGATATTGTTAAATCGGAATACAATGGAGTTAATTTGAATTTAACTGTCTCTTGCGTAGTTTTCCGTTCATACTACGAGTGCTTACATCCAGTATTCGATTAGAAAATTTAACAGACGACGATTAAAATTACATATATTATAAAAACATAAATTTAAAAATAATAGACGCACCTACGTAAGTAAATTTCCAATATGTACAAGATTAAAGTGCAATGTCTAGGAAGAATAAGTTTTAAATATCTAATAGTGTAATTTATTTCTTTAAGTTATGATACAATGTTCAAATTGCAAGAAATTTTAATAACTGTCTATTTGACTATAACCAATTCAGTGCATTTTCATAAATATTCAGATAAATAATGCATGAATATGTAATTAGTAAAAAACATCAAAACAAAAGGTGAGAAGTACAACAAATGCACTTACATAAATAATTGTTATAGGTAATCCCTTTATACCTACATATTCCTGCATTAACATTGCACAAACACCGATCTTAGCAGTAGTTTGCTATATTCATGATTCTTGTTGATATGATATAAATGGTAAAGCCTAGTAAAAGTAGTTCATTAATACCGTTGACTCTGGCTGTGTAATGAAATGCGATATTTATTTTTTCAAATCCATGAAGGTGTAAGAATGTATTAAGGTAAATATTTCAGTTATTCGAACTTAACTCTGCAAATATTTGATATAGTAATATTTTTAGAAAATAATATAAAAAAATAGTGCAATTCTAATTAATTTCAGTGGTGCATAATGAGTGCATATATATTTTTATGTAGCAATTACTTACAGTTAGTAAAATAAAATTATCGCAATATTATTGAAGAGTTAAGAGAAGGTTCATAAACAATTGCGAATTGACCACTAATCGATAACTGACTGTTAAACACAACAATGCAAGTAACAGAATTCAGTTAAACAGATACATTAAATTCTATCAAGGTACTTACCTGCAATTAAAATACTCGTGGACAAACTAGTTTATGGGGATTAATGAATTTTTGAAAAGTCTAATGATTATCGTTAATAAATACACACTTGAGATTTATAAACAAATTATGTAGACGTTTATGCTATTTATTAGAATTTATACTGAAATCAGTTATGCACGATTGATAAAACATGTATAATAATTGCGTATAAATAAAACTATTTTATCTCATTTATTTATATTTTTCCTGGTAGTGGAAACATATCATGTTTACGGAAAATAAAACCGGGGTAGTGACTGTACAATGCCGGTAAAATAAAAGTTTGTTTTTGTATAAACACACCTATCAGAATAGGTCAGTATCAATCTAATTTAAGAAAATATTCGGGAAGGATTACAATTTCATTTAAAAATAGTACATTAAAAACGCTTTATAAATAAAACATTATTAAACTCAATTCAATATTATTTATTGATATCGCCTAAAAGCATTAATATTATTACTACGCTGACAATTTATTATGTGAACAAGTTAAATGCTCGAATATTATAAAATTAAAATGCTTCACCCTGTTTTACAATTCTATTATTAAACTGAATAATTACATCCTGCACTCTCATATTCGGCGTTAGAAACTGTTGCAATGTCTCGACCCCCGTCCTTGGTTGCCTATCGAATGGAAAACCCATAGAACGACGATCTGGATAACGACGGTCTTTAATACCGCAGTAACTCCCAGCATCCTTGCCAGTTCCATTTGTGTCTTGATCGACCTAAAATAATCCCGTATTCGACCTTCGCCCAACTAAATCCGAATTTACTTACTCTGTCATCGCTGTAATTAGAAATCATTACAAATAATTGAGCCATGAAACCTTCGTTCCCTTTAGGAATCAATAGGTTTTGGGGCCAACCGCATCCGCACATGTTAAACCTGGCTAAATTATCGCCACCTACAGGCCTGTTAGCATCCAAATTGCGGTAAGTTCTTTCGAATGGTATAGTAACCGAAGAATCGGTCGATGCTCTTGTCACGGTGTTTCTTCCGGGATTCACTGGAAAACAAATTTAGTTAAAATAAACGAAGCTAGTAAATAAAATATCTAAAAGTTTACTCACATCGAACAGTGAATTTATCCAGTTCGATAAACATGTTTTTCTGATGGAGGAACAGCCAGGGGTTGCCTCTTTCATCGAATTTGGGAGCCATGAATATCCTGCAGGTACCGGTCGTGACAGCGTTGGTTGCATTATTAACGATTATTGAATAATTGAACGGTCTATGTTGAAGATGAGTGAATTGCACAAGCACGGATCCTCTCGGCTGGAAATCCATGCCTCTCGACAAATCCACGGCGGATTTTTGCCAGTACGTTTGGAAAGTGTTTACAGGGCCGTTTTCAGTTTGGAGTCTTATTTGTTCGACCGTAACACCGTTGAAGTTTAACTAAAAATGTTAATAAAATAACCTATTTTGTAACAAAGAAATTTTAATACATACTTGTTGTTCGTTATAACGAGGTAAACCAGATTTAAATGTCTGGAATATATCGTCAATATAAGCATGCCAACGATAGAAAAATGGATCCCTCATTGATGTTGAAGTATCTCCCATTACACCGAAACTTTCCTGTAGGACAGAAAAACGAGCTTATGCAGTCGATAGGAAAGAAAATAAACTACTTACTAAATGCCTGTGATCCGGATCATGAACGTACGAAGCCATCGTATGTCCCATGTTGTGTAAATCGCCATAAAAACTTCTATTTGGTGAAAGCAAAGTCGATTCAATCATGTTACCTAATACGTCGATTCCTTCGAACTCAGTCAATTCTATAGTACCATTTTCCTAAATTAAAGATTCCAATGAAATTGCAATTTCAAATTAAGTTTCTTTCCGACTTACCCCTCTGACAGTGTTAGAGTGTATAGCCTCAAAGATCCTGTCTCTCCATCTTCTCATTTCATCGATATCGAGATGGATTTGTTCTAAACTTCTATCTAAGTTTTGCCATCGCATATTCGCTACTCTACCTGGCCAGGATCTGCTGGCCACCAAATTATCCAATTTTGGAAAATACCCTTCAGGCATGGGATCGTAGAAATTCGTAAACCTTTCGGTTCTTTTCATTCCATTACACAAGCGTTCGAAGTTGTACCTGAAATGAGATTTTTTTCGACTGCATTGTAAGATAAATTACCGCTTTACCTAGCCATTATCTGTTGGTGCATGTAGTAAAACAATTCGCCTCTTCGGTCTTTATTAACGATCTCTAGAGCGGCTTCAGTAGGGTAAACCAAATGCCAATGCCAGTGATGGAGATTGACGCCGATATCTTCTCGGAAATACGCCAAGCGATGTTCGTCTTCCAAATTTGAAGCAGTGTAATCCATTGGAATCTCAATCGGTTGCTAACAATTACAAATTAACGATTTGAAACTATTATAAGTTCGACGATCATCTTACCCTGACATTATCTGGTACGTAGTTCACAATTTCTCTTCCTTTGGCAAATACTTTGGGGTCGACGTACTTATCTGGGAAAGCGAAAAGTGAAGAAGGAATCTCCAAATCTTGGGTGTCTGGTCTGTGTAAAAGAGCGACGGAGAAAGAGTAGTTGAAGAGTATTGGATTGACTCTTTCACGAGCGTATACAGCCATCGACATTAAGTCTTCAGTGTTTCCCATTCCTAAAAAATATTTACAAGTTATATTCATTAGTTTTTTAGTTGTAATCGTTAACTACAGTTAAAGTAAAAAAATGTATTACCCATGAATAAATTTATGAGCTTGGAAGCCAGGCGTTTGTGCTTTGGAATGAATAATGAGAAATTTTCATCCCTTGCCAAATCAGCTATATCACCTAAAGGCGGTAAGGATATTTCTTTTACCGTAACATTAGGGGAATCGGGATCTAAGAATCTATTAGCAAGAATTGGACCTACGCTTTGGTATTCCTCTTTCTAAAATACATTTTCAATAAGTCATTTGAATCATTTGTACCTAATCTTCTAGCTGTACTCACTAAGTAATTGTTAGGGACATCAAACTGGACATTCCGAGATCCTTTAGGCATGAGGATTGGCTCAGTTGGTCGATCAAATAACAGCAGCAAATTTTGTTTGTCCATTTCTTAAAGTAGAAAAATCTAGTAGTGTGTTAAAGTCTAAGTTTAAAATGTTTTTAATGATTCTGCAAGTATAAAATTAAAATAAAACATGCACTAATAATTACCTTTAGTTGTTATCGGTCACGGTACCAAGAAGATTCAAATAACGAATGAAATTTTACTTTTCTTTCGCAATTTTTATATTGCATCCTTAAACCGCAAAATCCTGACGGGAAAAGAGAAATGTAAGAGATGTGGTTTCTCTTATTGATATGAACTATTCTTGGATATTATCATCTTTATTTCATTGATTTTTCTGCTTGCAAATTAAGGCAAAAATGCATAAGTAATTAATTCATTCATTCATTCAATATTTCATTATTTCGTTTTTCATTATTTTTGGGCTATAGTCCCATTTCCTCGCACATACCAACGATTCAAAGCTTTCGAATAATTTTATGCATTTTATTGATTTTTAGTCCTAACCGACTGCTCGGGTTTTTTTACAATTACAGTAACTTATTACGGGAACAATTACAGTAATTTTTAATTAGATAATATTTACCACATTTCTGGTGAAGGAAGTTGGTAAATTGATTGCAAACGGGAATTTTGTCTCATGTCTGCTGGTTTAGGAAGTTGCAACACCTTATCAAACCGCTGCATTTATCTTTTTGGCATAAAAATTCATCTTAAATAATAAGTATTTAATTAAAATATTATGTAAACAGGCTTATATTAGTAAATACATCTCAGAAAAGTCTCATTTGTTGTAGGTTGCCGGAATTTGTTGTAGGAATATAGGAATCATAATATGTTTCAAATAGACTATTTAGCCCCATTCTCTCCTACAATAATATTTTTCCCGATTAATATTTTTATGTATAGTTTTTATGCCCCTTATGTATAATACATTTCTGCAAAAATGGAAAATTCTAAAGTGTCTCCAAAAGTGTCTAAATATCCCAAAAAGCTAGTCTTCTTTTCCACATATTCTTAAAAATTTAAAAAAAAAAGAAGATTATAAACCTAACCTCAAACAATTTTAAGATCAATTTACTTTATTAATTTCATAAAAATAAATATTTAAACTATTTACGGAGTGAACAGAACTTAATTATGCTAAAACAAAGCCTATTTTATTTGGGTCGTACTGTTTTGCAACGCCACAACAACCTCTTTAGAATAACTGGTAATTACTATTTATATATAATACATTCCTAAGTTTGTCCTAAGCATGTCCTAAGTTCCTAAAAATGTATTATGCATTAATGTATATTTATTAAAGAAACCCGCAATATTAAAAGATGGGTGGCGCCTACTCTGAAAGAGCTGTACAGGCGAAAGGAGCGACAAGGCCCTGAACCCGAGAGGCCGAGATCCACTTACTTGGAATGGAACTACAATGCAGAACTGTACGCTTTCGGAAAGCGATTAGGGGAAGATTTCAAGGTCGATTTACTGAGGCAAGCTTTGACTCAGAAAGAGTACTCTCTTGTAAATTCTCCTGATGGTAATTGCCTATCAATTACTTATTTTAATACGATTAAATTTTGATATTTATAGATGATAATGCGACGCAAATCCCCCACAATTACGAGCTGATACGCGAAGGCGAGGACATTATTAACAATTACCTGAAACAAGAATTAAGTAAATCCTACCCGGAAGATATAGTGAATTCTGTTCTCGAATATCTAACGACAGAGAAAATGTTATCCCATATCGGAACCCACATCGGTTTGAAAGACATTATCCTAACCACTGTAATTACATACCAAACACCCCATAAACCCCTGCTAATTACGTTAAAAATTTCAGGAGTTCCCAGTAGACCCCAGCACAATTAGCAACACATTCAAGTCGGTAGTGTCTGCATTAAAGCATTCGCAAGACCTGCCTCGTGCCGAGCAATTTGTGAGGGACTTCGTCCTCAGCCAGATCAGCGATAAAGACGTATTGGAAATATGGGAGCCTCAAGAGCCGTACAATTATCTCACGAAGCTAGTGCAGGAGAAAGGCCTGGGGCCTGTCGAGCCGAGGTTATGCAGCCAATCCGCGTCTAATACGATTTTGAGGTGTTTCCAAGTCGGTTTGTACAGCGATAAGAAGTTATTGGGAATAGGTTAGTAAGAGAAATTGTGGGTAGGAATACGAGAATGATTTTTTTTATATTTTTTAGGTTGGGGCGAGAATGTTAATATTGCAAAGGAAAGCGCGGCGTTGGACGCGTTACAGAAATTGTGGAATACTAATAAAGTGTTGAGATATTGATGATTGATTGAGATAAAATAGACATTTAATTTGTTTTGTAAGTTTTTATTTAACCCATTAATTACAGCAACAATTGCATCAACAATATGAAACTTGGAAATTTACAAGTGTTACAAAATTAAATTGAGAATTAAAGTACTCAATCCTTGAAACATTTCGCTACGCTTTTCTTCCAATCGCCCTCCTTGTGTGTGGCTTTGGTGAATTTCTTAACCTTCGGCTTCTTAAAGGTCTGCCTCTTCGTGGGGGCCAATATGTTCCTCTTTTGCATGCTCTTGAATCGATCGTTCAGCAGGTTCCCTTCGGTTTTCAAATCTCTCAGATTGCCCGCGATTTCCCTGCCCAGATTAAACTCCAAATCGGGCTCTTCGAACTTCGTGGCGCTCAAGGTTTTCGTCTTCTTCTTTTTTTCCTCTTTTTTCTTTTGAGTGATCTTATTTCGAATGGTTTGCTTCGTTTCTACTGTTGCGATGTTATTCATTATTTTCTTCAGATTGTGGATGTCTGTGATTTTTTTCTTTTGAAGTTTCAACTGTCTCCTGAGCTTCTCGGCCTCCAAATGCTCCTTCTTCTTCCTCCTTTGTTTCAGGGTTTTCTTGTTGTTTTTAACCGACCGGTTAGTAACGCCATCTTGCTCGTCACTTTCGTCTTCTTCTTCCTCTTGAGGGGATTTCGTATTCGCTAGCCCTTGGGACATGTCAAGCAGCCAATTCTGATCCCGTTGTTCCTCAGTCACCTTGGAAAACATGCCTCTCGTTACTCTGTGTAGGTGTTCCTCTTCCTTTATCAGTTTCTCTTCTTTTTCTGCGACTTGTCTGAGCAGATCTTGGTGGTCTTCGTAGCTGGGATTATACGACATACCTAAATGGAATTGTTTTATTAATCGTTTGGTGGGAATAGAAGGTTGTTTTGTGCTCACCTGGATGTGGCAGTTCTATAGCAGGAGATTTGTGTTTATTAGATTGCCTGGTTTTTCTAACTTCGTTCGAATTATGCTTCACAGTATTACTATCTACCCATTCGTCTGTGCTTGGATTATTCACATTTCCTTCTTCCCATAAATTCGTATTGAATTCTCCTCGTTTGGGTTCCTTTTTCTTCGATAACGGTTTGCCCGTTTGTTTGACCAGTTTGCTTGTCTTCGCACTCTTTTTATTTCTAACGAAAACGCTTTGTCTTTCCTCCTTGGTTCTCACTCTGTTCCTCTTCGTAACGGGATCGGGGACGTTCGTGTAAGGTCTAAGAGCGGAAAAACATTTTAGTTCCTTGGCGGCGGCGAGTTTCTTTCTGTTCCTAAGCACTGGGATGTCTTTGGACACCTGGGAATCTATTCGGAAAAGCGCCTCGTCCGGAACGGTGGTCAGCTCTCCTAATCTCTCCTCCGAACGCTTTTCTTCGAGGAAATCTTCCACGTCCGCGACGTTGGCGTGCTTGCGCCAAGCGCTTTTCAGTTTTTTCGACACCCTTTTTCTTTTTGTCGATGCCATAACGATTTATTTGTTCTTATCGAATATAAAGTTACGAAAAAGTGAGGTTAGTTAGTTAGCAATTGGAACGTGTTTATTTTTATTTGACGTGAATGACAAGTGACTGAAACATTTTCTAAATTTCGTACCATAACTATCAAGTTATTCAGCCAATTTATACATTCTACATATTCAGCTAGGTTCAAAATTAATAATACAAATTACTACATTAAATACAAATTTATGGAATAATTATTTTTACAACAGTTAATACCTACTTATCTAATTCGTTTTGTTTTATTTTAGAATGTATCAGTTCAGTTATTTCCTCCTGTGAACATTTCTCCTTGTCTATAGTGAATTGTTCGAGGATATGGCCATCTGTATTAATAATGTCTAGACGAATATTAAGAAAAATTAAACGTATTTTGTAAGCAATATTCGGTTTTATGATTCGTTGTATCTATTTTTTTAAGGATACTTCCAGAAACTTGACCACTTTTCGAGCTTGTTGCAAATTTAACAGAAGTGAGCATTTCGTAAATCAATATTTTTCTCCTAAAAATATACAATTATTACAGCAATTTTATAAGTATTTTTCAGAGTTTACCTCGTTTCCTCTAACCCCTTTCCTTTGCCACTAATAAGGTCCATTATTCCTTTCAACTGTTCTGCAATTATGAGACTTTTCTGTTTAATTTCTTCATTTTTTTGAGTAAATTCTTTCTAAAAACATCAAAATTATATTGAAGATAAATATTTGTAATAAATTTAGGTACCGTCTGCTTTTCCAGATCTCTGGCATATTTTACATTCTCTTGTGTCGTTTCCTGAAGTTGTTTTAAATTATCAATATTCTCGAGATTTTTCTGTATAAGTGATGTAAGTTTTTCTACACATTCCCTATATGGTAAATTTATTGGTTTATACGTTTGAGAAAGTACGCTGGAAGCGGCAGCCCGTTTTTCCTTCATAACGTCGAGGAGCGTAAATATGTCGTCAGGTGAAGACATTTCGCAAAAACCCAAGTTCTGTAACAAAAAAATGTAGTATTTGATATTGAAGACAGTAAAAAAGTAACTGAAGTAAGAACTTTTCAACTTTTTTACGCAGTTAGAAAAATTCTGAATACAAAATATGAAAATAAAACTAACCGTTGAATCTGAAAATTCAGAAAAAGAAAACATGTCAGTTGTCAATTGTCAAACGTCCAATTCTTCTTTTTCATTTTGACATGTTGATGTAAGCATTTGGCTCTTTATTGGCCTTTACTTACTTATTAATTACCTCAACCACAATGACTTGTGACTTTGACATTACTGTCATTTGTGTCAATTGAATACGTTTCAATTTTTAGATCAACAATTTTTAATTTTTTTTACATTTTTAACAGTTTAGTAGTAATTAGTAATTTAATTATCTGCCGTGCAACTAAGAATAATCTCATGATACCCGATTTTCAAAATTAATAATAAATAAGTGAAATGTCGGTTAGTGAAGAATGATTCATTTAGGAGCCAAGGCCGGAATTGTTTCGTTAATTTTCCATAGTTTACGTAAAGAAGAGAAAGCCGGATTTTAAAAAATGTTCAAGAAGAAAGAGAAACCCAAACGGGACCATTCCGGAAAATCGCTGTCCCAGGTAATTCATATTTTCTATTGTTTACTACTCGAATTGTAAAAGTTATTTTTATGAATTATCTCATGTGTTTATCATCTCACTTCATTTAACTGTTAACGTTAATCAACTTCTTCCTTTGTTGTTGTAGCTAGCATTACATTTATCTAATATATCCCTAAACATTACTTGCAGCTCTTCAATTAATTTATGGTATTCTAACATCTTATCTAGGAATGACTATCTTAAACTATTAACTAACAATACGACAAACTTATTAACGTTCTTTGTATTAATACAGTATGGCCTCTTTGGTATGCCTGAAGACTTCGAGACAGGCTTAGGCAATGCCTCCGATGATGATGAAAATGATGAAGATCTCGAAGCAGAATTGGCGGCCCTGGCGGGCGAAGGCGGCAGCCCAAAGAAGCCGAAGAGACCGCAGAGGAAAATAATCCCTCAATCAGATCTGGATGCTATGGTATCAGAAACATTGAAGGGTGCTGATGATGAAGATGATGTGTCAGTCGATGAAAATGATCCCGATTTATTAAGCGAATTGAATGCAATAACAGGTAAATAAGAATTATTCTACAGCAATTGTTAATAGATAAGTTTCTTATATAAAATGTATAGGAAAACAGAGTATACATTTTGCTTATTTTCAGGCGGATCTGAAGATGTAGAAGAAGAACCCTCACCACCTACAGCAGATACCAACATTTCATCTGATACCACCAAAGTTTTAACGGAAAGAATAAAAAATTACCAAATATGCGAAGACAAGGCGAAAGAATCCGGTGAAAAAATGAAAGCGAAAAGATACAACAGGGCTCTAAAGACATTAAACGATCTACTAAAACAAGCAAACGCAGGACATGCTATAGATTTAAACGACGAAAGCGTCCCGCCCGACATTCACCCTCCTCAAGAAAACAAACCCAAACCTGCGGAAATTAACGAACCCGATTTACCATCCCCTACAAAAGAAGCGGAATCGGAGCATCTCGTGAATACCATCGAACCATCGGTACCAGCATCACTCGAATCCGAATCGGCCGAATCGGCCGAATCTCCCGGTTACGATCCAGCCACGTTGGCTGCGCTAGCCGAACGTCAAAGGCAGTATAAAACCGCCGCGTTGAAGCACAAGCACTCGGGCGATGCCCAGCAAGCCGTCAAGTATCTGAAAATATCCAAGCAATTCGACGCCGTCATCGCGGCGCTGAAGGAAGGCCGGCCCATCGATTTGTCGAACATGCCTGGCCCGCCCGATGAAATTTTGGCTGCCGAACCGAAAATCGAGGAGAGCGAATCGCAAGGAAAGAGACCGGAAGGGGATCCGGTCGAAGATAGTTCTGGCGGTGGTTTGATAACGGCTTCGAGCGCCTTGGAAGCCCTAGAGCAAAGGTTGGCTGTATACAAAGAGCACGAGACAAAGGCCAAAGGGGAGAACAATCCCAGCAAAGTGAGGAGGTAATTGCGTTGATATTTTTAATAATTGTTGTGTATTAATTTATGTTTTTTTAGATATGGAAGGATTGTTAAACAGTTTGAGCAGGCGATAAAAGCTCATAAGGCTGGAAAGCCGGTAGCTTTCGATGAATTACCTACTCCTCCGGGTTATGGACCTATTCCCGGAGTAGGTGTACCTGCGGTTCAACCTGCAATACAACCTACACCGGTACCAGCGCAGCCTAAACGTGTTGCTCCCCAGCCTGACCCGTCTACGACTAAACCTGCTCCTGCTAGAAGAACCGAAGGTAAGCTAGTTATGTTTGTCGATTCAAATGTATTAACGTTAATTGTAGGAATGACAGCTAAATCTTCGCTAGCCGAAAAGCAGATGCAAGTTCTGATAGCCAAGCAGAAGCAATTCAAACTGGCCGCTTTAGAGGCGAAAAAACGAGGCGAAATTTCCCAAGCCAAGGAGTTCCTCAGGCAGTCCAAAGGTTTCGATAAGCTCATCGAAGCCTCCATCGCAGGCCTGCCGGTGGATTGGTCGTCGATTCCCGTGTCTCCTGACGCCAAATCGCAACTGGACAACGAGTGAGCATTCCACGATTCGCTCATTTACTCGTTAAATGAACAATTTCTCGGCAGGTACAACATCGCAATGAGCAATGACAACGCCGAATCGGGCGGTGGCATCGAGGGCGATCTGGTCGCCCGATTGGAGAACCAGCTGCAGAAGCAATTGAAAATGTGCCTGTCGACGAGAGACCACAACAAAGTGTTGGGAGACGTGCAGGGCGCGAACAAATTCGAACGGATGGCTTTGAACGTTACCAAGGACTTGGACGTGGTGCGGGTGTCGAAGGCGACCGGACAGGTGCCGAAGTTTCACTACGAGAATAGGGAATTCGCCATTGTCAAGTCGTTTACGGAAATCGGTGATAACGATATGGAGGTGACAATACACCGAGGGATTAGTTACAAGGATAAAGATGTCGATACTTATGTTAAAATGGAGTTTCCTTTTCCTCAGGTAAAGTTGTTTAAAACACTCTAATTGGGTAATAGTAGTAGTTTGAATTATGCATATATTTTTTTTTCTTTTTAGGATGCTCCGTTTAGCGACAAAACTTCTACAATTAAAGGCACAAATAACCCGGAATATCAAAAGACGTTCGTTATACCGATCCAGCGGAATTCGAGGCAATGTCAGAGGATTTTCAAAAGGCACAACATAAAAATGGAAGTGTATTCTAAAGGGTGAGAATTCGTTTAAATTCTTAAATCGCCTAAATATTTCGTTGTACAACAAAGTTTCTTCATGTTCCTAACACGGTGCACGGTTTTTCGAAATTGTCATTAATCAGTAGCAATTTGATTGGAATTTGATAAATGTTCGTGTGTAATGTGTTGCCGAAATTCGGCTGTAATTTTATATTAACGCATTTCGATTTATTGGAGTTAGATGTAGCTGCTGTGATACCGGCGGAAGTTGCCAATGCTGGGATTCTTTTGTAGAAGGATTTTGCTGCCTGTAGGTATCACATGATTATTTTACGATTATTGCACAACGAAAAAAAATAACGTTTTTAAAGTCGACGAAATAACATCGCTTGGAAAGAATGCTATTAAAAATACAAATTATCTTAGTTGTTATCAGTTATCCCAGCGATATTATTTTTATATGATACTGCATTAACTCGATAAGCTTACGAATTGAGCGCTTGGAAATTAACAATTTCGTTGTTAATATAGTTTTACATTTTTTTTATTAATAATGTTTTTCTTTTTAATTTTCAGAGGGTTTTTCAGAAGCGATTCGCTAATCGGTACGGTGAATGTAAAACTGCAACCACTCGAAACAGCATGTGAAATACACGAAAGTTTCGAAGTAAGTAAGAGTAAAGAGATTCCATTTGGGCATATAGGGTGGTTAAGATCAGTATAATCAATCTAATCCTAATTTTATTACAGCTTATGGAAGGCAGGAAGAAAGCAGGTGGTAAATTAGAAGTGCAGATAAAGCTGAGAACTCCCATTGTCACTCAGCAAGTCGAACAGATCCAAGAGAAATGGTTGATAATCGATCAGTAAATTAAATCTTAACGCAACTTTGATTCTGCTTAATTTAAGGGTATTGAAAATACGACTATTTTAATAAAATTAAATATACAAAATGTATAGGCAGTTACAATCAACTTAATACATCCAAGTGCATCAAAGTTGCAATATGGTCAATTATATGAGTTGAACAAAGAAAGATTATTTAAATAACAGTTGTTACTGTACCCCCCTTTCTTTTTCTTTTATAAGTGCCTAATGGAAGTTGTCTTTGTTGCATCCATAGCCTATATTTGCTTACAAAAAAATGGTGGTAAAAAGGTAGCTAATGCTAAAAATTAAGTTGATTATAATTGTACCTGTACATAAAAATGTTATAAGAATATATACGCATTAAATTATAAAAAAAGCTATTTTCACTTTACTCTATAATACTTTCAGGACCGGTACTATCTAATGCAATTAAGTACTTTTAATAATTAATTAACAACATACGCAGGGAGGTTATTTTGTATATAATTTTTGGCATCTCGCCCTGTTGTAACGTTGCCGAAAGGCTTCTATCCTTTAATCGCGAATCGACGTTCCTAATGGAGCCGGAGAATACCCGGCCCTTTATTTATTTCATAAAAAGGCTACAATTAAACCATAAAAATCCTTAAACATAATTTCCTATTCACAAAAAAAAAACAACATTACGCGGCGACCACCTTGCTTTGCGTCCCTTTCTGCGTCATGTTGATCTTGTCGCCCAAACTCAAAGCCATACCCTGAAAAGAAAGCCGAATAAACATCGTTTAGAACTAAAGATATTAATCGCGAATCATTTTACTTTAGCAAATGAACAGTAACACTTGATTTACCTGACTTTTGGCCCGAATTCTAATGTGACCGGCGACTGGCGCGTCCGGCTTATTAAACGGCTTTTCGATGCTCAAATTCGCCAGGGCGTCCTCTCCGAAGATCGATTTCGCGTACATATTAGCCGCCATGAAACCGCATTGCCCGCCCAGCGCCTTCTCCGACGTCAGGCACTTCATGTTAGTACTCTTCAGCAGATGCTCCAAGTACTCGTTGAGATCCGTCAACGGCGTATTGACGGTCACCTAAACAAACATCAACATAATTAAATTTATGAGTTGCTGTGTATGTATATCAAACGAACCTTATTCTCCCACTCGAATTCAGCCCACATCCTCATAAACTCCGAATCGGTGCAAGATGCCGGAACAATGTAATCCATTATATCGATGTGTATGTCGTTCAAAACGACAACGTTCCTGTCGGAAGCGGCTCCGGTTACATCGTACACGATGTTACCGAATATAATACCGTTCTCGGTCGAAGCCACCTTCACGTTAGCTTTAATATTGCAGAAGTCCTTCGGCGCCAGTACGACGGGCTGCGGCTTCTCCACCAACTTCAAATCGCCCAGCGTCGCCAATTCCAACGTGCAATTCTGCAGCGTATCGCTCGTCTGGTTCACCACCAGCACATCGAGCACGATATCGTACTGATTAACGTGCACGTACGCTTCCGAGTAGACGGGATCCGAGAAACCCGTCAGCTGGGCGATTTTATTCAGTTTACTCGATCCTACGCTCGAATCGGATTGGCCCGTTTTGCCGCCCATCAGCGCTTGCGACAGGGAGGTTTCGAACACGTTCTCGCCGAGCTCGCCGCTTCGATCGGACTCCAATTGCACGAAGGTGATGGCGTCGTCGGTCTGGACGGCCGCTCGGGATTTCTCGCGCGATTTCTGATCGGTCGCCTCTTCGGTCTCCTTCGCCAGCAGCATGTCGTTGAGCGCGTTGCGGCAGAGCCTCGAGAACACTCGCACCACGGGCTCCGTGCGATCGGACAGCACGCGCAGGCAGAAGAGAATGTGATCGTTGTCGTCGTTAGTTATCGGTTTTACCGGCAAACCTGAATTAATAACAACGCATTAAGAATGTTTATTGCCTAGTATAGTATCCAATACGCTTACCTGATTTGCCTAGGTGCAGAATTCCGGCCATGATGAGCATAACTTCGGCGTCGAATTTGTTCCTATCGGAAGGTGAAGCGTTTTCGCCGTACCTCAAAGCCAATTTGGTCAAAGTAGAAGCCAGAGAAGCGGCGATGAAGAAATCTCCGTCCATTAAGTACTGCCTCAACGGAGGTCTCTTCTCTTTGGTCGATTTGCTGTAAAATTGATACCAAATACATTGAAAATGCCCAAATACCGATGTAATGTATTAGAAAAATCGTCCTACCTGGCCACGTTGAAGGCAGATTGAGTGGCGTAGGTTCCATCTGAGGTAACCAAAGTGGTTGCTCCGGCAGGTGCATGAACCGGAGCGCTTTCCTCAGTACTACCAGATATAATCTTTTGCTCGGTCTCCAACAATGGGCATTCGCCTAACGTGTGAACGATCTCTTTGATGACGGCTTCGATGTCGCCAGTCGACGTGGCGTATTCGCCCAATATCCAAAGAGCGGCTCGATGAACTTTCACCGATTTGATGTCTTTGAATGTCTCCAATAATTTCTGTAATGCATCGAATTGTTACTCGATTGTTGTGGTTAAAATCTCGCGCAAACTTTTACCTCGATAATGAGCGGCTCCAAATTATCGAATTTCTGTATGGCTTCCCTCAGAAATAGCAACACATCGGTGGCCGCCAATTCGTTGCTATCGGACAGGAATTCCATTAGAACGGGAATGACCGTAGCAGCTATATCGGGGAATTTGATGCAACAAGAATGCAACGTTCTGACCAACAGTTGCCTGTATTTCCCGGTATCTTCGTGTTCGCTATCCATGGTCTTCGACACCTCCTTCTTCAGCACAAACACCATTTCTTCGACGTTACGAGAGGACACCAATTCGAGCGCTAAATTAAGCGTTTTCTTTCGCACCTCCAAATCGGGAGCTAAAAACCACACAAATTATAAACACTTACAACTTACAAGTATCTCTAATACTAACCCGATAACACTCTCAATATATCCATAACCAAGTCCTGCAGGACTCTCTCGTGGCTCGGATGTTCCTTCAACGCGATCAATCTATCCAAAACGATCAATTTGACGTTGTTGTCGCTCTCTTTAATGATCAATTCGATGTAACAACTGGCGGCGGCTTTTATAGCAGTCGGAGCGCTGGACAAAGTAATGAGAGTACCTGCCGCCTCGTATCTAACAGCAGGACTGCTCGAATTTAACAGATTGTATATGCATCGAATGAATCTGGATCTCTCGGTGGGGTTAGAGTGGCACACCTTGTATATCAATTCGACGATAACCAACTGAAGGATATCCCCGAAGGAAGCGACTTGATCTGGAAAGTAAGTAATTAAATAATATAGTAATATAAAATTTGTATGATGTAATGTACCTAAGCAATTGGATAGATAAGTGAGGGCTCGATCTTGATCGGCGTGCAAGAGCATAAGAAAAGCGTTCCTTTTACAAGACATGTCTTGTTCGCCATCTAGGTAAGTAGAAATCAATTCAGGGGCGTCGGGAATGAGAAATTCGAAATTCTTGTATATCGTAAAAATGGCCAGAACGGCATTCCTGCGAACGTAGCTGTGTCTGTGTTCCAGGCAAATTCGTATGCTGGGCATCAGAGGTTCCAATAGCTCGGGCTCCTTTAGCTTGCACAGGAATCTCAATGTGGACCCTCGCAAAAATTCGTTGGGGTGCTGCAGGTCCTTTCTGTAGGCGTCGCACACCAGGATCATTTCCTGCAGTAATTTACCATCGGGGGTGGTTTTCGGCACGATCTCCCAAAAAATGAGCAACAGCTTCTTGGCAAGGTGATCTTGTAGGGGCAGAACGTTTCGTATGATTGTCATGAGGAACCCATTTGGTAACCTCTCGCCAGCCAGTATCATGTGTATGATTCTTTCCAAAGCCCTTATCTTCACTTTGATTTCGCCCTTTTCTAAAAAGTTCGAAAACAATTGATGATTGGAGCCGATTGTAACACAAATTCATACATACCGAGATCCATTTTCAATTGCATTTCATTGTAAGGCTCCGAATCGGTCGGCAAATTGATTAAAGTGTAGCAGGGCTGTTCGACCGCCGTCATGTTTATTTCTTATCAATCAACACAACAATACTGTAATATAACGAATTGTTATTAGAAAATTAAAAAAAAAGTTTATTTTACTTGCGATACGTGTCAAGTTTACGTTTTAAATTGAACGTCAGTGTCATGTCATGTTTATGTCATTTGTCAAACAGATTCAATTAATTGATTATGGCCGAATAGCCCCGACAGTTTAGGCCTATATCAAACCAAAGGGAAAGAATTCTGTACAGAATAGTGTACCGCGACACTATGGAACACACTACCATCAGAAGTGTTCCCAGTTGGTTACGACCAGGCCCAGGACAGCCTTATGAGAAATTTTCGACGTTCAATTTAGTTCGTGCCAATGAGTAGAGATGGCGCGGCGATCGTTTATTTAAGAAACAGCGCAAGCAACCCGCGCAACATGCCGTAGATCATTATTAACGATTTTTGAACATGTGCAGTTCGAAGAGTTTTGAAATTTTGAAATACAACCGAATAAATATTTCTTCCAACTATTGTTAGTTATCGATTATACAAAGTGCTTTGGTATTTGCTGTGAGTTTTATAAATGAATAATTTGTGTATTGTCAACGTGATTCTACCATTCTATTGCTACAAGACTTAGAAATTGTTGCAGCGTCGATCGCCATTTTTCCAAAGCAGATTTCCAATCATCGGAAGGTCTGAAATCAGACAGGATTGCTGTGTCATGCTTTCTTTTCAAGGTAAATATAATTAACATTCGTACATAATTTAAACCCAAATATCATTATTATCATATTAACTGCTTATTTTTTTGTTACAGAAAATGGAGATAGTTCTATATTGGATTCGGCGAGCTACCGACCACCGATATAAAATGACTGGATTTCTCAGAAAAAGGTTTGTGAACTATTTATTGTATTGTTAATAGGCCAAAGTACTTTAAAGTCTAAATTATTATTCATAATATGTAGGTTTACATTTAAAATTATGTTGAACTATTTTAATATTGTACTATTTAAGTGTATTATATTTATGTTTATAAATGTAGGTATTAAATTATATTGAATTAGTTAATGTCCAATTTTAAATCCGCAAATTTGTATGTTTTTAAATATATATTTTTAAAATGAAACGTTTTTGTCGTTAATTTATTTGTGAAAGTAATTATTTTCGATATTATCCAATTTCTTGTAAAACTTGTACAATTTTTTATACTATGTCTCTATATTTAATAATTACATAAAATTCTTATACATTTTATATAATTATTATTATAAATTATAATAGTATAATAAATTGTACAAGTTTTACAAGAAATTGGATAATACGAACAAGAAAAAGAAAAAAGTCGAATAGAAAACCCGTATTACACGACTGCGTTTATACTAGCCCCTTTTTACTATGCAACAACCATTACTAGTTACAAATTACAGTTTCCGTTACCATTTAGTACCACTCAGTGCTCTCAGGGTGCGCTCTACAACGTCTACGAAATTCTCACGGCAATGTCCCTTCTTGTTTATGTATGTTCTGTGGTTACGACCTTCAGAGGTTTAAGACCAACATTAACAATTACCTACTAAAAACGCCTCGGGGCGCCTGAACAGGCGTTATAAGCTTCGTCTTTTCCCGAGTCGTGTGTATAAAAAAAAAAAAAAAAAAAAAAATAAATGTTATTAAAAAAAGAGGACCTCTCCAGATATTGTAATAAATCAAAGGCCAATATTATATTTAAAGGGAGAAGAAAGAGGTTAAGAAATCTGTCAAGTAAATGTAAAATCTTTTAAACGGATATTTCAATTATATTTAATTTAATTTGAACATTTCCACAATAATGTCGGAAAAAGAGCAAGAAAAAGGACCCGAAATAGTGACGGAACAAGAAAGGGAAATCGCACAGAATGCCCTAACAGAATACAAAAAGTAGATTGGATATGTTCCATTACCAAAACCTAAATTATCATAAATCTTTGTTTTAGGAAAAATTATTCCGCTTGTTTGCAGATAATAAACAAATTAGAAGATAGAAATACCGATTTGAAAGTGGTCCAAAACAAAGCGGTAGTAGAATATTGTAAAAACGACTTCAAAAGGACAGAGCAATTCCAAAAACATCTAACAAATATATGCAATCAAGTACTGCTTAGCAAAAATGAAATACACCAGCTTGATCCTTTAATCAGTTTCAGATAAAATCAGGTTCCTTAGATGACATCGACCATTGTATCGTTCAATATAACCAGGCTGTGTTACTCTATCATCGTAAACAGTACACAGCTGCCCAACGGATAATGGAAAAAGTGTACAAGTTTATAGAACCCATGGGTAAGCAAAAGTAAATAATTCTTCCAGGGAATTTGTTTATTTAATATTGCCTTTTCCCAGACGAGTCATTAGCGAAGCAAGTCAGCCTGCTCGCTATTGAACTGCAATTGTGCCTCGGGCAACCTGACAAAGCTCTTACTTTGATTAATTATTTGGAGAATAATTTGATTTATGGCGGTAGTATTCCTTTGAAAGGTCTGGATAAAAACGGAAAGGATAGAAAAGTAAGTTCTTTCAATCGTTATGTGGCCTTGTACTTGTAACCGGTTATTTTTCAGATACAATTACCGCCGCCCAAACCTATTTCAGAGGAATTTAAAAGGAAATTATTGAAATATAAAATAAGGTGCTATATTATGAATCACAGCATAAAAACGGCCCTTAAGGATGTTCAGTTGTTACTTAAGGATAAATCAGTTAGTGTTCTTATTTGAAATGGTGCAATTTTCATAGAACTATCTTTTTTAGAATATAGAAGCAATGTTTATGTCGGCAAACCTTGAATATATGCAAGGTAATTTCGAAAATGCGATGAAGGTACTTTCTTCTATACCAAACGACAGTTTATCCTACAGGTACTTTTTTCAAAACGAATATTTTGTAGATTTATTACTCTAAATTATTGCATTTTTAGCGACTGCGGTGAATCATCGAAAATACTATTCTACAACAATACGGGTGTCATTCATTACGCTATGGGAAAGTACAATTTGGCCTGTTATTATTTTCAAACGGCTTTAAAAGAAGACATAAGGATATGTCAAAATTTACAAATTACCGATGATAGTAAGTTAATCTTTATTTTGTTAAATGAAAATATATTTTGTAAATTTTCCAGATGATAAGCCGTTGTATACCTTGGGAGGATCCAGATACCACGAATTAATGTACAATCTTGGTATATCATTATTACACGCCAAAAAGCCTACCCAAGCATTCGATTGCCTGATAATAGCAGTAAGAAGATACCATAGGAATTCCAGATTGTGGTTGAGAATAGCCGAGTGCTGCATTATGTTACACAAAGAGGTATACGTTCATAAAACTCGCTATATTGAGTGTAAATAATCGTTAATTTGTAGACAAACGAAGTAGATTTCGAAGAGCAGAAAAATCTATTAGTCGAATTCGTCGGTTCCAAGGAGAAACGGAAGGTGATTCTCGTTACGAATCTCTCCAAAGACAAAAAATATAGGTAAATTCTTTAGAACATCTAGTACTCAAGTATTACAATACTTTATGCACACATAGTAACAGTATTTTACCTGCTAATATTAATAACTTTTTCACTCAGCTCGGAGAGTCAATCATACGCTGTGCCCGTCCCTACTTTGGAATTCGCCTCTCTGTGTCTGCGGAACGCCCGGGCGCTGATTCCATCTGACACGGCGCCGCCGGCGCCTCTTTTTCTAATACCGGGCGTGACGCCGCCTCCACCGCCCCCCAATCCTGGTCCCGGTCCCTCCAACGCGCTGCGACCTGACGGCGTCGCGGCGCTTGCGAACGCCGTCCTTTTGGCAAGCGCTTACGTGTCGCTGTGCCTCGGGGATTACATCCTAGCGTTGGAGCACTCCAAGCAACTGTTGAGTCAGCCGAGGTTGTCTGAAGTACACAGGTGAAACATGCGAATATTATGTGATCGAAATTGTTTTAATTAAATTTGTAAATATTGTAGATTGCTAGGTAATTTGTACGCGGCGGAATGCCTGGTATTGTTAGACAAATCAGCGGAGGCTTTGGAGCATCTGGATCCGGAGATGATAAAGAATTTGTCGCATCACTTGGAGCCTGATGAGGAAACTGATCGGGCGGCAGACGAAGATAATTTGAGAACAAATCCGCCTGAAAGTGAGTTGTGTCGAAGGAAATGTTCGATAGAGTTTCTATAAGTTTTATTTGGTTTTAGAATGGTTTCCGGATAACCTGCAGAGCGCTTGTTCTGTAATACAATATAATATAGCTGTTGTGAAGACTATAAGAGGGCAATTGGACCAGGCTGCTGTGTTGTTGAGGCAAATTTGGCATAATAAAAAAACATCCAAAGTGCCCGCACATATAATTATGTTGTTTATTTATATCGAATTGCAGTTAGGTAAGAGTGTAAATTCGTTATTTTTTCTGAAAAACAGTTAATCAAGGGACATATTTTCAGGTCATGCGGACGTAGCAAAAAATTTACTGCGACAATATCAGTATCGAATAACAGGATAGCATAATATCAAGTTCAATCGAATTGTATATCATTTCATTGTGATTAATTGATCGACGGACTGGCTTTATTAAATTATATAGATAAGTAACGACGATTGTTTTCTTCTAATTTGCCCACTTTTCTTATATATTTTCGTTATAAATCCGTATGATTTAAAAATTATAATTCAAGTTTGCCACACGATTGCTGGCCTCATCTAGCGAGAATAAACAGTCAACTTTCTTCTTTTTCCTATATTGACCTCGTATTTTTGTCATCGGCAGTGAATGGAATGCCCTGTCGATACAAAATATTTATTAATTTATTTTTCAAAATAATAAATTGCTCAATCGAGAAGCGATTGCTACAAATCGAGTTGTTTTTTTACAGGAAGAATTACGAAGGCATTAAAAATGACATTCAGTTGACAATTTTTCTGTCAATGTCATCTGTCAATATCAAAATCAACAAGATGACTAGTAAATTCTCATAAACTTTCCCGTTTAACTCGTAATTACAATCCCAGTTGTTCAGCGCAAATAAAAAGTCCCCATTCTCCATAACGTTAACTACGCAGGTACATAATGGTAAGTGCTGCAAACAATAAGCTGAATTCTCCAATTTGAAACCGTTTCGCTCCTGCTCTAGGGTCAGAACCAATCGGGCCCCGGCGGCGGTGAGAAGAAGGATGAGAAAGACAAAAAGAAAAAGTACGAGCCCCCAATACCCACCAGAGTGGGCAAGAAGAAAAGGCGCACCAAGGGCCCAGATACCGCTCTGAAACTACCGGCCGTAACTCCGCATACTAGATGCAGATTGAAACTGCTCAAGCTGGAGCGCATAAAGGATTACCTTCTGATGGAGGAAGAGTTCATCCGCAACCAGGAGCGACTGAAGCCCCAAGAGGAGAAGAATGAAGAAGAAAGGTCCAAGGTCGATGATCTCAGAGGTGAATATTATTTACAAATTCCTAATTTGATTATTATACGAGCACTTTTAGGTACACCGATGTCTGTGGGTACTTTGGAGGAAATCATCGATGATAACCACGCTATCGTTTCTACCTCTGTAGGCAGTGAACATTACGTTAGCATCTTATCGTTTGTTGATAAAGATCAATTAGAACCGGGGTGCTCAGTTCTTCTAAATCACAAGGCGAGTTATTTTTAAAAACGCGAAAAGGAATTAGCGAATAAAATGAATTCTTACCTCCAGGTTCACGCTGTAGTTGGAGTCCTAGGCGACGATACCGATCCGATGGTAACCGTGATGAAATTGGAGAAAGCCCCGCAAGAGACTTACGCCGATATCGGAGGATTGGACAATCAAATTCAAGAAATCAAAGAGTCTGTTGAACTGCCACTCACTCATCCTGAATACTACGAAGAAATGGGCATCAAGCCGCCCAAAGGTGTCATATTGTACGGGCCCCCGGGTACCGGAAAAACGCTACTGGCCAAGGCGGTAGCCAATCAGACTTCGGCCACGTTTTTAAGAGTCGTGGGATCTGAACTGATTCAGAAGTATTTGGTTAGTATATTATAAATAAATCGATACAATTGATTATAAATTGACCATTTTTAGGGAGATGGTCCAAAATTAGTGAGAGAGCTGTTTAGAGTAGCCGAAGAGCATGCGCCATCTATCGTATTTATTGACGAAATCGACGCCGTAGGTACTAAAAGGTACGATTCGAATTCAGGTGGTGAGAGGGAAATCCAGAGGACCATGTTGGAGTTGTTGAATCAATTGGACGGGTTTGATTCTCGAGGAGATGTGAAGGTAAAACTAGCTTTAGATTATTAAGGTTTCAGCTAGTCCTAATTTATTCTGTATGTGTAGGTTATAATGGCTACTAATCGTATAGAAACATTAGACCCGGCATTGATTAGACCAGGTCGTATCGATAGAAAAATCGAGTTTCCCTTGCCTGATGAAAAGACCAAAAAGAGGATATTTAACATTCACACGTCAAGAATGACACTGGCCGAGGATGTTAATCTTCAGGAGCTCATTATGGCTAAAGATGATCTTTCTGGGGCCGATATTAAGGTACAAGAATTAAATTATATTGCACATACAATGTTTTAATTAATTTTTTTATTTTTAATTTCAGGCTATTTGTACGGAAGCGGGTTTGATGGCGCTGAGAGAAAGACGAATGAAAGTCATGAACGAAGATTTCAAAAAGTCCAAAGAAAGCGTCCTGTACCGTAAAAAGGAGGGGACCCCAGAGGGCCTTTACCTTTGAATAGATTAAATTCGTTATAATTTATATAATTTTTTTTCTAATAAAAAATAATCGTCTCTGAAAAGGGCACCCGCAAGCTTTTAAAATTTAATGAACTGGTATTTATTTCATCCATTATTTTAAATTGAACTCTCTCAAAACTCCCCCATTAAAGTTAATAAATAATTTTAGTACAAAATCATTGAGTAATAACCATAATTCTGTATGCTTGTTCCATTCTCTTATATTCCATATTCTAAGCAAATAGGCATTACAGATAAAAAAAAACAAATGTTCAAATTATTCTTACACACAGTCTCCCTAATCTTACACCTATACCATTATGTTTTATTTGAAGATGAGATAATTTAAATAACCTAATTGCTAATTAATCCGAGGTAGTCATCCATGAGTGTCCCAATCGCAAACTAAAATAAATCAATAACATTATCTTAAACACATACTTATATGTTATACTTACAATACCAGAAGCATCCACCCTCGTACCGACTATTTTCAATCTGATTTCACCCTCTGCATGTATAACCACGTCTTCGTCTTTAGTCTTGTAGCATTGGGGATTAACATTTGGACAAAACTCCATTTCAGCAGGTATGGAATGATGAGATATGAAGCAAGATAAAGGGCCTATTTCGGCGAACATCCCCACTTTATTCACTTGTCTAACTACGGCGTCCAAAACTTCCCCTTTGAAGGGTCGGAACACTATGGCCTTGTACTTAACCGGGTATACAACGAACCCTTGCCCGGGCAAAATCAGTCCGGCTCCTATGCTATCTATCGTTGTAACGGCTATCACGAAACCATACCTATAAATGCATTTAAAGTTAGATGAAGAGGTTAAGGTGTTTTGAATATTATTTACTTTCCGGTACAAGTGCCTTCTACTTCGGTGTAAAGTTTGGCTTTTACTTTCTCCAGCAACTGGGGTCCGAAGTATTGGGGGTGAAGCAGAATTTCGTGTTCCAGGGATATCTAAAACACATTACGAATAAAAAACATTAAGCGTCTTGATCAAATTGGCTTACATGGTAGAACATTTTGGAAAGTGTATTAAAATTTTTAAAATATCGTAGAACGAACAAAATAAACAAATTACGAGCGAAGAAGCCGATTTTTGAGGTTAAGTAATGATTCTTCTTTTCTTTTCTATCCATTACACAAAAAAGTGGCTGTTTGTACGATAAGTAGACAGCTAATATACAACAGAAAATCGTCAAAAATGTCAACTGTCAATAATGCGAACACCGCGAAATTCAAACTATAAATAATTTTAAAACAAAAATATTGTTATCAGAACACTAACCGTTTATTAAAAAATCCATTGTGATTAAGGATGTAGCTTTGAAAAACCCCGAAATCTTTACCCCTACTATTTACAAAAAAAAAATCCCATTGAATAACTTCGAATTAAAGTTAATTAACACTTAAAAGCCCCCACTAGATTACTCAACGCTACCTTCCAATTACAAATAATCAACAATCCTCAATGCATAATCAACGTAGCGTTTTTTTCTCTAACCCACAATCCACTCGTTATTATTTTTCTTCCGCTCAATTTGAATTTCTGGCCGCATATCAAAGGGCCCCTCTCAGCTATGCCCATTCATTGGGTTATTTACATCGTATTTGCTATTATAGCCGGGCCCCTTCAATCTATGCCGCGTATCTGTGCAAATTGGAAACATTTTCGAATAGCAAGTGGGCCGGGGGCGTATGCGTGCCGAGGGGTGACTAACTTTCGCCCAATTATCCTTTAATTTATCTGTTACTGTTGCACAGATCGAAAAGGAGGGCTCGTTAAGGGGATTAGGAGTCGTCGCTCGTGCTGGATAATCTCTAAGCAGATGGTCATTTCACGGGTTTCTATAGGAAATAAATGTTTAAGTGGCTCGTTACAAATAGAAACTGTTTATTGCTTAATTTGCAACTAGAGCCTCTATATTTATTTTTATTACTAGTTAGAGATAAATAGATTATACCTAATATTGTGCCTAATATTTGGTATACAATTTTTTTGTTGTCTTTGGACGTTTTTAAAAGAAAAACGAATAGAATCCACAAATCATTAAAATGACTAAAAATACCAGCAAAATACCAAAAACTCTAAGAAAAAATAAATGTTGTTAAGGTAAAAAAGTAACAAAAAAACTCCGAAAATTAGTTGAATATTAAAAAAAAACACTTCTATAATCACAAAACTTAACAGATATACAAAAAAATAAGTAATCGATCACGAAGTTCCTTATATTTACCCCCCGATTCGTCAGTTTTTATTCGCGCAAAGCGAAACTACATCGACCAAAAAACACATAGTGAAATCACTAGAAAATAGCTCCAATTTAGCATCAAGGGAAAGAGAATTAACAAGCATTAAAAATCCACCACTGCCAGGAACGTATCCCCATTGTTAAGGGTTGCAGGGAGGCGCTTGGGATCACGTAGGAGGAGCTTCTCGACAAGGGGGTTGAACCTAAGAGGGATGCTGTGGTTTACACAGCTTATGTTATATCTTTAACCGCTCTCGTTTATAATATACCTTTAATGTTTCCGTGACTTTAGACCGATTTGTTTACCTTTACCTGGTGTTTAGCCCTAGAGGAAAACAAGAAAAGTGGGACGGTAAAACAGTTATTATTTTGTGATTAAAATTTTTAACGATTCGTTTAATTATGTGATTGTGAAGTGATTTGGAATTTGCGCGGAATCAAATTGAATATGCAGGAGCACAAATCGTTTTTAATCAAGGACCTTTTGAGCGATATTATTGCTAGTACGAATTCGGATGAAAGTAAGTTATTTGTTAGTTTTCATGAAGCTTTGTAAAGCTCATTAAAGATACATCTAGTCTCGTGTGTAAAAATTTCCCTGGTGATGGAAAACTGTAAATGTTTAGGTAGGTAGAGTTTTTCTGAAGGTAGAAAAATGCATTAAAAGGAAGAAATATTGAACTCGCTTGGAATTAAATATTCTCTAATACCTCAAAATTAAGTTAATATAGAAAGTTCAGTGTTGTTTCTTTTACTAGAGAAAATGTTCGTCTTAATGTCGATCATTAAAAATTGTTGGTATATATTTTGTAAATTTTGAATTATTTGGATTTTCTTTAAAAGCATTCCTTTAGCAATTTTTACAATTCTGCATTCAGTGAACACTTTCCAAACTTTATGCATTAATTAAGTTATATAAAAATATCCAGAAAGATGGATGACAATACAATTTTTCTCTACAATGTTTTCTTCAAACTTTAAAGCTTTAAAAATGTTCAAAAATGTTCACAAAGTTTTATATTTTCTCAAATTTTTTCAGTAAATTTTCTTAATCACTTTTTAATGCAGAATAGACAAATTTAAGCAAACTTAAACAGAAGGTAACAATATGTCAATTCTATCCTGCAAGAATCCTGCTACTTTTCCTCAACATATGTTCCTGCACCTTCAAATTAATTAATTATGAACTAAAACATCTCCAATCAGCCAGCCAACTACATCAGCAGCTTTATAATAAAACAAACCTCTCTCTAACCTCTTGTTTCCTTTCATCAACATTTCTTAATCCTGGAATAAATTCATTTACAAGTACATCCCGATCCCCAAAACAAGGAAACCGCGAACAAAGAGCGCCGACCCGCAGGCGACCCGCCGATCTCCCACGCAAAAAACCGCTTCATTCGTTAGAGCTACAACTAAACTGCTCAAAAACGCATTGAGCCTCTAATTGGAGCAGCGCCGAGTCGCGCCAAGAGTCCCGGCGTTCCTCTCCCTTAATTATAGCTCGAGGATAATGTCTCGCGTTTTACGCGATGAGCTCGACTTTATTTATATCGAAGACAATGCCGACTGGAGACTTTTTAATAACGAGGAAAGCTCCAAGTGCTTTGCACGCAAACTTAGTCGAGGCTGTATTGTTTTCAGCTTTGTTCGTTTTCACACCATATTACATGCAGTCTATGACCTCTTCTCTTAATTGCAGCAGGTATATGATAGGGCAAGGATCCAGTTTCCATTTTTAACTTCCTCTAACTTATTAATATCCTCTTTACAGCCTACCAGGATTCGGACGCCGATTCGTCTGACTTCAACCGAGGCGAAGAAGACGCCGATGTGGAGATGCCAGGAGAGCGCGGATCGCCGCGTACCGCCTTCGAGAGCGGCGCGACGCCTTCGGCGCCGTTCCACGGCGGCGGCGAGCCGTCGGACGGCGGCAAGAACCGGAAGCCGCGCCGCCGTCGGACGGCGTTCACGCACGCGCAGCTGGCCTATCTGGAGCGGAAGTTCCGCTGCCAGAAGTACCTCTCGGTTGCCGACAGGAGCGACGTCGCCGACGCTTTGAATCTGAGCGAGACCCAGGTGAAGACCTGGTATCAAAACAGAAGGTTAGTAGGAATCTCAATACCAAAGATGATCGTCATCTCTAAACAGAAAGCTAGTGACAAAAAGTGGTATTGGACACTGACGTAGTAAAAGGCCGCTAGAGATGCGTTCGCCGAGTGCAAGTTCGGAACAATTCGGAACTACGCAAAAGAACGAAAAATGACAAAACAATACGTCAATTTGGATAATTTTGAAAATGGCGGACGATTAGCATTTTTTAAAATCGCGATTGCGAGCCGAAATAAATCTAGATAGGAAAATGATGGTCATATTCGTAATCAGCAGATCCGTTTCCATTTTACCGTACACCTCTGTGTGCCCAAATAACTCAAAAGAATAAAACTCTCCAATCAGTGAGTGACCATTACAGTTTTATCTATCTTGTCTACTCCATTTAGAATTCCATGTTGGTTTTCTTAAGAAACCTCTACACAATATATCCTCCTTTAATCATTCGAAACCACATAGTTAGGTACTGTATAAGCAAAACAAGGGGGACCAAAACTCTGTTGAAAGTGAACGGATTTGTCGGTTAAATTGCAGGACGAAATGGAAGCGGCAGAACCAGCTGCGCCTGGAGCAGCTTCGGCACCAAGCTTCGGTGGAGAAAGAGCTGCTCAGCAGCGCGGCGATGCGAAAATCGGCCGGAGAGGCGGCTAGCTGTTGTCCCCCTCCGGCGGGGCTTCCCAGGTACACGGCGCAGTCGCCTTGCAGCTTTCTGACGTCCGCAGCTGCGGCTATTTTCCATAATGTTACTTACGTGCATGGGTGTCAGCTGTAGGAATTATTCGGTTTATTCGTTGGGCTGGTGTTGATTGTACTTTTTGATTGATTTGGGTGGAGTTGTTATTAATGCACAGATGAATTTATGTGATAGAGAAATTCTGAATAAACTATTCAGAAAGAAAAGAAAAGTCGATGATTACTGGTCAATCTGATTGGTTATTTAATACACATATTCAAAAATGATCATAGTTTTATCTGAGCAATGATAAGGTAATTTTTTTATTGTCCAACTCTCGATTATTTATTATTTCTTCTGTTGATTTTATTCAATGGATAATTATTTAGCTGTTGATAGGTATTTCTATTTATTTAAAAATATTGTCGAATTATTTCAATTCTATATATTGTAGAATTGATATAATAATTTTGGACTTTAATGTGTAGTTCATGTTGTTATATTGCATTAGATAGTTACATAGGATTTCGAAATTTTCTAAATTCTCTAATCGATACCTAATAGTCATTAATAATGTATGTATAGAAGAATTCTAGTCAAAAATGTATTTTTTGTGCATACCGCGTACGTGCTAATTTATAAACTGTTATGTGTAAATATATTTTAATAAAAAGTAGTATTTTTAATTTAGAAAATTTAATTTTTTTACTACCTACCTTTCCTAAACGATTCTTTATTAGTTCAACAAATTGGAGATTAGGAGAGTAAGTATTATGAGAAAAGATGTACAAATGTATCAAGGCATTGATAAATTTTGAAAATTCAAGAGAATAACCCATTTTTACCAATTTACGAATATTTTTAATAGATGAATAGAGCGTCATGTGGGCATCTCCATATACTCTCTGTTCAAAACACTGTCCTCATAGCCACGATTTATGGCAAAATTCCAGCGTTATTAAACTTCGTACAGCAAGTATTTCTTCCGTCGATTGGATAATATCCTCGGAAAAGCGCAAACATCTGTCTATCAGACCGGCGAAAACGCGAATCTGGGCAATTTGCATTTTGATCTAAAGGCGACCGCCGGGGCGCTTGGCGGTAAACGCGATAGGTTTTCCCGTTTTCCCGGCGTCGGAGCCCGCCGGTGGGAGGAGAGGGAGGCAATTTGCGATTTATATACCAATCAGTGGCTATTATGCGCCGTCAACGGGGGTCCAATAACGAGTCGTTGCCTCAATGATATGTTAATTGGTCTGTTAAGGGGTGGAATGAGAGGGGTCGTCGCTGTCACAGCGTGCTATTTGGACTTAAAAACTCCAGTGGCGGAGAAAATTTGTCATTATCAAACCATCTCATAATTATATCGACTTGTAAATATGTTAGTTTTTCGTCGTTTGTGTTTAAGACACTGCAAGAGCTATATAGTAAAATTGCAAAATTAATTTGAGACACACGGTATAAATAAATAAACTTCCATAATAATGCCATAGATGCCAGAGATACATCAAAGTTTCAGAAACGATAAAACTCTTAAAAAATTTCTTCACCTCCACCAATTTTCCTAACCGACTTATCAAAGTAACCATTACCTAATGAGGGGTTATTCCGCGGGTTATTCCCCGGCACGTCACTGTCAAATGTATGTAAAGGTTATCCAGCATTCGCCCAGAAGGATCATGTCATAACAGAAAGTTGTTACGAAACTTGCAAAGGCACGTTCGGAATAACATGAATGTCGAATTGCTTCATTTCCATGCTAATGGGCGCCCTCTCGAACTCGCTCCGGCTCCGGATTTTCGCATTCGACGTTGCGGAGTCACGTCTAATGAATAAATAACCGGAGTGGTTTCTATTTTTTCGCCGCTTTCGTTTTCTGATGTTTACGCGATCGCAAAAGGGTCGTTTAATTAGCAAAATAGCGCTCGGCATCGGCGTTATTTCCAGTATTTCTCTGGCAAGATATTGGTGTTTTTCCACACGAATATATCATGCTGTAATATAGAGTGATTATAATACATAATACTTGTATTCTAAGCAAAATATTTATTTAATCGGATTGAATTTTCACTTAAAAAAAAGATAATTTTGATGTATTGTAGAAATATTTCCGAAAGAATCAAAAATTGTGAACGAACGTTTCCTCAAATAATTTTCCTTGCCGTAAAACCGTGCGAGCGTGAAACTCGCGAAAGGAATAAACATCCCGACGATTACAAACGGAAAATGCGAGCAACAAACGGCTACAAATCCGCGATCCGCGCATCATTAAATTTTTCCGGTGTGTTTCAGTCCGTCGGGCGAGGTTAAAATTCCGCTATTTAAAGGTTTTCCTTTCGATGGCGGAAGAAAAACCGGCATGCCAGAACACTAGACGGACAAAGGCATTGAAATCTTTTCCAATTAAATTTATTTTAGCTTCGTTACTGGCGAGTTATTCGCTCCCATTTACGAGATCCGCACGCTGGAATGGAGCCTCGATTGCTGCGGGAGAGCACGCTGGAGGAAAATAATGTTGATATTTATTTACGGGATTTACGACGAAACATTAATCACGTTTTTATTTTTTTTAATACAGACAAAAAAAATGCATGGAAACAGAAATGTATAGCAACTTTTTTTACAGGGTATACAACTTGCTAACGATTATTTACAATTTGTACATGTTATGTAATTTGTATATGTTTATATCTAAGAAAATATTATCCAGGATTCAGATTCAATCATCTAAAGAAAATTATATTCCACCATTCCAGTGTCACTTTTTAGCTCCAGCAGGCGTTCATTAACACCCCGTAGAATGACCGGACGTGCATACAATAATTCTATTATACTAAACTAGACGAAAATATGCCAGGAGACTCCGCAGAGCGGGCACGTGCCGCCTTAACAAACCCAATATCGTCGAATCGCTCCCGATGCATAGTCCCTGGAAAAACTATTGAAAAGCAATCAACCGTCGTTTTATCGAATACCTTAATGGCCCTCCAGGCGCGATCCCCGCGGACCACCGTCGCTTCTTTTTACTCTTTAGACTCTAATGGGCCACGGTCCGTCCACTTGACGTTTGCGCCTCCCGTCGCGGCCCTTTCCTCCTCGTTATCCTTACGCCGCCTCGCCGGGAATACAGGGAATTCGGATTTCTCTTCTGCGATCGACTACGCGGAATTGCAGGAAGAGTTTTTCTTTATACACTGGGAAATACATTTGATGATGGTCTATCAAAAGTGTCCAGCGAATCTAGATGGATGCAGGATAATGCAAATGACTACAGAAGTTTACTGAAGATTGCATAAATTAAACGTACACTCATTAATTGTTTATTGCAGTAAAAGAAGTTGTAGCTGTTGGAAATGTCTTTGATCTACTCTAAATAATCGAAGGGAGTTATCAATTCATCGTGAGAGGGGTTTGTGTGTAGTCCTAATACCATATTTTGGACTTTTCGAAGGTTGACTTTGACTGTTTGTTTCCATTTTCCGATTGCTAAGCGTCGGTTTCTCTCGCGTTGTCGTACTTGGTGCCTTTTGTAAGCAATTTCACCCATCAAAATTAAACCTGAAATTGAGGAAACGTCATGTTTGTTGTGAGATACACATTAAAAATCTAACCGGAAAATACGTTTCCGAAGCATATCAAATAGAAAGCTCCCTGCAGCATTTTCAAACTGATCGGTTTCAATTTTCTGGGCTCCTTCAATTTGATCTGTCTCTGTAAGTCCTTGCTCGTGTCCTTGGCTACGGTTTCAGCGATTTCCGCCGAAGACAAGGCCTTCTCTTTTCCTAATTTTTCGAATTCCTTTTCGGTCATTTTCGTGATGATTCCCGCCTCGAAAATTGCCATTAATCTGCAACATTAGAAATATTTTACTATGAAGATTTACTACTTTTCTTACTGACATTTTGTTGATTTCTTCTATGAAAGGGCAGCCTAGTTGAAGGGCTATCGCCGAGTAAGCTGTGTTCAGTTTCTCGCTAAGATGGAAATTAGATACACCTAGAAGAATATTGTATAGAATTGTGTTTCTGCAATAATCGTGTAATTACCGAATCTTTGAATGTCGAAATTTAAGGTTTCCCTTCCGGCCATCAGGGCCACATTATCGGAACTTTTCACTAATTCAACGCCCTCTTCCACTGAGTTCACGATGCTGTTGTTGTACCCTTGTCTTTGGAGCATCAGATTATACAATCTCGAATAAATCCCGGTGCCATTCTATTTAATCAGTTAAACAATTCAAAGAATTTCTTCTATTTGCATCTATTTACCTCCAGTAACCCGTGCGATGAACTGCGGTTTTCGATGAACAATTTGTATTCTCTCGATAGCATTGCCTGTTCCAATTGGTATAAATCGTGGATCGGTTTTTCTAAATAAGAGTTTTTCTGTTGTAGATAATATCTTGTATAGTTTAAACATACTTACCCCTTCCTGGTCGGGCTAATAACGAAGTCAAATTCGCCGAATACACGTCGCTTATAACATACGTAGCTGCAAAAGACATTAGTACAACAAAACATTTCGTTTTAAAGTTCGATTTCGGTTCTTTTCCCGCTGAAAAAGAGAACAAAAAAATAGCAATAGTGTTTCTAACAGCAGTTGAGTATTAGTATATTTTTGTACACCCTTTAACTCACTCTGTTTTAAGACAATAGTCACCGCAAACCAGGTGCAATCTAAGAACAGTTGCGAATAAGAACGGACCGCAAACTTGGGTCTCCAGAAATTAGGAAGAGCAATTAATAGATACAAAACGGGCCCGAAGATGATCACTGTGAAGCCGATTACAGGCCAAACCTAAAACAACATTAACATTGAATTAACATTCATTTTCGATAGCTATAGAGAGCAGTAGCTGGAGACGCAAATCTTACAAAAATAACCAGGTAAATAAGCTACGTTTTTTATTATGTGGCTATTACTGGAAAGCTCTCTTGCTATTTGAGCTTTACGAGAAACCCGAACCTGCCAATGGAAGGGCCTCAGAAGGGCCAGAGCTTCGTTCAATTGGTTGGGCGCGTGCGTGATGAATGCTCCGCTATCGGCTAGCGTTATGAAGGAAAACTCGACGAAATTGTATCTCTCGAAAGTGATGGCTACGTCGCCTATGTACAGATCGGCTTCCTGCAAAACAAGAAATGTAATAAACTTTATTTGGACGAAGGATATTTCATTTATACCCTTCTACTAATCAGGCCTATAATGCCGTTGAAATAGCTGTTATCGACGTCTGAGGTGCCTTGTACTCTTTCCGGTGGATCGAAATATTTCAATCTAACAATATTAGGTATACAAAAATAAAATTCGTGCGAAATTAGAGCCGTAATAAATGTGGATTAAATGATGAGATATTACAAACCTAAAATTAAGTTTTGCAGCTATAAGTTTCAAAATACAATCATCCCTTCCACCAATAACTTGTATAGTTTTGTTAATTGTAGAGTCGCTTGCATTAGTTGTACTGACGTTACTGTAATTGACGAAATGCCAGGGAGGTTTCTAAAAATAGTATGTAAAATATATTCTTTTATTATAAAAATATAGTTACGTGAAGAACAGGAACTTTCAAAAGGCGTCCTTTGAAATTTCCGTAAACTGACTTAGTGATTGGAAGAGTGGGATGGTGGAAAATGCCTTTATTTTGATTCCACCAATTTACAATAGTTAAATGATGCTCTCTGTTAGAAGTCGTTCGACTGTAGTATAACCGATAACTAAAATGATTTTGCATAGAGTTCTAGTATAGACCTAGTACAAGTATAGAATAGATCAATTAGAGACTTCATAAACTAGCAGAATAGGTCTAGTATAGATATTTACTCACGTGTCATTTCGAGGATTTGTTATTGCGAATAATTTCAAGGAGTATTGAATATTCATCACGAAATATCTCGTGAAAGGTTCATTTCCCCAATAAAATATGTAAACAATATTCCTCCTTATTAAATTTCTTCCGTCTATCTAAAAATGCGGAATATTGATAATTACATACAAAGTACAAATATAGAAATAATTAAAAATGCTTACTTCGATTAGTAAATATTCGAAGAGGCGGTGTTTTCCGAAGAATAGATTGGTTAAAGGAAGATATTGTTCAGTTTGTGTGACGACAAAGTGAAAATACTGTAAATATTTAACAAATTTTTCCACTTGCAGTTAAATATATTTCATTATCTTACATTTTCCTGAACGTCCGGGTCGGAAAGATTAAATGTCATAGTCGTTATGTGACCACGTTGCAAAACTCGCACCAAATGATCAAAAAAGTTGGTATCTAACAGGTAAAATATCAAATAATAAAAATGTTAACCCAATCGCCCGTACTATTGCTAACTAAATTTAGTATGTTAGTCCGGGCGATTAGATAAAATGTTTTGCTTGGAAGAAAAATGTTATTACGGTCATTTTGATAAAAATATTTACCTACAGAATTGTCGAAACAAAGGGTAATTTCACTTAAGGGAAACCCGGCGAGAAATTCGTAAATCGCCGTCGCCAAATCACCCCCGAAATCTTTCCTAATGTTATCGATACCATCTAAAACATCGAAACAATTTAATAATGAAGTGTTTGAACTTTTTCGCAAAAATACTCACATGGATGATATGATAATTTAGACGTCGAAATCGCCCTAACAAACGCACAAACTAACAAAAAGAACACAAAACTCGCCCTCATTGTAATCGGCACTGCAACAAAATCACGAACGTTCTCGGGATATAACCCACATTTCCACATTTCTGACGTTTGATTAACAGCAATTCATAATTTAATAAGTTCGATATAATGTTAAATGTTATTGTAATAACACGATTTGCGCAAATCAATATTTGTCCGATTTATGTCTAATAAAATTCACCTTATTATGGACCTTTCGTTCTATTTCGCCATCTTGAGTACTTACAGAGCGACATGAATAGCTGGAGACCTAACCTGCGCGTCGTTAAATCTCCAATAAAAAACGTACGCGTTTTTTGTATAAATAAAATATATTGTTCAGTTTACCAAGCTATCATCGTCCAAATTTTGCTAAATATCTTCGAGATGAGCACGAACACCGGCAAAAATATTAGTCCTACTATCATAAACATAAGGAAGCATATCACTATAATTTCGCCGGTAAACATGGCGGCCTTGAGGGCCTTCTCCTTCGGATCATCGGTTTCCAGGACGTCGATCATTTTGTCCAAGGCGAAGCGCGTGAAGTACACGAACCCGTCCAGCAGAGGCGCCAGATTCCACAACATCACCAATATCGTTATGGCCGCCGTGTACGCATGCGTACATAACGATGTTAATAAACTGATGAAGGTGATTTGTCTGAAAAAAAAATAATACTAATCTTCCTCGTTTAACTTCATGATTTTTTTGCATTAACGCTTTAATAGATGGAGCAGATTTCCAGTGAAGCTTCGATTATGTAAAAGTTAATTAACTTACTCATTTCTGGATACGCCTCTGGATTCCTGGTAATCGACAATGGGGGCTCTCACCGAGTAGAGGGTATCTAGCAGTTTCTTTTGCATTGAGTCAATATTGAAATTTAGAGGATTGATGTGTGCCGAGGGTATGTACGACCCAATATTCGGAATCTCACTGCATGGGTGGCAACCTGAAAGGCTCCGGTAAGAAATATTCCGATGGTAAAATATGCCTATGTTGGCTCTTACTATTATCGCTCATTCTAGCTTCATGGTGTAGTTCCAGAAAAAAATTAAATTTATATTCGTTTCGTAGACAATTTTGACAGCGGGACTTTATGAAGTCATTTTGAAGTTCATCAAACAAATGAAATATTGTATATCTGTTAAGGTTTATTCCAGATGAACTTTGCAAATTTTATGGCCGATGGAATGTTATAACTCGCCAATATTCAACTCAAAAAATCAACCTTATTTTGACAATAAAATGAATGAATCGTTTGTATTAATACCGGGCGATGTTTTATATTATCCTTCACGGCCATCCAATCTGGCGAAAAAATATATTTTTAACGGAATCCCTCGTACTATAATCTAATAAAATTTCTTGCAATAGTCTGGGAGATTGTATTAATTTTTTTTGTTAAATATCTAGTTCTTCTTACTCGATCTTACTTATTTTCTTACAAAATATAAATATTATACAATAGCTCACTTTTTTAGAAATTATTATAATTATTGTACTATTTTCTATTTAATAATTATATACCCACACTTTTATTTTATTATTAAGCGGTACAATTTCCACCTATTTTTTCGAATAATCTTATGCATATTTAACTTTAAAATATCATACCTACAATTTACATTATACGAGTCCTTTTTTTCCCTTCCTAATTATACACATCGCTTCTAATATAAAACAATTCGCTCCACGTTACAAACTTAATCATCTGGGTTATCTCGACATGGATTCCTGGAACATCAAAATCGTTCTCAGGATGGTGAGATTTGTGGGAACGAACCCCAAGTACCGGGGCACCTTCCACGAAAGTCTCCTGTTCCTGCTCTCTCTGACCGCCTTAAGCATCACCACTGGCTTCGCTTTAGCGGTGTTTTTCTTCGAAAAAAACTTGCAAATGCTCGACATTACCGAAACGGCCCAGGCTCTCTCCTTCTGCACGCACGTAAGTCCCTATTTACTTCAAAAAATATGTTTAAAAGATTTCAGATTGTTTTTGCAGTCCTTGTTGAAGCTGATTTGGTTCCGCAGGCAACACAAAAAAGTGATCGCCTTGCTCACTGACAGCGAACGCTTCTGGAAAATCGAAGAGCTGGAAGATGCCGTTGAGAAGGAGAAACTTACGAAATACGTTTATTATCTGAAAATCGGCTTCCAGTATTTCGGCTTGTTCGCTCTCGTGCCGGTACTCACGGTACTACTCAGACCGTTCTATCAACACGGGGTAGTATTTTACACTCTTTTTCTTACTTATTTCAGTAAAATGTGCAAGTTTTTTGCATCGCTTCTTTTCAGTTATTTAAACTGTTCAATTGCAATTATAGGATTATCCGTTCAGGGGATATTTGCTCGAAAAAGATGTGTATCGGTACGCTCTGATAGTCACAGAACAGTACGGAATAGCGTGCATGTTTTGCGCTGTGGTGGGTTTCGATTCTTTCTTCACCACTTTAATCATCCTAAGTACCTTCCAATGGCGAATGCTAAATAGCGAATTAAGAAGAGTACTGGAGATGCCGGTGCGAAATGAAAGCGATAGAGTTACTGCGAAGAATAGAATGAGAAAATGCATAAATCATCACAACTTTTTGCTCAAGTAAGGTTGATGAAATCGTGGTTAGTTTTTTATTTGTTTGATCGTTTTTACAATTTTATTCCTTTTAAGATATGTCAAAGATATTAATGATACAATGTCGTTAGGATTGCTTCTTTATCTTGGTGTTATAGTTTTAGCAAATTGCGTGGAGTTTTTCGCAATATCAGTTGGGTAAGTATAAATTTTTGTAAGTATAGATTTCAATTTTTTTTATATTTTAGTTTGCCAACAAACGAATTTCTTAAAAGCATTACCTACGTCAACGCCATGACTTACGAATTTGTAGTATTTTACATAATTCCGGGGCAACTTCTTGGCTCTGAGGTAACAATTATTATCTATCTCATTGCTAAACAATTAGAAAATTATGTATAAAATGTATTTTCAGGCCTCTCGAACTGAAGAAGTAATTTTCAAGAGCGATTGGCTGGCCAATTTCGAAATGAACAAACCCGTGATAATGATGATATCATCGATTAACCAGAAACCGGCTACTGTAAACGCTTTCGGTCTCATCGATATGTGTTATGGTAGCGGTTTAAGGGTAATAATTTGATTATTCGAAGCGCAAATACTTTTTTATTGTTTTAATTTTTAGGCATACAAAGCGATTATATCGTATTATATGTTCTTACGGACGATGAATAGGAACTAAAGCTTGAAATTTATACGTGCTCTATTGAATTTAACACACTTGTAACAGACTTGTTTCAGATTTTTCACTCTTTCATAAGTACCTAATTCATTATTATTTATTAAATTAGTTTTGTTGATAAAAGGGAATAATGATAGAATATTTTAGAAACAGCAAATGTATTTAATTAAAATACTAACAAAATAAAAAGTATTTTTATTGATTACAAATTTAAAACTAATCTAAATCTTCTATAATATAAATAATAGAAATAGCACTATGAGAAAAGATCACATAAATAAATATCTGTATATTACACATGAATGTTAAAAAATGGATGGATTCTGGGATAATCTTCTCGGATCGGGAAGCTCTAAGCTGGGTCTTCCGATCGGGCGTTTCTCATTTATTGCTAGAATGTCTATACCATTTACAGCTATACTGATTTTCCTCGTGGGTTTATTCCCATCCTGTATCGAATATTTCTTCTTTTCCTCTTCTCCTTCCGGCGGCAAGTACCGAGGGAAGTTAAATCTTGTCAATACGCTGAAATTAAACCGTCATCTATTATTGTTTTAATACAGTGAAAACTTACAATGAAAATATCGTTACTAGAACATGAATTCCCAGAGTGAAATAATTATAAATCCCGCTGTTTATGTCCAACGTAGCGTTATAGATTAAAGGGTAGAATATGCTGAAGACCATATGATCGAAGGTCACGATGATGTACATAAGGGCGAATATTTTTCCCATGTCCTCTGGCGGCAGCATGAAAGACATGAGGGTTTTCAACATCAAAATCGGCAGGACGTATATAATGTGGAAAACATAGCCTAAAAATAAAACCAACAATAGGTGATATTAATTACAATAACTAATTATTGTGTTAGTAAAACTTACTAATGTAAATGTAATAATCGTTGAAAGCAAGTGCTCGTAGAATATCGGAAACGGATAGCAATACAAAACTGAGTAGGCAGACGTAGATTTCCTTGATTTTCAACCATTTGTAGAGAATGTAAGTGCCGAACAATGCACCAAAAACGTTTCCTACACTTGTAACACTATTCACTGTCGTGATTTTAGTTAGAGTCCAATGCAATTTCTTCCTCAAAAACAAGGTTGTTACTGAGATTTCTCCAATGGACATTTGGTATACAAAGTAGAAGACCAATATCGTGACGATGTACGGTCTGGTGTTGTTTTCTCGCTTTTTGAAGCTTTCTTTTATTATGTCCTTGAGGTTTATGGTGTTGATCAGTTCTTTCATTGAGAAGGGCTGTAAAAAGTGAACAATTCTATGGGCGTTATGGAATAATTTTAGGTACAGATCGACGGTAATAGCAGAAGCAGCGACGCATTTTCTTAGCTATATCTGTCGATCTGTAGGTAAATGTACTTACTATTATATCTTTCCTAGATTCCGGTATGAAGAATATGGTGTATAGAAGACTTAGCACTAAAAAACTGGTGGCGATGATGTAAATCCATTCATAACTGGTGGCGTACAGTAAATAAGAAGAGCTAAGATTCCCCAAAATCGATGCCAAAGCAAAAAATGCTTCGAATATTGCAAGCCTAGAAACCAATAATGTGGTTTTTTATAGTAAGAAATTCGATTTCATTAATGAATTATTTGCAGCCTTATGCATTCGCAATAGCAAAATACCTAATCATCCTATTATTATCATCGGTAACATCAGTCAAGTAAGCCGAAATCACCATCAACAAGGTAGTGAATCCTCCCGTTAACGAAGACGGTATGTTACTGATTACAAACCACCAAGGCGAAACGTATTCGAAATGTATAATAAGGGTATTGATGAGCGTAGATAGCACGAAACCTACGATCGAAAAGCGTATCATCAAAACAGCCAGAGCACTTTTGGCAACAATTACCTGTTAAACACAAAATTAGGAAGGGCTTACGGCCGAATTTATCGGACCAAGTGCCGACGAACATGCAGAAAATGATGGGCGCCAAGTCGCTGAGCACGCTGTTCACCATGTTTATGTCGTTGACCGTGGGCTGGACTTTTGGCTCCAGAGCCTCGGTTAGAGGGTTATCTTTGTTGCCTAATTCACTGCAATTGTTCTTGTCATAGCCTAATATTATGTAGCACGCCCTGTATACGTAGAGGTTCGTCAATACGGCTCCTGGAAATTTCTCAAAAAAATTGGAATATGATGGTACATTTTGCTCAAACAAGAGAACTGTTTGAGTAACTTTTCTGATAGATTTTACCGAAAAATGAGGTTGTAATTACAAGATAGATATGGTTTTAGAGATATGAATTATTTTTTTTAATTAATATTTATGAATATGTGGCTTACCTTGCAATACAAAACAGTACGTACAAAACAGCAACGGAATTTCAACGGTAATGTACTTGTTCCAAGCCATTTTGATGAAAATTTCGATTACAAATTTCTATTGCTTCCTTCTGTTTAATATTTCATATGCTTATTATACATGTGGAAGTTATTTAATAATTAAATTCGAGGTATTATGTTTTTAATTTTCGATTATTAGGTAGGTACATAAAAAAGACAATCTAATCGTGTTTACTCATCTACGAATCAGATATATTATGTACAATTAAAATATTACAGATACTAATTTTAAGAGGCTATTGAATAAAATCACGTGTTAATTAGTAAACCGAGATTTATTATTTAAAATAGATACAATGTGCTTAATCTATGCTTGCTCAAATAATAATTTTATGATTACAAATATGATAATAAAGTAGTCGAGAAAGTACCTACTTATTATTTTTTCTGTTGATTCTTGTAAATAAATCATATTTTACATTTAATAATCAATTGTTTTATTTTATCTTATGATTTTTTTTCTTGGAAACAATTAATTTATTTACCCGATTTATATCGGAATGTCGAGTAGGTATACGTATCGATTTTTGTCGCAGTTCTGTTATCGAAATTTTATTAAAATTAGAAGGAGCACATTGGAGTCCTTGAATTTTTTGTTTTTCTCCGAGTTTCAATTACTTCAAAAACATCCTTACTCTACTGTGTACAAGAGAATTATCTTTATCAAACATCAACATAAATGGAAGAAAAATGAAAATACTACCAATTACAATAAGTGACCGCAACTTCAATTTGCATCGATCAACATCATCTTTTATTCAATTCAAACGAAACAATCAAACCATTCGTGCCAACTCGCCTTCAATATTCAAGAGGTTCCGCCTTGTTCGCTATCGAACATGAATTTCTCCGCGGATGTTTTAACCAACATAATCATCAACACCTACTTCTTGTCCACCCGGTGCATAATCATCTTCACCGACCGCCCGAGCGGCTTCAACCACGCTTTCCCGATACCGGTAGTCCAGATTAACGCGGAGAACTCCGACGTGCGCCCGGAAATCTTCCTCAACAGGTTCGGATGCCAGGGGATAGTCATCGATCACCGGCAGCCGCTCGCCGTTTTCCAGCGCTTCGAATGGGAAATCAGGCGCAGCTTGGAGCGCTTCAACCGCCGGAAATTCCTCGTTTCTTCCGGCGCGAAGAACGCGATGAGCGTATTCGATTCCGAGGAACTGAATTTCGTGGCGGATTTGGTGGTTGTGGAATCGGAGGAGGATTCGTGCAAGTTGTGGACCCATCGGTATGTCGGGGTGGATGGGAACTCGCAGAAGCGGCTGTTGGATGTTTGGTTCCCGAGGAATCGGTCTTTTTTGCGCGGGGCCGATTTGTATCCGAACAAGCTGGTAGATCAAATGGGTAGATCGTTGAAATTGGCGACTTTCCAGTACGAACCGTCCTCTGTTATTGGTAAAATATTATAGATAAAGATTTGTGAAATTGATAAAAATCGGTTTTGTAGATATCGAAAACCAAGTGTTTAAAGGCTCCGAATTATCGACAATGTGCGAATTTGCCAGGCACTTCAATATGACGCCCGGCTTGGTCATAAATTCGGAGGACTTTTGGGGATCGATTTACGAGAATTGGACGGGAAACGGTTTGATCGGGAATATTCTCTACGATAAAGCGGATTTTGGATTCGGTAAACTTACATTCAACGATCGTTCTAAATTTATATTACTCGATGCTGTTTATTTTTAGATGGTCTTTACGCATGGGAAGATCATTATCATTATTTAGATCTGTCGTCGCCGTTTATTCGTACTGGAATTACCTGCCTATGTCCAGCTCCTAGGTTAGTAGATGAAAAAGGATCAAGAAAACAAATTGTCTTTATTAATGCTACGATTATTAATTTTTCTTTATTACACAAACACACCATTTCAGATTGGCGGACGGCTGGTTAACACCAATTTATTCCTTTTCTAAAAAAATGTGGTGTTTCGTCGCATCCGCCTTTTTCTCCTCGATTTGCGCTCATTTTTTCCTCTTCTACGCGAAAACGAATGTTCTCGATTCAAGGTTTGTACGAAGTACTGCATATAAAACATCACAAAACCTAATTTTCTCGATCGATATCCAGTTCATCTAGTAGGAGACCGAGCGCCCCGACTTTACTCAGAAACTCCTCTCTGGCCGTTTTCAAGCTATTCGTGCTCCAAATCGTGAAGAAGGCCGAAATCCCGCCGGGTGCAGTCGGGACGCTCTTCATGGGAATCCTCTTCGTCTTCGGGCTGTTCCTGACGGCCTCCTACAGCAGCGGCTTGGCCTCCGTGATGACGATTCCCACCTACGAGGACGCCGTCGACACCGTGGATGAGATTATCGAGCACGGCATGCGGTGGATGGGAGAGCACGAGGTGTGGCTGAACTCCCTGGTGCACGCCGATCACGTGAGTTTCGCTGCTTAATTATGCATACAGGGCGGCCTAAGTGAAGGCGAATTGATTATTTATTTTAGCCGAAGTACAAAGCCCTGGTGGAGCTCTTCGTCGCGGTGCCTTCCGACGAGGAAATGATCGAGTATTCGAGGGCTTTGAAATACGCATTCGTTATTGAACGCCTGCCTAATCGTAAATGAGCTGATGAGAGTTATCGTTTTGGGCTTCTTGTATTTTTTTACAATTTAAATGCACTGTTAGATGATTTTTGTTTTTCTGAAAGAAGCACCTGTAATCAGTTTCGATAGAACCTGTTTTTTGTTTCACGTGAATTTAACAGCACTATGAGTTAATAGTACAAGAAAATTCCTGCATTAAAAAATTATTAGTTCAAATTTTCAGACAATTACGCCATCGAACCCTACATCAAACGAGACATAATAGAAAATTACGTGTTAATGAAGGACGATTTGTATTGGGAGCAATACGTGATAATGGGCCGGAAAAGTTCCATTTTATTACCGCAGCTGAACCAGTTCCTTTCTCGCACCTTCGAAGCAGGACTAATATCTTACTGGCAAAGCGAGGTAAGAGTAAGAACATATAGCAAGTTCACGTTAACATGACGATGACGTCACAATCTTGAAATATCGAATGAACTATATGGAATATTAATCACCTCGTACTCCGGTGCATATAGTATGTTCAATAATTTTCCTCATGACGTCACTTCTTCATATTAATGAAGAAGCATTGAATGTAGTTATTATTAGTAAATAATTGTATGATGTTCTAGGCAACATTGTTGTACATGGATTCGCACATCCAGAATGCTGTGAACCCGCACGTTCAAAAAAATCGGGAGTATATTGTAAAATTAAAATGGACGCACGTAGCCGGTACTTTTACTATACTAGGACTCGGCTATATTATCAGCACGATAATATTCCTCTTGGAACTCCTGATTAACCGTCTCTCAAAACGATCAAGAGCTCAGTTTCTCAATTAAACGCAGGTTATTTGTTCCTGTAGAGGTATCAAAACATTTCTAGAACTCTTGTAGGCTTATTTTTACTAATAATTATATAGAAAAAAATTGTAATGCACTCAATAATTGATGGTAGTTTCCTGGTAACACCGCACCTCTTTAACAAAGCTAAAGTTTATGATAAAGAAAATTGTTAAAGTCCCATCCAGTTGGGAATAACCGGGGATTGTCCTGCAATAAAAATTCAACGAGTTAATGGCGTTTGATTGATTTCCGCGCGATTCAATCGGAAACAAAACGATAGAGCAACGACGTAAGAACTTTATTAAGCTAAATAGAATGTGTATTAATAACAATAACTAGGTGAAAACGGGGGTGATTTGAGGTAAATACGGATCCGGATAATGTCGATCCGACGGATATACGCAAAAACTGCAGGGATAGTCTGAAAACAACAACGACACGCTGTTAAAAATATGTTTAGATGTTTTTTTAGAAGATCCTTTAACCAGTTAAAGCGTTTAGTGACGGCTGTTAGAGGACTACAGGAAGAGTGTTCGATGTGGAAGCGATCGAATCGCAGTCAGTGCGTGTAATCCCTGGATAATATACATTGTATAAGGTGTTTAAGTGTTAGAAATGTTTAATACGCTTACTTGCTGATAGTCACCTGTTATTTCCTTGTTAATGTTCGGTTTCTTTTTTCTTATTTCGAAGAGTTGCATAAGGAATTGATAACAAACAACGAATTTTTCTAAGTAAATTAAATAGATTTTAATAGTAGTGAAAAATTTGTTGTTTTTATCAAATTTTAAAATTCCCAATCTACCACCAGCCGAGGACAAGCCTTAATTAAAGAGAAGTGGGGAAAGCTCGAAAATCAAAAATTAGTTTATAATATACATGTATATTTTTCATATGTTATAAAATAAATATACGATCACCAAACAAAAATTGACTATAATATGAATCGATTAGTCAAGTGTAGATAATATGCAGCATTTTGGTTATTATTACAGAAACATAAAACCAATAAAACCCATAAAAACCTAAAAAATTAGTACAGTTGGGATAAAATAGCAATTTTTGTTTGGTAACAAACACGTATGTGATTCACATTTAACTTGGACGGAATCGTTTCAAATAAGTATTGCTAGAAAATTTTTATAAAAGATAAGTATTAGTAGCATAATAGTCGAGATTGATTCGATAAATATCTACTAAAATAGCTGACACAAAATTAAGTACTAACGCACATCATTAAAAATTCGAAAACAATCAAAATCGTATGATTAAGACACTATCAATAAACCAATTAATTAAAAATTTGACTAGTAAATATGTATATGAAGAAACACCACTTTAATAAAACAGTACAATTTAATAGAGACATCATATAACCATTTTAAAACATATAAGATTCATTTATTATGTATGCCAATAAAGCTTAATTATCTTTTTTTATCTCCATCGTCAAACATCACGAAAAATCGGATATTTTAATTTTATAATCGAATCGCCCGTACTAATAACGAATAAATTTCGCAAATTAATCCGATTAATTATGTTTTTTTTTTAAATGGTTATGTGTCTATCTGGGTTTCATTTAGAATACTTGCAAAAAGTGCCTCAAAATCGCATAAATTTCGTTATAAAATATCGTTTCAGGGTATTCGAATGTAAGTACAATTAAACAACCAAGAACCACAAAGTAACCCAAAGCATTGAGGTAATTATACAGATTGGTTCATTTTAGTTTGCAATATCGGTTATTGTAGGCTACGGGTGCGATAAAGACAACTTCCGTTAAACACTTATAAACTTTTCACTCTAACAACTGTTATTTTAATAATCTTTCTATATTTAACTCGTATTGCAAACTGAAATGCACCATAGGGTATACATACAACTGTCAGTCTTCGATAATAAGCAAGTGTAAAACAATCAACATGTACCACTAACTTATATCAGTAAGGTGAATTTAACATTTGTAATGATATCACAGGTGATACATTCGTGAGATATGTTATAATTTCCAGTGAAAAATGATCGTGTATCATAAATTAATGTTTAAATTTTAGTGAAACACGGGGTGCTAAAAAATATGCGCCACTATTTAAAGTTTCACTTGGCTTTTTAATCAATTTTATAAGGGTTTGTAATTTCTTAGGAGTGCATTTTTGATACATAATTTCTACATAAAAACAAGCCTACGTTTCCCAAAGAAACAAACCTATTCATTTCCTACAAATCCCGAATAAACCCCCATCATTCTCCCACAATTTGTGACAATTACATCTTTTAGAACCCCTTTTCCATCTACGATACACGATCCTATAATAGCATCACTGTATCCGACACCCGTCGCCGGATTGATCCGGCAATGAGAAGAACGATTTAAATGTCAACTTGCCTGGTGGTTTACAATGCAAGTGCTCTTCTACGTATTGGCATGGGCACGTCAAGCCTGAGCAGTGGCGTCCGCCCGAAGCCGGCGGGCTGGTCAGGTACCCCCTCACCCGATCCCTGCCCCACCTGGCGGCGTAGCGGAGATACAACAACGTGGCTCTTTCCTGTAAAAAAAACACAATAACCAAAAATTATTATACAGGATATGCTATACACAAGTTGATTCATTTTTTATTGCAATATAGGTTATGTAGGCTGTGCGATAAAGACACTTATAAACTAAAATGAAAGAGTGATATTGTGCCATACAAACTTTTCACTCTGACAGGTGTCATTTTAGTAATCTTTCTTTGTTCAACCCATATTGCAAGCTGAAATGAAGCAAGGTGTTTATGCTAAGAGTGCGATAAAGACAACTTCCATTAGTTTGCAACTATACGAAGTGACAGCTGTCATTTTAGTAATCTTTCTTTGTTCAACCCATAGAAATTACCATTATGCAAACTGAAATGAACCAAGGTATATGACAAGATGAACCATAAATTATATCAGTGATTCTTGGTATTTTCTCAAATTACCATAAAAATTACGGGATTGATAATTTGGATATTTAGATACTTGTAAGTTGGATTGAAATGATTAATATTCACCCCAAGAATCAATAGTGTAATTTATAACTTATCTTTTCGATACACCTCGTACAAATAAACCAAATTCGCTATGGAATTTCGTATCGATTTTAATATACAGGGTCGTTCCCGAAGTAAAGAAGTAGTTTAAAAGATAAATTAAGTAAAACAAGTAGATCCTGCATAATAAAATCAACCGATGAGAAATGTTAGGAACAGGTTATTCGTGAAGTTTCATTAGATAAATGCACATGTAATTATTGCCGGTACACTCATTACGCCTGCCACCTGATTTGTTTTCGTAATCGTTAATGCGCCATTAACCGATTTATTTTTAGCAACAATAGGAAAATTTTCAAGGTTTTATTTTCTGTAAATCGGAAACTACTGTAAATAATTTCGCATGATGAGGTTCATAAATGTTCATTGATATGGGTATGTTTGTTGTCGCATCGACATCGATATTGAAATTATCAGGAACAATAAATTACTAATGTTTGTTTGCTTATGTAAAGACTTTAACAAGTTTAATTTTGTTCATTTTTTAAATGTATAATGCTTGAATATTTGTATTAGAAATGTTGTTAGTTCGATGAATATTAGTCATTAGTGACAAAATTGGTTCGTTAAATACCATTACTGATACACAGATTGTTAAAATAAACAATTAATGAGTAGTGTTTCCACGCCCTATACCACAGAAATTGCTAACCCATTGGTAATTATAGTTATTGTTAAGGACACCCTGTATTCGAAGAACAAAAAAATCTATAAATTATTAAACGAATCGTTGAATTAATAAGCAATATTGCACTGTACATAACACATTAATGAAAAATTAATAACATGAGACCATATTCGTGTGTTTCGCTACCCCATCGCCCACGAATTGAAATATAAAACATTACTTTTTAGTAAATGCCCATGCCCAGCATAAATCTAGACCATAGAGGGCAGCAATCTCTGTGATTGCCCGCCCTCGGCGGCATGTTGGCAATCATTTCTTCCACATATTGACAGGGACATAATGCGGTAGATATGTGACGTGGATTGGAGGGATTCCCCGTCATTTCGTCTAACGTCCAATCTAGTCGTCTGCGCAAATAATCTTTGCCCCACTTCTGAGCGTTGCGCAGGAAAAGCGTCTCGCCTTGGCCCTAATGGTAAAAACAATTAAAACCAATTCGTTTCGTAACGGAGACCGAATTCAAATAGGAACATCTAAAAACGTTCGTCGAACGGAAATTCTATAATTATCTATATAAAAATTGTTGTTATACAGCGCGAATCATGGTCCATGGACGATTAATTGAAATTAAAGCGCATAAACTACGAGAAAAAATAATGAACAAAATTAACGTTTATTAATTGTTGTAAAGTAAAAAGTAGAGATGGTGGACGGTGCAAATTATAGGTGTAAGGAACCTTTTTGCACCGGGTTCCTTTAATGTATACTTGCGCTAAATTTAACATGGGTATTTTCAAAGAATTTATCAAAGATTCAAAGGGATTATAAACAATAATAAGAGGAAATACACACCTGTTTCCGAGATAACCTGGTTGTTCGGCTACCCTGTATAACGATATCCTGCACCGATATATCCATTCTTTGCTCCCAGCCGTTGTTGTGGTCTCTTTCTTGTTGGTCTATAGACGTTTGAATGTGCGCTATGCACGGCGCAGAATCCAAATACATGAAACACAGCGCCACCTTGTGACAACTAATCTTCCCTCTATCATCGAGAGTCAACAATATCTAAAATCAAACGAATTTTATTATAGAGAAATTGATTTATTTACGTATAGAATGCGTACTTTATGCCTTAGAAGATGCTTATTGACGTTGGCAAGGCATTTTTCCAAGTTCCTCTGCAGCCGGAATTTTATGTACATGGATAAAAATATGGCCCCGACGTTCAGTAACAGCCAACCTATACCTAAACCGAAGAGGGTGAGACCTTGCAAACCCGAAAAAAGTAACCCTAGCAAAACTAGAAACGATAACAGCAACCATAAAAACAACACGCGCTTATAACAGACATTGTATAAAGAAAATCTCACATCGTTGACTAAGAGCTCCATGGCTTGGACATATTCCTCCACTGTGAGCTGAAATAAAAAAAAATGTAAAATATTCCATTTCATAGCAAGAATTAAAGTATAAAAATAGACTTTAATCAACTATGTAACGTTAAAAACAATTTCTCTATTCGTGGAAATTTTGTCCTGTTCCATTAAACAATAGCTCGCAAATTTTTTTGATAACATTATTTAAAGTATTTCAAAATCAAACTTTGCACATAAAACGTTCGACAACAATGAGTCACATATCGCAGTTTGTAATTAAAAAAGTATTTAAATATTATCACAGCCTGACCCACTATTCGACAGATGCATAAATCGTTTATAATTTGCGACTGTTGAATTTCTTGCAATAAAACGATCATTTACGTTATTACTTTCTAAACCGATTTTGATAACGACTTTCGTCCGACTATTTAGAAATTCGTCATCCTAAATCAGACATTAAATTTCAAATTGTCTTAAATATTAATGAATGAATATTAAATGAGTTAATAATTACGGTAAGTCCTTGGGCCATGAGCTCCTCAGGCACTAGTTCTGGACGGAATTGTGCTGGAGTAATCCACGGAAATCTTGTATTTACCGGTAACAGAGTTACAATTATATCGCCATTCGCTAAAATAAAAATAAAATATTAATTAGATATCTAAGCTTGTTGGAGAATATGAAATTAATAAAAAATTGGTTCAATAGGTGTATGGGGAAGGACCTTATTTATGCCTTATGTAACTGAGTTTAAGGTAATTTGCCAAAGTTCCAGCGCTAGTAAATACAGTGTGACCTCATTTAAATCTAGTTCCTAGTTATATCCAGTTTCTTACTAGAAATTCATAAGTAGGATACATTTTAGGCACAATGTAAGTTTGTAAATAGTATAAATACTTTTTAATCTGCTTCATTTTTTGCTAGCTTAGCTCAAAATAACACTAATAATAATGTGTCATCACAAGTAGCACACATACTTATAGTTAGTTTACGTCTACCTTGTATAATTTGCATAAACTTATATTATATAAAGATAAAATATAATTGTGGTGCAAATAAGGTACTATAGATAAATGTTTAAGTTTAGGGTATTTCAATAAATACTTACAGAAACCTTGTCGAATGGGTTCGACAGTGGCTATGGGCAATTCGACATTCCGAAGCGGCTTGGGATCCAAAACAGCGACATTGTTGGGCCCCTCGGCGGGCCTGCTGAGGCTCCTTTCAACGTTCAATTGAACACTCTCGGTGTTTATGATGGCCGCAGCGTTGCGTTCCTCGTTTTGGTGCTGTTCCTCGTCGAATTTCACCCAATTTTGGGGCTTTTGGGGCGTCAGGTTCGCAGTGGAAGGCTGCGCCTCGACAGGCACGGTCGGTGGTGGATTTTTGGCAGTTTCTTCATCAGCCATGGTCGGAATTTTGCGGACGAATTGGATTATTTTACATTATTTGTTGGTTGAAATTATTTGGTGATGGTTTTTGGCTGTTCAATTTCCATTGCACGTATATTACACACCAAAGTCCGCAGTAGGACGGAACTAAAAGGAATTAATTAATAAATACACTACACTACACACACACACAGGTGGGTGGGTGGGAGAACAGGTGAGTTCAGGTGAATGGTAAAGAAAACATCAACTTTCAGTCAATGTAGACATCTGTTGAACAATAACAATATAATTGCATTTTAATTCTTTTTATATTATTTTCAGGCCACATGATAATCTATATTAATATACCCACACCTGCATTGCATATTTGTGGTTAATAATAAAACGTATTTGTAAATTTAAATTTTTTTCGCATCTCATTCAAGAAGTGTTTAGGTTTTTTGAATCATCTTTCATCTACCGGTGTTTAGATGGCGTTCTATTCTAAATTAAAAATTGTTTAATAAAATTTGATTTCTACGATTAAGTATCTAAAATTAAATATAAGGAACCCGTTGGATGTAAATATTTTTCAAATTCCTTGCAATAATTTGGTTTATAAACATTTTTGCGAATTTTAATGACACATGTCATATGACATCGTGTAATTGTCACAAAATTATTTAACTGAATAACCAAAGCAGAGGAGGCCTTATAAAAAGAAAGTTTATGTAATGTGAAAGTCTAGCGCTGCACAAATTTACAACGTGTTTATAAGAAGATAAATAAAGACAGACAAATTAATTAGAGTCGAGTATTACAGAATTCTTCAAATTCCAACTTGTTTAGAGTATTGTGTGTTGCCTACTGACCTATTTATGATGATAATAAACGTCAATTGAAAACGTCAAATATCACTATCAGAGTTCACTGAGTTCACATTAGAAATATACCTTTTATATTGATTTATTTTCATTATACGCAAATAACAACAGATTAACAACAATCCACTTAAAACAGAGTGAAACGCCGACTCTAATTAATAATGGCCAAATTAGCGTTCTAAATATAGTTAATCATCATCTAACATTTACGCTATACTTATGCAATGAAACTATTATTTTCAAATTATTTGCTGCAGCAAATAGGTTTCCATTTAAAATGAATTAAACGCCGAAGGTAAGCGATCACAATCGTGTAGACCGTTTAATCGTCCATTTAATTACCGTGCACCTTTCAGCGCAATATTTTTTTACACAAAATGGGTGGACAAGTCAGCCAAGTCTTCCAATCGGGTAGCGCCCTATTAACCACCGGGCACGGCCATAAAGTATCAAATTCAACGCGACAGAAGATCCAGACGATCTTCGACGCCCTTAGAGCAAATCCACGAATAGGGGTGCAAAGACTCGAAGGGCTTCTACAGCAAATTCCAAGAGTACGTACGAAAACTTCTTGTATATGCTCGATTTAATCTTCACTACACATCTATATACTTTACAGAATGAAAACATACTCTCAATACACGACGAAACTGGCTATAATCTGTTACAAAAGTGCGTGGGAGCCAATAATGTAGAGCTGGTTCGATGGCTGTTGGCTAGACAGAGCGCTGCTGATGTGAACAGGTCCCCTTGTAGTCTACCTCTACACATAGCTTGCTTAAAAGGGTATAATTCATCTAATTGTAGCTTAACGATTGTTAATTGTATGTTTTTTTAGACACGATGAATGCGTGGAACTGCTGTTGAAACACGGTGCGAAGGCCGATGTAGAAGCCAGAATGTGCTGGCCTGGACCTCACAGCAGTAACTGCGAAGAAAGCGGGAAATATTGTATAAACTATTACTCTGTTAACTGAAGGTTTGATTAATTTCGAATTGTTTGTAGCTTCGGTTATTCCACAGGAAGATAATTGCATGGAACGAGAGAATAGAGATCGATTGCCCAGTCCCAAGCTGCAATCGGCTGTTTTTTACGCTTTGGACGGGGATCAAGTTAATATTTTGACATTACTTTCGCAACGGAGCGAAAATCCTTGGGTGAATATTTTTTGTTAAAACTATCGCATTCTGTATACATAGGCCTTCTGAATGTTTTTAGAATGGAATTTTTCGTACGAGAAAACCCCTTTTACACTCGGCTTGCGAAAGAGGCGCTTGGAAATGCACAGAGTACCTCATAAAGGAACGATCAGAGGAAATACGCATTTTAAAAGACGAATATTATCCAATCCACTATGCAGTTTTGCACGATAGTAAATTCTTGAAACTTCTCATAGGTTAGTGAAACATGCAGGTTGCATATTAGCATTTAATCTGTAATTTTTGTACCTAGATCATGGAGCAGACACCACGGTTCGTACATGCACCCAGCAAATGACTTTACTGCACGTGGTGCTGTTGATTGCACACAAATCCGCTGAAGATACATTAGCAACTTTAAAATTGTTAGTAGATCACGGATGTAAAGAGTTAATCAATACGCCGGATAGTTTAGGGAACACCCCCTTACACGGGACTATAGTGAGGTGAGTTCTTCGATACTTCTACATATGAGGGTAACCGGTTAAATTTTCGTTTTATTTACCAACAGATACGCTTTAGAAGAAGCGCAGTACGGTTACGACAAATGGAATAAATGGGAAGTGCAGAATGTCGTTCGTCAATTGATTAAATTCGGTGCGAAAGAATCGATTAATCAAGTCGGTAATTCGGCATTGGCCTGCGTTTTGAGGCATGTACGAGATTGGGAGGCCTGTTACGAACTGCTCAAAGCGCTACTCATCGTAGGAGGTTAGTTAAATCCAGTGCATCGATTTATTATCATTGTTTTGGAGTATTAAAATGTGTTTATTGTACCACTAATAATTTTATTTTCAGGTGATCCGAACGTAGTAGGCAGAGATGGATCTGTACCATTGATGATTTGTCTAGTATCACTTATAAACAAGGATCCTATACACCATTTCACGCATACCATGAAAGTTAGTAGAAAGTTATGAACATCTTTATTTCGCATTGATTCACGCTACGATTTATTTCAGATGTTTTACATCAATTGCATCAAAATCCTGCTGGAGCACGGGGCGAATCCGAATTGCAGCTTCAGGGCCAACTTGACGCCGTTGCACGTGCTGATTTTCACCGTTTCCGAGAACATAACGATGAGCTGTAACATCCAAAAGAACATCAACTTCGAATTTATCAAAGACCTGCTGATATTGCTGTTGAACTACGGGCTGGATCCGAACGTCAGCGTCAGCAGAAAAACCGAACACATATTGCAGTCTTGCATGGATATGGTGCAAATTAGAGACGGAATGGGTATTCACTGCGTGTAAGGCACTTCGACAATACTGTAGGTGTTCGATTTTATGTAGAATTTTATTGTTTTAGGTACGATTTAACTCTCACGCTTATCCAATACGGGGCCAATCCTGACCTGAGCCTGAACATGTCGGAGACCATCAAGAATCACCCGTTGCATTCGCAGAGCGAATGGAAGACGAAAAACTACATTTTGTACTACTACGTCATGTTGATATCCAGAAAGGAGAAACTCATCACCGATCCTCACCCCACTTTCGCCAAAATCATCTGGCTGTTCTACTTCGTTATGCAACACAAGCCGCTTTTCGAATGCCTCAAGGTAAGCCAAATTGTTGCTAATATGCTAGTAAAAACATACAAATATAGCATCTTATTAACAACTAATAAACGGCAAATTTTTTATGTTATTAAAACGGTTTTTTTTGTGCAGATTTTACACACCCAACAACTGAGCCTGGTGCCCGGCAAAACGACTGAGCCTCTAACCGCCATCATCAGGGATCTGTATAAGCGGCCGCGCAGCTTGAAGCAAATATGCCGCGTTAAGATCCACAATTGCTTGAGGCGCAGGCCGGGGCTTTACGTGAACAAGCTGAATTTGCCGAATTCGCTGAAGGACTATCTGCTTAATTTCCAAGCGTAGAGTACGAATCCTGCGGAAAGAGGTCGGAAATATAATGCAATACGTTTGCGTGCAATATTAGAATGGATTATGTGCGACCTGGATCATTTGTGCACGGGTGTTTTTGGACTGGCGCGTCGAAATGTGGTATTTCTTACGATTTTTATTCGCAATTGGGTCAGAGATTGTACATGTGCTGGATGCAATGGAGAGGAGTACGACTTTTTTTTAATTTTTTTTATAAAACGTATTCTTATGAAGTCATTGGTGGCATTTTTAATTATCTTCGTTTCCTATTAAGGCCACAATGAATTTTTAAAGTTTGAGATACGTCACAAGTCATTAACCAATCACATTAAGAGGTAAAGTTCGTTTTTAGCGACGTTGTCAATTTGTGACTTATTAGTCAACTAATGATGCAATACAACAAAGCTCTCTTGTGATTGGTTAAGTACTTCAAACGTCACGGGTCAAAAATTTAAATTTAAAATTGCTATATTTTCTAAAATAAGATTTGGGTTCTAATGAGTTATATCTTTTCATATATTTGGCTAAAAAATCTCACATCGTACTTCCCTCCATAGCTGCATAATCTCTGACCGAAGCATTTTTATTTTCTGTATTTTTTTACGCTGATTAAATTCTATATTGCATTGATTGTATAAATAACATAGCTAACTAAAGAGACTGAAACATAATATAATATGCTTTGAGCGTTGAGCCAGGTGTATGAAGCTTAGCCGAATTTAGTTAAAAGCCCACTGTGTAAGAATTAATTACAGCTTATCCCGCGTTACTTGGCAATAATATTTTTTAAGTATGTTATTTTGATTTGTACGATTCCTTGAAAACGTGAGATCCTTTGTGCCTCAATCTCAACTCAACGATAATTTATCTCTAATATTGTTAGAAATCAATTTTGCGATTATAGTATACAAGTTACTATTGTATCGCGCTGATAACATTCCATATCAATGTAATTATCGCTAGAATGCGTCGTTTTTTTTAATAATTAATAGGTAGATTTGTATATACAGAATGCCCCATGACGAACTTAAGATATTCGCACATGTTGAGTTATTTGGAATATTTTGAGGGAAATTTGTTAGAGGACAGCCAATATTTTTTAGTTCTTCGTTAAACTCGAAAAACACGAATACACATTATACCATGAAGACGAATAATTTTTGTTTATTTTTTATATCATTTTTTAATAAAATTTTAATTCAATCACTCGAGGTGATGAGCAAACTCGTTTAGATCTGAGAAATACCAAATTATCCAATTACATTAAGTTGCATATGCAGTATTTTACTCAAACTCCTGAATACGATATCGAGGAACTTACTGTACATTATTTTCAAAATTTAAAGAAAATGTATAGTGTATATTATGTTAATATATTGTGAATATTGTTACGGAAAATTGGTATCCTATTTGAATAAAATATATTTATTATCAGTTGCGTCGTTTGCATTCCTTTTCTACCCGATTTATACGAGTTTATAAAGCGAACTTTATAGCTTCACATACCGGTTTCACCACTTTACCTCGCAAACCCGTCTTCGCGGGTTAAATAACCCAAGAATTTCTTCCAACAGGCGCGAATTGGCGCAGGAACTTGTCGGATAAAAGCGAAGAAAAATCTCTAAAATATCTACAAATTTCAACATTCAGACTACTTCAAAATTCCAGTTACTTAGCGAGATAATTTTTTGAAAATTCTACAAAAAATGTACACATATTACTCCACAGAAGTGAAAATTTCACTAACATAAATTAATGAAGAAAATAGATTCGAATTAGACCTAGGAACATGAGAAATATCCCTTCTCAGAATTTATATAATTTTCTTCTAAATCTCTATACATATTGATTTTTCGTGGTGTCCTAAATTCGAATTCCATCAGTTAGAATTAATTCTCCAAACGGTAGTATGCAGATGAGTTTAAAAGAATTTTTAATCCGTCGATAAAATTTCTGAGAAGTCTAAATGGATAAAATATTCATTAGATAAATCTTTATAGGTATATAATGTTATATTTTTAGTCCGGTGACTATTCGATTGGATTAGGGCCGTATTTTATGCTAGTTGAAATCTAAAAAACAATTCTTTAGTGAGTATAAATGGACCCTTAAGAAGAATTATCCTTATAAGGGATTCTTTTTGTAAGTCAGGCTCTATATACAACCTTAAAAGACATCAGAATTACCTTAAAGAAAACTCGAGAGAAACTCCAAAGAAACTATAACTTTATTTTGAAAACTATCAAATACTAGATAGAGTTATAAGAAATTTTAACGCGAAATACATAATAGGATAATCAGTGTTTATTACAAAAAAAATTTGATCATGACCGTACTAATTTGATCAATCTTATAGATTTGAAGAAGGCATTAATACAATAACGGTTTGATGGTAACCTTGACCTGTGAGGCGCTGCTTGTTTATGTATTTAACAGTGGCGGATATTTCTACAAAAAAATTCTACCTTTTTAAAAAAAATATCTTCAAAACCATTCACACCACAATGGTGGTAAAAATGCCCACCCCAAAAACAATAACTATCAACACCCTAAACATACACTTTCCTTCTACTCTCTACTTACCTCAAAACATTAAAAATTAATAAATTCCCGTCTCTAAACGGCCCTCATCCGCCTCTGCCGCTTGCAGTTCTTTCTTTGGCACCAGCATCTCCGTGGACCGGTTATCTAGAGGTCACCCAACTCAACTATTCACAACAAACACACAATCTCCGTATAAAACCCATCCGAAGACGCCATCGAGCTTCAGTTGTACTTCGTTTCAGTACCGGTCGCAATCATGATTCCCAGAGCCGCGATCCTGCTCGTATGCTCGCTGGCCGTCGGCCTGGACGCCGTCCCCGCCGGCTTCTACCAAAGGAACATCCCCGTGGAGGTCCTGTACGAAAACGACCAGGTCCTGGTGGTCCCGCGAGAGGTGCAGGCCAAGAGGAATTTGGACGCAAAGGTACAGTTGAACGGCGAGGAATTAGAGCTGGCTGGTCGGGCTCAGAACGTCCAGCAAGACGAGAACGATCAAGTTAGCAAGGTAGATGGGATATTCCGAGCGCTCTAATCAACGTCCTCGTGGAAGTTTGCTTGTATTGAAGCATTTGATGATGTTTTAGTTGACCGATGACGGAGCTGTTTCTCCTTTGAAAGACATACCTGTGGTGGTCGAGAGAGTAGAGGAACCCCAAGTTCAGATCGTCGAAGACGCGCCGGCGGTCAAATCTCTATTACCAGTCGAAGATGATGTCCAAGGGAAAGCGGCCATTAAACCTGCTCAAGCAAGTGGAATTCCCTTCCGCGACTATTCCGATAATAATTGAGTTAATCTTCCAGCAGGCCATAGACAAGGTGCTTCAAGAGAGCCACGAAATCATCAGGAGCGGCCTCAAAAACCTTCGGGAGTCCTTCAAACCGGGCAAAGACGAATTCAGCCCCAGTTCCGAGCAATGGGCGTCCTTAGAGAAAGCAGTCGACCACTACTTCGACGAGGAAAAGCAGAAGCTACTCAAGCAAACCCCGCCAGGTAAACCTCACAATCCCATATAGCAACAGTGTTTGAATTTTTGTATGTTCAGCTGGAGGAGTGGAAGCCGCAGCGCCCGCTGCACCTGCAGCACCGGCTGCACCCGAACAAGCTAACTGGATTCAAAATGTAGTAAACGGATTCAACGGAATCGCCTCTAACTTCGTCCAGAGCATTCAAAGTTTGGGAGGCCAAAACGCCGGGACCCCTCCGCAAGGAGAAGCCGCCGACGAGGGGGCTCCCCCGCCGCCGTCCAGCACCGGCTTCCAAGGTTTCATCCAGTTCTTCAACAACGGTAAATTTCTACATATTCCTATGGAATTACTGCAGTGGATGTTGTCCTCAAATGGCGGCTACTTTCGGGAACAACATCAACTCCATGTTTATTAGTTAATCTTGTTTTAAGGTATAAGCAATATCGTCAGTACTATCTCAGGAACGACTAACAACGGACCTACAACAGCGAATATTAATCTCAGCGACTCGGGAGTCACTCCTGCCCCATCAGGCCCGGTGGGTTTCTTCGGGGCTATCGTTACTAATGTCCAGAACGCCCTAGGTATTCAACAGCAACCTGCCCAGCCGCCAGCAGGTGCTCAAGGTACTTGATTTAGATATAACAATTTAAAAAAATAGAGTATTTCATTGCACATTTTTTAGGAGATACTGGAGTACCGATACAACAGCAACAAAACGGCCCCGTTCAAGTGATACAATCAGTCGGTAAGCCTCACCACCTTCTTATCAACAAAGCCTTTATTTAAAGCGTTAATTGTTAATTCAGGTAATGCTATATCGAACTTCTTCACTGGAGGCAACCAGAACAGACCGCCAAACGCTCCTGAAGATGAAGGCGCCAGTCCAGCCTCACCATCCAACACTAACATCATCCAGAATATTCAAAACGCCATCCAGAACAGTCCTTTGAATCCGTTCAGGCCGCAAGGAGGAGCGAACAATCCGAATCCAGTTCAAACTGGTAAGAACAAAATTAACCAGTTCAACGGTTAAGTCTCTATCATTACTGTTAATAAAAAAGTTACTGTATTAAGTAGTGTGGTGAGGTTATAGAATTTTTGGGTATTTAAGATTGCTGGTGATTTGAGTGTCTTTAATATTTTTAGTGATTCAAACGGTGGAGACCCAAGCGCAGCAAATAGCGCCTGCCCTACCGGCGGACGGTTCCAAAAAGCCAGTTGTAGAAGCAGTAGAACAGCCGGTACCGGCGGTCCAGGCGCAGCCGGAGAAACCGGTAAAAGAAAACGAGATATCGAAGACCCAAGGAAAGTCCCTCGTAGTTTGAGGAAAACGAAGCGAAACGAGCCGGACGAGAGAGAAACCCGTCCGCTCGTCGATAATTTAAATAATTTATTTTAGCGTGGATTTGATTAGGTTAATAATAAATCGATAAGTAGACTCGTCTCTATTTCCTTTGAAATTCCTGTAAACAATCGTCTAACACAAGCCAACCATCTCGCAGGTCGATGTTGGATCGTCCGCTACCGCTGCTATTTGTTCAGTAAGCATACTTTTCATGACCGACGGACAGAACATTGATACTGCTTTGGGAAGTACCGCGCATACCGACTTGCTCATGCCATCAACCGTCGACTGAAATCATTAATTAATTAATTAAATTCCCCAAACGATTCGATGGCACTCATGAGGTGTAGCATATTAGCATACTCTTGAGGTGAAAAAAGTATTCTACTCAACTGAATTCAGACTCTAAATTTTATGTGTTATCGATAGTGGGGTAATCTTGAACGTTATGTCTTATGTACGGTGCGACAAGAAAAGCTGGAGACGTCATAATGTGTTCTCGTCTCCAGCTATACCATTTGGTTTGTATTCGTGTGTACTTACATCGCTTAAAATATTATCTAGAATAAATTGGGCCGTGTATGACACTGCCGATTTGCAGTAATCGCATTGCGCTTGCACGAGATCCGTGTAGGTGGCTGAAAATCGCATTAAAGTTTTACATTTCTTATAATGTTATTTAAATGAGAAGATGGTAAAGTGGCATAACTCACCTAGAAAGATGCAAAAAATTAAAGCAAAAGTTGTGGATTTCATTTTTACGGGCGACGTTCGTTGAAATAAACCTTTTTAAAATTCGTGACTGCATTTAAATAGCGAGATACTTGCAATCAAATAGGATCAAATTAATTTATTGTACGAAATTAATCGACCATCGACCAGTAAATCGCCTATTAAATTAAATAATATATAAATTAATTTATCTCAAATAAAAGCTCAATAAATCCATTATTTCTACATAATTATAATAAATTGTTTATTTTCGGAACGAAGAAGAATTTGTCTACCGTGTAGCAATAAAATATATGTATAGAGATTTCTTTCTCTCGGGAGATCAAACTGATACTTTTGAGATGAGTTTACTGATGCAAATAAAAACCACAACACACCCTGTATATAAGGAACTCATAAGTGACACCCTGTATATTATAAGGGTTTTTATTTCGAATAAGGTATAAATGATCAATAATAAATAAGGTATAAAGATCAATTTAAAGTCAATGATGTTAACAAATCAAACGCAAGTCGCACAGAACAAAGAACAAAAAAATATATTCATTCGTTTTTATTTGCAGTAAAAATTTTCTACAGGTTGCAAGAGCAGATCTCCGAAGGATCATCCACTATTGCAAGTACATTATCCTTTAAAAAATTTTCGATCATCGGAGGACAATAGTGGGCTACTGCATGAGGAGTCAATGAACATGACAAATCGATTATGTCGCTTGTAATATCCTGCAATTAATAAATAGCAAAAAATTCGCTCGATTAATACCTAAGATAAATAAATTAGAAAATAAATATACAAATAAGTTAAAGTTGGGAAAACATTCCAGTCAATTGTTCCTTATTTTTTATTAATTTATAACCCGTACAAAGTGAATTCGAGTGCTTGTGATGATCTAGAATACTTTACCCAATTCTCTATATGTAAATCTAACTTACTTTTAGAAACTATTACTTATCAATATAAGTAAATACTCACGTTTTTTATAACATTATCATACACAAATTGTGCAAATAAAGAGAACCCTTTTCCGCAATATTCGCATGCAGAATTTGACGACAATGCGTGATAGCTGACTGAAAATTACATGAAATGCATCAAGTTATTTTTTCGGGTTTCATATACCATTTACATACCTATAAACGTGCTAAAAATTAACACAAATATTGTGGATTTCATGTTTATATTCTAACAAGAGATGAGCCTTTCGGAATGAAACTTGAAATCGTTAATTTTATTTAAATAGCGAAACCAAGCGAAGAAAATTGCTCCAAATTAGTCCATTCTCCGAAATTAATCGACCGGTAAATCTCATTTAAATTTAAATATTGAAATTATTTAGATTAATAATAGTTACTTTGGAACTACTTCAATAAATTTATTTAATAACATTTTGGATTTCGATAAGTGGGAGATGAGAATAATTTCTCCACCAATTTTTTGAATGTATTTGAAAACGCCAAAATTTGAAATAAAATAAAATTTGCTTTCATTATTTGATCCCATATTGAATTTTTACAGGTAATAAAAATAGGAGGTACAGATCATTTTGTCTTTCAGAAACTTTACAATAAACAAATGTCTCGGATTGTAGGAAATAACTCTTGAAACTTTTATATTTTTTAATTTTAAAATTTTTTGAAGCATATACAAGAATACTAAGGGGATTTCCTCGCTGCATTCGACTGGCATTGGAAAGACTATACCTGAAAAATTGGAGTTATTCCATTTAGCGAGAGTGTGGCAGCGCGGAATGTATTCGGTTACCGCTCGACCTGGGCCAAATAAATCTCCCGACTATTCCAAACTTTCAAAACTAGACTAGGTACGCAGTAACCCAAAACTAAACTTTTCCAAAATAAAAACGCGCCGCGTGGGAGGCGAGCCGCGCGCACCGGCGACTTTCCTCCAAGAATCCCGGCCGAAAATCGGAAAATCGGGCAGTCGCCGCCGGACTCGCAGAGTTTTACAGTGCTCCCGGACCTCTTTTGACACCCGTTTGTAAGTTATTCCTGTAGATATTTTATTATTTTCACACAAACGCGCTCCGTTCGCGCGCTCGAATTATTTTTGGATGTCTCTGCTACTATTTTACACCATGTATTATGTTACATAACTGGGTTTGGTTAGGTATTTCAGGATATTTCGAAATTAGGCCCAGATTTTTTACACAGAATTGCGTTTGGATAATTTACAGGAAAGTAATGTTTTCATGAGACAAAAATTGTAAAGGCGCTACATCAGGGATAAAATGTGGATGCAATTTTTTCTTTTGAAATTGTGGAAATTTAAATATGGAAATTTCTTTAAAATGAACTTTCTAATTGCATTTTATCAATACAAGAAGAGAAAATATGCTCAATTAATAGTAAATGTGTAGCGTTTCCAAAAGTAATTCGATATCGTTTCAAAATCTCCTGTAGTATAGTTGTTATAACATGTCTAGTTGACTCTAGAAAGACTATAATACCATTATTTCACTCTATGCGTGTAATTGACTCTACAAATACTATATATAGTACCCATTAATTTACCCTATAGCTTGTGCTAGATTCTTTTATCTAAGGCCATTGCATGTTGTAGACCTCAAATCAGAAATACTTCGAGATTTATGTTAAAATAACGTTGCTATAGATACAGATTAATTTGACGTTGACAGTTGCCATTTATTTTTAACTTAATCGCCCTTACTATTATCCAAATATTTTTATTCAATAATCTGGGAGATTACGTCAAAATTTTCGCAATACACAAAAATGTGATAACTATTTCTCAATTAACGAAAATAGAAATAGCCTAACAATACATTTAACATACCATCTTAGCTATTAATAGACAAATATTTTGTAAAAAGATCATAAATAGATAGTTTTTTTTAAACAAGTTTTTGCCTAACTATAATCCAACAAAATTTTCTCAAGAGATTCTAAATTGTTTATAGCTATTACACGCGAGTTACATAATCTTCAAACACCAACTAAATGTTTATAATTAAGAAGAAATACCTACGAAATTATTTTCGTGGCATTTAACGTGTTAAATATCGTAAAAAGCGAGTTTAATCTGGCCGCGTAATTTCGCAAAAACGAAACTGTAACATCGAATCCGTTCGATATTAAATCGACAAACTAAATCCTACGAGTCCCGGTTATTTTTAGTCCGGTAGAAAATAACCGATTGCGTCCCAGAAATAAACTCCTCTCGGGACGCTGCCAAATACAGTCCGATCCGTCAAGAAAATCGAAAAACGCCGACCGATGGTGTAATATTCAATTTCCATTCTAATAAATACTTTTTTTTTAACGTCGCCTGTGACGCGACTTTTATTTTACAGCCATGTGCATTTTTTATATACCTATCCGTTTTATAAAAATACTAATAGTTTTTCGAAAATATGGGGTGTTCATAAGTAACATTAGTATTTATTGCATTTAATTGGGTACTAATTATTTGGGCCTTTTTAATTACTTTGATTTTTATTGGAAAATAAATTTGATCAATAATTAAAATAACTCAAACACTTGGATTTACGAAATTTTTTATTATTCTACTCCAAGGGTTTTAGAGAAAGATCTCTTCCAAATGAAATATACCACTTGACAAAACCTTTAATAATTTATGAATTAAGTGGAAAATCTTAGGATTCTACTATCCTTTTAAATACACTTATGAAGAAAGACTTATTAAAATCTTATGCTGATTAGTTTTAAGCCCGTTTTGTTTACAATGGACACTCTAAAAAAAGAGCTATTGACTATTCCTCGGCCAAAAACTATTAATAGCTTAAAATTAGCTGAAACAATATATGAATATAAATATAATTCAGTATAATATGACCATTCTAAGTTACAAATTCAACCCGATTCTCAATCTCTAGTTAATTTTCTTTTTTCGAAGATTATTAATATTAATTACAATTGTTTCAGGACAATTAGCCTTCATTAAACATGTCCGACGAGGAGGAAGTTTATTCGTAAGTTGCATTAAAGTTTTAAAAAACTGCTTGAGGAGCTTAAAAGCAATCACACAATTACACACACCCCCTTTTTAATTTTATTTATTTTATTTGTTTTTTTTTTATTTTTTTTGTATTTTTTGTTTGTGTCCATTTTTTATTTTCCACAAATTCGAGCTTTTGGCTAGAGAGTCGCGAAAAATCATACACTATATGTTTGTATTAATACCCGTTTTATTCCGAATACCTTAGTGAAGAAGAGGAGGAGGAGGAAGAAGTCGTTGAAACGTAAGTAAAGTCCTCGTTTAAAGTGAAACTAGCAGAATTTCAGTACATTTGCAGTAAAAACGTAGACATAAATGTATACCGTCTTCACGCTTGTAAATGTAGTTTAATTGAGCATTTTAGTTACAGTGTAGTTCTATAACGCAGAAGCTACAGATAAATTGGCAGACTTTTAGATATCTATAGACCGATATGAATAGCTGTAGACGCGCGATAACGATGCGCTTTGAGTGCCGCGCGGGTATCGTCTGTAGCTATTCTCTAAGGACTGTAGGTACTCGAGATCAAGGAAAAGAAAATTCTTCTTTAAATCGATTACAGAAAAACGATTGATAGAACTGCACAAAGTATTTCGTTCACGTAGTCTCTGGTTTTTAATACTTTGTGTTTTTATTTTACAGAAAAACGTAAGTTTTTCAACCTATGTTCTCCAAATAGTTACGTCTGGTAGAATCGTATGTGTAGATATTAGTAGAATAGTTTATTTATCACGTTTTAACTTAGATTAGTTTTTTTCTTTGTTCTCACCTTATATGTTATTTTTTTTTCGTACGAATTCGTTTTGTATTGTTCACATTTTCATTTCGATTTTTCTCCTTTTTTTTCCAACGCAAACCTCACCCCCCGCCCTTTGTGATGTTACTATAGGACAACCACCACTACTACCAAAGTCGAGTAAGTTTTCTTTTTGTAAAAAAATGCATTAGCAGACGCATCGCTTCGCAGGTGACTAATTTTATATCAATATCAAAGAAATGGGAATTATGCATTGGTGCAAATAGTACATAGAATAAATGCTGGTGCATTAAATATTGCACTAAGTGCATTAAATGTTGCACCCGGTGCATAATCCATCTCTAAGTACAAAATGACGATGCTTTTAGGCTTTATTGTTATATTTTTTTCTCCAATAATAGCTTTTTGTATATTTTTGTGCCACTTGTTTAATCGCTGAAATTATTTATATCTTCATACTAAAATTAAAATATTATTTCTTTTACAATGTCTTATGTAACTTTTCCAGCGGCAATAACTTTTGTGATATTTTTTGATACTTTTCTATCAAAGCTTCGTGGAAATTTTCTGCGCTTTAGCAATAATATTTTAGGTAAAGGTCTTCTAGGTTCTAGGGGCTTCCCAAATAATTATACAAATCATTCTCCTTGGATTAGTTCAAAAATACCATACAGGTTTAACTACAAGTTATTGCCAAAATTTCAAGCCAAATGCACCAAACCTAGAACCTAAACCTTTCGCTTCTCCCCGATTACTAACGAGTATTTCCGACTGCGCAGGGAAGGAGCCGGAGATCCGGAATTCATCAAGCGCCAGGACCAGAAGAGGTCCGATCTAGATGAACAGCTGCGCGAGTACATCTCCGAATGGCGCAAGCAACGCGCCAAGGAGGAGGAGGACCTCAAGAAACTGAAGGAGAAGCAGGCCAAGCGCAAGATCGCGCGCGCCGACGAGGAGAGGAAAATGGCCGAGCGCAAGAAGGCCGAAGAAGGTCAGGACCAAAAAAAATCCATTCGTCCGGTTTTAACTCTAACGAAATCGTTGTTTCGCAGAGCGTCGCGTCCGCGAGATCGAAGAGAAGAAACAGAGGGACATCGAAGAGAAGAGACAGCGTCTCGAGGAAGCCGAAAAGAAACGCCAAGCGATGATGCAAGCGCTCAAGGACCAAAACAAAAACAAAGGGCCCAACTTCACCATCACCAAACGGGACCCTGGCGTAAGTACCAGCATCTACGATTACTTTTTTGGGTAATTAACGGATGCGTTTTGTCCAGTCCAATTTGTCCGCCGCCCAGTTGGAGAGGAACAAGACCAAAGAGCAGCTGGAGGAGGAGAAGAAGATCTCCCTTTCCATCCGCATCAAGCCTTTGATGCTCGACGGTTTGAGCGTGGACAAGCTGCGCGAGCGCGCCCAGGAACTCTGGGACTGCATCGTCAAATTGGAAACGGAAAAGTACGATTTGGAAGAAAGGCAGAAACGCCAAGACTACGATGTAAGTTTTATCGAATCAATGGGAATTCGCACGATTCTTATTCTCATGTGTTTTAGCTGAAAGAGTTGAAGGAAAGACAGAAACAACAACTGAGACATAAGGCGCTGAAGAAGGGTCTCGATCCCGAAGCGCTTACTGGAAAATACCCGGTATGTGATGCTCGTTTCTGCAATTACTGGCATTTATACTGACTCGATGTTGGTTCTGTTACAGCCTAAAATTCAAGTAGCCTCTAAATACGAACGTCGTGTGGACACTAGGTCGTACACAGACAAGAAACACCTGTTCGAAGGGGTAAGTTGAGCTATTTTTTTAATTTTTCAATCGACTACAATTAATATATTAAGTAAAAATTATAACAAGTTATTTCACTAAAGTGTGATCAAGTTAATCGAGCGATTAAGTCACGAATACAGTGTATTTGTTTTATTTAATAGTGTGATGTCATCACTAGATAAACTTGAACGTACTATACATACAAATTGGACAAGTACAGAAGCTTTGTGCTGGGTGGGAAAAAAGTATGTTCTGGGCATTTTCCTCTATACAGGGTGACACCTTTTTTTTGAGTCACAGGGAAAACTTTTGAGTAATTCTCTCTAAAGCGAGATTGCTGAAAAAGCAGATATCTGATACTAATTCACAAAAACAATTTACAATTCTTCAAAGTGCACGAATACGGTTTGTAATAAACTAAAAATGTGCAATTGCTTATTTTATCAATTTTTGTGTCAGGGCTTTGACATGCTCACCATGGAAACAATGGAAAAGGTGTGGAAACAAAGAATCGAAGAATTTATGAATAGACCACGTGGTACGTTTCGAATGAAAAATGTCCACAGTCAGTGTCCAGAAAATATGTGTGTGTGTTTTTTTTTCATTGTCTTATTGTCCCGCCTTAGTTTTTTTTGTCACGAGTTTTAAGTGAGTTTTCTAATGCCTCGAATATACAGGGGTTGTTTGTATAACAGCACCTATTTATACATGAGAACAGCTTAACAGTACATTTTGTGAAAATTTTGCAAGCTCATACCATAAGAGATACTCTTCAATATATTCACAAAACGTACCATCAAGATCTTAAATGTACCTCGTATAAAAATACTTGCCGTTATAAAGGATGTCCCTGTATATTGTTATATAGTAACGATAAAAAAGATACAAGAACTCTTAGGTAAATTAAAGCGGAACATTGGCAGGTCAAATAAAAAGAAAATTCCTTTGAATTGTGTAGATAATTGCACTGGGGAAAATTCGAATAGGGAGAAAATAACTTATTTCATATTGTATTAGTTGCTATATAAAAATAAGGTGTTCGTAAGTCATATGTGTTGTTCAGTTTTGTTTGAAAGCGTTTTCTTTTTTGTTGTTTAACAGGGCTATGAGGATATCATTAAAGATCTCAATGAGAAATCTTGGAAAGAAAAATACGGACAATTTGATACCAGACAGAAAAGTAATTCTTAGCATACAATGTATATACACGCTAATGCTTCTTTAGGCTCGAATTTTACTAATAATCTCCAATATCTCTAAATCCCAAAAATACATTTGGTGTAACAAAAAAAAAACTCGTAATAAGCTCGCTAAATTATCGAATAACAATCCTATTTTTATCCCTTGTAGCATCCAAACGAATCAATAAAACAACTCTTTGGGATTGGCTTAAAAATCCTAATTAACCCCAAGCTTAAAACAGCAAAGTAGATAGCAGCAAAATAAATACAGTTAAACCATCATAAAACTGCATGTTAATTGCAAACATTCGACTCATTTCTCAAAACACCAACGCCTCTGTATCTGCAGTTTTCGCTCGTCTTTCCACCGCTCTTTCGGCATATCAAATTAATCGAATTGTTTGTCCCCTCAGCTAGACTTCCCAAGTGGTTCGGCGAGAGACCTGGCAAGAAACCGGGAGATCCCGAAACGCCCGAAGGCGAGGAGGAAGGCAAACAGGCCGCCGATGACGACGACGACCTTAAAGAACCCGTGATCGAGCCCGAGCCCGAAGAGGAAGAGGAGGAAGAAGAAGTCGAGGTCGACGAAGAGGAAGAAGACGACGAGGAAGAAGAAGAGGAATAAATGCCAAAAATCATGAAAGGTACATTTGTAAAGGCTATTTTTAATTATATATTTATTAATAGTTTGTGTTAATTTTTTGTAGATCTTGCCTGAATATAACATCACATAACATCAAATTCTCAAATATAACTAAAATAAATAAATACTGCTAGATAGTTTGTTTTTTTTTTGATGATCCAACACCTTGATGAATAAAATTAAATTGAATTTGTAACCTTTTCTGATTTTTTGTTTATATGTTAGCTGTAAGATAAAATAAATTATTTGAATATTTATCAGAATGTTTTAATGTATTCCAAAATGTTGGGACACCCTGTTTAAATGTACATGATTTTTAAATCAATACTCTGCTCTACTCTACTTTACTCTAATTTACTCTTCTCTGCTGTATAAACCAAAGAATGAATGATATTTTGCCTATGATGTAAAATAAACTTTTAAATATTCGGATAAAAAAATCATTATGACATGAATGTCAAAGTCACTTGTCAAAGTTTTTCAGCGCCTCTACAATTTTTGTTTCAGCTACTTCCGCCTTTTTAATTTCGAATTTGAAATGGTCAAGTCGGAATTCTCCGTTAGTTCAAGTATAAATTTGATTGAATTCAATGATTTCATCAAATTTTTTAACAAGTAAGTTTTAATAGTGTTTTTATATTTGCGGGTAGTTTATATGGCATTGTTAACGTACTCTTTTGATTATATGAAGTATAAATTTTAAAGTATTTTGTGACAATTATTATCAAGATGGCGTTCCTCGTGTAACAATGTAGTTAACAATTTTTTCTTAAACTTTCAATGATCATGTAACATTTCAGAATAATAACAGAAGTGCCATTTTGGCCAGAACACGGCCAAACAGTACAAAAATATTTTCTTTCAAACGGGGTTATTAATGTAAATTTTAATAGAATTTATGTTTTAATTATGCCCCCTTGTATTTAATATAATTATGTAATAATTTATTTTAACAATTTAAGACCTCTATAGGTAAACAATTTTTTTTTTATTTTGGGGACATAGCCCCCTTTCCGAGCGTCCAACGAGCCTGTTTACAACACTTACAGTAATTGAAAAAATCATAGTGGAAATAAAATTTTATTTGCTTATCTACAATAAAAAACGTCATGACTTTTTACCATCAAAAGGGGGCCACGACAGGCTGATTTCCGTGTGTGCGGACTCCGGAAGCCACTTCAAATATTCTTTCAACAGAACTGAAACCAAACCATACATTTCCACTAAATTCATTGCAACATAAAAATATTCACTTACATTGTGGATTTTCCTTCCAAACGTCCTCTAATTTGTGCCTTGTGCAACACTCTTTACTTAAGAGTGTCTTCAACAATACCTCCGTACGCGGTTGCAGTTTAGCCCAGGTTTTGATCATTATATTCGGTTGGCTCAGCAAATTTTTCGCGTATTTTTCCAATTTAGGAAACACTTTACCTTCTAATAAAAACCTGGCAAACCATTTGTAGTTTTCCACGGACGCTGGAAAAGCTATTTCTATGTTGGGCAAAGGCCAAGCTTGGCTCCCAAATGTACCCGAAACCGTACAATGCACTTTACCTAAAGAAATTAACACAAAAATAACTTACACTGTTTATTCTTCTCAGAAATGCAGGGACGTACCTGTATTAGGATTGTACCTGGGCTCAGGACTCATCATGGGCTCGGATAAATTGCACAATCCCGGTACATAAGTAGCTAACCATTCCGGTTCCACTGCCGTCACTCCCCTCATGTACATTCTGTTAGTTTCGTATATTTCCTGATACACGACGTATTCCGGTAAAGTTTTCTTCAACACCGATCCTTGGTGCAAGAATACAGGCTCCTCCATGTTATTAGCAGTATAGGCGTATTTAAATTTGGCCTTGTCTTCTCCCTCTTTAACCTACAACCAATTTTCATGGTATACTCCAATTTATAATGGAAAAAAATCGTTATTTACTTCGTCCGGTTGAATCTTCTTAGCCACTTGATCGCCCATCCCAGCGAGCAATATCTGCCTCAGCAGCTTCGCCTGCAAATCTTCGGGAGGTTTCAGCTTCGGGTCTACGACCACGCTGGCATCCGGCACGTTTTTCTTGATCTCGCCGGTCAATTGTATTCGCAACTTTCTGATTTCGGTGATGGCCTTGTGCCTCAGGCCGTTCTCCGAGCAAAATACCTCCAATTTACCTTCGCTGTGGGCGTATTCTGCCGCTCCAACGGCTCTGAGCAACACCATATTGTCGCCTAGAAGGAGCGAGTTGCCCCGACCGGCCCATTGTAATCTCGTAGAAAACCACCTCTGGCGAGTTTCCTTCCTTTCTTCCAGGGATATTTGCCCGATAGGAACCTAAAATAACGGTTAATTAAGCGGTTATTTGGTAACCAAGCAAAAGGACTTACTTCCAACAACACCTCCTGTACCGAAAGAGCTGCTATCATACAAATCGTATAAGGCAGCAAATCCTGTTGGTGGCTGAGAGCCAGCATTTTTCCATATCTCGGTAAAACTGGAAATTTGGATATGGCCCTGCCTAGAGCCGTCACTTGGCCTTTGTTATTGAGCGCTCCCAGCGTTTCGAGCCTCGTTTGGGCCGATTTGAGCTGCATCAAATCCGGCGCTGTGGGGAAAGGAAAATTGACTATTTTGTCTATGTTCATGCATTTCATTTGCAAGTAAAGGTCGTCGACTGGCTTCTGGCGGATTTCCGGGATCGAATAGTCTTGAAATTCGTCGTTGAACACCGCGCTGGAGTACAACCTAGAAGTACAAATGTATAAGAAAAACGAAATATTAAGAAGAGTAATTCAGATGTTACATTGAACATAAATTTGTGACATGCTATACAATGAATATTCAGTGTACAGCAGGAATAAGAAGTGATTAATAAGCACCTGTAGCAATGGCCTGGGCCTAATCTTCCGGCTCTACCGGCTCGTTGATTCGCCGAAGCTTTACTCGTCCAATTCACCACGTAACTAGTGACTCCGGTAACTTTATCGTAAAGTTTAACTTTTGTTTTACCGGTATCGACGACGTATTTTATGTTGGGTATGGTTAATGAAGTCTCAGCCACGTTAGTGCTCACTACGCACAATCTACAACCTGAAAGATTAGCCAGAATTAGACGGTTTTTTAATGGAAGTTTCGGCAAAAGCTACCCGGTGGTGGATCTTCGAAGACTTTTTGTTGTTTAAAAGAGGGTAGAAGTGAATACAGAGGAAGAGTCCACAACGGCTGGGCGTTGGTGATTGTCGTGACATCTGTTTCATCGTCTTCGATGTCTGATAAATCCTCGTCTGATGCTATTCCACTATCGCCCGGTATGCTGTAATCGTCGAGATTGATTTCCGGGATGATTTTAATCTTTTTTTTCGACGTCAAAGCCTTTTTTAAACCTGTAATTAACCCATCAAAGCAGTTCATTTTATATTCTACTGTAAAAATCTATTCACCTCTTTCGATACCCTCATCGTTACTATCTTCTTCGTTTTCATCTTTCTTGTGTATCAAATCTTTATTTTTCTTCAATATATTCTTCTTGTGTCTTAAAGGAAAGGCTTTTCGTAATTTTCTCACCAAAGAAATTACTTCTTGTTGACCGGTCACAAAAACCAAAACACCGCCTTCTGGTAGCTGCGTGTTAATCTTGACTATCTTATTAAAGGCCTCTTTTAGATAATTCTCGTTGGTTCTCTTGTTGAAATGAATGGTCACGGGAAACTGCCTGGTTTCGACTTTAATAACGGGCGGAGGCGCCTTAAAAAGCCTCAGATTCTGAGTGAAGTCCTCTAATCGAAGTGTCGCAGACATTATCACCAATTTCAAAGGGTTGCCTTTTTTATTTCGCAGAGGAACGATTCGAGACAGTAAACCGATCAATATATCCGTGTAAACCGATCTAAAACATACCAATTACTATACGTACGGAATATTAACCAATTAATTCACCTTTCGTGGGCTTCATCTAATATAACAACGGAATATTTAGATAGCAAAAAGTCCGTTTGGATCTCCTTCAGCAACACTCCGTCCGTCATGAACTTGATTTTCGTGTCATCGGTAACATTTCCCTCGAATCTTATGAGATAACTGACCTCTTTGGTGCTCAAGTTCATTTCTTTGGCTACTCGTTGGGACATGGAGATAGCAGCCACTCTTCTGGGCTCTGTTACAGCAATCTGGTGTTTTAATGCGTACCCCGCCTCGTAAAGAAATTGAGGAACCTACAAGAATAAGTAAATTAAAAAGTCGATCGGGTGTATTAATGAGTTTGTGACCTGTGTGGTTTTACCGCTGCCAGTTTCTCCGGCTAATACGATGATTGAATTTTCGTTAATGACTTCCATGATTTGTTGTTCTTCGGCTAGTATGGGAAGTTTGAGTCTCGCGATTTGTATTTCTTTACTACGGATTACGTCAACATACACAGCGGGTTTTCTAGGCAAGGATACTTTCTTCGATTCATCTTCTTTGATTTCTATGGGTTTTTGCTTGGGTTCTGGAACAACTGTGATGTCATTGTTTAATTCTTCACAAGCAGTTTCCTTTTCCTCTATTTCTATTTCTACTTTATTAGGCTCGATTTCATTGTCCAATTCGTTTTCTGAGTTACTAGTGTCTGAATGGCTGCTGTCGCTTTCGAACCCTACTACGTTTGGGTTGTCTGGGTGAGTTTCGTTTTGTAATAATTTCCTCCGTTTCGATCCGGATATTGAGTTGACTGTTACCTTATCGTCAGAAACTTTTGTTTTGTTTTTGGTTTTTATTTTTTCGGGATTCGTTTCTTCCAGAAAATGCCTTTTTAAACCCTTAGTTTGTATAGATGCAATTGAAGTTAATTGGGAGAGTTCTTCCTGGGATGCCTGGACCTTCTGAAGGGACTCTAATAGGTTGGCTCTCTAGAAAATTTGTAAAATGAGATTAGTTGTTAATAAGAATAAAGAAATACTTGCATTTTCCTTTTTTTTCTTTTTCTCGACGACTTTTTCCAATCGTTTTCTCTGCTTCTTCGATAGTATTCTTGTTATGGCGGGTTTGTTGGTTTTAATTTTGGTTTTTCGCTTCTTGGATGGTAAAGCAAACTCATTGCTTTGGTCATATTTATCGGAAGATTGGATGTTCACTTCAATCTAAAAATGCAGTGAAACCATATTAAATTGTATTGGAATTTTATGGTTTATTTACCCGCTTTGTTTCGGAATTATCTATTATTGTGTCTACGACCTGCCTCGACTTCCAGTTATGACGCTTTTTTGCCATTGCTAAATTGTTTTAAATGTTAGAATATTTAATAAATAATATGGTACTAAATATTTTACTTTTTAAGTTCCAATGCCTCCGTTAGTTGGAATAAGGTTATGTTATTTATTTTTAAGGTTATGTTTATTTTTATCAAATGTCATGTGTCACCTCCACATGTTCTTCAGTTTCTTCGTTTTTAATATATTACAAATATGTATGTAATAAACAGCCAACATAGAATTCATAAGAAAGTCTAAAAAATCTACTTTTTCCTATAATTAAAAAAAATAGGGCATTCTTCAAATTATCAAAGAAAATTTGCGAGTCATTCTAATTTAAAAATATTTTTTATAACATAATTTATAAAAATTTACAAGCGAAGAAAACGGGATTTTCAGTATTATTTTTAATAAAATTATCATTATCTTATTAAAATAACTAGATAAAAATTATTATTTTTATTAGTTTTAGGTGCAAATAATAGGTGTATCTTCATGTTTTAATTAAGTTCAAAATGTCCATGAGGATAAGAAAAAACAACCGATTATTTATTGCTTATAAAACAAATACATTTATTTATAATGTAAATTAATTGTAATTTAAAAGATAAAACAGCTATCCTTACGATCTATAAATATAGGTATTTCTGAAAAAAAATACAATTAAAAACCTTTAATAAATTAATGAATTATTGAACAGCTTACATCATAATGCCAATTATGTAACTAATGTGGATTTGGTTTTCAATGCTAAAAAACAAATTTAAAATCAAATACACTAAAATATATCTAAATAAAGAAAAATTTGAAAATAATCCCTCAATATTAATATCGGTGATTAATAATTTCAAATATCGTTCTACTTACTTAGATTAGAAATAAGAACTACCAACAGCAGCAGCAGCTTGCTCGTGTTCAATCAAATCCCGTTTCCTGCGGTCAAAAATGTCGTATCTCATCTGCAAAAAATTACAAAAAAAAAATAGAATTACAGGCAAATATAAATCCTATTTCAACACCTTAAAAAATCCCACCAATTCAGCATCTTATATTAAAGGACACGCTGAGTACCCTGAACACCCTGATTAAGAATTTTCTATTATCGAATAGATTATAATTATAAAACTTACGGCCGGATCTGCTTTGATCGGCTTCCTTTTAGTGGTAGAATGTTTGCTGCTCTCAGTCGTCGGGACCACCGAGACGACGTCCTGGACGAGGACGGCGACGACGACGAGGAATATCAACAAGCCCAACTTCATTTTCGATTCGATATGTCTTTCCGTTAGCGAGACAATCGTGCGAATACGACGAGAAAAAGACGATTCTTTTTATTTATATACCTACAGCCGGCTTATATCGTATATTTTAACGCGTTTGTATTCTAGTTATCTTCGGTGCAATGTTGTTCGATAGTAGAGGTCAATTGAAATAACAAACATCTTCGTTTCTGATGTTTGATTGTGTATTTACATTCGTAATTCGTACATTATTTTGCACTGATGTTCTACATGATTATCAAAGGATAAATGGGGATAAACAATATTACATTTGTTAAGATTTTTCTATTCATTTTTACTAACCATTTAAAATTAGATTTGAATGATTGGCGAGTTCGATCAGTCTGTGTTGTTAATTAAACCAAGTAAATTTCAGTTTTTCCCACAATTGATCATTACAAAATTGACATTTTATATCTAACGATTTGCCCACATGATTGCAAAATATTTATCTGTAGATTTTTTAAATTGTTATTATCTATTGATTGATTGATTGATTTTATTCATGATGATTGAGCAGTTTTTAAGACAACAAATTCCCGCGATTACTATTAAAACCACCAACGCGGCGATAGTGATTGATTTCTCAGAATTATTCAAAAATTTCTGAAACCGTTGTCATAAAATTACTCACTAATCATTAAAAGTTATCTAAGTATAAGTAAACAGTAGCCAAGTTATATTTACGGTCCAGTTACATCAACTGTATTTATTTAAATATGCAGTTATCTGTATTAAACAATAACAAAATTTCAAAAAAGCGGCCGAATTAATTAGTTTGAGTGAATTATGAAATATTTAGGTGATTACAGATCGACAGAGAAACTGAAATTTACTCGCGCATTTCACGGTTTTTGCTATTTGTATCGAACTGTACATTTAATTTATAATTAAACTGGATATTTCTTTCACAAAACTGGATATTTTTGTGAAAAATATGTGATAAAAAATATTTTTTTTTTCGTTCGTTGCCGTGTTAGAAAATATATTTTTTTTATTTGTTATATATTTTTTGCTGACCTCAAATTTTTTTGATAACAATTATTTATGTAACGAATATGAATAATGGCTATTGATATAATGCCTTCTAATGGATTTTGTGAACTCATTAAAATTGTGGGCAATTTAAAAAATATCTAGGTAACGAAAATTAACCATACAAAATGGAAATATTTCATCGATAATCGTTTAATTATGCACTATTTTTTAAACCGGGCCACTTCGTGTCTTATAATTTGTTGTTGGAAACTTTTAATTAGATAATTTCGTTATCGAAACTATCATAATTAATGTTGATTGTAAATAATTTTCGCCTGACCCGTTGACTCCCTGTTGCCAATTTCTGTCGTATTTTTCTAATTAACCCGATTTTAAATAAAAAAACATATTTTGTTAGGTTTTTTTTTTGGTCTCATGTACTCTATCATGTACGCCTCATTTCCTAGTATTCCATTTGAAATAACACAAATTTTCTACTTAATTGAACGAATTGTTTATTTAATATTTAGCCAAAAGCAAAAGTACATAACAAATCAATACAATCATGTATCTATAATACATATTAAAGTTTTGGTAAAGTTTATTGGATGTGTGGTAGATATTTAGCTTTCATCTAGAAAAAAATATTACCGGTATAATAATCGTGTACTGTAATAAACTGATCAAGTGTTATTAATAAAATTTACCTTAATCAAATATATTGTATCGCATATCTTGTACCGGTCGTTTGGGTTTGTTTATATTAGAATCTGCAATTTCTCCTTCATCATATTCATCCATCGAATTGCGATATTTATACGCCTAAAAATGTACACAATGAGGGCACACATATTTACCAAAAAATTCCAGGAAGCACACCGGAATTACTCGATTGATCTTTCATATGATTAAAAATATAAAAAAATATAATTTACCGGTTTCTTGTAACGATATTCTTGGGTAATCACGCCTTGAAACATCACGAAGAAGAGAACAGCAATGATAGAGAAAAAAACCAGCTTCATTTTGATGTATTTTTGTAACAATTTCAGCCTAACATTGTTTGCCTTACTTTTATACTACATTTCCCAGGAAATTAATTAAAAACATGCATCTAAAAATGCACTTCCTATGGATAAAAAAATAAAACTGCTTACCTAATTATTTCCTGTGTTTAGGGCGTTTGATTTATCAAGATGTTCTTTGCATCCGTTGGTATTATTAATGAAGTATAAATAACAAAAAATATTCCAAGATTTTTGATTCTTTTAATCGAGCTATAACAATTCATCTTACAATATGAAACTTGTATGAATAATGTAAGTTTATTATAAATGCCAATAAGTTGACACTGAGGGTATATTAATTACATGATTCTAAATTATTCTGAAACAGAAATGAAATCCGAAGTTTTCGACGGGACACCCTGTAGATATAAAAAAACTCGTGTGAAATCGAGAGCAAATGATATACGTGATTATTGAATTGCATGTAATAACAGGTAACTATGAAAAGTACATGTCTTATCATTTCAACAAGTAATGTCCTCTATGGGTTAGTGCAAATTTATGTTGGTCAATTCTTTGAGTTGAATAAAGAAAGATTATATTATAGTTTTTCTAAATTGTCAAGTATCGTATAAGTATGATGACTGATAAGTATGAATTAAAAAATTAATTTTTCTTGAAGATAGAGAATAAACTGAATTAGATAATTGACGTGCAAGTAATCTCATATTCTTTATATCTTTTTGATAAGGCAAAAATTCAAAATTAAATTAAAGTGGATACGATTGAAATCAAATAATGAGACTTGTGTTCGTGGCATAGAGAAAAGAAAGATGGTTTGTAGTACTCCATACGGTAAGTATTCATTATTTAAAAAAACTCTATAAGTCCTTGAGTTTCTACTGTCTTGTAAAGTTACAACGCAAGAACAAAAAGAAGAAATTTAACATCATGACACACGTCAGTTATCTGTCATTTTTATGTACAAAAACAAAACTCAAATACTTAATTTATTGAAACTCAACTTATTCCTACAGGATAATGTTATAGTTAATTATGACTGCATTAGCTGCGGTTTTTTACTCAAATCCCTAAGGAAATATGCTTTTCAAATGGATCTAGTAGGTTAATTAATAGGTAGGCGAAAATATGTGTATACAGTTTTAATAAACTCACCAGTGATTGTTGTCTTTTAGTAAAGAAAATAATGAGATTAAAACAGGCTGTGGCAATATTTGGCACTCTTATATTTGTTGCCGTTGTATTTATAGCATATTCCGCAAAGTATTTATCGGCGTATCCCAACAGAGAATCTCCCATTTCCCAAGAATTACAAGATGTAAGTAGAAATTATTCGTACATAAAATACGCGAATTAAATTGCTTTTTTCGAGCCGCCCAAGCCCTTCAATTCATCATTAAATCAAAGTTAAACATTCATTGCACTTCCAGAACAAATGGCTACGTTTCGAAGATAAAATCAAGGAGCTGGAAAACAACTTAAACGAGCATCAATATGCCGTACACGAGATTAAAATGGCCGTCAAAAACATCCTGCGACCGAACTCTGTTAATATTTCCCAGAACAATCTCCCTTCCTTCCGTCTGTCCCGAACACAGGACATCGTCGATAACATGATTTATGAAACCTCCTGTCCCTTTGAAATAGACGCAGCAGGCCGGTCTGACGTGCAAATGCTCGATTTGTACGGGAAACTGAGCTTCGATAACATCGACGGAGGAGTCTGGAAACAGGGCTGGAAGATCGATGTCGACGAGAAAGATTGGAATCGACAAAACAAATTAAAGGTGCTTTCGTCTTGTTCTTTATACAGCCACTATTAACTACACATTTAACTTGGTTTTCAGGTATTTGTTGTGCCTCATTCCCATAACGATCCGGGCTGGATAAAAACCTTAGATGAATATTACGTGACACAAACGAAGCACATTCTGGATAATATGCTGACGAAGCTAAGCGAGGATGCGAGGCGGAAATTCATTTGGGCGGAAATATCGTACTTTTCCATGTGGTGGGAGGAACAAGACGAGGAAGATCGTTTGAAAGTCAAAAAGTACGAGTCACATGAAAATTAGCTCCATCGGGACTCACCGAATATATTTTCCGGTTCCAGTTTACTGCGCAACAATCAATTGGAGATCGTAACGGGCGGTTGGGTGATGAACGACGAAGCCAATTCCCATTGGATTTCCATAATGAACCAGCTAACGGACGGTCACCAGTGGCTGCGTGAAAACCTGAACTACACTCCGGTGAGCCATTGGTCCATCGATCCCTTCGGATTGAGCTTGACCCAGCCGTTTTTGCTCAGAGAAATGGGCTTGAACAATATGCTGATACAAAGGGTCCACTATTCCGTCAAGAAGCACTTGGCCCGCGAGCAACAGCTGGAGTTTAGATGGTCGCAATTGTGGGGTATATTAAATTCCTACTAAATCGTTGCTCTTAGTTAATGCAAGATTGTTTGCAGATGGTAAAGGTCAGACGGAGATGTTTACACACATGATGCCTTTCTACTCTTACGATATTCCACACACTTGCGGTCCGGATCCCAAAGTGTGCTGCCAGTTTGATTTCAAGCGGTTGCCCAATTACGGGTTGCATTGCCCCTGGAGGATTGCGCCCCAAGTAATAACGGAAAGAAATGTGGTCGAAAGGTGTGCATTTAATGGAGAATTTCGATTTAATCAGTTATGGTAAACGTACTGTTTTATATTTTTTTTAGAGCTGAATTGCTCCTGGACCAGTACAGGAAAAAATCGAAACTGTACAAAACCAATGTGTTGCTCGTACCTCTCGGAGACGATTTCCGGTACGATCATCCCTCCGAATGGGACGTGCAGTACGAAAACTATCAGAGATTATTCGATCACATGAATTCGAACCTTCATTTGAACGTACAGGTAGTTCACAATACTCCTGTAGAGTCGAAGAACGCCGACTTATTGCGTTGTTTCAGATAAACTTCGGAACTTTAACCGACTATTTCAACGAACTCCACAAAAGCAAAACTCTGTCTAGTTTCCCGACGTTAACAGGGGATTTCTTCACTTACGCTGATCGGGATGATCATTATTGGAGCGGCTACTACACGTCCAGGCCGTTTTACAAACGAATGGATAGAATTTTGTTATCCTATATTAGGTAGATGTTAAGCCGTTCTTTTTCGCTGGTAACTGGATTTAATCGCAATTGTATTTCAGAGCAGCGGAATCCATTCACACATTGGCGCATTTGAGCAAGTTCCCCGGCCATTCCTGGATCGTTGAGAAGTCCAATGGCATAGTAAAAGCGATAACATCTGCTCGACAGTCTCTTTCGCTGTTTCAACACCACGACGGTATTACAGGAACGGCCAAAGACCACGTAGTTATCGATTACGGGAAGAGGTAACATTCCTAATTGCCTGTGATTTATCCATATTTTAGTCGAACATTCTAGGATGTTATCGTCGATACAAGCTTGCCAGAAAGTCATCCAGTTGTGTAGCCAGATATTGTTAAAGGGACCTTCGGTGGAAAAACCTACGAATAGCGTGTTTTATCACGTAGACGACGTCAGGCACTCGCAGAACGTCGTTTCGGAACATTTCCAAATCACCATCGGCGTGCCGGAGGTGCGAAGTAAGAAGGTGGTGATTTATAATTCGTTGACTTTTACTAGGAGGGAGGCGGTCACTTTCCACATTTCCACCCCGTATATAGAGGTAATGGTGGTGTGTTATTGAATGTACTTAGTTTTAAGATTGATTTTTAGGTGATCGATTTCGAAGGGAAGCGCGTTCATTGTCAAATATCTCCGATATTCGAGTACAGCTCGTCGATGTCCCAATCGAAATATCAACTAACATTTGTTTCTGTTATACCTGCATTGAGTCTTCGAGTCTACACCATAAATGCACTGTTGGAATCTGTCGTACCGAGGTTTGTAGATACACATTTTTGTAGAATTTCTACTTTGATTGTTCTTTTTAGCGAAACAGTATTTTCAAAAGTGAAAATCTTGAATTACTTTGGCCAAGTGCGAGCCCCGGCGGGATTCAACGTAAACGCGCAGCCGAGTCCTGCTGAATTTACATTACAAAATGCTCGAGTGACGGCGTCTTTTAACAAATTCGGTTTGCTTAAGGCGCTAAAAATTGGTAAAACTACGATTCCCATTCATTTGGAGTTCGCTAAGTAAATACCCATACATACTAAAAGAAATATATTTACTAAAGCGAATATTTATAGATATGGTGTTCAAAAAAGGTCTCGTTCCGAAACGAGCGGAGCTTACTTGTTTCTACCTGACGGGGATGCAGTTAAAATACCATTGGAAAATGTGGTGGTGAATATTATAGAAGGACCAATTATGTCGTCTGTGTTAGTACAGTTACCTTACGTTCAACATACTGCGATATTATTTAACACGACCGGTAAATTACCACTAAAAGTTGTTCCCCACTGATCCTTAACATAATTCTATTTCTAGGCGCAGACGGTTTAGGAATCGAGTTCCAAAATTTAGTGGATATTAGTCAAATGAAGAATTTCGAACTGATTATGAGGTTGTCGTCGAATATTAACAGTTCGAATGAATTTTTCACCGATGTTAACGGATTCCAAGTAAGTACCGAGCAACTACAATGAACCTCTGTATTCAAACGAAGGATTCTCGCGTAGATAATGAAGAGGAGAAAATTGAAGAAGCTGCCGTTACAAGCCAATTACTATCCCATACCAACGATGGCTTACATCGAAGACCAAGTAACTCGCCTGACAGTGACGACGAGCAGTCCGTTGGGCTGCAGCTCGCTTAATTCGGGCCAATTGGAGATAATGCTGGACCGTAGACTGAACCAGGATGATAATTTGGGTTTAGGACAAGGGGTTATGGATAATTTACCCACCAAACACGTGTTTAGATTGATTTTGGAAAGGAGAAAGGAAGATTGCCAGGTGAGTTTAGAAGCTTATTTCGAAGCAAATTCGAAGCAATACTAATTTAATAATTGTAGCAGACTAATGGGAGGAACAATCCCGCGGGATTCCCCACATTGGCGGCTCACGTGGCCTCGCAATCGCTGCTGAATCCGACGGTGCAGCTCCTGCGAGTCGACGACGACGAGGAGATATCGTTGAATTCGTTCAGTTTAACCCGAGATTTCGGCGTGGACGTTTCCATGCCGGTGTTTAGCTCGAATTTGCGAGCTAATAAAGACTCTCCTATCGGATTAGTGCTTCGCAGGGAGTTTTTGAACACTTGTTACGGCGACAGACGGTTGTTCGAAGAGTTTCCTTTGAGCGATGGCACTGTAAGTGTAATAATATTACGACATAATTATAAGTGTAGCTTCTAATATTGTATATGAATTTTTAGGTTAATCTTCATAGTTTAGTAGGCGGAGATAAAGCGCTACGTAGATCGTCTCTGTCTTTCGGATCGGTTAAGAGTGAAGAAGGTGTCGATAAAATGTTGAGGTTGTGTCCTATGGATGTGCAGGCGTTCGTTTTTTAGATTTAATTGGATTAAACAGTTTCTGTTAAGTACAAATGGGTATAAATCGCGCTGGATTCGGCAAATATCCGCACGTAATTTGGGTGTTACGCGAGCTGGGGAATTGGTATATGACACTTGACACATGACAAGACAATTATTGGAACGTTACCGATAATGTCATATTAGTTTTATAAATTGATCTTCGTTATTTTTTAATTAAAGATAACGTTTTATGCTCTGTAAATCCCGGTGTACAAAATGCAATATAATATTTTACACAACAGTAATGAAAGCATACGCGCTTATAGAGGGTGCTTTAATACAGCTATTAATGTGCAGTTTATTTACAGTAATAAAACACCCTGTATATTTGAAATTCTTCAGTAGCTTTGTGTACCATTTTTAATTATCTATATTTATTAAGTCACAGAATTATATTAAAACGGTCGAAAAAAATGAATCGGTATTGTGTATTGAGATTTTTTTTAGTGCAATATTTTGTAGATGAGATTTGTACATTTTTTTGAAACACGAACAGTATTTTGAATATTGAAATACTTTATTTTTACCGATTTAACTTTTACTTTATTTTTGTTCTAAATAAATTATTCGTAAAGTTATGTGGTATAGAGTAAATCCTTGGAAATTTGGCAAGCTTTTTCAGCACTCACTAACATTTCCACCAAAGCCAAGGCGAATTCAATCGCAGTGGCTGGACCTCTGCTTGTTATAATATTACAATCGACAACAACATTGCATTCCTTATAATTGTAGTCTTTAATTAAATCGTTTTTAACGCTGGGATAGGAAGTTATGGCGCTTCCGAACCCAATCTTATGCGCTTGTAGAGCTGTAGGAGCTGAAAATTGCATTTATTTATCATTATGATTGAGACCTGATTAGGTATTGATTAATACCTGCACAAATCGCTGCAATAATCTTTTTGCCGCACTCAAATTCTTTAAGCAATTTTCCCACTTCGGCAGATTGTGCAAGTGCTCTGGACCCTTCTAAACCACCAGGCAAGATTACAGCGTCGAAGTTTAAGCACCTGCAAGCTTCCGAAATTGAAATCTCTGGTTGAATTTTCACTCCTCTGCTACATTTCACTAGTTCTTTTCCACCGACTCCGGCAACTACCACATCGACCTATAAGATTATGTACGATCAGTGCATAAATGCAGTATCGAAATGCAATGTTAGGGGTATTAGATGTAATAGAACTCACTCCTCCTCTCACTAGAATATCTGCAGCAGTAACAAATTCCATTTCTTCGGCTCCTGAAGCCAGTAAAATTAGGGCTCTCTTTTTCGACATAATTTTGGTTCCGATAAATCGTTTCTCTGTTCTAAAATAGGAGTAAATTAAAATAAAGAATAGAATACTGAAATTCTTACCTCAAATTATTAAACAGCGGCTTAAAATTGTTACAAAAATTAAAAGTTTTTAACATGTAAATATTTCGGCATAATTTGACTTCAATAAAATAAAACTCAAAATGACATTCAAAAATGACCTCCTATTATAAATATTGGCCTCCACCTTATTACCCAATACGTTATAGTTAACTATTTTACCGATAAGTAAAAGACAATTTTACAACAACTCTAGAAAAAAGTTTGGTTAATATGAACGTCATTACTGTCAAAACAAGAGTAAAATGTAAATGTAATAAAAGATAAATATGATTTTTGGAATTTGGAGTGCATATAGTAAAAAATTAACAAACTCGATTGATTTTTCAAGGATAATGAATTTATTAGCACGTTAATTACTACGCTACTATCAACAATGGCTGAGCATGCAGCGAATTTTACGTTTACTTATCAAAACAAACCGAGTATTTTGGAAGTAATTGCTCAGAAATCTCTGCACGATACGCTCCATCCAGCTTTACAACGAATAGCTTTAGTTAGTATTCATTTTATTAGTAATTTTGTAACTAAAATTATGATTTTTCAGTTCTTATCTTCCAATGTACCCCACAAATTTGGCTGGCTAAATAAACATTTTGAAGAAGTATTTTTATTGTTAGATGGTTTACTCCAATATCATTATTTGGCATTTTACGGTAAGATCTTTATTGTAAGTTGTTGCTTCTTTTTAATAAATATAATGTTGCAGATGCTTCGTTTTCTGAAAATTTCTATGGGTTAAGGAGAATTTCTCCTGCAGGTGACAGTTTAACCAAAAAGCACAAGGAATTATCTCTTATATTTTTAGTAATTATCCCGTATTTTAAAAGGAAACTTGATGAAAAGATTGCGATTATTCGATTAGAAAATGCAGAAGGTTCTTTAAGAAAAGTTAGATTACCCACTTGCTAATTACGAATTATTTGAAAATTATACATTTCAGGATTTTGAAGGCAAATTTAAAAAAGCGGTACTATTCTCTTATTCTGGTTTGGAATTAATTTGGGGTTTGTGTTGCATTCACAATTACATTAGATACATGGCGAATCGAACGGAATTCCAAACTCCTTTATATCAATTGATAGATTGCAAATTAACATACAACATCGATATCGAAGACCTTTCTGCGGGATTTTGGACTTCCTTATTCAAAGGAGGCTTTAGGTAGTTACATTTTTAAGAAGCACGTTTTAAACAAACCCTAATTTTTATTTTTTAGTGTATCGCAATTAAGTTTTGGTTTAGTTAGGAACGCAATTTCAACTACATTGGAAGTGGGTGCATTTTTCTTGCAATTTTTACATACGTGGAATTCACAAAAAAGTAATTACAACGTAACAGACTTACCTAATGTTCCACCACCAGACGTAAGTGTTTTATCCTAGATTTCAAATAACATGAGACTAGATATATTTTATTTTCAGCTCGATAGCAAATCAAAGAAATATAGAGGAAAGTGTCCACTCTGTTTGAAACAATGGATCAATCCGACGGTTCTGCAAATATCAGGGTAAATTTTTGCTCAAAATAATTTATGCTTGATCTAAAAAAAAACTATTTTTAGCTATATATTTTGTTGGAAATGTATCCTGAAACACTTGCACGAACATCAAAAGTGCCCGATCACAAATCTTCCAGCTAAACCACTCGACATAGTAAGATTGTACTTGAGTTGATAATCGTTTTATATTTATGAAATGTTAAGAAAAATGAAAATCATTTTGCTGTAGCAAATTTATTATTATATTTATATTATATCAAAAATTACATACAACATACAAATTGAAAAAAGGAATACCTGTACTGATCCTGAAATCCAACGAAATGCAAAATATATGTGACAACATCCAGCCGAAACTCCTAGGAAAAGCTAGCAATATTCCGCCAAAATCCTTTCGGTCCGTAAATAAAAAGTCTAAGCTACATGGAATATCCTATCTTTGTCCTAGAAATTTCATCCTCATCCTCATTGTCTCCACAGAATGCGAGACCTACCAGGTTGTAAAAATAAATTGCATTTACTAAAAACAGTCTCGAAACTTTCAAGAGCTGGGTATCTGATTTTATGCTATCGTATAATCAAATTTGAATTTCGTACATTCTACCGATCGAACATCACCAAGAGGGAATCTGAATATACCTTGCAAATGATTTCTATCATATAACCATTATGACCATCCTTGACAGTTTTTTATTCGAGTAAGTGCGCAATATAAAGCATTCTAAGATGGTGCAGTAACACATAAAATTGGGAATGTACCTATTCAATTCCACGCGTTATACAAAAGCAGTACAATCAAATGTTATGAATATTAAAATACTTACAAAATGTGTTTTCTAAAACTGCTTTAAGGAATTGGTCATAACTATGAAGGTGGAGACTATTCCGGCCTAATTTGTACATTAATTTCAAAAATAAAAAAAGATACCCAGTTACTACAAACATGTCGGAGTAATTGTAAGTAATTGTAGGGTAAGAAGGGAATATGATGGGCGATAAATCGTAATTATAAGAAATATTGGGATATTTTAAGTAAATGTATCGACCCAAAATTTCTCAATCTCTCAAAACAAAAAAAGTTAGTTGTGAAAAAGCTTCTTCGAGACACCAAATGAGCTATGTGTAACATCTGGTGCCTAGAGATGTTTATTAATAAGGAGAACACAAGGAAGATAAATGTTTTTAATTAATAAAAAATGGGTAAAAAGAGGTTTATTTACCAGATAAACGTCCTCCGATACTTTATCCTTAAATAAATGTCCTCAAACGAGCATTATTCCAGTATGTCCGTGATCCGAAACAATCCAGAGGGTAAAGCATATTTCATAGTTCAATTAGTTTGCCGAATAATGACTGTTTTAATAACGTTTCGAGAATCGTTCTATGCAATATACTTTCGAGGGATCCTATCCGAGAGGCGAAAAATTTTGAATATCCTCCAAATCCTGTTCCTATCCGATAAAATTTCCCAATCCTACACAACGAAAATCCTAGAGACGTTACAAAAATCCCTCCAATCCTTTTCAGATATCCATCCAAAATTTAATTCCTCTTCCCTCTCACGGTGCAACGGGTTTAAGAGAATGTACGCCATTTTAATCTTTTTTTATTTCCAAATTGTCCATCGCTGATACAGGCTCAGCAAAGGTACCGTAATCAGAAAAAAATAATACATTAGTGCCTACGACTTACTTTCTATCTTAAAAAAGAATGGGTCTAAATTTCATTACAATCTAGGTAATTAAATACCCACTTAGAAACAAGAGATTTTAAGTCATACACAAAATGCTATTAATCGATCACTTGAATCCAAGCTAAGGCTTTTTTTTAGAGCGTATTAAAGAAAAGAAAAATAATCGGAATGTAACACACAAACAGCATCGATTAAAATGAAAGAAAAAAAATTAAAATCAAAACGAAAATAATAATCATAGCAAAACTCTAAATCTGACATTAAGAGCATTATACATACATAATATCCGATAGAAATTACGAACGTGAACGGCTTCGAGAGAAGCTCCTTCTGACAGGGCTGTACGTCGGAGAGCCCCTTCTACGCGGAGAGAACGACCTCGACCTCGATCTGCCCCCCGATCTTCTTTCGCTGCCCCCTTTGTCTTCTTTTACGCGAATGTAAGATACTTCACCCTAAATACAGAAAATACACAAACGGTTAGTCCGGGTAAAATATCATAAAGACAGTGTTGCCAACTATTAGAGCTTGAAGCATACCTCGTGAGACCTGAATCTAGAATCGTCCAACTTCTTAATCGCATACTTCATGTCTTCGTATCTTAAAAACTCTACGACACCCGAACCGTCTTTGAAGGAATCAGCAAAACACACGTCTCCGGCCTCCCTCATGTGGTCTTTCAGGTCCTGCCACGACCCCGACGGCGGCAGCCCTAACACAACAAACCAATGAACTTAAGGAGTTTGTAATGGTATAATAGAATTACCTGTGACGAGAACTCTGAACTGGGAGCGACGAGCGGGAGGCCCCCTGGAGCCTCTGCCTCTCTCGCCGCCGCCGCCCCGGCCGCCTCTGAAGCCGTGCCCGCCGCCTCCTCGAGGAAACTCCACCCGGAGCCTGTAGCCGTCGTAGTCGTACCCGTCTCTGGCGTGGACGGCGTCATCGGCGTCCCTGGCATCGAAAATTAGGGTGAATTATTCGAATTCGGACGATTGGGAGGCTGGACGAGAGTGTACTCACCTTGGATCTTCGAATTCGACGAATGCAAATGGAGGCCCGCGTCGGTTCTTTAGGTCCACAAACGTTACCTTACCGAATTTGTAAAATAAATCCTGGATGTCTTTCGTTCTGATGTCCGGAGGGAGGTTGCCTACGTATATTCTGCAATCGTTTCGACCCGCTGCGGCCATTGTTTGATTAATTATCCAAAATTATAGAAAGAAATAACGCAAAATACAATGGCTAGTCCACTTCTATTTTTTTTATTATTAAACTTCAGCTGTCAGGTGTCAGCGACAGCGTTACCAACTTTACATTCTTATTTTTTGGTAACTTTTACCTCGCGGGTATTAAGCTCATTATGTCAAAATTGATTATCAATGAAAAAAGAAGAGTGCGTTCCGACATGATTTTTCCCCAATTATCCTAAGTCAAATAATGATAACATCTGAGGCCACTTTGTTGGAGATGGAGTAGATAAGAACGATTGTACAGGGTTATTCACTCTAGATGTTCATTAAAATTTTAAGATTTCCCTAGAGGGTGACAGAATTGGAAATTTGTGTATGAACTCGATTATTGCGAGTTTTTCTAAAATATTTACCAAAACGTTACTTTTTGTCAAACTCGGGATATTAAAGTTTACAAAACTCCTAAATTTTTGAAACTGCAAAATACTCCACTGAAAGTTCATGGAGAATAGCCCTGTATATATTTTTTGTTACCTTGTTTTGAAACATCTCGAATAAAATTGAGTGACATTAAGGGCGTTTCGCCTACTTTATTTATGTCTTCTATTGCAAAAACTTCTCACGGAAAATAACAAAAATAAGCGAAAAATGTGCGCAAGTTCGCACTGACGAATGCCGAGCGACCATGAATGGCGGACGAAATTTGAATTAGTTTCGCCTCAGAAGCGAAATCGGCGCGACTTGAGCGCGCTGTCTTGGAAATTCAAGTTTCCCCGGACGCTCCGGACGCGAAGTTTCCGATTCGAAAAACGAAACGTGCGCTTCGATGAACGATCGGAAATTCTTCAAATTAGTTTTTTGTGAATTGAACCGAACCAAAGAGAATTAACACCGGAGGCCTACAAATCAGAAATCATTCCATTATAAAAAAATTAGTAAAGTGTGAATGAACATTCGATGATTTAAATTTAAACATATATCTAATTTAATATGAACAATTCCGATCTAGTTAACAGGTTAGTAAACCGTCCAGTAATTGCGCGGTAATTTGTTAAACACATTTAAAAAAAAAACCAAAATCTATCTACCAATTTATTTTTTACCCACAAACTTTATCCGAATTTTTGCTACGAATAATCCATGTTTAATTGGCCTTAAAATTGGTTTTATTCGACATTGGAGAGTTAAGAGTAGCTAATTCTATCAACAACAAAAAAACTGATCGGGGAAAATTGGACCGAATAAGTGTATTGGTTCCTGAGTGGTTTAATATAAAAGGTGCAATTCTTCGAGCTGGAGCGCCGGGCATTCAACAAGCCACTAACGTAAGTGCTCTGTTTATCGTTCAAATAAATTCAACTATCTTGGGAAAAAAGACCGAGAACTTTAACTAAAAAGGTGAAAAGTAAATAGAAGTGTGTGGTAGTGGAGCGAAGAATCAATTTATTAGGGGAATACCGTAATAAAATTGACCTTTTTGGGTTCCGGGAGGTGAAATTAATAAAAAAAATATTATTTTCATTCATCAATGTATTTGAACAAATTAAGTATATTTGTGAATTCGTCCTGCTAATTGGGCATAATGATTTTGCTCCTACTTCGCATTTGATTGATTATGTTATTATACTTCTAAAGGTGAATTTCGGCCTTTGCCTTAAGCAGTCAAAATCATTGGTAATTGATACTTCCATTAATAAATTGGTTCCCCAAAATTCCTACGGCCTGTGGTAGACAGGAACATCATACAAATATTGAGGTAAATAAATTGATTTTCGTAAAGGCGTCGTTTTGTATTACGGGGTGTTGAAAAATAAAAAATATTCTTGGCATTATCTCAGAAATTATTTAGAGAAATGGTATTTGATTTTTTATACATTTTTTTAAAATGTATTTTTTTAAATTCAATGCAATTTTATTTAATATGCCACTAATCAAGATTATTGGCGCGATCCTTTTTCCACGTTAATCAAATATTTACTTCAATATTCACGCTTTTAAATACGGGAATTGTAACATATATAATATTCAGACAATCTGTATATAATCCCATACCTCAAAATGGATTTATATCATGCGGATGTTCGAGTAATTATTAACAAATTGGAATTAGGATTAGGATTGTGAAAGTTGTATAATTTCAATTTAAATGAGTTCCTTACGTTATAATTTAAATACAGGTAACCAGTGTTTATTAAATTAACGAATGAATTAAGCAACTATGTACCAAATCCGAAGTTGTTTTCGTAATGTTAAATTTAGACATTTACGCGTGTATGCATATGAGAAAATATGGAAACGAAAGGTTAGTGGAGTTATTGTTTTAAGGCCAGATGCGAACAATAGAAATTAAAATTAGTAATAAGCATGGGTCTTTAAATAAATGAAAATCCGAAAAGTATTTTCAACAGTTCTCCTTAAATCTTCGATAAGGAGCTCTATTGATTTTAAACCTTATCTAAAATTTTTCCGTTTCAATCTCAGTACGCCTTTTATTTCATAAGAATCAGTTCATATTTTCTACAAGCATTTTGTGAACTTTATGTAAAAATAATTTTCCACGTATGTCTAATAAAGGCATAATTTTTATATTAGTTTTAATTATATGTCTCAAGGATGTCTCAATAATTACCATATCAACGTTTGTTATATTCTTTACAATGATCACCCCGTGTATTATTATAATTTTAAATTCCACAACAAACTTACTGGTTCATTAAATTACCAACAACTCTACATTTTTACAATTAATTTACATTTTTATATTCTTTCTCAAAAACTACATTTTTGTGAATTATCTCAGAGCTAAAGGCTTTATTAAAAGTTGTTCTTTATGTTAAGGATTCCCATAAAAACACATTACTTAGATTTATATCTTGTATATATATTAAAATTATTTAATATTAAGTTTTTTACGAGTGTAAAAGTACTGTTGCAAAATAAAATATTCTTAAAATGCACCGTTAAGGAAGTTATGGATCGAGTAACCCTGCATATTCATTATAATATCTCGAAAATTACAACTAAATTAGTTAAAAATGCTATTAATTTCCATGGCAAATTTACGAAGCATTTGCTTAATATCGAATTATTTACATTTTAATATATTCATAGATGTTGTCTCGCATTCCAATATCGTTTGGAATAATTTCAGGTTATCAAAAAGAATAATTTATTACCGAAGTGCGGAAGTATTTCAAGCATTAAACTAATTTTTCAAATTTTATTTTCAGCACACACGCTGAATTACGCATTTTTAAATTCGCATAATTGTAGGACGTTCAAGGAAATTTAAAGTTATCGAAAACAAATTCACAAATATTAAAACATATTCCACTTATATTATCAAGTCCATTTTTATTTCCTTTAATATTGAATTAATGTAACGGCACGAAAGCCTCAAAAACTCATAAAAGAAATTGAAATGGTTTCGAGAAAAGTTAGTTAAGTACAAAAAAAAAATGCCGACACAAAAGCGAATTGAATGAAAATACTTTTTCTCGGAGAAATTGCAGTTTCCATCAGCTCCGAGTTCACATTAAAATCTTAGATAAACTTTACAGTTGATTTAATGAATATACCGGGAGTACCGGATCCTATTAGAAGATAAACAATTTTTAAAATATTCAAGCTCCTAGATCGTCATCATAACACACCCTGTATATTCATTTTGATTTGTATTTGCAGGAGGCTACTTGCTCGATCCGTTTAAATCTAATTTACATGTGGTAGGATTTGAACTGAAGGGCGAAATCGAATTGAAATTTTACTACAAACGGTACGAGATAAATCCAAGCACTTCCACATTTTTTATCGTTTATTATATTACATACATTCTGTATCACTTATTCTTCTTTAACCGGACTTGTTTCGAAACTAGAGAGCGATATTTCACGCTAGGATTACCTTTGATTCGGAATAAAATACTGAAAAGGTGTTTGAAAAATTCTCGGCACATATCACACCCCAGGGTGCTCATCATCCCCTATTCCCGTGTCTTCCACACAATATCCCGGAATAAAGAAGCAAATCATCTCCTGTTTGATGTCGTTTTATTGGCGAATTCAATTGAAGTTAAATTGAAACCTAACGTGAATTGTTTAATTAATCTTCACGATTTATAATTATTTTCCGATTTGACGTCAACGGTTAATTGCGAATTTCAATTGAAATTACTAACGAGTTTAACGAAAAAAATTAAAAACGTATACTTATGTTATTATCACATAAATATGTGTTGTTTTAATTGAAATGGATACAACACTTTTATTTGGGACAACTTACACATGGAAGGTTGTTTGTTAGTGGGTATCTATTTAAATTCCCATTAAAATACAGTGTAATTTTATAACATATTAGCTTACCGTGATTCGATATAATGCGCTAATAAAAGTATAGAAATTATTAAGGTAAAGGTTTAATAAATTCCTTGAAATTTGCCTAGGTATTTTTTGCTTGTAATTTTGTTTTTTTATCGTATCGTATATGTCGAGTATTTAACATAATTTAACAATAATAATTAATATTATGTATAGTAGGTTCTAGTTAATAGTAGCAGATAATCTGTAATATTTGTGTAATTAATGTATCTGCATGTTTGTGTATTGTAAAAATTCATTAGTACATATTTAGTATTCAAAGCGATACATCAAAATGCAATAAGTTTGCCTAATTTTTTTGTAGGTAAATAATAATTACAATTAATTACAGGATGAAGCCTAATTATATTCGTAAATTAATTCCTGCTTTACTAATTAATTCATGTGTGTAAATCTCCGTGAATTCTACGGTGAAATAATTTATTTACTCGCCACTCAACTATATTTAGCTATTTTCTTACAAAAATACACCGTATAAATTATTTCTTATTTCATTAGACGCATTTAATATTCTATTCCGTTTCCTCCCCTATAAATCGTGAATTGGTTAAATGGATTTTATTAGTAGCTGTCAATCATATGTCGAATTAATAACTTCAGGCAGAGTAATTAATAAATTTTTAATAAAATATAACGCAAAATGCATTTAAAAGATATTACGCTAAAAGAGAAGTTGAAATATTTGGAACATTTTTGGAGAAAAGACTGGAAAAGAAATTCCTAGCAAATGGCACATACTATATGTATACTATATTATGTATACTGTATTATGTCTATGCAGTAGCACAAATGGCTATGCAACTTATCTAGATTATGGAATTCTGTTGAGAAATTGCAGTTTTTGAATTCGAACGAATTTGTGCATGGGCAATTTTTCACAAAATTCCCAAATTGTTTTATTGTGCTATTAACGAATAAAACACGATACATACATTATTTCATTGTTAATAGAAAAGTAATAAAATTTTAATAGTCGTTAGTAGGTTATTAAATCCACAAAATTGCAACATTGTTGCAGTTTTGATGAATTGCACAATTATCTATTTATTAAACCGTAAACCAAATACAGAAATCAATAAACATAGGTATAGAAAGTAGATAATGAAAATATCGAAAATAACATACGGGTAGCTAATTAAAACAGTTCATTAAAAATCTAGATAAAAGTATAGCGATTTGAAAAATAATAAATTTTAATAAAAGCTCGTAAACCGTAATTTAAATATACGAGCGCATTTTCTACTGGGTATTTATAGTTTAAAACGATCAATTTTTGAAAAATTTCCAACAAATTCTCTCCGACTTAATCACATCCTTTCGACAGCGCTGGCTAACACATGTTTTTTCCATTAAAACTAATAAAAATTTTGTAAGATATGTCATATCCAATTGCGAAGAAAATTTATCTTCATGAGTGTCGACTTCAAAAAAAATGTTATTTCGATACTTATATAAATAGGAATAAATTTGAAAATATTATTTAGGTATCCTTCAAATTTTTCTCGACGATTTTTTCCGGAGGCGATTTGAAGGGAATATTAGAAGATTTCATGAGATTTCATGTCGTCAAGAGAAGTCCGAAAAATCGAAAAAAATCCGTGTTTCTAGCTAATAGGCCTGAAGAAAAAAGTCTGAGTGTAAGAACGGAGAATCCTTTAGGGACTTTGGGACTCCAGATAAAAGAACATTGTATTAATATTTTTCGTGCTCCATCCGAAACCAAAAGCAGATTGTCCATATAAAGTATTCCGGGACACCCTGTTGTATAAACTTCACCTTTAGCTGGACGACATTTTATAGATACTGTAGGTAATTAATATTATGCAGCTGGCTTTTATAAAACAAAACTTACTCAATTCTACAAAGTGTTTTGCCAACACGCTATTTTCCATTAAACACGTTTATTTTAAACGGTGGCAATAAAACTGGAATTAAACGTTTTGATTGCCTCGAAAGTTAATTTAATAGCTTTCGGTAGCCGTCGCAAATTCGCCCGGCTCTTGTCACAATGCAACTATGAAAATCTTCCAAAATACAGTGTGTCCTTAATTAAACATTCAAGTCGTGTACCTACTGTTTAATGAATAGGCTCATTTAAATTCATTTACCTTGATCCAAAGTTGCTTAGTTTACATACCGTATTATTTTTGGAGTTCGGGAGATTTCGCATCCATCTTGTACCACCTTGTATAATGTAATGTAATCTTAGAAGAGCATCCTAAAATACCATCCGGTTCGTAATTTGTAAAACCTTCATCGTGCTTTTTATAGCGCCCTTATAATATAATTCGTTTCAACTTAATTGGGCCTAAACCTAATGACAGTAACGGATGTTGTATCAAATTTAGCGTGCGTACAAAGGACACTATTAGGCGAACGACGTCAATTTACATTCTGCACGCATGTATTTAAATCGCAGGAGTAATTAGTGTATTCGTTAAAATTGTTTATCGCTTCCATCCTTGTATATACGCAAATAAATTTGTTATTAAGCCCGCCTAATACGAATCGATCTGTTAGGGCAGGCGATTTGGAAATAATATCTCTATTTAATATAACTGGTTTTATGCATTAATTTATACAGGATGAGTGGAGGAAGTAGCGCCTCAAATGCATCTTATTACTAAACAAAAAATTCCTTTCCTACGCGAGTTTATTATAGAATCTTTTTTCTATTATTTTATGATGAATTATTAATGCTGTTTAGGGGTTGTTACAAAGTTGGTTCGCCCGATATGACGGGTTATAACTGCTTAATTCAAATATCGACCCGAGCTAAACATGTTTGTTTGATAGTAAGTAGATTATGTAGATTTAATTCACATAACATTAATTAAACATCTTCACATATCTTCTACTAATAAAATAAGAGCATTAGGTACCCATTAGGTTTAATTAAAGGAGGAAATTAGCTTTATTACCTTGTATAGTGGGATTTCGCCTCAATTTTGAGACCACGTGTAAATCGTGTAAATTGTAAACAGGTCGTCCCCCTACAAATTAGCCTTAGCATTCAAAATGTTTATTGTTCTCGCAAATGTATATACGGCCTCGTATACAAACGATCGCCTATCTTTCACCATACTTTTTGTGTACAAATAAAAAAAGTTTCTCCCCCCGTTTTGTATCTTTCGATCATTGAGCCGTCGGGCGTTTTCCATTAGTGGTAATCACACTTATTTTATATCTAATTCCTCGCGAAGTTCTCCCGACAACATGAACCATTAAGGAGACAACATTTTCACATCGAAAAAGGGACAGAGTTAATTGAACATGTGATCAATAAATCCGCGTATCTTTCAACACACAATGCGCCTTTTCCACCGCAAAATTTCGCTTCGTAATACCCATCGTAAATTATTCAAACTAATTATAATAATACCGATTAAATATAACGCCGATAATAAAGTGAATGATTTAGTAGATATTTTTTGCGATGTTTCATTCGAGATATTCGAATCAATGCAGGTGCTTAGGAGAGTTTTTCAATATCAAAATTAAACTTAAACCTGAACTAATTCCAGTGTGCATTAGAATTTCCCAAAGGGATTGTAAAGTTTCACTTCAACGGCCTGCAAAGAATATTACTAGCCTGGTTTCGTCCGTATTTGACCCATTTTCGTCTCATCATAAGAAGCGTGGGCGTTTATTAAGAAAAGTTAAACTGGCGATATTTAATAGGGGACGAGACTGAGAATATGGGATGAAAAAGAAATATATGGCCCATGGTTTTTATGGCCTATTCATTTAAACTTTTAAATTAACTGTAATGATTAAAGAAAAGTAATTTATTGCTACAGCCATTCGAATACTAATTTAATACAGGGCAAATGGCATTTTGATACATTTTAAAACGAGTGAAAATCGAGTTGTAAACGGATACTGTCGAGGCCGTCAAGCTTTATAATAATCTACATATACACATAAAAGTTTGTTAATCTTGTTAATTATTAATAATTTTTTGATAGGTGAACACACACGAAGGATAAAGTTGTGGGTTCGATGACAGGAGTAACGGATATGTAAACATCCGCAATAAAAAATTGTTAAGAACTTTTTGCGAGTCTTTGAAGGTTTCTTTTTCGCTCTTTTATGGAAATTACTAAACTGAAAACGCTCTTTTATGAAAAAAACACTCTTTTATGGAAGAAACTAGCTATTTACTGTTTTTACATTTGCTTTCCTACGTAGTGAAATTGAAGGATTTTTAATGGGTTTTTAAGAGTTATTATTATAATTACAAGAGGATGAAGGTTTCATTAATCATTAATTAAGTTCGTTTTAGGTATTTTTTTCCTTTAAGTAAAAGCGTTTTTAGTCGTTTTTTCAATTACATGCTTTTGAAGATTAATTCCTTGAAAATTTCATTTCAAATATTTCCGTGATATACTACGAAAGAAACCTTAAAAAATCGGTAAATTCGAGCACATTAAAAATCTAATTTCCACACAGCATATAATTCCTCGTATGCTGAAAATAACCCCCAAAAAGGGAAATTCCTCCTATAGTTGGCAAAAATGCGTTAAAACCATTTTATTTTTCTATTGGAGCGTGTAATACCGCCAGCTTTAAAAGCCCTTTATGGCCCTAAGTTTATTACATTCCTTTCTCATTGCTTTATTTTCGAATGACCCTCCTGAACAAATGCTGAGCATTAATTAGTTCAGATCTCGCAAGTTTTTCCCATAAAATTTACCGCCCTCTTGCGCCCTCTTAAAGGTAATGTTTAACCGCTTTAATGGTTTGTAAATTTTTCTATTGCCACTCATTAAAAGTTGATAATGGTGATGATTTTAGCTCTGTGGAGGTTGTTTTAAGGGAGTCAAAACCAGTTAAAACGAGTTTAATGTTGCCAAAGTCAATTGAATTTGGTTTGAAATTAGGCAGTAGTACAACAAAGTGTACTCCTAAAATTAGTCTAATCTTATACAGGATATTCCTGAAATAGTTTATATAACTTTTCCAATATACTTTATGGTATAATTTATGAACGATTTTTTTTAGGACGGAAACAATTTATATGCAAAATTCAATTGACTTTGGAAAAACTGTACGGTTGAGTAACTGTTAAATTAGTATACGGGCCTTTCTCACAATATATGATCGTTGATAAAGTGTGACATGAATATTTAATATCCAAATACTTATTCAACAGGTTTGTAAATTAAATTCATTAAACGGTAAACGGCCCCATTTGAGCCGAATTTTTCACATTATAGCACTGGAGGGAAGAAATTCCCGCCACAATTAGCGCTTTATGTAGTGTTAATTACATATAAAATACATTGTAATATATACCCGCAGTTTTAGATAATATACGGGCAATTAAATTTATGAATACATTAGGAATAGTATTAGTTTTACTTGCATAATTCGCGGAATATGCTAAATAAAAAGCAATTCTATGTATATAATTAGTTGTCATTATTCAAGATAAAAGTGAATTATATTATAGACTAATAATTATAGGTTAATTTATAGAAATTTTTTAGAGGTATGTATTTGTAAACTTATTTTTGTTGCCCGTAGGTAAGTTAAATTTGTTTTTGTGTGGAAGTTTTCTCTTCGATCTTGAAAATTGTTATTTTTTTCGCGAATTTGAGAAAATAACAACATATCCATAGGCTATCATTCTATTGATTTCGTTTTGAAAGTTTGTTATTAAAAAAGCATCCAAAATACCTATTCTGTTTTTTCTCATTATGTAATATTATTAGTACTTTTAGTATCCAACGTTTGCATGTAACAACTTTCGAACTTTTAAGTGTTTGTAAAGGGATAAATGAATATATAAAAAACAAATACTGCCGTAAAAACAAAGGGGCTTCTCAACTTTCCTTTCAATACCCTTCCGATAGGGAGAGCGTAAAAACTCGGCGGTGAAATCGACTTTTTTTGGTACATTAACTTAATGTAATTTCGAGTGGATTTCGTGGAAATTATAGTTTATTCTTTGATCTTATATCGCTAAGTTATTCTTTTTATTTATGGGACACGACAACATGAGCCTGAATTCCGCTACATAAAACTTTCATGCGAGCGTTATCCAATAAAATCGAGAAAATAAATTGGGAAAAATATGTTTGGTAAAGTTATGTAAATTGAAAATTTACACAGCACTATATCCGTGTCCTGTTGCTAATCTCATCGTTTGAACTCGAACGAATATTTGGAATTTATTTCAAATAATTTCCATATAGAGTTACCAAGGAAATGTTTTATTGGTTTTTGATGCAATTTCTAGTAACAACTTTTGCATTAATATTAAATGACAAATTTTCCGTTTAATTTCAGGAAGAATTAACTACACTTCACATGTTAGCACCAGAAAATATGGACGTGAATGTAACATTGGATGAAAACACGCTGAAAACCACGCTGAGCGTAGGTGTGGAAAACTCGATGATAGATCGCGATGAGAATCTGGCGAAGATCGAAATCGCTACGCTAGCTTTAATCTTCGTTGTTACTGTTATAGGAAACAGCGTCGTCCTTTTGGCTTTATGGACGAGAAAAAAGTAAGTAAACAAATTTAATATTCCATTTCCAATCCTCAATATTCCAATAATTCTAAATAAAACTCGATGTTTATTCACTCACAATATTCCACTGTTCCACAAAACACAAAACGCTCAGTATTGCTTAATTTTCGGTAATTAATTGACTATTTTTTGTTTCATTTCAATTTGTTTGAGTACGTACAGGTAGAGAGAAATTTCGCGATGGAATTAATTAATAAACCTTTCCAATTGAAATCGAATTTTATGTTTCTCGTGTTTTTAATTGCTTAATTCTTTTACCTACTCTTCTTGTATCCCTCAAATCGCATTGTTCCCTTATAGCGAATTCCCGACTATTTAATTAGTCAATTGAAATGCATTTACTTTGTTAATTTAGTGTACATTTAGACACAGGGCCGGATTATGTTTAAAAACTTAAAAAATTCTACAAGAATAAAATTGTTATTCGATATACAAAATAGCAACACTAACTTTTAATGAAAAAAAAATATTTTTAATGTAAAATTATGAGCGTGAAATGTTTTTAAACCGGCCCTTGTACATTTCTCCGTGATTTACAGTATAAGTTTCAATTTAGCTAAAAGTATACCTACTAAAATGAGTTAATGCTTTACAAACACTAAGCTATTTACGCTGTTAACTCCGACACTCTATTCTTCTTTTATCATCATTGTTTCCTAAAAAGTTTTAATCCCCTCTTTTAATTTAGCGTTCAAAGCGGATCTGCGAAGGCTCTTCTTCATTTTCCGTTTACATTGCAGGCACGCCGGCCGTAAAAAATTGTCCCGAATGTACTTCTTCATCCTTCATTTGAGCATCGCCGATCTAATTACGGCCTTTCTCAGCGACTTGCCGCAATTAGCCTGGGAAATCACCTACAGGTTCAAGGGGGGCTTTTTCATGTGCAAGCTGATAAAGTACGGTCAGACGTTGGGCCCTTATCTCAGCTCGTACGTGTTAATGGCCACGGCCCTCGATAGGCATCAGGCCATATGCTACCCCCTTACGTATTGCTCGTGGACCTCGAGAAAATCCAAATTTATGGTGTACGCAGCTTGGGGGGTCAGTTTGGCGTTTTGTGTACCGCAAGTAAGTCTATTTTTCTTTTATATTAACATTCCGTTGGCGTTTTTAGTGGTGAAAAAGAAACATTCATTAACTGAATCAGTAGCTAAACGGTCATAGTGGAATTTCCTTTGCTCTCGCTCGCTCTCTAATCGAGCATATCTCTCGTTAAATCTCAGCGCTTCGGAGGTAATAAAATTAACTAAATCGCAGAAAAAAATTAATTCAAATCAAAGTGAAATATAAAAGCAATTATCGGGTATTCGGGATATTACCTGGTCGGTTGCATTATTAAATTTAAGCAGGAAATTAATACCTAATTGAACATTGTTAATGAATGGGCCAATTTCGAGATTACTCGCAACTGCAAAGCTAATGAAATACTTGCTACACGCTTTCGAACGATTATTATGTCTCGAGGAAACTCCCGGAATCATCTGATATTTATAGATCTTGAAAATTGAGCTTCGAATCACCTACAGGAACTCTAAATGAATATGAGCACCGTAATCATCGCGTGTATGGCGTAAGGCGTATATTGAGATGAGGTGCTCAAATATTAATGGAAAAACTGTGGGGTGTGGAATGAAAAAAAAAAATAAAGGATTTCTTATAACGAAATTTTCTCGACGGGATTACATTTTCCGGCGTTTGATTAAGTTTGCGTTGACTTCCTTATTTCAGCATTTAGTTGTATGGAGGGTATTTGAGTATTCAATGTTTGTTGTGAGTTGTAAGGAAACTAAATTTGTAATCGCATAATGCTTGGAATTCATAAGGGATTATAAACTTTAAATTGCACTACATAATAACGAAATGAATTAATTAATATTATCATTGAATTGTTAATCTTGTTAATGTGTTTGTAAATTTCGTCAAAATTAGAACTAAAATCCTCATTTTGACATTTCGCGCAATAGTTTGGTACAGAAAAAGATTCATCAAATTAAAGAAACATACATCAAAGTGGGTCACTTCTAACATGTCACTTGTCATATTAGCGAATATTAGCGAACTTACCAGAATATTATGAATTTCTTGTAATCTCTGTCTATCATCCGCAACACCCCTACACAGGAGTTCGTGCATTATTTGAGTGTTCAATGTTTGCGAGAAAACTTAATTAGACAATCTCTTATTAAATCTATCAAAACTAAAAATAAATTCCCCATTTTGACATTTTGCACAGCATCTTTGATACAGAAAAAAATTAATCAGAAACTGACATCAAAGTGGGTTACTTCCAACTTGTCACTTGTCATATTAGGGAATGCCGAACTTACCAGAAAGCCCAAAATAATAGTCAAGGCACATTCGACAAATTTAATTTTATGTTCGAAACTATTTGGGCAATCTATTTTCAATTATATCATGGTGGAAGCTATTAACTACTTATCTGTGTAGCTGTGGAAGCTATTCGCCGGGGACCGATAATATAATGCACGATTCCTATCTGTCCTTTGTTGTGCGTGTAAATTTAGTTAAAACGTCCCGGGCCCATTTCATTATCAAGTGTGCTTGTAGGCCTAAAATACACAAATTCCGAAAATAGCATTTGCCTAGATATTAAGTATTTAATATACATATTACATAGGATTTTGCGTGTTTATATATATTTCCGAGGGATAAATTTCGCCTCATTACAACCTATACATGCGATAGACTTTTCGAATGTACAGTCTCTCATTACGTTGGATCCCTCATTATATCTCTATTGAAATATGTATTATGTTGATTTAACCGGAAGATTAATGCAATTCCCAGTTACCGATTAACGAGGCTAATGTTCTGATAAGAGGATTCCCGTAAATCAAATTCGTTGGCATAACATTGCTAGTAAATAAGGGCCAGTTAATTATTGTTAATTAAATTTTGGAATAGATACACATGCGAAAAATGAAAAATATAAAACTAAGGAGGGTAAATAATTTTGACATTGACAGTTATATAATCTAGAGGATTACGTTAAAATGTTTGTATAGTATAAACGAATTAACATCTGGTAAAACAAGCTCATTCTTGTACTAATTATTTCACTGGTTAAATTCGCTGAAAAATTCATTTTCTGCGCCCATTATAAAATCATCGATTTCCATTATTAATGTAACTCTAGCGGTTTTTTTTTAACTTACAGCTCCCACTAATTAATCCAATCGAGTTGATGAGGGAATAACATGCTCTCTTTTGTACGTTTCGCGATTACGGAAATTCCAAATGAATTTCAATTTGAAATTCTCACATTGCAGGCGCTATCCAATTTCACATCGCATCAAAACGACATGTAAATAATAATAATAATGGCAATAACAATAAATATAATGCGCTGTATTAAGAAGGGGTGTAAAAAAAGGGAAATGGAGCGGGAAAAATGCTTTTATGTGTTTCTTACGCCTGTCCTTCGAATCGTATTATGGATCCCAGAGCTGTTGTAAATAACTGATAAGTGGTATAACGAAAACCTCGGCGAAAAATGAAACTGAAAGAAAAATCGGGAGATCGGGTAAACGGATCGCCTTTATAAGATCCCGTGCTGTTTGCCGTTGTAAATAAAATGCGAGTGCCAGCCGCGGCTGCGGCGGGATAAAATAATTGCGGGGTAAACGAATTTCGCGCGGGCTGTATAGATTTGCATAAAGGTTTTGAGCAACTTCGTTGGATTTCTATCACTAGAAAATTTCATCCCTACATAATTGAATCGCAGCACTTGCTTAAGTGACTTTGCGGCCGATGGCAAGTTTGTATCTATGTCTAATTCGTTCCTTTGAAATGACCAATCTTGGCGTATTGTCCCATCATGTTCCCCTGCTAAGCTCGTTAGGGGTTGGAATAACCTTGTTTAATAAGGTCTGGAGATTATTTCGCCAGCTCCAGCCGGTAGCGGGGTATAACGTATTCATCGATAAAGCCTTTATTTCTTACTTTATTGACCACTTCACTTCGCCCATATTGTTTGATCAAAATCTCCCGGGATCTTCTTCATTTAAATTTAATGACCAGTCTGGTATATAATATTTGATAATATGTGATGATAACGAACAATCTAAAGAACAGGAAATATTTACAAATAATGTAATGGGTCATAAATTTTACGGTGAATAATTAGCATTTTGATTAATAAATTTACCGACTCAAGTGTTTTAATTAATAACAATATTTTGCGATACAAATTTGACCACAATGAATTGTTTTATTGGGAATTTTTTCTTTCCGGAATTCTTATATATCGATTATGACTACGCTAATTGCCTGTAATTAGGTACAGAGGTACTTAAAAAGATATTTAATTGTTAGTGGGGAGTTTTTGTTTGTAAATATCAAAAGTAAGTATCGTTTAATAAAATACTTATTGTTAGGATCTTGTGAATTTATTGTGTCGTGTAAAATGGTAAGTACGATTAATTTTAATAACTATTGTTGACTTACAACAATTTTTTATCTATGGTTATTTTATAATATTTATATACAATAGTTTTGCTATCTTCTTCATAATTACGTTCATTAAGATAGCAGTGTTATGGTAGTACACAAGTCGTGTCAATTCCATTACACAAATACAATTTTTTTTTGAAAATTAAAACTAATTCAACATTTTTTCGTAGATATTCGATCTCATATGCTTCTTTATATTCTTCGCGGATACTTGGGGAACTCCGATCCAGCAAGGTTCTTTCGTGCAGGAATTTAATAATCCTGCACAAATATTCGGAGGCTATATGCAGTTTTCATATTATCCTCAAATGTTCAGCAGCAGCCCTCAAGAGCACAACGTTTATCCTCAAACGGCAGGTCAATATCCTCAAACAACAGGGCAGTATCCACAAAAAGCAGGTCAATATCCACAAAAGGCAGGTCAATATCCACAAAAGGCAGGTCAATATCCACAAAAAGCAGGTCAATATCCTCAAACAACTGGCCAATATGCACCAATAACCAGTCAATATCCTCAAACAAGTGGCCAATTTGTATCACAAACAGGTCAATATCCCCAAACAGCAAATCTTTATCCTCATGTTGTCAATCAGCAATTCCACCAAATCTCCGGTTATCGCCCATCAATCGCCGCTTTGTTTTCCGATAGGTTCGGTTATAATCCTTTTGAGGATTATCAGGGCGGTTTTTGGATACACGATTACGACAATTTGTATAAACACAAACACAAACACAAAAAGGATAAGCATCACAAACACCACAAGCATCACTAAGGTGAAGAATGATAAAAAAATGTCAGTGAAAAATTGTGAATAAAATAAAATTTTGAATATGATCTAGTTTTATTTGGTTAGAAACTTATTTGAGATTATATTTAAATCATTTCGGATCGTTTGGTCGCTTCTCGAGCTATATCTACTCCTATTGGATTTTCCATTACAATTTTTTTTCAATATTACACATTGGATTCGAGCAATAAGGAACATTTATTATCCCCGATTTTTTTCTTATTTGCGAGATTTCATTTCGCCTTATTTTGGCTCTTAAACTAATGGCTATGAGTTTCAGTTTAGGAATTTAGGCTCCATTCAGCAAAGAGGCCCGTTTACCAATATTATTTCCATTGAAATTCGAAATTTTATTGCGTTCGTCGTCTTCAAGGGAATGTATCCCATTCGACGTTTTGTCTTCGTGTAATTCAGTGAGATATTGCCCCACCAACAAAAGGGCTAAATTCGCCGGATGCGAATTAAATTGCGAGTTTTATTGGGATGTATCTCACCTAATTTATTTATTTTATTCAATTCCGGCCTACAAAGAGCAGAAACAATATGTTTCTCTTTCGCTGTAGGTAATTTAGGCGGGTCGATGTGCATTCGACAGCGCGATAGCGGATCTTCGGAACTGAACGTGACGCGTGAATAAAAAAAATTTTTTTTTCCGGGGAAAATCGCTTTTGATGCGTTAATCCGCGCAACCAACGAATATCCCGCTTTCATTTTCAGATTAAACGGGATAAATCCTTTATAACCGACGCGCTGATATTTATTTTAGTCATTAAATGTAGAGGAAATTAAAAAATGCAAATCGTATTTTTGTATATGTATCGCATCGACAACTGACCAACGTTTTATATACCTTTACTTGTTTAGGAAAATCCTGAGTTAATTATTCAAACGAAATAAATGTTTATGAATTATGTGTATTTAGGTAGGATCTGTTTCACAGTCATTGAATTCGGGTTTGTTACATCCATAGCATTAGGAACTCGAGAATTGCGCTCAATAAATTCGGTAACTAAATTCACTAAATTACATTTCGTATACAATTTACATTTTTTTACATCGTACTCTTTGAGATAATTTTTTCTCGCATATTAAAATCTGCCGGAACAGCTCACATGAGCCGCAATTAAAAGCCATCCTTGTGGTCTTTTTTTGAATTTTTTTCATGTAACGAGTGGAATTAATATGCATTTATTCATTTTTAAATCTTTATTAACTAAATCGATTTAGCCGAAATGCACGGCGTAGGGTGTTGCGTGTAATTTATGCAAATGTTACGAGCATTAATATATACCTGCTCTTCCCTGCTTCTCTGTATTTTTGTAATTAATTGCTCTTTGTTTCAGAGTGATAAATGTAACGTCACGTTAATATTAATGCAGTTGAACTTGAGGAAAATGTTAAATCTTTCCCAAACACGACAGAATTATGTGCAAATAAATACACTGAAACTTAGGTCAAGCCGCAAAAATATCAAAAAATTCTTGGAATATAACTGAACGATTAATCCCACAAGTAGTTTAAGAAAACCCGTTTCTACAGTGTGTTTCATATAAATAACAATAATTAAATTTGACATGAAACAGTCGAGAGCATATAAATGGTACTAATAAACCGTCATTGTCACCTCTATTTTTACCTAAATTATGTCTAATTTCCAAAAACATCCTAAGAGGATTATCGCAATAAAACGTCAACTTAATCATACAAACAAAAAAATGCAAATTTATTAATTTTTAAATTGCAGGTTACTATATTTTCCTACCAGGAAGTTTCGCTAGGTGTTTACGATTGTTGGGCAACGTTCGAGAAAGAATGGGGCGAGAGGACTTATGTTATTTGGTAAGAAACAAAGAATATCAATTATTTCCAGCTATTTGTTAAATATATTAATGTAATTCGTTCTTATAAAAAATTCGCAAGGTACGAGATACGGAGGAATCGTTCGCTTCTAATACATTTTTAAAACATATCGATTTTATGGGAACGATATTATTTCTTTGTGCGAGTTCCTTGGCTTTATAGAATCCCATTTCTTCCGTTCGTTTGACAAAGGAAAACGTGAAAATTAGTCTCATCAGCAATATCACTATCTCCCGTAAGACTGCAGTATATCGTATATCAATAACTCTATCCGAGAAAGTCATCTCCAAACATTTTTTTCGGAGTTGATTGATGCTCTGTATCGGATCGATGCTAAAAAGGCGAGAAATTCTCTGGCGAAAAATTACTTCTAAGGCAATAAAAAAAAGGGCTGAGAGATGTAGAACACGGTTCCTTGCAATTCGATCCGTGCGAATTCAGGTATATTATCGGGGCAATTTATTCCGTAGTTTGCGAAAAGGAAAAGGAAATGCGGCCGATGGGGCTCGAACAGCGAAGAGGCAACTTCGAACAGGCCTTTCTGTTATGGATAAATAAATTCCCAGACACGGAAATTTATTTCGCTGATAAAAGAATATATTTAATTTCAACTTCGAAACGAAGTTTATCTTAAACAATATAGATAATGGAGATAATATTCAGAATACTTTCGTGAATAGATTTTCGAAACGAAATTTATCTTAAACAATATAGATAATGAAGATAACATCGAGGATACTTTCGTGAATAGATTGGAGATTAATAAAATGTCTACGGTTACACTTGATTGATTATTACACAGCAAAATAAAAGTTTCGTAATAAATTTTATAACTTTCTCAGTAACTATCTGAATTTTTATGTAGAGGCCATTTGGGAGGTAATGGGTGGTAAAAATAGGGCTCCTTTTACCACACTATTGAAAATTTAGGTGCATATACTGTTTCCAAAAATAATACAAATACATAATATAGCGATTTGATTTACTTCAAACATGGCTCGGGACAATGGCTCGTCCTTTAAACGAAAAAAATGTCAATTTCATCAACTTTAAATTTGACAAATAAATGTCAGAGCCAAGAAACCATAGCAACAATTAATTGACACATTTTATAGTACGTTCAGAATTAATTCCTTAAATGTATCAATATGCTCGGTGGTTAAAACTAAATTGGTCTTCACGTAAATACGCGTTAATAAAATGTTTTCAAATTTGGGGGTTGATTTAAGAATGAAATTACCTTTAAAACGAGGTGTCACTTGACCCCCCTTTCCATAAAAAAGCTTCAAAATGGCGCCTAACTGTCATTTTGAAAGTTTTAACTGTCATTTTTACGTCAAAAAAACACCCCATAAACACTCCAAATTTCGCGACAAAAGCTCTTACCATTCAAAAGTTAAAGGGATACGCTATAGATCAATTAATCAATAGATACTAAATAAAAATGTTGATAAATAAAAAATAATAGGTTCTTTGATTGTCCATCAGGTATTGCATATCAATCTTCATCGTGCCGCTGTTCGTCTTGGTCTACACGTACACTCACATATGCGTGGAGATATGGCAGAGTTCGGAATCGAGTCTGAGGCCGCGCAGCTCCCAAAAACATTCGACGAAGAGGACGCCATTCATTTCGCGCGCCAAGATAAACACGGTCAAACAGACGATAGCCGTCATCGTGATGTACGTCGCATGTTCGGCTCCATTCATCGTCGGGCAATTATGGGCCACCATCGATCCCCAAAATCCTTTCCTCGACGGTAAGATAAAGTAAACACAAAAAGGATGCGATAAAGGATACGGTTTTGACCGCATTACATTTCCACTACAATACGGGATTTCGGCCGGTAGATCGATAATGGGCTTGTTTGATGTGCCCGCTATTTATGAGCTTTATTATATGCTACGTATGATGTATTAGTTATGAGCTATTACTAAACGGGCGTGTCTTGATTGTAGAATATTTCAAGTTTCACTCTGACTTATACAGACCGATATTTGAAACTTGATACAGGGAGTTTCATCAATTCAATTTTTATCCAGAGTATCACCAAAGAACATACAAATCAACTTGTATATGCTGGTGATTATCTCGTTATACTTAATGAATAATCAATGTAAATCTTGAATCTTCCATCATAAATTAAATTAGTGCATTTCAGTTACTGCACCTCGTTCCTCGTTATAAATGTTCAACTTGTTTTGAACGTTGGTTAGACTCGAGGCGAATTAACATTGATAAAGAGAAGCCGGTGCAGTCATGGGAACATCGAAAACTTCCACTTGTAGGAAATTCGAATCAAACATGCTCTTCGTGACCGAAAGCTCTAAGTAAATAAAAGTTAGTTTATTCCGGAAGAATCTGAAATACTCTGAAAATGCGGCCGGAATCGGGTCCTTTCGTATAATCGAAATGGGTATTATGTTTTATGAGTAATTTCTATATCGCATGACGCAGGGGAGTGTTTCTAACTCCGAAACAGTGCGAAGTGTCAAGTCAAGTAGTCACTAAAAGGTAGGATTAAAACCTGGATAATTAATTTTCCTCACTTTCAGGGCCCGTTTTCACCATACTGATGCTGTTGTACAGTTTAAATAGCTGCGTTAATCCCTGGATATACTTGGCCTTCAACAGAGAACTCCCGCGATTGCTCTTAAAACATTACATCACTTCGACAAAAAACTACAAGGCAGCGGCCGGAGGTAAATTTGCTAATAATGTAATAGTTTCACAATTTAACGAGCATTTTTTTATATTTTACCTGACGTCGTTTACACCTATAATTATTTTTATTACACTAGTGTTTTTCTGGAATCGAAGAATCAATCACAGATATTATAGATACACGAATTTCTTTATAACACGCACTTAGCCAATTAGATTAATTCGTCATTATCGCTTTAATTTTATCCAAATCGCCCGTACTGTTATTATCTAAAAAGTTTCGGGTGTTAGTCCGGACGATTACGTGCAAATTTTTGGAAAGTAACTATAAAATGCAAAGTAAACGACACAACTTTGACCATAATAAGATTAAGTTCTCTTTCAGTCTTAACAACTTTTCTTTTCTTTAGCCCCTTGTGTCTTATTATAATATTTCTATGAGGTCAAATTGAGTCCATCTAGTTCATTATATGTCCTTATATTGTGTTATTGTGAATTTCCCGTTAAATATTTTCTGACATATCAAAAGAGGTAATCAGCTCACGAAATCGTCACCCCATAAGATATACTTTGTTCGAAACCGAAGCGCCTATTATTAGCGACTCCATTGTCGCTTAGGTAAGGAAAACTCGCACGATTAGGGCCCCCCCGTCCGACGCTCGACCCTCGACCAAATCCCATTAACGCCGCCCCGAGCTCTATACGGATTTATCGGCGTCTGACGCGGAAACGTCAAAGCCTAAACAAGTTTTTCCCCATTCAGGACAAAGTCCAAGCGCCTCGTCGGGCGATGTTCAAACGACTTCGCTACGTCTGTTTTCGAAATGGTCCCGTTACAACGGCAACAACAACAACGATCGCGCCCAGAAGGTCCCCGGCCGCTCGCCTAATCGCCGCCCGTACACCGCCCAATACACCGCCCACAATTGGATCGTGACGACGGATGTGTGAGCGAAGGGAAACTGCGGAAGTTTTATTCCGTCGAAAGTAAGTAAGTTGTATATTAGCTAATTTAACGGGCGAAGTTTGGAAATAACAAAGCCGACGAAGTAGCCTGTTATGATGAAAGCATTTTTGGAAATAAGAGGAACTAAGCCAGAGAAATTTACATCTTTCCATAAGGATGATGCGATGTGACATGACATAACACTTACCTGTAACAGGCAGCGCGTAGCATTACTGGAAATGCCTCTTATGCTCATACAGCAAGGAGTTGTACATAAAAAGTTGTTATAATGTTATTTGTTTCAGATAGGAAGGGTATAAGGAATTTTTTTGCTTCCAGAAACGTCTCCAAAAAGGCCTATACGAGGGTTGTTGTTCATGTGGAAATTGCATGGAATTCACACACATCTCTCCTACTTAAAATTAAACTGTGATTTACATGTTGGTACTTTTAAAGAATGTGTTCACTTTAATTGTTGATATACCTAAAGAGTTGTTTTAGCGACGAGAAGGATCTCGAGAGTCTATTTTAAAAGTTTCGTCAATTAACCGAGAGAATTCAGACCCCGATTGAAGCGCATTCTTTAATGTGAATTGTGCTGTTTCTTATAGAAATGTTTGTTTTCTTGAAAAAAAAATATTCTACTGTGTAGATTTTTTAAGTTGAAATATTTTTTTATCGTTTTTACTTGATGCTCAAAGCGCTGTGAGCAAACAAAATATGTAGAATATAAAATACCTACTAAGAAATAAACATTTTTTTTTGATTCTTTATTTTTTATTTTAGAATTTATAAGAATTGTCATTTTTGTAATCCCTTTGTAAAGAGCGTTATATTACTAAAAATTAACCTTACGTAACCTCGGTCAGGAAATTCAAGGACCTAATTAAAATAGGGTTCGGGGTACGATAACATATTTGCTTAATTTGAAATTTCAAATTCATACAATCTACACATGTAAATGGAATAGAAATGTAGAATAGATATTTTCGTCAGACCTTTTTCAAGCACGAATGGAAAATAAAATATATACATTTAATAATTTAATATATTTGAGTACTAATACGTAAGTGCTGCCTGACTATATCCGATACGAAACTAACAGGACGAATATGTTCGAGAAATAATTTTGCAAATTCTCCCTAGCTTCGGCGGAATCGACTCATCCATTTTTCATGCTCTCGAGCCGCAAAATTAATTGCGGCATTCACGAAAGGACATTAATTTTGTGAAAGATTATTTTAATACGCCTATATATTTATTTTGACAGAAACGAATACGTTTAAATACACCGCGTTTTTAGAGAGATCAACTTGATAATCTATTTCCTCGTCCTTCCGGAACGCAAAAAATAATAATAAATTAGTGGAAAAAACAACAGAGGAAGTCCTACGGCGACCTAAAAATTATTGGCACATCCAATTAAAATCGTAAATTAATTATATCATTTTAATTTTTATTTACATATAGATTTCTGGAGTCTTCTGAGGAAAGTTAGGTAATAAATAATTATTAAATTATTTTTTGTAATTATTAATAATTGCCACAGTCATGACAGTACAGTTTTAAGTCACACTTAAGATAAAATTTATCGCACTTATTTTTTAATAATTGTCTATAAATGAATCGTGCTTATAAAATGAAATGCATGTTTTTAAGTGTGTAGTGGATCAAAGTAAAAGTTACCATGAAAGTCCTAATACTAGTGCTAGCCTATGCGTTTTTAGGCGCTGAAGCTTCATCTTCTCGTCACCAATGGAAACAATTCAAGGTAGAACAAAAAATAAAAATATCTATTTACTCACACTATTATAAAGTACCTATTCAGTAAGTAAATCAATTGATTCATGCTTTAATTCAAGAGTAACTTCGGCGTAAGATACGAAAACCTGGCCGAAGAAAGACACCGCTACCAAATATTCCAAGACAACCTGAGGAAAATCGAAGAACACAACGCCAGATACCAGCTGGGATTAGAAACCTACTACATGGGGGTCAACCAATTCTCCGACATGACCCAGAGGGAGTTCGGCCAAATGCTGCGCGGCAAAGGCGTCGCGGCGCTCAACAGGACGCCCGCAGCGCGACCGGCCAGGCGCCTGCACAAGCAAGGAAGAGACGACTTCGACTGGGAGGACAAGGGCGCCGTGTTGGACGTGGGGGACCAAGGCGATTGCCAAGCCGGATGGGCCTTCAGCGCGGTAAGTAGCCCATAAATCCTTACACAGGGTTCGAAAGTAATTGGCGCCGTGTAGACAGGAGCGCTGGAGGGGCTGAGCATCATCAAGATGGGCTTCGGGTACCAGCTCAGCGCGCAGCAACTGGTGGATTGCGCCGTACCCGAAGGAGGCTCTTGCGCCGATGGAGACATAGAAACTGCTTTTAAGTACGTGATTGCTAACGGGCTGACCAGACAAGCTGATTATCCTTACACGGGCGTTAAAGGGAAATGCAACGCGACCAAGGAAAGCTTCGTCACCGCTAAGACTATCGTGAAAGGTATTAACACCGAAGATGACCTCGAACGTGCTATGTGTGAGTAAAACGAGCGATTATCTAGTAAGTTAGTGCTTATCGGCTTTGTTTTGTAGTTTCTCATGGTCCGGTTTCTGCGTACATAGACGGGGAACCCCTTCATCAATACCAAGGCGGTGTGTTCCAGAGCAAAGCTTGTTCCATGAATGAAACGAGACTGACTCATGGCGTGCTTGTTGTTGGTTACGGTTTTGATGATAGTATTGATATGGTTTTTTGGAATGTCAAGAATTCCTGGGGGGAAAATTGGGGAGAACAAGGCTACGTAAAAATACTAAAGAACACTAATATGTGTGGCATTGGTAAAAAAGCCTTGTTTCCTAATTTGTAATGGAAATAAGATGATTAGTTTGAATTAAATATTTACATTTATGTTAATGTTGTTTTTCAATAAATTTAGTAAGCTACCCTTTGTTGGATAAATAAGCAGGAAAATTAGAAAAAATAGAGCAAAAAATCGTAGTATTTTAGTACAAAGCACTTCAATATAATCGATAAAATTTAATATAAACGTTGTCTTGTGACAATTTCAATCACTTAAGTAATCACTTAAGCAATCACTTAAGTAATCAAAACGTAACGTCTCGGCCGGACGGCGAATACTTGACGGGCCACGAGGAGCTGTTTGCGCCGCCTGGGCGCGGGCTTCTGCAGGGGCGCCACATATTTGTTCGATAAATTATTCAAAAAAAATTATTATTTGAATAACATGTCAATTTCAAACACAGTTGTAAAAAAGAAGAAAATCAGGACTTGTACTTTAGTAGACATTAATCTCAATAACCGTCAAATAATCTAAAAAAAGAAAAGAGAAGAACTGAACTATATAACCTCAAATTTAATTTTGGAGTGCAAATTTATTTCCATTTTCAAGTTCTAAACGACTAATACTAATGATAAATACATAATAATCTACTCGATTAAATGGCTTCTTCAGCTGGGATCTACAAAAGAATTCTGTCATTATTAGAGAAATGGCCGGTAGATCAAAGTAAAGCAGGCGGAAGGTACTGTATGGACCTTTAAAATTACCACTTTTTACCACAAAATTAATTTCCAGGGACTTTAATGAATATCTGACCAATTTCGTAAACACCGCATACAAAGAAAATAAATTCGAAACCAACCACAAATACTGGGACAACCAATACTTAGCATTGCAAAAGTTGATCAACAACAATCACAAAAACAAGTATCGAAGGTCGTTAAACACCTCCGCCACAGGACTGTCCGCAGAAGAATGTAATTTGGTGCTCTCCAACAAGAGTTTAGAGGAATTAAACGTACAAAAGAAATCATTTTTCCAAAGTTTAATATCGTTAAAATAAAACCATGTTATATAGAAATAGCATATTTAGACTAGTTAGACATTACAGCGCGGAATTAAACCCTGCTCTTCCCTGCTTCTCTGTATTTTTGTAATTAATTGCTCTTTGTTTCAGAGTGATAAATGTAACGTCACGTTAATATTAATGCAGTTGAACTTGAGGAAAATGTTAAATCTTTCCCAAACACGACAGAATTATGTGCAAATAAATACACTGAAACTTAGGTCAAGCCGCAAAAATATCAAAAAATTCTTGGAATATAACTGAACGATTAATCCCACAAGTAGTTTAAGAAAACCCGTTTCTACAGTGTGTTTCATATAAATAACAATAATTAAATTTGACATGAAACAGTCGAGAGCATATAAATGGTACTAATAAACCGTCATTGTCACCTCTATTTTTACCTAAATTATGTCTAATTTCCAAAAACATCCTAAGAGGATTATCGCAATAAAACGTCAACTTAATCATACAAACAAAAAAATGCAAATTTATTAATTTTTAAATTGCAGGTTACTATATTTTCCTACCAGGAAGTTTCGCTAGGTGTTTACGATTGTTGGGCAACGTTCGAGAAAGAATGGGGCGAGAGGACTTATGTTATTTGGTAAGAAACAAAGAATATCAATTATTTCCAGCTATTTGTTAAATATATTAATGTAATTCGTTCTTATAAAAAATTCGCAAGGTACGAGATACGGAGGAATCGTTCGCTTCTAATACATTTTTAAAACATATCGATTTTATGGGAACGATATTATTTCTTTGTGCGAGTTCCTTGGCTTTATAGAATCCCATTTCTTCCGTTCGTTTGACAAAGGAAAACGTGAAAATTAGTCTCATCAGCAATATCACTATCTCCCGTAAGACTGCAGTATATCGTATATCAATAACTCTATCCGAGAAAGTCATCTCCAAACATTTTTTTCGGAGTTGATTGATGCTCTGTATCGGATCGATGCTAAAAAGGCGAGAAATTCTCTGGCGAAAAATTACTTCTAAGGCAATAAAAAAAAGGGCTGAGAGATGTAGAACACGGTTCCTTGCAATTCGATCCGTGCGAATTCAGGTATATTATCGGGGCAATTTATTCCGTAGTTTGCGAAAAGGAAAAGGAAATGCGGCCGATGGGGCTCGAACAGCGAAGAGGCAACTTCGAACAGGCCTTTCTGTTATGGATAAATAAATTCCCAGACACGGAAATTTATTTCGCTGATAAAAGAATATATTTAATTTCAACTTCGAAACGAAGTTTATCTTAAACAATATAGATAATGGAGATAATATTCAGAATACTTTCGTGAATAGATTTTCGAAACGAAATTTATCTTAAACAATATAGATAATGAAGATAACATCGAGGATACTTTCGTGAATAGATTGGAGATTAATAAAATGTCTACGGTTACACTTGATTGATTATTACACAGCAAAATAAAAGTTTCGTAATAAATTTTATAACTTTCTCAGTAACTATCTGAATTTTTATGTAGAGGCCATTTGGGAGGTAATGGGTGGTAAAAATAGGGCTCCTTTTACCACACTATTGAAAATTTAGGTGCATATACTGTTTCCAAAAATAATACAAATACATAATATAGCGATTTGATTTACTTCAAACATGGCTCGGGACAATGGCTCGTCCTTTAAACGAAAAAAATGTCAATTTCATCAACTTTAAATTTGACAAATAAATGTCAGAGCCAAGAAACCATAGCAACAATTAATTGACACATTTTATAGTACGTTCAGAATTAATTCCTTAAATGTATCAATATGCTCGGTGGTTAAAACTAAATTGGTCTTCACGTAAATACGCGTTAATAAAATGTTTTCAAATTTGGGGGTTGATTTAAGAATGAAATTACCTTTAAAACGAGGTGTCACTTGACCCCCCTTTCCATAAAAAAGCTTCAAAATGGCGCCTAACTGTCATTTTGAAAGTTTTAACTGTCATTTTTACGTCAAAAAAACACCCCATAAACACTCCAAATTTCGCGACAAAAGCTCTTACCATTCAAAAGTTAAAGGGATACGCTATAGATCAATTAATCAATAGATACTAAATAAAAATGTTGATAAATAAAAAATAATAGGTTCTTTGATTGTCCATCAGGTATTGCATATCAATCTTCATCGTGCCGCTGTTCGTCTTGGTCTACACGTACACTCACATATGCGTGGAGATATGGCAGAGTTCGGAATCGAGTCTGAGGCCGCGCAGCTCCCAAAAACATTCGACGAAGAGGACGCCATTCATTTCGCGCGCCAAGATAAACACGGTCAAACAGACGATAGCCGTCATCGTGATGTACGTCGCATGTTCGGCTCCATTCATCGTCGGGCAATTATGGGCCACCATCGATCCCCAAAATCCTTTCCTCGACGGTAAGATAAAGTAAACACAAAAAGGATGCGATAAAGGATACGGTTTTGACCGCATTACATTTCCACTACAATACGGGATTTCGGCCGGTAGATCGATAATGGGCTTGTTTGATGTGCCCGCTATTTATGAGCTTTATTATATGCTACGTATGATGTATTAGTTATGAGCTATTACTAAACGGGCGTGTCTTGATTGTAGAATATTTCAAGTTTCACTCTGACTTATACAGACCGATATTTGAAACTTGATACAGGGAGTTTCATCAATTCAATTTTTATCCAGAGTATCACCAAAGAACATACAAATCAACTTGTATATGCTGGTGATTATCTCGTTATACTTAATGAATAATCAATGTAAATCTTGAATCTTCCATCATAAATTAAATTAGTGCATTTCAGTTACTGCACCTCGTTCCTCGTTATAAATGTTCAACTTGTTTTGAACGTTGGTTAGACTCGAGGCGAATTAACATTGATAAAGAGAAGCCGGTGCAGTCATGGGAACATCGAAAACTTCCACTTGTAGGAAATTCGAATCAAACATGCTCTTCGTGACCGAAAGCTCTAAGTAAATAAAAGTTAGTTTATTCCGGAAGAATCTGAAATACTCTGAAAATGCGGCCGGAATCGGGTCCTTTCGTATAATCGAAATGGGTATTATGTTTTATGAGTAATTTCTATATCGCATGACGCAGGGGAGTGTTTCTAACTCCGAAACAGTGCGAAGTGTCAAGTCAAGTAGTCACTAAAAGGTAGGATTAAAACCTGGATAATTAATTTTCCTCACTTTCAGGGCCCGTTTTCACCATACTGATGCTGTTGTACAGTTTAAATAGCTGCGTTAATCCCTGGATATACTTGGCCTTCAACAGAGAACTCCCGCGATTGCTCTTAAAACATTACATCACTTCGACAAAAAACTACAAGGCAGCGGCCGGAGGTAAATTTGCTAATAATGTAATAGTTTCACAATTTAACGAGCATTTTTTTATATTTTACCTGACGTCGTTTACACCTATAATTATTTTTATTACACTAGTGTTTTTCTGGAATCGAAGAATCAATCACAGATATTATAGATACACGAATTTCTTTATAACACGCACTTAGCCAATTAGATTAATTCGTCATTATCGCTTTAATTTTATCCAAATCGCCCGTACTGTTATTATCTAAAAAGTTTCGGGTGTTAGTCCGGACGATTACGTGCAAATTTTTGGAAAGTAACTATAAAATGCAAAGTAAACGACACAACTTTGACCATAATAAGATTAAGTTCTCTTTCAGTCTTAACAACTTTTCTTTTCTTTAGCCCCTTGTGTCTTATTATAATATTTCTATGAGGTCAAATTGAGTCCATCTAGTTCATTATATGTCCTTATATTGTGTTATTGTGAATTTCCCGTTAAATATTTTCTGACATATCAAAAGAGGTAATCAGCTCACGAAATCGTCACCCCATAAGATATACTTTGTTCGAAACCGAAGCGCCTATTATTAGCGACTCCATTGTCGCTTAGGTAAGGAAAACTCGCACGATTAGGGCCCCCCCGTCCGACGCTCGACCCTCGACCAAATCCCATTAACGCCGCCCCGAGCTCTATACGGATTTATCGGCGTCTGACGCGGAAACGTCAAAGCCTAAACAAGTTTTTCCCCATTCAGGACAAAGTCCAAGCGCCTCGTCGGGCGATGTTCAAACGACTTCGCTACGTCTGTTTTCGAAATGGTCCCGTTACAACGGCAACAACAACAACGATCGCGCCCAGAAGGTCCCCGGCCGCTCGCCTAATCGCCGCCCGTACACCGCCCAATACACCGCCCACAATTGGATCGTGACGACGGATGTGTGAGCGAAGGGAAACTGCGGAAGTTTTATTCCGTCGAAAGTAAGTAAGTTGTATATTAGCTAATTTAACGGGCGAAGTTTGGAAATAACAAAGCCGACGAAGTAGCCTGTTATGATGAAAGCATTTTTGGAAATAAGAGGAACTAAGCCAGAGAAATTTACATCTTTCCATAAGGATGATGCGATGTGACATGACATAACACTTACCTGTAACAGGCAGCGCGTAGCATTACTGGAAATGCCTCTTATGCTCATACAGCAAGGAGTTGTACATAAAAAGTTGTTATAATGTTATTTGTTTCAGATAGGAAGGGTATAAGGAATTTTTTTGCTTCCAGAAACGTCTCCAAAAAGGCCTATACGAGGGTTGTTGTTCATGTGGAAATTGCATGGAATTCACACACATCTCTCCTACTTAAAATTAAACTGTGATTTACATGTTGGTACTTTTAAAGAATGTGTTCACTTTAATTGTTGATATACCTAAAGAGTTGTTTTAGCGACGAGAAGGATCTCGAGAGTCTATTTTAAAAGTTTCGTCAATTAACCGAGAGAATTCAGACCCCGATTGAAGCGCATTCTTTAATGTGAATTGTGCTGTTTCTTATAGAAATGTTTGTTTTCTTGAAAAAAAAATATTCTACTGTGTAGATTTTTTAAGTTGAAATATTTTTTTATCGTTTTTACTTGATGCTCAAAGCGCTGTGAGCAAACAAAATATGTAGAATATAAAATACCTACTAAGAAATAAACATTTTTTTTTGATTCTTTATTTTTTATTTTAGAATTTATAAGAATTGTCATTTTTGTAATCCCTTTGTAAAGAGCGTTATATTACTAAAAATTAACCTTACGTAACCTCGGTCAGGAAATTCAAGGACCTAATTAAAATAGGGTTCGGGGTACGATAACATATTTGCTTAATTTGAAATTTCAAATTCATACAATCTACACATGTAAATGGAATAGAAATGTAGAATAGATATTTTCGTCAGACCTTTTTCAAGCACGAATGGAAAATAAAATATATACATTTAATAATTTAATATATTTGAGTACTAATACGTAAGTGCTGCCTGACTATATCCGATACGAAACTAACAGGACGAATATGTTCGAGAAATAATTTTGCAAATTCTCCCTAGCTTCGGCGGAATCGACTCATCCATTTTTCATGCTCTCGAGCCGCAAAATTAATTGCGGCATTCACGAAAGGACATTAATTTTGTGAAAGATTATTTTAATACGCCTATATATTTATTTTGACAGAAACGAATACGTTTAAATACACCGCGTTTTTAGAGAGATCAACTTGATAATCTATTTCCTCGTCCTTCCGGAACGCAAAAAATAATAATAAATTAGTGGAAAAAACAACAGAGGAAGTCCTACGGCGACCTAAAAATTATTGGCACATCCAATTAAAATCGTAAATTAATTATATCATTTTAATTTTTATTTACATATAGATTTCTGGAGTCTTCTGAGGAAAGTTAGGTAATAAATAATTATTAAATTATTTTTTGTAATTATTAATAATTGCCACAGTCATGACAGTACAGTTTTAAGTCACACTTAAGATAAAATTTATCGCACTTATTTTTTAATAATTGTCTATAAATGAATCGTGCTTATAAAATGAAATGCATGTTTTTAAGTGTGTAGTGGATCAAAGTAAAAGTTACCATGAAAGTCCTAATACTAGTGCTAGCCTATGCGTTTTTAGGCGCTGAAGCTTCATCTTCTCGTCACCAATGGAAACAATTCAAGGTAGAACAAAAAATAAAAATATCTATTTACTCACACTATTATAAAGTACCTATTCAGTAAGTAAATCAATTGATTCATGCTTTAATTCAAGAGTAACTTCGGCGTAAGATACGAAAACCTGGCCGAAGAAAGACACCGCTACCAAATATTCCAAGACAACCTGAGGAAAATCGAAGAACACAACGCCAGATACCAGCTGGGATTAGAAACCTACTACATGGGGGTCAACCAATTCTCCGACATGACCCAGAGGGAGTTCGGCCAAATGCTGCGCGGCAAAGGCGTCGCGGCGCTCAACAGGACGCCCGCAGCGCGACCGGCCAGGCGCCTGCACAAGCAAGGAAGAGACGACTTCGACTGGGAGGACAAGGGCGCCGTGTTGGACGTGGGGGACCAAGGCGATTGCCAAGCCGGATGGGCCTTCAGCGCGGTAAGTAGCCCATAAATCCTTACACAGGGTTCGAAAGTAATTGGCGCCGTGTAGACAGGAGCGCTGGAGGGGCTGAGCATCATCAAGATGGGCTTCGGGTACCAGCTCAGCGCGCAGCAACTGGTGGATTGCGCCGTACCCGAAGGAGGCTCTTGCGCCGATGGAGACATAGAAACTGCTTTTAAGTACGTGATTGCTAACGGGCTGACCAGACAAGCTGATTATCCTTACACGGGCGTTAAAGGGAAATGCAACGCGACCAAGGAAAGCTTCGTCACCGCTAAGACTATCGTGAAAGGTATTAACACCGAAGATGACCTCGAACGTGCTATGTGTGAGTAAAACGAGCGATTATCTAGTAAGTTAGTGCTTATCGGCTTTGTTTTGTAGTTTCTCATGGTCCGGTTTCTGCGTACATAGACGGGGAACCCCTTCATCAATACCAAGGCGGTGTGTTCCAGAGCAAAGCTTGTTCCATGAATGAAACGAGACTGACTCATGGCGTGCTTGTTGTTGGTTACGGTTTTGATGATAGTATTGATATGGTTTTTTGGAATGTCAAGAATTCCTGGGGGGAAAATTGGGGAGAACAAGGCTACGTAAAAATACTAAAGAACACTAATATGTGTGGCATTGGTAAAAAAGCCTTGTTTCCTAATTTGTAATGGAAATAAGATGATTAGTTTGAATTAAATATTTACATTTATGTTAATGTTGTTTTTCAATAAATTTAGTAAGCTACCCTTTGTTGGATAAATAAGCAGGAAAATTAGAAAAAATAGAGCAAAAAATCGTAGTATTTTAGTACAAAGCACTTCAATATAATCGATAAAATTTAATATAAACGTTGTCTTGTGACAATTTCAATCACTTAAGTAATCACTTAAGCAATCACTTAAGTAATCAAAACGTAACGTCTCGGCCGGACGGCGAATACTTGACGGGCCACGAGGAGCTGTTTGCGCCGCCTGGGCGCGGGCTTCTGCAGGGGCGCCACATATTTGTTCGATAAATTATTCAAAAAAAATTATTATTTGAATAACATGTCAATTTCAAACACAGTTGTAAAAAAGAAGAAAATCAGGACTTGTACTTTAGTAGACATTAATCTCAATAACCGTCAAATAATCTAAAAAAAGAAAAGAGAAGAACTGAACTATATAACCTCAAATTTAATTTTGGAGTGCAAATTTATTTCCATTTTCAAGTTCTAAACGACTAATACTAATGATAAATACATAATAATCTACTCGATTAAATGGCTTCTTCAGCTGGGATCTACAAAAGAATTCTGTCATTATTAGAGAAATGGCCGGTAGATCAAAGTAAAGCAGGCGGAAGGTACTGTATGGACCTTTAAAATTACCACTTTTTACCACAAAATTAATTTCCAGGGACTTTAATGAATATCTGACCAATTTCGTAAACACCGCATACAAAGAAAATAAATTCGAAACCAACCACAAATACTGGGACAACCAATACTTAGCATTGCAAAAGTTGATCAACAACAATCACAAAAACAAGTATCGAAGGTCGTTAAACACCTCCGCCACAGGACTGTCCGCAGAAGAATGTAATTTGGTGCTCTCCAACAAGAGTTTAGAGGAATTAAACGTACAAAAGAAATCATTTTTCCAAAGTTTAATATCGTTAAAATAAAACCATGTTATATAGAAATAGCATATTTAGACTAGTTAGACATTACAGCGCGGAATTAAACCCTCCCCACAAGCCCGTCATGGTAGACGAAGTCCTCCAGTACTTAAAACCCGAGAGCGGCGAGACCTGCTTAGACATGACCTTCGGAGCGGGGGGCCACAGCAGGAAACTGCTCCAAAAATGTCCCGATATAAAGCTACTCGCCTTAGACAGAGACCCGATCGCCCACCAACACGCCCAAAACTTATGCGAGGAATACCCCAATCGAGTAGTCCCGATGCTCGGGCGCTTTTCCGAACTCAACGAGCTCCTCAAAGCCAAAGGCATCGGACCCAACTCCATCGATTGCATCCTCCTAGACTTGGGTTGCTCATCGATGCAGTTCGACAACGGAGAGCGAGGATTCTCCATATCCTGCAACGGACCTCTGGACATGAGAATGGACGGAAACAGATTACCAGGTAGGTTTACTAGTTAATAGTCTATTACAGCTATCGGTACGTTGATATTCTAGATTCCTACACGGCAGCGGACGTGCTCGCCAAGGCAACGGAGGAAGATTTGTACAAGATCATAAAAGTCTACGGGGAGGAGAAGCAGGCCCGCAAGATAGCCCGGGCGATCATCGAGGCCCGGTACCTGTTCAAGCCGCTGACGACCACCGAGGAACTGGCCGATCTGGTGCGATCCGTCTGCGACGAAGAGTACCGCTTGGACAAATTGCAGCGCAAGAGCCACGTGGCGACGAAGACGTTCCAGGCGCTGCGGATATTCGTCAACAACGAGCTGAACGAGATAAATTACGCGCTCGTTTTGGCGCACTATTACCTGAAAATCGGCGGCCGGATCGTTTCCATATCGTTCCATTCGCTGGAGGATACCATCGTGAAGAGACACCTGACGGGGAACGTGCTGGAGAACACGGCGAACGCGCTGCCTTTGAAATACAACAACTGCTCGAGTTACCTCGAGCAGGGTTTTATTGAGGGTATACAGAGGACGAAATGGAAAATGTTGCACCAGCACGTGTTGCTTCCTAGGTACGAAGAGGTGGAAGAGAATCCGAGAAGCAGGTCTGCTAAATTGCGCGCCGCTGTTAAAATTATTTAATGTATTTTTAGTTGTTATTTAGCGAGTGAATAAACGAATTTAAATCGTACACTTAGAATATCGTTACATCAGTACAACAGTAAGAGAAACGTTATCAGCGTATTCTGCGTATTTTTATAAGGGGTATTAAAATATTTACATTGGTTTTACAGATATCAAACGTTTTATAGTTTTGAAAGAAGTTACCTAAGCCTTGGCGAAATCCTAACGTGCTTTATCATGATCTTGTATTTAGATAATTTTTCGAAAATATTTAGTAAGTTAGGAATTTTTGTATAATCAGGATATACATTTGGGATAATGTTCGCTTTTGAATCCTGTATATAATTATTTTAGTGGTTCTCTTACAGTTAATTTGGTGGGATCTTATCTCAATGTGAATTACAAACGGGTAAGTAGAAATAAAGTCTAACACTTCTGGATGTAATACAGGGTGTCCCAACATTAATAGTGGCACTTTGAAGGCCTATAACTTCTCAGGAATGTAATAACTTTGTATTAAGTTAAGTTGGGTTAAACAACCCAACAAGGATATTTTAAGCTACCCTGCTCAGTGTGGATTCTTGTGCGGGACACCCTGTATATCAATAACAGTTTAGATTAGATTTTATAAAACGAGTAAAACTTAGATTTTTCATGATACAAAAACCAGCTATACAGTAGGTATTTCCCAAGCGAAGAAAACTGTATAGGAAGGGATGTTTTATTGATTTTTCATCAGGGGTTTTCGCCAACAGAAGGCGATTGCGTTCCCCGCTAACTCCAGTGACACACTAAACTCCTATCAGCTGATCGGAAAATTATAATCTTTTCCGAAATGTTGAAATTGTTTGTCTATTATGCTTTTAGTACATTTAAAGTATTTTAATTGTTTTAAAAGAAAATACCTCTTTTAGAGAATGTAGGTGAGTAGATACATATGCTTAATCGTATCACTTTCTCGATTTTAAACTAAATAATAGCATGTTTATACAAAATTCTCTAAATTGTTCCAACCCAACGAGTGACTCGTTAACACAACCTCAACTGAATAAGATACTGCTCATTAAACTGCTATTTTTCAGGTACTTCAACTCTCCACATCTTCTTCCTCTTCGAGCAAATAATGCAGTAAACGACTATGATCACCCTACGCCCGAATCTAAAATGTCTATCGATCGCCTCCTCTCTAATCGTCATCGTCTTCCTCATCATGTCCATGAGCACTTCCGCGCCTCCGGCGACCCTCAAAGTCGACAGGATCCTCAACAGCGAAATGTCCGGCAACCGGAGCTACACTCCGGGCGATTTCCTCAAATTCATCCACCCGGACCCGGCGAACCAGAGCTACTGCACGTTCAACTACAAATTCCCGGAGGACTTGAAGTTCGGCTCCAACGACGTGGACTTCCCGCCCGAACTGGGCAAAACCAGCCCCTACCGGGTCATCTACAACGTCCTGCAGGCCAAAATGGCCGAAGGGGTACCGGAGGTGACGTACGCGACGCACGTTTCCGCCGATTTCATGTATTATCTACCGGAACTAGTGAGGTAGCGGGACGGTAAAATAAAGCGGCTGGAGGTTTAAGATGTGTTTCGTAGGTTTTGGGACGGTTTCATCAGCGTTACGGCATTCGTTCCGGACCTGGATGTCGCTCTCGTGCTGGAGCAGCTCAATCAGTACTGCTATTGCCTGCCGGGGATGTCCCGAGTTTCCGTGCATTTCGTGTTTCACAAGAGCCTCGCGCCCTCTCGCAAGGACGTGTACTTTACTAGGTCGAATAACTGCGAAATTATCGATTCTTCTAAACTGAGCACATACAGGTAATGCTATTTATGGGATACACACGCTATGAATTAATTATGCAATTTTAGACATGCTGATGATAGCGTTATGTATCCAATCAACGTGTGTAGAAACGTTGCGAGAACGGCTTCCTTAACAGAAAGAGTCGTGGTGTCTGACATACAATTGATGCCGAGCGAAGGTAAACTACGATTGTATTTAGCAATAAAAAATCTGATCTAACGACGCTTTTAGGCCTGGCCCAAAAGTTCCTGAAGATGATAGACAATTACAAGTTGATCGGATGCCAAAAGAAGGTGTTTGTTCTTCCTATATTCGAAGTGGAATCGAACGAGGAGATTCCTCGGTCTAAACGAGAACTTATAGAACTAGTGAAAGAGAAACGGGCTGTGTACTTTCATAAATTAGTGTGCAATCACTGTCAGAAGTTTCCCGGTATCGAGTCGTGGATGAAAAGTGAACCCCCAGATGATATTGTTAAAGTCAGTAAAAAAATTCTAACATCCCTCTGATGTAACGGCCCTTTTCTTTGCAGCCATTATTAACAGCTAGGAGAGAAGTGCCTTATCACAGGTGGGAACCAATCTATCTAGGAACAAAAAACGAGCCCTACTACAACGAACAGCTCTCGTGGGAAGGACTACAAGACAAAATGCTGCAGGTATATTTCATTTGGTCATCAAGGTTTTGATGATGTACAATGTACATGTTATGGATAAACCTAGATAAACGACTAAATCTAGGGTAAACATGGGTAGGTAAGCTAAGGTAGGGTAGAGTAGGGAAGGTTTTTTTTGGGTTTCTTGGGTACCCGTTATGCCACGAGAAACCTATCCTACCCTGCTCTACTCTGAATCTCACTTTACCCGAGTAAACCTAGGTTTAGTCCTTTATGTAGCCTTTATCAGAATGAAACAATTTGCACTCATATTTTTGCTCTCCTTAACAAACTCGACGCGTTCCATTGGACTTTTTCAGATGCTGGAAATGTGCCTTATGGAATACCAATTCGTCATTCTCGACGGAGCCTTCTTGATCCATTGGCCGGGAATGAAGAAGAAGAAGGACAAAGTGGGCGAAGAATGGCGAGGCGACTTCGTGAAAACCAACAATATCGAATACAATAAAATCCTCAAGAACCTACTCAAAAGCTACAAACCCAAACCGCAATGTAAAGCCCACTGATCGATGATTGTTTTTATTAAATATTTACGTAGCGTTTGTTTGAATTCTCACTTACCGTTGTCACTTGTCATGGTGCCTCGAAACGTGTCGCCTCAGATTACTGGCGTCCCTGTAGCCTTTTTTGCAATGGGGGCACACGTGGGGCGTTTCGCCCGTATGCTGCCTCGAGTGGACTTTCAAAGTGCTGTGGTACGAGAAGGCTTTACCGCAGTAAGAGCAAACGAACGGTTTCTCGCCGCTGTGAATCCTCAAGTGCTCCTTCAGATGGTTCGATTGCACGAACGATTTCTCGCACTCGTTGCATTTGAAGGGTTTATCGCCGTTGTGCGTGAGTACGTGGTTATTCAGCCCGCTTTTTTGGAAGAACCGTTTGTCGCACTGCGTACACTAAAACGTAAAAGTTATCCTCCTGCTAGTTTTAACCGGATGTTTACCTGAAACACTTTTCGACCGGTGTGGATCCTCATGTGCACTTCTAAGTAGGCCTTCATGGTGAACTTCTTGTCGCAGAACTCGCAGTTGAAGTTCCTTTCGTTGGAATGGGTGAGAATGTGATTGGCCAGGCAGGATTTCTGGTGGAAACTCTTGCTGCAGTGATCGCACCGGAAGATTTTCTCCCTCGTGTGGGTCAGGATGTGCCGCTTGAGGTCGTTGCTTTGGCCGAAGGACTTGGGGCATCGGGGGCACGGGAAGGGCTTGTCGCCCGTGTGGCTGCGAATGTGTCTCGCTAGATGGGAGTTTTTGGTGAATTTCTTGCCGCAGTAGTTGCAGAGGTATTTCTTCTGGTCCGCTTGGCGTTTGTGCGTGCGCAGGTGGTTGATGTACGATGATTGTTTGTAGAAGATTTTGTTGCAGTTTTTGCATTCGGAATTGCTCGAGGACTCGTCCGGATTATTCGCGGGTGGGGTTTGATTCGATTCGCTATCGGAATCTAGTAGGCTCGCCTCGTAGAGTTTCTTCAGTAGCGTTTCTTGCGTTTCGCATTTTTTTATAAAGTCCGATAGGTTTTGCAATTGATTTACGCAATTATTGCAAATGTTTGCTGGTAATTTCGTGTCATTTATAGTGAACTGCAAAAATATTAATTAAGTGTTATTTAACCGGTAATTTTTTTTAATAAAATAAAGTTTTGGTTGGTTACCTCGGATTTAATTATTTGCGTATAAAAATCGTATAATTCTTTGGGAAAAGCACCGAGATTTTCGTTTGTGAAACAAATACGACAAATCTTATTAAAATCTAAAAATGTTATTGTTTCATTCATATTATTCAATTTGTTTCATTTTAAATAATACGTTTGTAAAAAATATAAACAAACTTAAAAAACTATTTGACACATAAAAGCTAGGTTAATAAAATCTTCTTTTCAGTTTTGACAGAGTGGCCTTGTTCTTCTAAAGCTGGCAGTTATTTATTTATTACTATTGTTAATTATAAAGTTAAAATAACATTCGTTCAAAAAGTTATTTTCTCCAAAATTATAACCAGAATGTACTCATTTCATTACAGATATTTTAAAATCTGTAAAAAATAAGAATCTAAATATGTACTGAATTAGTTTCAATCGACCCTACAACCATTTAAAATTGAAGATAAAAAATTTATGTTATTTGAGCCGATAAAAAAATAATAATCCTACTTAATATATATTTATTACTTACACATTGCAACATCATTACCAAAGAGTTAAGTTTTTTCCACTTAAAGAGGTCTATCTTATCAAGGGTAAAAATCGTTGAGTATCCCGTAGATACTCTTTTTATTGTTTTAGCAGGTATTTTAGATAAACTTACTAAATGTTTATTATGTTACAAATTATCGATTTAGTTATCAAAGAATAGAAACTAAAAACTGGAACAAAAATTACTACCTATACCCAAAATAAATAAATATATCAATTTAACCCAATGATCTATCACTAAATATATGCAAGATAACTTTCAATAAAAGCGATGTAATGAAACTATTTTATTGATTTTATCTACTTGATATTTGCTTAATATCGAGAAAGGTGCGTATATTAAAAAATCCATTTATCTACATCAGATATCAATTATAAAAATTCGAAATCGTTAAACCGATCTATACACCCATAGGAGAAGCGTTATCTGAAATTTCATAATTCGATTGAATTTGAGAGCAATGAAGCAGTTTAGTCGAAAATAAAAAGCGAATAACGCGCGTTTCTTTTGCATGTAGTTTGTTGCACAAAATTGCAAATAAGACAAATCGCGGTGAGAATGTGCGTGTGAAATAATAAAAATCTACAAGAATTAATAGAGATTGCTTGACAATAACAGAATAATTATTGCAGTAAGTAGGATTATTATATTATTTTGTAGGTATTATACCTGTTACGTTTTAAATATATGTTTTAAACAAAATTCCTTTTACTAGAAAAAGTAGGTATAGATGTGTTTATGTGGGTAATAGGAATATTGTCTCTAAAAATTGGAACAATTATTCGATCCAATTAAATGTAATGAACATTTTCATAATTATCTAGGCGCATTTATAGCCAAAAAATAATAAACTTATGTTTCATTATAAACAAATTACGCCATCTCAGAAAGTACATAAACCATCCTCCTACATGTTTAAGATGATATACATGCATATGCGTAAAATATCTAAAAATAAAAACTAATTAATCGTGCAAATGACAGTTGAAAATAAATAAACTCAAAATTTTTATAGAGCGATTTTTTATCGGAATTTAAATAAACTAATAATATAGGATGTCCCCATGAAAAGTAGCCCACTCACAAATAGTAGATACAATTTGGTTACTGAGGAGATTTTGCTAAAACACCCTGTTCAAGTGATACAAAAATTCTGTGTCAATGCAACAAAAGTTATGTTGGGGCACCCTGTATAATATAACTCACAAATATAATCTACTATCAAATAAATTAAATATTCATAAGTACAATCTGCCTCAAATTAAATACCAATATTTACCAATAAATAATATATTTAATAAAATACCTAAATATTAGATACGATAGGTAAATAAAAAAATTAGTCTATTATTTTATATTATGGTTAAAATTAATTAATTAATTTATTTTATAAATTAAGAATCAATATTTATTAATTAATATAATTAATAATTATATATTTCAGATTGACTATATTGTCATAGCGGAAATGGACAGTTTCAGCAGCATGAAAATTAATTACAAAATAATGCGACAATGAGAATTACTTATATTTGGATATTGCTTTGTCTAAGTTGGGAAATTCGTTTCACACAGGTAGTTAATCGCTTTAAATATCGAAAACACCTACATTATAACTATTATTTCAGGCCTCTTTAAATGGTAACAACATTACATCAGTGGGTAAATATTTCTCAAAATTCCAGTAGGTAATTGATACACAATAAAAATGTAATTATAGTTTTAGAAAAAAATTTCTTAGTCAATTTGAAGATTAACGCTTTCTTAGACGATCATCGCCTCATCCGGTTGAACATTAGCTGGGAAAATTTCACTGGCAAGTTTATTAATTTTCTATAGGTACTTAAAATAAATGTTTCATTAATGCAACTCGCATACTGTTTTCAAACAGCATCAATATGCGAATTTCAACTTCACAAGCTAAGGAAGTGGTCAAGACCTATATTTTATACACCTAACAGAATTTAAATTGCAGATCCGATAGAACACATGTACGTATCATTTATCGATGGGAAAGGTTGCAGTGCAATTGAAGACATTGACATATTTCCCGCAAAAGAAGTAAATCCACCAATTTTTAAACTAAACATTACCAAATTTTCAATTCGTTTTTTCTAGTCTTCATATCTCATAAGACCTTCTCCTGATTTGACAAATCCCGTTGATATATTAATGAACGGCTGCAAGTACGAAATTATTTTCGATGGCGTGTATTCGACTCAAAATTTTAACCAACTCGTAAACTACACAATCCCAGGTGAAAAGTATAATCAAAATACAATCGAGCTTCTGGTAGAAAGAATTGTTTCTAAAGAATTTTGGTATCTTTGCAGATTGTGTACAGGACAAATGCAAATGCAGGAAACGGACTGATTCTCCACATGAAATAGGAAGTATAACATCACTAACCGATGGTCATTACTTTATCCGATGGTTAAAGAAACCCAACATTAATATTACGATTATCGACATTTCATAGTAAGTACCTACGCTTTAGTATTATATTACCCATTTCTAATTACTACAATTTTTGTGATAGCAAAAGACAAAAAAATTCAACAACATTTACCAACGTTAAAGAAGAATCTACCACAGATACAGGAATTAAAATTTTATTGACTGATATCAAGGAAGATGTTCCATACACTGTGATTATTCGATACAGTTTGGATGGATGTATTTACGTTTCGTCCAGGAATTTCACAAGTAAATATTAGGAATGTTTTCCATTTATAATAACTACATCTAACTTTTTGTAGTACCGAAAAAATCGAATGTCCAATTAATAATTTTAATAACCACGTTAATTATCGCGCTGATTTTGTTAATCATCGTTATCCTGAGTTATAAGTATTTGAAAAAGTTGTTTAGTTCCGCCAAGGGTTACAAACATGAAGTCTATCCCTTGAATCCGTTGCCTTCGAGGTAGGAACTTTAATGCAAACAAATGTCTATATTTATTAACAGTTTTATTTATATTTTAGTTCGAAAAAAGAAGTGGTTAATCCGAAATACGTCTCGCTTGAATTTTTAGAGGTAGTTACTTGTTTATATTCTAACAACATACACTTTACTTCAATCATTAAATTTTCCTTCACTTCCATCAGAATGCTTATAAATACGACGACTACGAACTGCCAAGACGTAGAATCATCAAAGAGAAAATACTTGGCGAAGGAGAATTCGGAGTAGTCTACGAAGGACGTGTATTCGAACTAGGAAGCAAACAAGGCTACACGAAAGTCGCCATTAAAGAATTGAGAGGTACTTGGAACAAACCAATTTTGTTCCCGTATTAAATTAAGCTCTGGCTTAATTGCAGAAAATTCGCCGAAGGAAGGGGAGCAGGATTTACTCGACGAGATGGAGATCATGAAAATAATCGGTCATCACGACCACATCATCGGTTTATTGGGCTGCGTTAGAGTCGATAGACCGTTGATGATGATTTTGGAATTGGCCGACATTTCCTTAAAGAACTACCTCATGCAATTGAGGAAAAGATGGTCGGACAGACGGAGCACATTCTTTTTCGCCGATTATAAGTATTTTAAAATTTAAATTGCTCCATCCTATTGGACTAACGCTTTGTCTTTCACAGCGATTCGTTCGATACTTGGCAAGAGCAAAAAACAAAGTAAGTACTTGCTACTACGCATTTTGTAGAAGTACCTTCAATTTATATTTATATAACTTTCAGTAATCAAACAACAGTTTCTCAAACTCTTTCTCCAGTCTCCATTACATCCAGCTCTCTACCGTCGTCCGCAAACAGTAAGCATTTTATGAAATCAGTTTGCAATAAATTTAGATCGTTTTTTAAGCCGAAATCACAACACTCGGCGGCGAATACGTTTCAAGAATTGAAGCCGTTCTGGACCACAACGAATTACATCGATTCGCCGTGCAAATCGCTCGAGGAATGGAACATTTGGAGAAAATCAACATAACCCACAGGTGATTGTGCACCTACAGACCGATGCGTATAACTAGAGACGCGACCTGCGCAACTTTCACTTCAGTTGTCTACAACGTGTACTTAATACTCTCGTGTTTCAGGGATTTGGCTACTAGAAACGTTTTGATGATGGCCGACGGTAGGGTTCTCAAGATATCCGATTTCGGCCTATCCAGGGACGCGATTTACAGTCCAAGCGGCAAGAGGAAGATGCCCTTGCGTTGGTGGCCCATCGAGGCGATAGAGCAAAGGACGTGGTCCAGCAAAAGCGACGTTTGGTCGTTCGGAATCGTTCTTTGGGAAATCGGAACGCTAGGTACGTTGAGTAAGAAACTGGATTAGTTTTCATGATAGCCTCTGCCATCTGATTTCCAGGTGCTTTTCCGTATAACAAGACGCCCGATACTCTGTTGTTGTACGATTTGAAGATGGGGAAGCGACTGGAAAGGCCGAAAATATGCACGGACGGGCTCTACAAGCTGATGCTGGATTGTTGGAGCGAAAATCCGGAGAGGAGGCCTTCGTTCGCTGATATAGTGGAGCATTTGGACGAGAAAAAGAAGAAAATTTACGTGGACTTTAATGGCTTGAATCCGACGTACGATTTTCCTCCGGCGACGGACGAGCCTGTATTATGATTTGTTTGACTGATTTGTCTTGTGTGTATTTTGTACAAATTTTTATACGGTAATATAATTTTCATTTTTTGTTATATTTTTTTTTACGAAACTATCCATAATGAATAATTAGTGGATTATTTATGAGTAATTTTAAGAATTAGGTATCTCTATAAAGCGTCATGAATTTAATTAGAAATTTCATGAAAAAACGCAATCTATAATCAAATCAATAAATTCGATATGATGGAGACTTCATTTAATCGATTAATATTTTAAACCTAATTCCTCGAACTTTTTAAATAAAATAAATCGCAGATTAGTCTGGGGGTCTCTAAAAATTTACAGTATATTTAAATTATAATTTAGACATTTTGCCTATGAAATGCAATCTATCAAAACCCAACAAATTTACTTCATCAGGCCCCTTTTTTAACGTAACCTTCGAGGCAAAACAACTTCATTGTTCGATTATTTTGTTATAGATTAGATAAGATATTGATATCTATCAATTCGAAGACAAAAAGGTTTCGAAAATAGTGATATTTTAGAAACTACACGAGCATTGTCCATTATTGCATCGCAATGTCTACAGTAGAGAGTGACGTAGTTCGGCTACCGAGAACTGCACAATCCCCAAGTCCTAGAACTAATCCATCGGAATCCTCCAATAATGCAGATGAAGGTGAGAAAATTTATTGCAATATGGATGCAATTATTTCAATTTGGCAAACATGAATCGTTTCATTTTAAGAAATTTAAGTTAGTGTGTACTTAAACTTATCTAATTTTCATAGATTTTTCATAGAATCATCGAACGATGATTTTGATATTTTGAGGTGATTTTTTTTTATATTTCGAAGTAAATTGTTCAAGAATATTAAAATGGAAGAAGGAAGTGGGTCAAGTTCATACGCCGCGCAACAATGGTGTTCGCAAAATACAAATACATTTCCAATTAAAGCCGCCTTATGCAGAAAATTATAATAAACTGAGGTCTTTTTAATTGAATCGCATTTTTATACACAAACTGTCTCAATGCCAGAAATAAAATATCAGAGAAAATCTGGATTCATTTTCACAAATCTCATATGAATGCGTGTAGATTTATAATTATTTATTAATAACTTTAATTTTTGCTTCAAAGATTTTAACCTCGATGAACAATTTTTTGGTACAGTTCACTTTGGTGATTAGTTTTCCAGTTGACGCTTTCACCCTTGTTCTAAATTATCTAAATTAAATCCGAACAATTGTTTACTCGTAATGATTTAGTCAAAATTATTCTAGCCAGCATTCGTAATATCTTCTCGATCCTCCTCAACATATAATTTATTCCAGCTAATCCTACTAAACCCGCTATTCAATATAATTTTTCCACAGCCAGCCGCAAGAAATGTATACCATTACCAACCTAAACAAAATACTCTAATTGCTTACTTCTACCATATTTCCAGGAGTTCAGAGAATGTACCAGCAGGTACGCGCGTTACGCGCAACCCCAACGAAGAAATTCGTGGAGCGACAACGCTATAGAACAGGCAGACTGGAATATCCGAGAGATGGAGGAAAAGATCCGGGACTGGTCTACATTTTCAACCACGAGAATTTCGACGATTACAACGTCGATAGTCGAGATGGAAGCAGCTGGGACGTCGAAGAATTGGCCCTCTGTTTACAACGATTGGGCTACAACATAACCAAGGAAAATAACGTATTGTCCGATTTAACCTCTGCCCAAGTCAGAACGAAGATAAAAGAGAGTATAATTATTTATTGTTGTGCATTAACGAGGCGATTAACGACGTTTTTTTTATAGTTGCTGAAAGCGATTTGAGCCAGTATAATTCGTTGATTATATTCGTCCTGACGCACGGCAATAAATCTAACACTTTGCGCACCAAAGATGGCGAAATATATGCCATAGAGTTCTGGAATAAAATCGGCGAAAACCCAACATTGGCTGACAAACCTAAAATGTTTGTGTTTCAAGTAAGGCTTCATCCAAATTAAGTCGGTTTCGAATGTTAAAGGCATCAAATTTTTAGGCTTGCAAAGGCGACGGGTATTCGACAACCGGTAGCGAGGAAATCCCCAAAAGTCTTAAATCATCTTCCAAGATTGTCCCAACGGAAACATTTTCAACCAACTATTTAAAACCGCATACATTAACTGTATATGCTACCATTGAAGGTACGCTTCTAAACCCAGTACTCAATAATCCCCAGCAAACTTAAGCCAACATTTTTCAAACTAAAGTACTACTATAGCATAAGAGTACTTCTGTTAATACTAGATATCTTAATATTAGGCAACGTCTCGTTCCGGGACACCAGGAGGGGTACTTGGTTCATCCAGGAGCTGTGCAAAAATTTCTCGGCTTATGGGAGACGGGACGATGTTCTCAGCCTGCTGATCCGCACGACGAAATGCGTGTGCTGGAACTACGCCAAAGGCAACAAGAAGCAGATGCCCTTCTTCGTGTCGACGCTGCGGAAGAAGTTTTACCTCAACACGAACCGAGACCGGGACGCTTTGATGAGGATCGCTGAAAGCAACGAGAAGATTCTGAAGAACTTGGAGGAAATTAAGAAAGGTCTCCTCGCCGTTCTGGACGAAAGGAAGAAATAATGCGGGTTTTGAGTTTTAAGAAACGGCTAGGTTGTTATTCTTATAGTACCTAATGTAATATAAATATTGTGTGGATATTAAAACGACTGAGCGTTCAGCGAATAACGTTAATGAAACCAAAATGCGAATAGATAATAGACATATTTCGATTTTTATCTATTTAGCAATAAAAATAATTTTAGGAATGTGAATAGTACGCATGCGAATTGACTCTACGCCTAGAAAATTAGAATAAATATTTGCGTAGCCAATTTTCGAAGTATTCAAAGTTGTTTTAAAAATGTTTAAAGAGTGAATGTGAATCGGTTAATTATCATTTTTTTCCAGAAACTGAACAATATTGTAACTGTAAATAAATACATCAGAAACACATGTTTATATACTTATATAATTTGTATGTACTTATTAAATATTATTAGCTAATTATTACACATGTGCTGATTGTTCAAAAATTTCGTACCTATTTGATTCGGTTTTTAACATTTTTAAATATTTTACAGGATTTAATATAGATAAATTGATGTAAAAAACAGCAATTACAATAATTAAACATGCAGTTGAAACAACACTATTCATATTTATAGTTATTTTAACCCGACATTTCGTTATTTTTTTTAATTTATTGGATACTAGCACACTACCAATTTACACACGAATAGAAAATATTTTTAAATTGTATTAGATAGTACTTATTAAATTTTAAAATATTCCAGCGTGATAAACATATGTCATATAGAAACTTGAAAAAAGCATAAATTTTAATGTAATATAAAACAGAATTTGGAAGTTTGAGTATGGATTTTGAAATGAAAAATTTAATAAAAAACAAATATCCTGATGCAAATATTTAACCAGCTGGTAAGTTAAATATTACTTTTAGCCTCCGGTTAGAGACCAATTTTCTTAACCTACCCAAAATTTCTTCCTTTAGAAGCTCAAAAAATAATTCTCTATAAATTTCCTCATATCCCTATTCTTTTATCTCGTAAGTTTCTTCCACATTTCATCATTAAAATCTCTTCCAATAGGTAAAAATAATTCACCAAAATCTTTTTTCGTGGTGACACGAAAATCGCCCTTGAATCTTCTAATTACAACTACAAAGACAGAACAGTTAACTAAAAAAAATTACATTAACGACCTCAAAAAGGTAGAGGGGGAGCGATTTTCATCAGCAATACAGTTCAGGTTGTAGGTATATAATATGCAATCGTAAATGGTTAAGGTCGAGTTCAATAAGTTTGCTCGCCATACCTAACTTTAACGCGTTACCTGCTCGAGTTCCACTCAAAATGTTCATCGTGATTTATCTGCAACTGCTGATGCTGTGTGTGCAAGTATTCCTGCATCCCGCCCAAAAAAATGAAGAAGAAGGTAGGTAGAGTCTTTGCAAAATCAATTAAATATTAAAAATCTATTCAGTTCTCTTTAAGGGGTAGATTTTTATTTTCGAAAATTTTGCATCCATTATTAATTTAGTACCCAATTCATATTTTCGAAATAATTTCAATTCTCCCAGTAACACAATAAACAGAAATTGGAGACATTTTTTTATTCTACATATTTTTCAATCATTTGACAATTTTTCAAAATGTAAAAAATAATTTAATAATAATACTAGTATAAAGAAAATGATTCGTAATGTCAGTGGTCAATAAAGCTATTATTATTATAACATCCTGTATATTATAATAGAGGATATTTTTGATCTGGGGAATTTATCTTTATGCAAAATTCAATGCTGTAAAAAATGTATTATAATCAAAAATTTGATAAAAAAATTCGCCAAGCAGGTATGCATATTATACAGATTGTAATACTATTTGAGAGTTATTAATAATTTATTGTGAGGTAGGTATAGTAATTAAATGCTAATGAATATTTATGTACCTAATAAACGCTTTTTTAACACGGTTGACCTTTGGAATGATTGATCCAAAGTTTGTATCTCATTAACAGGAATATTTTATTCGCATAGAATAAATAATTAATCTGAAACGCTTGAATAAACTCAATAAAGTTCGGCCCAAAAAACTATATCATGTTTAATTTCTCGGGTTTTTATCTATCCATGAAATAGAAGAAATGCCGGCACTTGCATAATTTCTTTACAAGGCTTTCATTCTCGATAAATGTGGATTAATAACCAATTCATCCTTCTCGGTTACGCCAAGTTATTCCCGTTAAAAAAAATCAGCAAGGTAAGCGACATAATAAGAATTTGTCTGCAATACTAAGTTGCATGGACATTTCATCATAATTGCCATATTAATTCAGCTAATTTGATTGTCGCATTTCCTTCTTCGTTCGAAGGGGAATGGCGATTTAAAAACGTCGCTTTTAATTTGGTTAATTTATTTGACTTTGCAAAAATTTAACTTTAGCTGTTAGATTTTTGAATGTATCACGAAGGAATTCGAAATAATTTCAGACGATGATATCCTTCCTTACCCGAATAAAATAATTCGAAACAAAACTATAGAAGAGCAAAATGAGGAAGCCACCAAGGAGTATTGGAACAATGAAGCTACCAAAGTCCTGAAGAGGAAATTATCGGCGAATTTAAATAAGAGTAAGAAATGCCGGAGATTGGGGATATTTTTCTAAAATCAAGCGTTGATTTTTAATTGTAGACGTTGCTAAAAATGTGATATTTTTCCTGGGCGACGGCATGTCTATACCTACTATAGCAGCAACCAGGATGTATCTAGGAGGTGAGGAAGAGCAGCTCTCTTTCGAGAAATTTCCCTATACCGGACTCTCTAAGGTAATTTTCTTCAATTCCAAAATGACACCAATAGAAAATTTTAGGTGCAAATTCTTAAATCAAATATCCGGGCATTCCATTTTTTTATCTCAAAAGAAGGATCTTTCTCATCGCATATTCCTCCACTTAACGCATATTTTCGTAATAAATTTAATAACATTTAATAACTAAAAAAATAAATAATTTTTCTCACATCAGCAACTCCGAATAATACAACGTATAATTTATTTACGTTGTTATTCATTCAAACCTAACTTGCGTGATAATCGTATTAATTCAACAGCGCGAATTGTAAAAATTTTTTATTGCGACGACCAAATTTTTGAACACATTAAATCTCACATAAGTACATAATGTGTCAATTAACCATCGCTTAAATGATATAACGAAACGGAATAGTCTGTTTCACTACGTGATAAAAGTACTAATAACACAAGGATGGACACAGGGGAATCGTATGGGGGAAACCCCATAATCTCTTATACCACAACCTTACCTTAAGTAGGTTCCTTTTTATCAATATTTCCTTGATTTTAGACCTACTGCGTGGACCACCAGACAGCAGATTCGGCTTGCTCTGCTACAGCTTATCTGGGAGGAGTGAAAGCCAATCTGGCTACAATTGGAGTATCGGCGGCCGTTAACAAGAGAAATTGCTCGGCAATGAACCGCAAAGAGAACCAAGTCGACTCGATAGCGAGGCTGTTCCAACTAAAAGGCCGCAGAACCGGCTTGGTCACGACCACCAGGGTGACCCACGCCTCTCCAGCAGGTAATTTCCAGCTAATTTTATCTTCCGTCTATCCACAGATTCTTTAACTCTGTTTTATTCTTCCACTCTTACCATAGCTTCAACATGCCTCATCTAATTTCTCTTGGACCTACTTCTTGTGCATAGTTTCTTTTTCTACTCCAGATTTTTTGTTTAGATTTGTATAGTTTTCTTTTGCTTCCAGGTGTATACGCCCATACAGCGTATAGGCGATGGGAAAGCGATACATCAGTGATGAAATCAGAACACGATCCTAAAGAATGCAGGGACATCGCCTATCAGCTGGTATTCGGCGAAACCGGCAAGAACCTCCAAGTGATCCTGGGAGGAGGCAGGAAAAACTTCCTCCCGACCGAAGAGACCGACGAAGACAATCAACCCGGCGCCCGATCGGACCACGCGAATTTGATAAACGAGTGGATCAAGCAAAAGCGATCGCTCGGCGCGAAATACGAATACGTCTCCGACAGGCAGCAATTGCGGCGCGTCCGCAACGACACCGAGTACCTGCTGGGGTTGTTCGACAACGGTCACATGCGCTTCAACCTGGAACGGGACCCGGAGCGGCAGCCGTCGCTGGAGGAGATGACCGAGGCGGCGATCAGAACGCTGCAAAAGGGCCCGGAAGGGTTCTTCCTGTTCGTCGAGGGCGGCCGCATCGACTCGGCGCACCACCTGAGCTCGCCGCACAAGGCCTTGGACGAGACCGCGGAGTTCTCCAAGGCGGTGCAAAAGGCCGTCGACATGACCGACGAGCGGGACACGCTGATTGTGGTCACGGCCGATCACGCGCACACCATGAGCTACGCGGGCTACGCCCAGCGTGGCAGCCAGATTTTCGGGTACGGCGGCAAGGCCATGGACGATGATCTGTACCCCATTTTGAACTACGCCAACGGGCCTGGATACAGGGTTATGGACGGCGGATTGAGATTCGTGCCTTCCGAGAATCAAATGAGTGAGTTCGTAGATATCTCTACATTTTATTGTTCATTGTTCTGGTCCATTGATAATAGGTATCATTAAAATGGTGTGTTTTGTTGAGATTGTTGAGATTGTTGTTCAATTTGGGCATATGTAGATGGCAGGACTTGTCAGCGCCGTACTGTGATGATGTTCTGTGCTCGTTCTCTTGCGCTCTATGAGTTCTTGTTGATGTTGACAGTTGACATTAATTGTTATTCGTTCTTGTCCACGGCACTATATTTCGGAGGTCTGAAAACAGCCTATGCTCATGCATTAGAGAATGTGTTCCGTTATTTGAGGACTTTTTGAGCATCACTTTTGCACCGCACCGTGGCGAACGATCGGAGGACCAACTTATCTCAGCCAATCAGCGTAGCGCTACGTATAAATCGCGGTTGCGTGAAACGACAGTTCGAGCTGTCAAAACTTCAAAAATTATTTTTCGACATTTCGAGGAGAAAATAGAGAAATACATTAACCGAAGATACGTGAGGCATGATAACAACAAAATTATCGCTGATTTAAGTATATTTTTATATTCTGTAGATATTTTATAATACCTTTTTTTAATTCTAATTCAAATATACAAAAAAAAAAACCGTGGTCCTTTAAAAAATCGCCTCCTAGCGGCCGTTTTAGGAACCCTGTTTTATCCTCAAATAACGGGACACTTTTTCGACCTATGTATGTTTCCAGACCTCAGAAATATACCGCCGTTGTTCTAGTTTACATTACCATTTTGTATTCTATAATATCACGCAACAAATTTGTATTAATACTCATCGTTTGTCATGTTTATTGCAGGTGAAGTAGGTTTTCAATGGCCGTCGACGACGCCCTTGGCGTCCGAAACCCACGGCGCCGATGACGTCGGGATCTTCGCCAGGGGCCCATGGGCACACCTCTTCAGCGGAGTAATGGAGGAGAACGTGACCCCTCACCTGGTGGCTTTTGCGGCTTGCGTCAGCAACGAAGTACCTTGCGATAACTTCAGGAAAGAAGCTTAGACAATTTTATTTAGACCAGACTTAGATTATTATCTCGATTATACAGAGACCAGAAAAACTATACCTAGATTATACCTAGAATATTCCTAGACAAGACAAAGACCAAGTCGTATATAGATTAGAAGAAAACTAGAAAAATAATTAAACACATCTATAAGTTTTTTGTAATCCAACTTGGATGAATGTTAGAAATGCGACGCTAAAATAGAAGTTTAGCATTTATAAAATACCATCAAAATTGGATAAGCAACGATTTGTTAGTGATAATAATTTGTTACCAAATGTGATACATAGTTTTATTTAGAGATAAAATCATTTGTTAAAATCAGAGAGAATTTAACATTAATTTATATAAATAATTAATACATGTACCTTCGTAATTTTTCGGTGCCCTACCATTAATGCGTTTATAGAAAATATATGTGCAAGTTTATAAAACTATTTTTTACCCATTTTTTTACTATGTATGATTTTATATTGGGTCTCGAACTCCTCAACTTTTTTCGTCATAATGAAATTTTTCTTCTCACGATGTATGTATTTATCTTCGGAATAGCAAAACAGGAGAGTATCTATCACAGCCTGGAAATCAAAAATTCAAACAAGATCAAAATTCATTGATTTTTACAAATTTTACTCACCTCAAAAGCAGCGAAGAACGACAAGGGTATCAAAAAGGAAAGAAACGCAACTGTTATGTATATCAATGGGTATTCTATTTTCGGTTCCTAATAACAAACATTTTTAATTACGGTTTTGTATGCACTTATTTACAAAAACCTTACACTTGAATCCCGATACATAACAATAATCAAGAAAACAGTACTCGCAATCATAATTTGCCCCATTAGAAGTATAAAATCGCTGATATAATTCAAAGCAATTATATCTACTTTGTTTTTGAAGATAATGGATGCCGCCCTTCTGCCAGATTTGTAGAAACCCTGTGCGTTCAAACCTAAAAAACAACGAATCAAAAATTAGCAAAAATGAAGGCGAACACTCACCGATTTCAATATAAGCATATTTAGATACAGCAGTCAGGAAATATTTAATGGGCATAACGCACGGACACCAATACAGCGCTTCGCTCTTCTCCTTTCTAACAAACATAAATAATGCTCTAAGTATCGCGAAGAAAACATTCACCGTCGAGCCGTAGGCGATGCTACCCAAATGGAACCTGAGCACGATGCACATGCTGTTGTAAATCGGACTGCGCAGCTCTTTGTTCCTGGAAATTACAAAGATGAACGTCGAAGAAAATAAAAAAAATTAAAAAACAATTACTACTCACTTCGACCAATACCACTTGATTATGGTCAAGGAAATGATCATATACTGAAAGCCCAAAACGAACAACAAGCACCACAAATACACGAGAGAATTGTAAAAGAACGTGAATTTCATTACGCCGTTACTGCGATAGTACAAAAACCCTTCGTCGCCTTTGGTCAAAATGCCCGCGGTGTAAATATAAGCGGTGAACACACCGTAAAGAGTAAACATTGCCAGTTGGCCCATGGCCACCTAGAAATCAAAATGTAACCATACCAATAACTTGGTATCAAGACTGCACCAATCTACTCACGTATATCGGAATGAACAGCAACAAGTTCATTTCGTTCAAAATGTCTATAGCGGTTCGCATTAAATGGATGATCAGCTCGATCTTCCTGAACAGCTGCACCAACACGAAAAGGTAAATTAACCAAGCTACAGTTAGTATTAGGCCCAGGACCAGAGTGACGAAACTCAACGTCATCGTCGTGTAGGTTCCTGTGAGGATGAAGTTTCTCTTCAACAGCAAAAACAAGAACCTGCAAACGATCAAAATTCGAACGATTCGAAGAATTGGACGAACAAACTGACCAAATCATTGCCACAATCATTATGCCGGCGAACAGGAGAAGAGACCAAACGCCACCAGTCGTGGCGGCGTTTATTAAAAACACGAACATCAACGTTAATACTGGAAAACGATTCAAATAGAGGCATATTCTCGGGAATTATAAGGAGCACTTACCGATGGATAATACGAAAGTTAGGAAGATACTCACTACTTCCACGTTTATAACATCGTATTCGTTTTCACCCATATCTTTGTCGGTGTTCTGATTTCCACCACCTCCTCCGCCTCCTCCACCTCCTCCACCTCCTCCACCTCCTCCATTTCCTCCACCTCCTCCATCTCCTGCATCTCCCGCATCTCCTCCATCTTCCTCGTCTTGTATCGTTCTAATAAATGATGGTTCTTCAATCTCGAGTTTGTCTTCAACCAATTCTTTAGATGAGCTTCTTACGAAGCATTTGTACATAAAGTGCACTCTATAAATAGAAATAACTTTTGTTGGAGGAGAATGTCATCTATATTAATCAACTTACAATCCGTTTGTGCAATGAGGAACGCATTTGCGCGGGTAATGCTCGTACTGGGCCCTCCTAGTGAAAGGGCACTGGATTTGGGTGAAGCTGCAACGAATGGGGAATTTCGGCGGGTTTTCTCGAAAAATCGCCGGTGAATACTCACGGAGACTGGCTGTAATCTTTACCGGTGCAGTTCCAATTGCTGTATTTCGAGTTTTTCTTGCCGCAAACGTTACCGCATTGATCGTATCCTCGCAGGACCCTGGACAAATCGCCGAAGTACACGCAATAGGCCAGAAACGGTAGCTGAAATTTTTTTGTGTAGATTTTCGTGTTGGTTTTGTCTGGAAGAAGGGTACCAGGCAGATGCAAATGGCCACGTAACAACGTATAGCTCCTTTGTTAGTTACTTTTCTGTTATCGTGCGTTTCGGGAATTATTAATTCCTCCGGGGGAGTGTCCCTGGGTAGTTCCCTAAAGGTGGCCAACTGAAAGAGATGTTGATGTTGGAAGGGAACGTGAAGGTAAGTACTTCTGAGCTTACGTCGAGATCTTCTTCTTCCTCCTCGTCCTCCATTGAATAAGTTATGCAATATTAACTTTTGTGTTCACCACACTAATCGCTGCTTGTAAATTGGTTTGTAATTTCGTGCCATTAAAGGGTCCAAATGTCAGTTTTACTTTGATGTGTTTTGAAATTTTTTACGGTAAAAATAATTTCCTCTTTGACTATAAGTCAAGTTATTGACAAGTCGGGGACAAATGAATGTCCTTAATATTGCGTCTTTGTTTTTTCGTTCGGGGATTAAACTTGAGGGAAGAATAGAAATTATGTTATTTTTTGCTTTATAGAACTGATGATAATTTAATTATCGAAAATTATAAAAAATAAGCAGGAGTGAACTAATGTCTAAAATATTTCTTCGAACACGTTAAGTTTTTATTAAAATTTCTGAAATTCTCATTGAAATGACTAAAATTAAATTAACACATTTTTTGTACATCTACATACTCAAAAAGTATGCATTTTTGGAAAAAGTATTTTAGACAAAAGTACCCTGAAATTTTACGTAGTTTTCCAAAATTGATCAATATATACAGGGTGTTCCATTATTTGAAATAACAAAGTTGATGTCTACTTCCGGTATAAGCGCAGAACACATCGGTTCTAACGGATACAAGTTTTTTTGATAAATCAAATTCTCTAATGAACCCCACGAAAATAACATTAATTAAACTATTATTTTTTACTGTTATCAAAAAGGAAGTAGGATGTTTTTCTAGGTTTCCTATTAATTAGTTTCCTGGTAGGTGTACTATAAAATAAAAAAAAATATGGTATAGAATTTATTAAGAAAAATCGTCAAAATGAAGCTGTCGTTTCTTTCTATTATCGCTGTTCTCTTTGTGGTAATGTTCCAAGGAGTATTTTCTATTTCTGCGGGAAGCTATAACAAGGAGCAGGTATGATTTTTTTCTCTATCTAAGCAGATTATGACATTTATATGATTTGCAGCGCAATTTTTCATTATTTTCGATTTTTTGCCAGTAAATATAGGGTTATATTTATGGAGTTTTATTTTTCAGAAAAGATTCTGGCGTTCCAACAGAAATGAAAATTATGAACAGCAATACCGCTTTGTAAGTACCCGCAAAATTTAAAATAATAATAATAATTTAATAAATTTTTAGGGAGACGATGAGTAAAGTCGTGTGCCTATAAAGGAATATTAGAATGGTAATTTTTGTTTTGGTTTTTATTCATGAACTCTTTAGATTAGTAAATTCAGCCTGTTAATTATTAATTAAATGATTGTTTTTTTTAGAAGTACATCTGCATTATTCTATAGCTAATCTATATTTTTGTAATGTGCATTTACTTAATCTATCTTACGTAAAAATGTCTACATAAATAAATTGTTCAATCATTTAATAGTTTCATTAATTTAAACGATCTATTAATTACATTATTCTAAATTATTCTGCAACAGAAATGAAATCCGAAAATTTTACCGTTAAATGAAATGCAAATTATTTGTTTGAATTGACCAAAAAATGCCGAGAACAATAATTCAATACATCAAGTTAGCCTGAAATATTCATTAAATTCATTTCCTTAGCAAAGAAATGATGTTTTATTAATTCCTGTCACCTGTCATCAAGAAAAAACATATTTTTATCTCCCTCCATGTAAAAATTCGTCCTTCCGTTAAATTTCAAGATTGAGAACAATTTCATGACCTACTATAATAAATACAGTAAATTCTCGAGCCGCCATTAACGACGCCTTAACATTGAACAAGCAAGAACAACACGAGCTCGTTGCCGTTATTTTTACATACAGTTTTACCGACCAATAGCGTTCTTAGCAGTGTTGCCGATGCGACAAATATCTTCTATTTCCGGATCATTTTATTCTGGTAACGAGATCAAAAATTTAAAATTATCAGTGTCTTCTAACCATCTAATCAAAATAATCGTTTGAAAGTATTCTCACAAAAGCTTTGACCAGTTTAGCAATTCTAAATTAGCTAAAAAAAAGAAAAATGCCAGGGATAATTTCGTACAATTCAGATAATTTACTAGTAACTTCTTGTAAATTGGCAACACTGCTCCCCACGTCACCGATCACTGCCAATCAGTCCAATCAGCAAAAAGCCCACTCACCACTCACTACGATTTCATTTCATAATAATTGTTAGTCACATTCGCTCGTGTTCGTGTTGTTGTTCACGTTTACAAAAGTTCATCGTTCACAAAGGTTATTGTTAAGTGAACTGCGCAACATTTTCTTTTCTTATCTGCGGTCGCGTCCATTTAAGCAAAGCCAACGCCGTCCATTTCGATCAGTGCCCGAGCAGACTCCACTCGTGTAAGAAATTCTACGTTGCATGCATTTCTACAAGCCATCTTCACCGATTACGAATCCAAGTTGCATGCCTTTTACGCCACATGAATCTCTATCAGGTAATTAGAACGCAGTTAAGGGCGGCTCCATTGCCTAATTGCGCGTTTCTATCTAATTGTTCTTCTTCAGGTTATGACCGCTTCGGAGATATTCAAGATAGTTTGAAGAGGACCTTCGACAACGGGAGTTTCATCGATGCTAAATGGTTGCAAGGAGTGCCGGAATTAACCGCCAGAGATTTAGTTTTGCGACAATGCGGACAGACGGGACCCACCAGTTTTTCGGAATTTCTACCGGAAAGGTAAATTAATAATTTCTATTTCTATATCAATGTGGTGTGTTTTCATGGGTGACCCGATATACAAGGCTGAAACAAACTTGGTGCTAACTTCACGTCGGTATTTTATCTGATTAATTACTCATTTTGGAGGCGGGAAAAACGTATTCGGAAGGAAACGAGGTCGCCTTTATTATAATTGTGCTAATTAAATTGATAGTCGATAATTTTTGTGACGAAATGGAAGGAGCACATTCCACATGAGTCACATTTTTATTAATTAATACTTTTGGTAAATTGTTACGTGTTGCGTAATAATACGTTCGATTAGATAAATTTAATATTTCGTGTGCATGCCGGGAAAGAAAGATTTTACAAGGCTAAAGAAAGATTAGATAATGCTTTTATTTCAATTTGGAGTTTTAACTTTTTCATATTCTTATGAAAATTCAAGGAAAATCCATATTTTTAGTTAGGTAAACAATTCTAAGAAACATCCGTAATCTCACAAAATACTCGAAAATTTAAACTTTAATCAGTTAATAAACACAAATATTTATTTATTAACTCCAAATTGTTTTCAAATTAGGAATTCGACTTATTTTAGATATTTTAATGAATAAATAGTACATACCAAAACAGGAAATTATATTATATACACGTACTTATTTTTGGAGTAGTTATGTTTTAGTTTTTGTGATATCATTTCATACATATGCATATTTGAACAAGTATGTCAACAAATTTCAGTTTAAAAAAATCCTTGCTTAAATTGTTTGTTAAATTAAATTCGATAACGAAATCCTAGACATAAAGTAATGTCCTTAGGATTAATTTAGGAATTACACATGAAATTCCTCTGTAAACAAGTCGTTAACATTAACAAAGTTGTTTTTTTGGGTACCAAAAAACAAGCCCTGTTTGTTTATTGATAAAAATTAATTAAATTTAATACAAAAATGACCTATTTTCTTATACTGGGTATCTCATTTGAGACCCAAAATCGTTAAAATGGGTCAAATAAGTACAATTTTGTACACCATATAGTCTACGAGTGCTACAAAGATAAGTTCTATTAGTCTCATATAAAAAAAAGAAAGAGTCACATTATTCCAACTTTCTCACTCTAACCACTGTTATTTCGATAACCTTTCTCTGTTCAATTCATAGCATCGACCATATAGCAAAGAAACTTGCACTTCACCATATATGTACAATTATATTTTTATTCTCCATTTTTATTCCAGCACGTTAAAATGTTGTCACAAAATAGGGGAAGGAGTGTACGGGGAGGTGTTCCTCTTCAGAAATCCCAAAGGCGGTACGTCCGTCATCAAAATAATCCCCGTCGAAGGAGACCTGATAGTTAACGGCGAAAAACAGAAAAAATTCGAGGAAATCCTTTCGGAAATTTTAATAACAAGGTAACATTCTCGATTGTTTCATTGAGCAATCGTATCTGTAACTATCTTTTTATCTACAGCGAATTGAGCAATTTGCGAAACCATGAAAGAAACCGAACAATGGCGTTTACGGAAATCCAGAAAATCCAGTGCGTGCGAGGAAAATATCCGGAGGCGCTCATCGAACTCTGGGACGAGTTCCAGGAAACCTACGGCTCGAAGAACGATTGTCCGGACATGTTCGCTGACGATCAACTGTACGTTATATTCCAGATGAAATACGGAGGACGCGATTTGGAATCTTTCCAGTTTTTCGACGCTAAACAGGCTTACTCCGTCATACAACAGGTAAACATTCATTGAAGCTTCTAAATATCTGGAAACACTGCTACAAATCGCTAAAATCGTCGCAAATAACCAATTTAAAAATGTTTTCTCTGCTTCCAGATCGCTCTGGGATTAGCCGTGGCCGAAAAAGAGCTGAAATTCGAGCACCGGGACCTCCATTGGGGCAACGCGCTGGCCCTGACGGTGCCCGAAGACGAGACCGTTTCGTACAAATTAGACGACGAATTGTACCACATACCGTCCAACGGCGTTCGCATTACCATCATCGATTTCACGTTTTCCAGAATCGAGAACGACGACGTCACCGTTTTCCAGGATTTGGGCCTGGACGAGGACTTGTTCGTCGCTTCGGGCGACTATCAATTCGACGTGTACAGATTGATGCGCGAGAAAAACGGGTAAGAACACTCATTTAATTTCAATTTAGAAATTTGTATGTCTACGGATCGATAGGGATAGCTGAAGACTCTGAAGGTTATTCAGTTTGATTGGTTCTTATAGCTTTAGACATAATAAATTGTTCTTACTCCTCGATTAATAGTTAGTGAAGGTTCAATAAGAGCTACTATTTACTCTACTGTTAAATTACAAATTACTCTAGAGTTGTATAATGTTTTGAAATTGATATATTTCTTCAACTAAAGAATTTTGGTTTTGTTTGCAGGAATAATTGGAACAAATTCGAGCCGTATTCCAACATTCTGTGGCTGCACTACATATTGGACAAGGCGGTCAAGGATTTGAGGTATACAAATGTCAAGACGAAGATCCACAGATTTTATCTGAAGCAGTTGAAAATGCTCGGTGATGATGTGCTGAACTACGGAAACGTGAAAGATTTTGTTTACGACAAATTTATATCATTGTAATTCAAAGTTTATTCTCGTCGTTTTTAATAATATATTTTTTAACCATGTAGTTTGTTGTGTGTGATAATTTTTCTAAAATGCTCACTAATAAGTGCCTGTATTTTTTGTATAACTTGTAATATACAATAAAGAGAAAAAAGTAATATAATATACAACGAATAATAAAATCTGTTTTATTTCTAACTATTAAACACTCGCTTATCAGTTAGGTTAATTTAAAAGCCGTAAAATGAATTGGCATTGCTGAAACATGCGTCTACTTATAATACATTATAAACTAATTACTTTATTACCGTATATTTAAACCAATTGCTTAATTCATCATTTGTGTCCGCTAAACCGGTTACGAAATAGAAACCTAACGAAATATACATACTTAAAACGAGTGACAATGATAAGATAATTTTTTTCACCAAGTTTATAAACTTCTGTGCTCGAATTCGAGTGGTTTTATTTCCGCAGAAATAATAATGTTGCTAAAATTTTTGCTTTGTTTTGCTCCGTTTGTAGTAATTAACGCGGAGATTTCGAGCGATACTTTAGTGTACGTGCATTTGGTAAGTATTTTTGGAAATTTATTATAATGGTATTTTCATAACAATCATCAGCTTTTTAGGCACGGAGACAGATGCCCCGAGAAAAATAATTTGTACAAATCGAGCCCCTATTATAACGAATCGTACTTTAAACCGTACGGATTCGGTCAATTGACCAACGTAAGTACCCCTATACAGCTCGATTTCGTTGCCAAATTATTACAATTCTAGAAAGGAAAATTGAGATCCTACAATGTAGGAAAAGAAATCAGGGCTAGGTACAAGGGTTTCCTGGACGAAGAGTACAGCATTGATTTAATAGATGCTCGAAGCAGCGACTTCAACAGGACCAAAGCCTCCTTGCAGGCTATGTTGGCAGGACTGTTTCCACCCACAGAAGAGCTTAATTGGTTGCCAGGATTCAATTGGCAACCGATACCAACGACTTACGTCGAACGATCTAGAGATAAGGTACTTTTTTGCCACTGTGTATACCTCCTCCGATATAGCTTTTATTTTACCCAAATTTTTCAGGAAATGTTCGCATTTGGTTGCCCGATGTGGGATGCAACGTTGGACGAGTATTCAAAAACGCAGCAGGACAACGAAACGACCAGTAAATACGACGATCTCTTAAAATTCCTCACCGAAAAGACCGGGGAAAATTACGACTTCCTCAACGCCTATTATCTGTATTTTGGTTTCAAGATTTTAGTAAGTATCGTTAGCTTTGTTATCCACAACAAAGCTATAATTATGCAGATAACTTAGTTTGGAATTTTCTTTTAGCAAGAGTTGAATTATACTCTACCGGATTGGGGGAATGATGTCTATCCATATCCACTGAAAAATTTAACTCTGGACTATTACGACATGATTACAGCCACCAGTAAGCTTCGTCAATTGACGGGAGGTAAATTTTATATAGTAAAACAAATAATAAATATGCTACATAATTGATTTTATCTTATATTATATACTATTATTAGGGTACCTCTTAAAGAACATTGTGGATGACGTGCAGAAGAGAATAAACGACCAGTCCATCAGCAGGACGATGTCCCTTTGGTGTGGCCACGAAAATAACATTGCAGCATTGTTGAAAGTAATGAAAGTGCCGCGTAATGATGATATAGCGAGTTATGGGAGTTACATTGCCATGGAAGTGCATCGCGTTAACGGGACTTACGGGTTTCAGGTAGGATTCGCCATAAATTCGGTTGGACTTTTGGAAATATCGGTTATTTTGCAGGTGCTTTATAGGAATAAAGAAGCCCAAGCGAAGGTTCTTAAGTTGCCCGGTTGCGAGGAATTTTGCCCGATGGATTCGTTCATGAGGATTGTTCGAGAGGATCTCCCGGTTGATGACAGCGTTTGCGAAGGAGGTATTATACAAATTATTTCTAGCAGTCGTTGTAAAATGAATATTTAAATAACATGAATATTTTTTGTTGCAGCGCATTCTTCCACGACAAGACATCTATCACAAATAAGTATTTTGGTATTGTTAATTTTGCATTACTGTATTCATAATTATTCTAAATAAAAAGTTTGTTATCAAAGTATGTAATTTTAATGACTGTATTTACTACCTTCTCTAGAAAGTGTATAGCAGTATAGAGGATTTGTCCAAAAGTTAAAGGAAAAAATATTCGATAGTTTTTAATGTTTCCTCTAGTAAGCACTAATATAAATTTATAACTTTTCAATTAACTTTTTTTTTAATCTCACCCCTTTCTGGCCGAACGGGCAACAACAATTTTTGCAGAGAACTGACGGGCAGTTCTATCAACAAATTTAACAACAATCCGCAAAAGTACGATGACGCTAAATCTGCTAATAAATGGTACACCTAAAAAAATAAAAAACCAAATAAATTAGGCATTATAATTGCAATTAAAAATATACTCACGATGTGCAAATCACTTATGTATACGGGATATCTGAGACTGGCGGCTCTTGAAAGTATTACATTCAATTGCACTAAATACGCGCAATAAGCTAATCTTCCTAAAATATACGCCGGCTGCCATCTTAATACACTTTCTGTTACACCTGCAAGAGGAAATATAATTTATTATAATTAAATAATTCATATTTTCGAACCCTGTATACAGGGTGCCCCTAACTTCGAAATCTGGTAACCTAATCCACACTCGTGTTAATTGTTATTGAAATATAAAAACACCCAAAAATTATACACTCGTTAACCGGAATACCTACCAACCCGTAAAGGTCTAATTATAATTTATTAAAACAATTCAAAATCCACCAAAATTTGACTTGCAAAAAACTTCCTTATCACATTCCAACCTTTATTACAAGCGAAAGTTAGTAAATCTACTATCTTCAGTTTGACGAGCTATGTTAAAGCTGCTTAGGTTTCCGTTAATAAAACCTCAACGAAAATGATTTCGATTTTCTGTCTCATTTTCGTGCTATCGCCAGCAGTGCAATGTGCTAAAATTTTAGGAGTTTTCCCGTTTCCCTCCGTCAGCCATCAAATAGTCTTCAGGCCGATATGGAAGGAGCTGTCTCGAAGGGGCCACCAAGTGACCGTGATCACCCCAATGCCTCTACACGACTCCAGTTTGGTCAATCTCACCGAGATCGACGTGTCCCTCGGCAAGGACGCCCCGTTCCCGATGGACCCGTGGATTTTCGTCACTGGAAACACGTGGGAACGGCTGAATTTCATCGTAGAAACCGGATTGCATTTCATCCAGCTGCAGCTGCCCAAACAGCCGCTGCAGGATCTGATCAAGGAGGACAAGCCGTTTGATTTGGTCATTTTTCAACATTCGTTTTTGTATAATATCGTTGATATGGGTTTTGCTTCTAAATTTGGCAGACCGCCGTGTATTGGTAAGTTCCTAATTTTACTACTAGGAGTAGAAAAAATGGGGAATATTATTTTTAGGAATATCCTCATTAGGGGTGTTTCCCCATTCGCACGACTCTCTCGGAAATCCAACACATCCAGTAGTCTCGCCAGATATGATGCTGGGTTTCATGGGGAAGATGACATTTTTCCAGAAGTGAGGAAACCTCCTAATCACTTAATTATTTATACGAAAATTTGCCTCGTTTTCCAGATTTCAAAGTCTGTTGTACAACTTTTGGTATCGAATGTTATACTACTGGTACATTTTGCCTAAAGCTGATCGAATAGCGAGGAAGCATTTCGGGGATGATATGCCTTATCTAGGGGATATTGAGAGAAATATGAGTCTTTTGTTGGTTAATAACAATCCAATTATTCATGCAGTTAGACCGAATGTGCCAAATATTGTGGAAATTAGTCAGTTGCATATTAGCGAGAAAAAACCATTACCACAGGTAAATAAACCTACAGTAGGTAATTTGTAAGTATAATAAACATAAATTTCTTTAAGGATATAAAAGATTATCTGGATTCATCGACACAAGGCGTAGTGTATTTTAGCTTGGGAAGCAACGTAAAAAGCACTTATTTATCAGTGGAAGTCAGACAAGAGATAATAAAAGCTTTAGGTGAACTACCATATAACGTTCTATGGAAATGGGAATCAGATCATCTGCCTGATAGACCACCAAACGTGTTAACCAGGAAATGGTTACCACAACAAGACATTTTAGGACATCCGAATATTAAGGCATTTGTGACTCAAGGTGGACTTCAATCTATCGAAGAGGCTATTACCAATGAAGTCCCTTTGGTTGGTATTCCATTTATTACAGATCAACCGTCAAATATAAAGAGAATCGTAGAACTTGGAATGGGACAAATGGTGGAACATCAAACACTCACCAAGGAAAAATTGAAGGAGGCTATACTAGAAGTAGCGGGGGATCCCGAGTAAGTATACATGAAATACTTACATTTACAGGTTAAATAATTGAATTGTATTTAGATATAAAGAAAATGTCAGGAAATCGAAGTTTATTATGGTTGATCAACCGATGACAGGAGTTGATAAAGCGGTTTGGTGGATTGAATACGTTATAAGACATAATGGGGCGAAACATTTACGAAGTCAAGGAGCTGATATGTCTTTCTACGAATACTTTATGATCGATGTAGCATTATTTTTATTAGCATGTTTTATTGCAATGTATCGTTTAGTAGCTAAAATCATATCAAAAGCGAAACGATTCATAAATTCTAACAAAAAAGTTAAAAGAAATTAATAAATGCTCTATGTGCATCACTAAAGTACAATTGTCAAAGCCGTAGATTATATAATTAAATAGATAAAAAATTTGGTTGTACATTTTGTTATCCGTTGATTTCAAAATTAAAAAAATTGCGAAAAAAAAAATATGAACAAATTAGTTATTTTATTATCAGTGTTATGAATGTAAATATTCAAATTTGACCTTAATGTTATCTCGTATTTTGCATAAACTAGAGGTAAATAGGACAAAATTATTAGGAATTTCCAAAAAGGGTCAAAACTCTTTTTCTGTTTATTACTTATCTCAATTTAACCGACTCGTATCTCCAATCATTAGGAGTTTCCAATATTTCACAATGAATTGAAAACACTTTTAACATGTATTTGGAACAGAAATACCACGACTGATTAACGGAAGGACGTAAAAGCGACTGTTAAACGCGCTTGCAATTATCCTGACAACAAATATGTGGAAATCTACATAGTTTTATATTATTGCTATCTAAAAAATATTTTACGAACCCATGCAGAAGAAAAAATTTATTTTTCTTCAAATAAACAACATTTTTCCTATTATTTATTCGCGGCAAAATTCCTATCGATAACAATGTTTCATTGTATTAGTTGCATATTCGTTCATTTGATATTGCAAAATTCTTATTTCTTATTACACAGCAGATTAAAAATACTATTTTTTTGATTTTTCGGTTAATTAATTGTTTAATTAGTTTGATTTCATTTGTAAGTGAATGTTAAATGGAACAAATTGAATGATCTAAGTAATGGTTCAAAGTAAGATACCTCTTTTATTAGTAAGTTACATGCAAAATTCGAAATCATATGATTTGAATTATAGAATTATCAAGCAATCCTTTAATTTTAGAGTAAATAAGATGTTTGTTTAAAACAATATAAAAAATTTCGAATTTTATATTCTACCAGTATTACTTCTCGAGGGCATTTAAAACATCACCAAGCATATTGAAATTGGAGTTATAGTAATAGAAAATGATTCCAATAATCATAAACATTCTTTGGATTTCATTGTGTCTACATGGAGCGAACAGTGCAAAAATTTTGGGCATATTTCCCGCACCGTCCTTCAGCCACCAACAAACTTTCCAGCCCATTTGGAAGGAACTGTCCTTACGAGGACATAATGTTACAGTAATAACTACGAACCCCCTTGGAAACAACAGTTTGATAAATTTAACGGAAATCAACGTGGGATTCACATACGAACACCTTCTGAACAGCAGCTTCATTCAACATCTTTACGAACCGGATAGTGTCTTCAGGAAAGTGTACGATATACACCGACTTGGACTAGAAATTAACGAAGCGCAGATAATGCACGAGAAAATCCAGCATATTCTGAACGAAAACGAAACGAAGTTCGATCTAATCTTAATTCAAGTGGTTCAAAGTTTCACTGATTTGACGTTCGGATATGCCGCAAAATACAAATGCCCAGTAGTTGGTGAGTGGCGATAAAAATACGAATCATCTAAATTTTCGAGTTTTCGATTTATTTTTCAGGAATATCCTCGTTAGGAGTGTTCTTTCATTTTCATGACTTTCTCGGTAATCCCACACATCCAGTCGTTTCGCCAGATATGATGCTGGGATTTGCAGGAAAAATAAACTTTTTCCAAAAGTAAGTCCAAAACCACGCATAAATTACTTATACCACAGTTGCTATGGTTTTCAGACTTCAAAGTTTGTTGTATAACTTGTGGTATCGATTGTTTTATTACTGGTATATTTTACCGAATGCTGATAGAGTAGCGAGGAAGCATTTTGGGGATGATATGCCTTATCTGGGAGATATTGAGAGAAATATGAGTCTTTTGTTGGTTAATAGCAATCCTGTTATCCATGCAGTTAGACCGAATGTGCCAAATATTGTGGAAATTTGTCGGTTGCATATTAGCGAGAAAAAGCCTTTACCAAAGGTAAATAAACTTACAGTAGGTAATTTAAAACTATAATAAACATAAATTTATTTAAGGATATAAAAGATTATCTGGATTCATCGACACAAGGAGTAGTTTATTTTAGCTTGGGAAGCAATGTAAAAAGCACTTATTTATCAGTGGAAGTCAGGCAAGAGATAATAAAAGCTTTAGGTGAACTACCATATAACGTTCTATGGAAATGGGAAACAGATCATCTGCCTGATAGACCACCAAACGTGCTAACCAGGAAATGGTTACCACAACAAGACATTTTAGGACATCCGAATATTAAGGCATTTGTTACTCAAGGTGGACTTCAGTCTATCGAAGAGGCTATTACCAATGAAGTCCCTTTGGTTGGCATTCCATTTATTACAGATCAACCGTCAAATATAAAGAGAATCGTAGAACTTGGAATGGGACAAATGGTGGAACAACAAACACTCACAAAGGAAAAATTGAAGAAGGCTATACTAGAAGTAGCGGGGGATCCCGAGTAAGTATAATTGAAATAATTACATTTACAGGATAAATAATTGAATTGAATTTAGATATAAAGAAAACGTCTCGAAAGCGAAGTCTATTATGGATGATCAACCGATGAAAGGAGTGGATAAAGCGGTTTGGTGGATTGAATACGTTATAAGACATAATGGCGCGAAACATTTACGAAGTCAAGCGGCTGATATGTCTTTTTTCGAATACTTTATGATCGATGTAGCATTATTTTTATTCGCCTGTATTTTTGCAATGTATTATTTAGTAGCTAAAATCGTATCTGCAGCGAAACAATGCACAAACTCTAACAATAAAGTTAAAAGAAATTAACAAAGTGCATCACTCAAGTACAATTGCTAGAATTGAATAATATAATATTTGCTTTTTATTAATTTAAATGTCTCAACTCTTATTTTTGAATGAAGTGTATGAAATATATTTTTTGTATAACCTACCATTTTTTAAGAAGATATAAACTTTGTTACTTACCTCCGTTGTTGTGAATGCAGCAGAACACTGCAAATATTATACTAAGAATAAAGATGGGCCGTCCAAAAGCAGCTATAATAGAAGCCAAAATGGCATCGTGTTCCGGTTTCTGCGATAAAATGTACCATCCGGGTATTATAATTAGAGACAACGCCGGTATGTAAGACAAAGCATATTGTAAAATTCGCCATGCAAGTCTCTAAAATGAAAATTATTACACTATTATTCTAGCATTTAGTGGCTAAGAAGACATTATTGTACTTACATTTTTTTGAAATAATTTCTTGTTTCTTGTCTTGTAAAGCACATATCCGAATCCAACTCCTATAATCGGGCCGCAAGTATTGCCGATCGAAGACACCATTTGCCCATGCCATTGTGGGTTATCTACTATCAACTTCATTTCATATACGGATCTATCGAGATAAAAATATATCCCCATAATATTAATTCAGTGCAACATTGGTTAAATTCTTACTCTGCTTTAGGTAGAAGATACGCCTCGAAATCATTCAGGTAATTATTCAGAAAAGTCGCAACAATGTTGATACAAAACAAACTTCCCAATATAGTCCAAATCCGCTTCTCCCGCGGTTTTATATATTTCACCAGTACCAAAACCAAAACGAAGTAATGACTGTCCAAAGCCAAGTACCAAAAAGTCGGCGAACACTAAGCCAAAAAATACTCAATTATTGAATATTCGTTCATACGAATACCACCTACCATATTGAATCTATCCACGATGGTATTCAAAAAGAGGACGTTCGTCCACCAGTTTTTCCTGCACCTCAGAAACTCTTTACCAATGATGTTGTTCCACAAGGGACCGTCGCCCATGTGGCGCCACCAGCTCACGTCGAATAGCAAAACGACGGCAAAAGTTGGAACTAATCTAAAATTTACTTATTTTCATCAAAATCCGGATACCACAACAACAATTCTCTCTATACCTTATATACCTATTCATGAACGCCATTAACAACATTTTGTTTGTTAAAGGTTTCGTTTCAAATTGACTGAATAACCCGTAGGATAATAAAGTGGCCGATAACCAGAAGAATGTTGATGTACATAAAGGACCGCTGGTGATAAAAGACGCAGCAACTTTGTGACTCATCTAAAATATAAAAGGCTATTTGATACTAATAATGTATTAGAGTCTAACATGGCCATCTTCCTTAGCGTTTGCTGTACCTAATTCGAGTAATTTTGAGAATATACTCACTGTTTCGATGTATTTAGTGTTAGTAACAGGCATCATGGAGTGAGCTATAACGGTGTGGCTCATTATCACTAAAATTGTATTGTAAAATCGAACGCCCTGTAGCGGTTTGAGATACTCAACGTCGGGTGTTTCGTGGACGGTCGTTAAGCGAATCCAGTTGTTTTTCAACGAGAAAGACAAAATTATTATTCCCCATTTGGAGTTCCTGAATGCCTTGTATTTTTCAGGCGGTTTCGATCGGGCGATTATGTCGCAGGACGTGCAAATAACGATAATTGCCATGTATATGATGAAAATCACTCTAAAATTTATGATTTTGAATAAACCGGTTGGTTATGAATTTTTAAGGGGTCAATGAAGAAGTTGGCCCTGACTGTCAAAAATTGTGTTGGTAATACTGATTTAACTGTTAAAAATGTAATGGTAACGCTTCAATTCGACAATAAAAAATAGAAACAACCTCTTAATAAGGTTCTTAATAAACTTTCATCCAGTTGAAACACAAAATTCTCGAGACTATCCAACAATATGCTATTTAAAGATATTATTTAGAGATATACCCAAATTTCAACAATTAAATTTTTGCTGCAATATTTTATTAATAGTGGAAACTTCTCGAAAAGAAAGTCAATTGTAAAATAATGCAAAGGTAACGTAAATGTCACTAGATATAATTATTACCGGCATATAAAAATAAATTAAAGCTTTACTTACAAAACAAAATAGTCCAAAGAATCGATAGGATATCTCGGCTGGTCGGTGTCGCATTTCAAATTCCGGATTGTCCCTTTCAAATTAAACTCGTGGAATTTCTCATCGTAACATTTATTTACGGCTGCCCTTAAATCGTCCCCCGTTAAATTTTCATGACTTTTCCACCTGCTACAAGTTAAAGGGACGCAAATGGAATGTCTGACATTGTCGTGCTTGTAACAATATGGATCTTGTGAAATTTCCTTAAAACGATGATAAAATGATATTATATTTTCGCTTACAGTTCGAGAGGAATAGCTGGAGACGTGACCTGCGCGATTGTAAGTACTCTCACGTCTACGGCTATTACAATCGGATTGTATATGCTCCAAATTTACTTGTATTGTCTTCCAGAATCGGTTATCAGTATCTAAAGGCTGTAAATTGTATTCGAAAGAACAGTATAAGGCTTCTTTCTCGAGTAGCATGCATTTATCGTAATTATCTTGGTGGAATAAAGGCGGCAATAAAGCGTAATCTTTACCTAAAATAAACATTTACTTTCGCTATTTTTGCTAAAATATTTTCTTTTAGATATGTAGGTACTTACTCGTAAGAGCCTCAATATTTTGAAAATACAAAGAGCATAATAGAAAAATTGCTCTGGAGGTGAAAATTAAATCCATTTCGAACGCACCGAATCAAAGCTTTACTAAAATTGGTTTGGAAAATAATTAGCACATATAATTGCTAAACTTGATAATAGATGTAATTTTCTTGTAAAGATAATGCCTTAATTGCTACATGCTTGTTAAACTGATTATTGCAAGTGGTCATTGTCACATTTTGTGGAAACTTGTAATTACACATTATGCAAAACCATGTATTATGCCTATAATTTAAATATTGAGAATAAAATAATTATCTGTCCCTACAGGTAAATGTACTATTAGGAAATATTTTTGACATGACATTGCAATTTAGTGAATTTTTTTTTTATTTGGGTAGTTCAATTTTAGGTATGGATTGTATTACCTTTTTTTGTAATACTATTGGGTAATTACATTAATTGTTTAGGTGAGATAAGCGATAACAAAAAATATAGATTTTTTTTAGACATATCACTGCTTATCTAATCTTATGAATGTCAATAAAAACAATATTCATTACAATTCATTTAAAACGGTGCAATTTTTTTGAACAAAATTAGTTTAACATCAAATCGGATAAGGTAGGTAAAATATTAAGTCATACACTAACTTTATATGTACCTAGAAAAGTAATCAAAATGTATGTACAATGTATTTACAAATAAAGTATTGAATTAACCAAATATTGTTTGGTTTATCAAATTATTATCTGCTTCCTTCTGAATTAATCTCTATATAAACAGCGTATTAATAACATGAATTACATATTATAGCGAAAAATTCCCAATCAAACAGAGCAATGGAAAACTTATTCAACAAACAACTAAAAGCGATGCTTAAAAGAAATTTAACGCTGAAGAAAAGGGAGAAAAAGAAAACGATCGCGGTGAGTACCACCCAAACACGTGATAGAACGAATAATCTAAAATAAACTTATTTCAGGAAATAATTTTCCCTCTGTATTTCCTTAGTTTACTGATAATCATCAAGCTGAGCCTGCCCGACCCGAATTTACCGGAAATTACCACCCCAAGGGACCAAGAAAATTTATTTCAGTCCTTCAATGCTTCTAGATTTCACAGCATAGCAGTCGCTCCGAGCTCGCCTGATATAAGGGTCAGTAAATCGCAGTTTTCTAGATAAACTTTACCTAATTACTGATAAACAATTAATGTAGGCTTTCCTTAAGCAAACCGATGAATATGTAAAGCTATTTTTAAATAACAATAATGTTATTAACTGGGTATTCTATGAAAACGAAGAAGCTTTAATAGGACAGTATAACAAAAGTTCCACTTCGATACCAATAGCGGTGGTATTTGAAGATTCTGATCCTATACGAAATCCACTGAAGTAAGTACCTCATTAAAATACTGCAAGTAACATTTAAATTGAATAATTTCAGGTATAAGATACGTACGAATCCGTCTTTTATAGCAACACCATCTACCAATGTCTTCTATAGTCTTTTGTCTTCCTGCAGAGGCTCGGGCTCGAATCTCGAACCACCACAAACGTGCCCCGTTAATTCCTATTATTTTTCCGACTTCCTGGCGATCCAAACCCTTTTGGATTACACGAAAATCAAGGTTGTTTCGCGAATATTGGTAAACGGTGGTTAATACGCGCTTTTTTAGCTGGATTCGATGATACCGATTTTTCCGAATTTCCGCTTGGAAATATTCCCGAAGGCGGCGGAGAAAAACTTCTCGTTTCTGGCTTTTCGAATGATCATTCCCTTATACATGGTGATGGCGATGTCGCAATTCATCACCTATCTGATGATGCTGATCGTGGGCGAAAAAGAGAAGAAAATTAAAGTCGGCATGATGATTATGGGATTGAGAGACGTTGTTTATTGGTAAGCATATTTACTTGTATCTAATACTTGTTAACAATTTTTATTAATAGGTTATCCTGGTTCATATATTACGTATGTTTCGTGTTCATCGTATCCACAGTGGCCACTCTGTTGCTGTACAGTTTAAATGTATTTTCCGATAGTAATTATCTGTTGATTTTCATAGCGATTGTGCTATACGGATTGTCTGTGATTATGTTCGGTTTCATGGTTACTCCATTTTTCGACAAAGCGATGGTAAGATTTTACACTTTATATCTAATTTATTAATTAAAGTTTATCAACATCTTAGACTGCAGGTGTAGTGAGCAACTTTGCGTTGATTTTTGTAAGTTTACTTTTTTATGTAACCATTTATACCGATGGTAAAGGCGTTGCTTCTTGGTTTTTGTCCTTATTAAGTCCTGTAGCATTCGCTATGGCTTTAGACAAGGTAAGCGATTGTGAAATGTCCTTTAGAACATTTATAAATGGTGATATTTTAGGCTATTGTAATGGAAATAGCTAAAGATGGGCTTAGTTTTAATAATATGTTTTCGGGCGAAGGTTTACCCTTTGGAGGAAGCCTCATTCTTCTAGCTTTCGATATGGTTTTATACGGCTTACTGGCTTATTATTTAGACAGCGTTGTTCCGAGTAAGAAGATGAATACGCGAGAATCATCAGGGCATTTTTATTATTACTGTTTTAGGTGAATATGGCGTTAAAAGACCAATATTTTTCTGTTTCTCCAAGTCCTTTTGGTGTTCTAAACAAACTAATGTAAGTGAAATTCATAATAACTCAAATGAAAAATTAGAACCTATTTTAGAATTGTTCCAATGCTTTTGGCATTCACTCTATATTATTAATATATGTATTACAGAAATCTTTATCGGACGAATCGAACGAAACTTTACCAAACGTAGAACCTGTTGCGACAGATTTAATAGGAAAAGAAGCCATTAAAATAAGAAATTTATACAAGAATTTCAAGGTATTGCTATAAAATTTCAATTTCCCTTTAACCATCCCTTATTGTAGAAATTTAGGAAGCCCACAACAAACGCCATTCGGGGTATCAATTTGTCGATATACGAAGGGCAAATCACGGCCATCATCGGCCATAACGGAGCCGGAAAAACCACTCTTTTTAACATTTTAACCGGCCTAACAGCACCGACTTCAGGCAAAGTAGAAGTTTTCGGATACGACGTTAGGTAAACTCAATTGCTTCCCTTTCTATTGTAGGAGTAATGAAGCGACATTTTGCAATATTTCAGCGATTCAAATGACATGGACCGAATCCGAAGAATGATCGGCGTGTGTCCGCAACACGACATTTTATTCGACAATCTAACGCCCAGGGAACACTTGGAGTTCTTCGCCGCCATCAAAGGCATCGAAAACATCGAAAACGAAGTGACGAGAACCCTGCGAGATATCGATTTAGGCGACAAAGCGGACGAGCAGAGCAGACATTTGAGCGGCGGCCAGAAGAGAAAATTATCCATTGGAATCGCCATAATAGGAAACCCCAAGGTGAATTTGGGGAATGCGCTCCATCCTGGCTGCAATCTTTAATACTCCTACATTCATAGATTATTATACTCGATGAACCAACAGCTGGTGTTGACCCGTATTCTCGAAGACACATGTGGTCTGTCCTCCAAAACATTCGCAAAGGAAAGGTTATTTTACTTACCACGCATTTCATGGACGAAGCAGACATTCTCGGTAGATACTCCCACTTTTAGCTCCTCTTAAAAAAACTAACAGCACATATTTGCAGCTGATAGGAAAGCGGTGGTATCGAAAGGAGAGGTCCGTTGCTGCGGGAGCTCCTTGTACCTGAAGAACAAGTTCGGAGTGGGCTACCACTTGACCATGGTGCTGGAAGATGGGGCTTCCAGCGAGGATTTGCTGAGATTGGTCAAGAGTTACGTGGCGAACGGCGAGATGGTCAGGCGACACGGAAAAGAGCTGAGTTTCGTGTTGCCGTACGACGCGGTTTCGAAATTTTCCGGGCTATTTTCCGCCATCGAGAGCGAAATCAACAACCGCAGCGATTCGGGTAAATATACAACAATTTCCTCGCAAAAATTTAACGTCTACACTCCAGGTATATTGAGCTACGGGGTGTCGATGACCACGTTGGAAGAGGTCTTCTTGCAGTTGCAGAAGGATGAAGAAATGGACGATGTTAATAACGATTCTAATAGACGTCGAAAGCCGAGAAATACGATTGAATTGGTGATATGCGCATCGAAATATCGGCATTTGGAGGAAAATAATATCGAAGGTAAAAATGATTGTTTTTATCGAGTTACTATTTAAGCGCGAAATATTTTACAGAACCTTCTGTTGTGTCCGATTTTCAAAGTTTGGAATCCATCAAATGCGAACCCAGCGCGTCCCAAACTCTCAAGGCTTTGATCAAATTGCGTATCCTGCGATTGAGGCGGGAGTTTAGCAAATTGTGCTCCCTAATTGTCTTTCCGATCGGTCTAACGGCGCTAGGATTATTTTTGAGCAACGTTCAAGCGAGCGCAAACTCTCGAGAAATGAATCCTTTGGTTTTGAGCCTACCAAATTTGTACGGATATTTACCGATTTCCATACGCGGAGGAACGAAAAACTTCGAAATCGACATCAGAGATTCCGGTGCGACTAATTTGGACAGCAAATTCACCGGAAACTATTCGGAATTGTTGGATATTTACCCGCACATCGGTGTTTACAATATCAACCGCTTCGATATTGATAATCCTGATATAACTATTTTGTATAACGACACAGAAACGCATAGTTTACCAATATTAATCAACCTTCTTAACAACGCATTTGCTCGGTAAGCTGGATAATAAATATAGGAAGCAAGAGTAACATTTTTCAAATTATAGAGCAGCAACAGGAGTGCATAGCACCTCTAATATACAAGTTAGTACGCATCCTTTCGAAGATACTTCGACGGATTCAGTTACCTTCGATGGCTCCAGTCTTATTTTGGGTATGGTGTTTTTGTACGCTCCAGTCGTTTTAGCTGTTGATATGGTATACGATCGAGAGGTACTTAACACAACAACTGAATTATTCTCGACTCGATACAACATACGCACATTTCAGATAAAAGCAAGGAACCAACTCCGAGTCAACGGACTATCATTCACCTTATACTTTCTGAGCTTCTTCGCAATCCAAATAGCCCTTATGGTGCTGTTGTGTGCCAGCCTCATCGTGCTCGTGGTGATCATGAAACCGGCCGCGTTGTCATCGGCTTCGGCTGTGGCAGTTCTATCGGTACTCATCGGACTTTATTGCCCCGCTTCAATTCTCTTCACCACCGCAGCAAGCTACTTGTTCGACAAATCCGAAACTGCTCAGGCTGTTATGAGCAACACGGCGCTCCTGCTGGGGATGGTGCCTTATTTGATAGTCACTTTAACGCGTAATTAGCTGCATATGTTATTGCTTTCAGTAGTCCAAGTTTGATTGTTTTAGCTCCGCACGTGGGGCGATTAGTCCACTGCGTGTTCTCCTTTACCGACGTGATGTATTTACCTTACGGGATTATTTATTACATAAGGAATATATCTGAGGCTTGCCGCTACAATGGAGGCTGCGATGGGAGTGTTAAGGATTATTTTACGCAGGATATTGTAGTGGTTTTTGTTGCTTTGTTGGTGCATATACCTTTGTGGTACTTTATGGTAATGGTAGCTGATGTAAAGAAGTCCGGTGGGCAACTAAGTAGTTTATTTAAAAAGGTAAATAGTTGGGTAAAGTTGGTTAAATACTACATGAATTATTGTAGAATATTAACGGCGCTACCGATGAGGAACATATTGGAGATTATGGTCAAAATGAAGATGAAGATGTAAGAACAGAGAGGCAAAGAGTAAAATCCATAATTCGTAATAATCCAGCTACAACACCTGTAGTTGTGATAGATGTAAGTTAACAAAACCTGGAAGCTTCGTATTAACGTTATTTTCTGTAGGATTTACACAAAAAGTACAAGACGAGTGAATCGTCTGGATGTAAAAAACCCAAACGCATCAACAACGATAAAATCGCCGTAAAATCAATCTCTTTAGCAGTCGACGCAGGTGAAGTCTTCGGCTTATTAGGCCACAATGGAGCCGGGAAAACCACAGCGATGAGAATCATCACAGCCGAGGAATCCCCTACCAGAGGTCGAGTGAGTCAACCCAACCCTTCCACTATCTCCCAACGTTTCATCAATCCACTTTACCAGGTACAAATAGCGGGAAAGAGCATAACCTCGAACATGAACGACGCCTTCCAGCTGCTGGGCTACTGCCCGCAGCACGACGCCCAATGGAAGGAAATAACGGTGGCGGAGCACCTGGAAGTGTACGCCGCCATCAAGGGCGTGCCCGCGAAGACGATTCCCAAGATGGTCGAATTGTACTTGACCGGGTTGCAAATACACGAGCACAGGAACAAGCAGAGCAAGCACTGCTCGGGCGGGACGCGCAGGAAATTGAGCTACGCCATGGCGATGGTGGGTAACCCGAGGATCGTCTTGCTGGACGAGCCCAGCACTGGGATGGATCCGGAGAGCAAGAGGTTTTTGTGGGATACCGTTTTGGCTAGTTTTAAGGTTGGTTGGGAATAATTTGGGGGATTTTTTGTAATGATGGTAGCAATTTTAGGGGTCTAAAGGGGCGATTTTAACGACGCATTCTATGGAGGAGGCTGATATTTTGTGCTCCAGGGTAGGAATTATGGTGAACGGGGAATTAAGGTGAGGTTTAATTTAGTTGTAAATTAGTTGATGCGATTTTTTTCTGTAGATGTTTGGGATCGACGCAACATTTGAAGAATCTATATGGAGCAGGTTATAATTTGGAAATTAAATTAAGACTCGACTCCAATTCAGATGGTAGTGGTAGATTAAATGCCTGCAAAGAATTCATAAACTCCAAATTCTCGGATGTTAAACTCGAAGAGAGCATTTCCGATAGACTGATATTTAGTGTTCCACAACACAACGTGCCATCATTGGCCTCTTGCTTCAGATTTTTAGAAGAAGGTAATTTTATTCAAGTAAATGACATTTACTCTGCTAAAATTATAATTTCAGCTAAAGAGAGGTTGAGTATAGAAGAGTACAGTTTCAGTCAAACCACACTGGAACAAGTTTTCCTAAAATTCGCCTACGAGAGTGAAATTGAAGATTAAAAAAAAAATATTTTCATAAAATTAACCACTTGTTTAATATCATTATGAACAAAAATTAAAACGTAATCACTTAAAATCCTAACTCTTACATTAATTAATTACATTAAACGATTGGAATAAACCTGGCTTAAAAGAAAATTAATTCGCTTATAAAACAAGCCGATTAGGCAACACTAATCTTTAGCGTCTCCGATACCATCCGGATTTATGGCAAACATGGCTTCGGATTCCGGTAAACAAGGAGAATCGTATATCTTGCACATCCTCGTCTCGCCTCTGCCTTTTCGCAGATACAGTCGAGTAGTCGACGCGTGCGCAATGATATTACCGCCAATGGGCTTCTTCGGATCTGCGTTGAACATTGCAGATCCATCTACTTGAGCTACTACCTGATTCGTTATCACCACAGCAACACCGAACTGAAATAAAACGTTTATACATTAAATTTAGATGATTGTGAGTTGAAAGATTTGCTTACCTCATCAGCTAGACGTAGTAAATTCCTCAGAAATCGAGCTAGATGCATTTGTCTTGCCGATAGTTCTCCCCTGCCTGAATAGTCGGTTCGGTAAAGGGCAGTCGCACTGTCGACTACTAACAAAGCGTACCTAGAGGATTAACGGTTATAAAAGTGAAGTAGATACGCTATTAATTACAAGTAGTACCTTGTTTCGGACATCATAGCAGCAGCGTGTAATAATAACTCCGATTGATGATCGGTGCTGTAAGCTCTAGCTACTGCGATGTTATCTAAGACATTCTGTCCGTCCATTTCGTATCGTTCAGCTATTGCTAATAATCTTTCGGGTCTAAATGTGCCTTCTGTGTCTATGTATAAGCATTTACCTTCGCCGCCTCCTTGGTCAGTCGGTAACTAAAAGAACGAGTAAAATCAGGTCGTAAAAACTGATTAAAAATAATACCTGACAAGTCACAGCCAGCATGTGGCACAATTGGGTTTTTCCGGTACGAAATTCTCCGAAGATTTCGGTTATCGAACCGGTTTCGATGCCGCCTCTCAATAAATTGTCCAGTTCTTTCGAACCTGTCGTTAGTTGAATGAGTTCGGAGCGTTTTAAATGGTATTCACTGGCAGAGGTAAATCCCATTGGAACGTATTTGGCGGCTTCGGATGAGAGTTTGTCGACTTTGGCTTCGGAGAAACCTTTTATGGCCAGTAGAAACTTTTTCGGTGCATAGGCCACGGACTCTACGGTATGGTAGCCAGCGCTTATTAGTTTCTTTATGTCGCCAGAGTTGATGCCATTGCCCTGAAATGAATTTAATAAATAGCTGTTCCATTTGTATTTGGTTATATTGTATACCTCTAGTTTGGTTAACGGTAGATTCCCTGTGGCAGTTTCCTCTTCATCATCTTGATTATTCGTTAAGGTATCGGCAGTGGCAGAGCTGACTGAACTCATTTTTATTGATATTTGAGCGATCAATATGGAATCGATGGGTAAAATCAATTATTTATGTAAAACAAATAACGGCAAAACTTTCGAAAAACTAATGGCAAATGAAGGACAACTGACATTTGTCAGTTGTCAAATTTGTGTTTTTATTTTTTTGGCCTGTAAAATGAAGGTTTTAAGCCAAAATAATTTTTCCCCTAAGGCCTCGACTAGAAAGGTAATACAGCAGAAAAATAAAAATGTTCTAAATATTTTCATTTTTTATCTTCAGATGTAAACAGATAAATAACATTACATTTATGTACTCCAAAAAAATTACTCATATTTTTCAGAATTTTATTTGAACCGCTATTTATAAAAAAAAACCAAAAATAAATAAGTACCTATAAAAACTGTGTGCTGTTCACATTTTAATAAACGCTTCCCAGAATTTGATATACTAATGAATATATCCGATAAAATGATAACTTTTACAATTGTAACTGTTATCAAATATATCACAAATTATCGATCTAGATAAATGCATATAAATTGAATTATTATTTCATATCTGTGATTAGTTTAGTATCGAGAAAATTAATTTTCCATATTTAGAGCAAAGTATAAAATAATCTCAGCTCCTTACTCTGTGAAAATGGATCAAAACGGTGCAAATACTGACAATAAAAATCAAAATGGAACTACCATTGTGTCTGCTGTGGATGGAATCTTTAGTAGGTAAGTCATTAATGCTAAAATAATGGAATAATTTGGATTAATTAGAATAATTTTAATAGCACGAATAATATGCGATATTTAAATTAAAATAAAACCTATTTTTTGTTACTAAAGGAGCGAAACTACTAAACCACCGATTGTACCAGAGCCGGACTCTGAAGTTTATGCCAAGAAAACCAAGCGGGGCATGGCTATTATATTCAATCATAAGGATTTCTTGATTCCTTATTGCTCAACTAGAAACGGAACTGAAAAAGATAGAGACTGTTTGGTACAGGTACTGAGAGAGCTTGGATATGAAGTATACGTTCACAATGATAGGACCTATGAGCAAATAATGAAAATTTTAGATCAAGGTCAGTTTATGCAATAATTTCAACTTTAAAAAGTAGCATTTTATGAACTAATCTTTCAAAAATGAGTTATTTTAGCTTCAAAAATGGACCACACAGATCACGAATCGCTGTTGATTGCCATAATGTCTCACGGGGAAGAAGGCCTACTGTATGCCAAAGACACGCATTATCCAACAAATAGGCTCTGGAGAAAATTTTCACCATTGCATTGCCCCACTCTAGCTGGAAAACCAAAATTATTCTTCATACAGGTAATGCATAAACTTTTATATTTTTAAATTTTGAAGAACAATATTACAGGCATGTAGAGGAAGCGAAACTGATCCCGGAGTAAAAGTGTCCTATACAGAAACGGATTCATTGAGCACGACCACAAACCAAACATACACAATTCCTGTAATGGCGGATATTCTGATTATGTACGCTACTGTTGAAAGTAAGAATTTTCAAATCGACTCTTCCCCAACTTTCGTGGATTTTCTTTTAGATTATTACGCCTGGCGAGACCCAGAAAAAGGCAGCTACTTTATACAAGCTCTGATAGTCCAATTACGCAAGCACCACGAATCTAGAGACCTGCTCTCTATATTGACCTGTGTTAACCGAGAAGTAGCCATTGGATTTACATCATCGAATCCAGAAAATCCGGGTTATGACGGTAAAAAGGAAATGTGCTCCATAGTTTCCATGCTCACAAGGAAATATTATTTTACTTAAATGGCGAAGTAATTTACTAATTTATTCACACTAATGGAGCTAAAATGTCAATTTCTGTAAATTGTGTAAATTTAAATATCAATGTACTATTTAAAATGATTAATATATAAATATTTCGTTTGCAACACCTACTTGTTTTTTTTGTCATTTTAAATACAATGGTGATATGATTTCCATTTGGAGTAAATTACTTATCAGATTTTGAAATAAATGATTTCTATTTTCTATCCAACTATCGATAAAAATTGTAGGTTAAACTAGTAAAGTGTCACTCAAATGTCAAATATACTTTTCTCCTGGAAATAATAAGTGAATACCTGCTTTGTAAGAGTCCATTAATCTCTTCTATTCGTTTTTAAGAAAGTATTTTAGGTTACATTGTGAGGAAAATACGAAAATTTCACTTTTACAAACAAATTTCACTTTTGTTTTTCACAATGGAAACACCCGATTTAAAAAGTAAAATTGCATTCGAAAGAAATACCTAAAACTTAAAGAATTTTTCTTTTTTAGCTGCAATTAACCGACCCTTACCGAGTAGAATATTAGATCTCCCAAGAGAGAACCACAATCAATCCTTGGATGGCATTAAAAACATGCTATTTAAAACTGTACCAAAGGTGGACAGACAGAATTTCACGGAGACCTTGAAATGGAAGCTTAACATAAGTAAATTTTCGGTGAAAAAAATTTCGAAAGGCTGTAAGAAGAAAAAACCGTATCTTACGAGGGAGCAAAGGAAAAAATTAAATTTAGCAAAACTACCAAACGAAGGTAATATAAGTGTCAATTAAGATTATATATTTTTTACTTTATTTATTACAAACGTTAATTTTAGGATGGAACTACAGTGAATTAGAAAACTTAAGACAAATGTGGAAAAGTTACATGATCGAGAACCTAAATATAATAGGCAAGCCTCTTATAAACCATTTAACGCCTAACTGGGCAGGTTTCAGCGCCGTATTTGCCAAATCAGAATTAATAGGCGCAGAAATTACTGTAGTCAGATCAAAAAATCCCAATTTAATCGGATTAACAGGCACCGTTGTGTTAGAAACCAAAATGACTTTCCAAATTGTCTCCCCGGATTCTAAATTAAAAAGTAAGTTTAAGGAATATATACAGATAAGTGCAAATTTGTTTGTAATACAGTCTATGGGTGCAACAAAGACAGCTTCCATTTTGTTTGATTGACACTTTCTCACTCTAACGTCAGTTTTTTAATAATCTTTCTTTTTTCAACTCATAGAATTGGCCATATTGTTTTAATAAGTTTTATTAATGGTAATTATTCTTGCAGGACTAATCAAAGATGGCTCAGTTTTCGAGGTTCGATTAGATAATTACAAATTCACAGTATTCGGAAAATGCCTATGCATAAAACCAAACGAACGTAGTGTTAAAAAGATTAAAACAGCTTTCATGCCTGATATTTAATTATTTTGTAATATATTATTCAAACTATTAAATTAAACTATATACATTTGTATTTGTATTCAAAACCTATTAATGTGAGTGCTTTGGAATTTGCACAAATAATCGAGAAATACCTACTCAGGATGAGATTATTTCAAGATCGTTATAGTGACTATTATTTATTTGTTCAATAGGATCCTACGCGAATTTGCAAAATTAATTACCAAAGCCTTCCCCTTCAAAATTAACATTACTGCAATACAATGACCACGAACATTTCAAATATTATTCAGTCGGTTTAATTAATCAATATGAATTAGTTGAATATTAAATTGCTACGCATATACAGTATGCAGTATGTCTGAAAAAGTTTTATAAAAAAGTTGTTATTTATGAAAATCTCTGCTTTCAAAAATAATAATATTTAGGTATTTCCATTTGACATTAGATGTACAGGGTGTCAACAAATTGCAGAAGATTAATATAGGAATATTTGACCACTTTAATCTTAACTTAAATTTTGCAAATTTTAGTTGTGAAACATGTCAACTTTTATCTAATATAAATACTATAATGCATGCGGGACACCCTGTATATCGAGAAATAAAGACATTAATAGACTATAAATAAGTATAAGATTAATAGATTAAAAATATATGCATTTTTGAGCGTGTCGAAGAAAGAGAATATTTCTCGACATGTAGTTGTTCGAAATAAAAAATTAGCTAAGTTTTTATAAATTGGATTTTTTTCCCTCCAAACCCCGGCGAAACCGAATGAGTCGAGGATCAACCCGTCCCGAACTAAAAGAAACTAATTCGAGCGCGCGTCCTTTCGAGGGCGAAACTTCGTTAAATAAAAACACAAATTCGGCGATAAGTTAAGTCGGGGCTCGTCCGTCTCTCGATCTTCAATCTAAAAGAAAACAACCGCCGTTAAAACTGGCCCCGCTTCGGCCCTTCAAAAACATGCACCTGAATTATCTTTCGCTCTCTCCCCGAGGTCGCCTTAACTTTCGCCCGAACTACAAATGGAGACGTAATCGTTACGAAAAAAAAAAATAAGTTGATTGCTGGGGTTTATTCGACTCCGGAGACGATAGTGATAACAGTTTTTCTCGTTTGTTAGTGGAATTTAGTAGGCATCAACGCGCGTATAACGGCCGAAGTTTTCTAGAAAAAAAAGGGCCGCCTTTATATTCCTCTCTAGTAAGGTTTAGATTTGTCTATTGCAGCCTCATGTGCTGTGTGATGTATTAAATCGTAAAAAATAGAAATTACCTAGTCGAAATGACTCCGAGATTTAATAAAAATATATGGGTAAATGCAAATGTGTTTTTATATGGTCAATTCTATGACTACAACAAAGAAAGAGTATTTTGAACTATACAAATATCACCCTTTCTTTATTTTCTTGTATATGAGACTAATTGAAGTTGATGTCTTTGTTGCACCCATAGCTTAGGTATATTGCAATCAATTTTGCTTCTATCTGTATTTAATACCTACATATAGATAATGAAACGTAAATATTGAGCTTTCAAATTCAATTTCGTGCAATCCTACTGATTGCGCCAGTTAAACACGCTTTTAGTATTTTAATTTATCATTTTTTTTCGCTTTGTTTTTCGAATGATGCTCCAGAAACTCTGTTTTAATTTAGGAAACAAAGCATCGCAAAAATGATATGATTATCCACAAACATCGTTGCTTTTAATAAAATGAATTTTAGCGAGAGTACACTACTCGCTTTTTCACCACCGTTATTTGCACGTAATTTCCTGGTTTTTCGAATACAAATCCCTTATTATTCCATTATTTCCCTACTGACCCAGACAACTTCCAGACGGCACAAAAAAATAATAACACAATAAAATAGCACAATAATCCTAATCAACTCCATTCGCGCCCGAATTTCCCTCTAAACTAAAACAATAATCGTCGAGAATAAACGTCCAATAAAACGTATAAATCATTTAAAAATCCCGGGCGCAGGGAGCGATTTCGTTTTACGCGTGTCGTAAAATCCCCGAGCGCCGTCCGGAGGTGCTTTCCAGGTTTTTTTTTCTCCAAAAGTCGCGAGAACAAACGAGCCGGATGTTAATCTAATCGAATGTACTTTTAACGATGACAAAGGAGACGAGGATAAGCGAACGATAGCCCCTTCGACATGTCCCTTAATTGAATGCAAAGAGGCAGGAATGGAGAAGACCACGACTTTCTTTTAATTTTCGAAATAGTGTGTCCTAATAAGGCGATTAATTGATGTATAAATCTGTATAAATTGTAACAAATATTGGCGTTAAATACACAAACAATAGCCGTGAAAAATTGTGAAACAATAAACAAGCCGAACAACCGAACATAGATCAGTTTTAAGCCCTGATATCTATTTTTTCAGATTCTAGATAATGAGGATAAGTTATTAGAAAAGTCCTAATAGAAAACTCTACTAAAGCTTGTCGAAGGCAAAAGAATGCAGGATGAAAGTAAATCAATCTCTTTTGTGCGAAGCGCGCTTTTTATTTTCGTATTTAATGCCCATTCCAGAGATCCCTAGATGGTGTACGAAGAACACATCTATCAAAGGCCACGCCACAAATAAATCTGCAAACAAGTTGCATGCTCCGAACTGTAGGATTCCCCGAATAGAAACGAGAATAGCGGAATCCCGGCGAGGCGACCGCAAGACGCGGCGCCGTGTCTTAGGTCATGGAGGCGGTGGTGCAGCCGATCCCGCTGGTGGCGGTGCCCGCCTAAATGGCAGGAGATGTTCCCGTGACGTCATGATGGATGCGTGCCGAGTTATGTTTTCGGTCTCAGTGTGCTGTTCGCTGTATTTCGGCGAGGCGGCTGCGGCGGTCGCCCCTTTTGCTCTTTGAACGGTGAATTGTTTCATTGCCGGGCGGGTTTTCGCGCGCTTTCCCCGAACTTTTCTTCGAGTTTTTCGCCAGTCGCCGCCGTTTGGGTTGTTCTCTGTGTCTGTTAGAAGGTATGTATTCGATTATTGTGGAAATTGTTCGATTGTAAATTGAATTTGCGTGAGATTTTTGGGGGAGTATGTTTGATGAAAAAATAGATCCTGATGAATATTTCATTAAATATTTTGGTATATTGCAAATTTATTATTTATTTAGTTATTTTAGTGTATAATTTTGTACAAAATAGCCTGTCGAGATTGTCTCGAAAAAGGGAGAACATTTTAATGTAAATTTTTGAATTTTGAATTTTTGTCAACCTTTAATAAATTTTATTACAAATGCCATATTGAAATACTTAAATTTTTGTTACATAATAATCAATGCATTTTTTTGTAATCAATTGCTTTTTTTTATGGACGTGAAATGTATAGTAAATTCGGGTTGAAAGCAGAGAACTGTTTTAATTGAGAAATTCGGCTCGCGGTGTATTTTGCGCCAGTGATGGAATAAGAGATTATCCAGTGTAATATAATGGAAAAGGGAGTAAACGCTACACCCTGATTATTTATTAAAACTTCGATTAAGTGATTAAAGGCACATTCGACCGTGTAAACGTTTAATGCTCCGGAATCCGCCCGGATCGTGGAAAAAAAATCGAATGCCGGGAAAATTCGCTTAAAGCGCGAGTTAAAATTGATAGGCTCGAAAAGAGGCAGGCAATTTCGCGCATAAATTGGCGCGGGTATGAAAGATTTAATTTTTAGAATCTTATTATTAAAAATACTCACTTAGAGTGGAATAGACAATTGCTATCAAAGTAAATTGCCTCGAAAGAAACTCGACTGTAGGGTAAAGTACATATTGAATTTTTTTTAAGTTTTATTAAAAATTTACTCTAACAATCCGCACCTTTTTTGCACGTGGGTGTTTCTTTAGGCGGCGAAAAGGCAAGTGGAAAAGTAGAATTTCATTTCGCAGGGACTATCATATCGGACGGACAGGCAAAAAAGTGATTTAAAACAGCCCCAGAAAATTTATGCCCCTGCGATTTTCTTTTCATCCGGACGGAATATTCTAATTGCAATGCGACGAATATAACATGGAATCCACCCATCCTATCGAATGCTCTCATCAAATCGGATTCTGATTAAAGTCTTCGCAAACTTTCGAGTTTGTATACTTTACCCGAAAGCCAATTTTGCGGTTTTCTTTCAATGTAATATTCTCCAGTTTTCCTTTGAGTATTAACTAACAAACTGATGCATTAATTCTCTAAAGATAAAGATAAATTAGATTTTACAAATATTTATGATTTTACATTGAAAATCATTTTGTAGGCTTGATGAAAAGATTTGAATGTACAGGGTGCTCAAAATTCGAGAATTAGAGTTTCATCAACTCGATAATAATATATAATAATGTAACCAATTTTGAGGTTCACAATTAGGCTATATTTTTCAAAAAATAGCATTGATAATTCATTTTTTATGTCACCTTCAGAGATTTTCTCTTAAAATATGAAATTTTTTCCTCCCTGTATACGTAAGGTGCAGACACTTTTATATAACTTAAACTTTCTTGCTTTATTCTTGAAGCCGTTTGTTTATCTGGAAAGACGTTTTGTTTTTATAGAGCAATGAGCGCGGTGTATTTTAGTTTACTTTGGATGATGGGAAAACTCTTTACGTTTCTAATAAACATCGCCATGTTTAACATTTATGTACTTTTTGTGTCCGAAATGTAACAAAAGATTCGCTGACGCGCCATTTTTTATCACTTTTATTTTTAGTAATAAAGGCATTATTGTTCTATCTTTTTTTTTAAGAAAATAGCCATGTGTTTCTTTTGATTCATTGACTATTGTTAATCCTTTTTGTTTTCAATCAATTTAATTTTTACATCATTTTTTTTTTTGTGTAATAATAATCCTCGGGGTTATCTTCGCAGAATGGCCGTTTTGCACAAAGAATCCGTAGGCGAGCCTACGTGAAGACGCCATTTTATGGATTCATACTGAAATTTCCATTCCATTTCGAGTGTCAAACTCCCCTTTACAAGCGGAATATCATAAAAACGACTTAAATATATCACCTAAATCTTTTTACCCCGAGAACATCACTTAAAACGCCTTAGAGTAGGGCAAGTAAAAAAAAAGTTGGACAAAAATCGCAAAATCTTTACAGGAACAGTAAAAATTAACAAACCGACCCCCTTCTATTTTGATACCTTCTTTGAAAATTTGAATATTTTAATTCCTATTTTTTTCTAAAATATTCTTTAACTTAATTCTTTAATTATTCTCATTGTATTTACATTTCCTCTGGTGTTTTAATAATCCTATTTTAGCTCAATCGAATCATAATTACTATAAAGATGACTGTCTGTATTGGCACACAGAAGCACAGTGTTGGCGTAGAAAAGATTTTTAAACTCCCCGAAGCGCAACAAAATATTGTTGATTTTAAATTAGGGATTCGCTGTGTTCGGCAAGGCAGGATCGTTTTTTATCCGCGGGTAATTACAGCGATTTTCGATGTAGTGAACATAGTTGCTTTTTATACGAGGGGCGTTCGAAAGGGGTGGGTTAAATGGAGGTCTCTTTACACTCAGTTAAACGATTAGGTGGAATGTAGAGTAGGAAAACTCCTTTTGTAAAGACGAAAGGATGATGTATAGGGGTAATGAGGTATTTGATTAAAAGAAATGTTTATGCGAAAAATGGTGGGTTTTATTAAAGATGAAAGGAATTGTCTAGTCTAATTAAGTGCAGTCCTAAGTATTTTGCTCGATTTACCTATGTTTTTATTCAAACTTTGAAAGTGTTTAGAAGCTCATATCTTTTTAATAACAGTGTAGGTAATATCAAGAGCAAATCGAAAAATAAAAAGACTCTCGAATTTCACCGATCAATTCCCTTATGCTTCCCGTACGGGAATAAAACCCTCCGAAAAAACCGTCCGTATCCCCGTGCTAAAAAGGTCTCCGGTAACTCCCAAAGATTTTTCAAAGGAAGTAATAACCCTCACTTGACAGGAAAATTCACTCTAAACTCCATATTTTAAGTGATATTTCTGTCGGTCGTCGTATATTACACGTCCTCGGCGCTCGATTCGAAAAAAAGAAAGTTCATAAAAACGTCTACCGAGTATTGTGAAATAACGCGAAGTTTTTTTCTCTTGATATTAGGAGGAGAATTTAAGGGTTTTATGTAAAAGTTTGTTCGGCGTAACCCCGAAAATACCTCTGCCAGTGGTGGGAATAATTTATTAGAAATTTTGCATAGCTGATATAATATACTGGACAATTTTGGTTTGATATTGGTAATTTCTTGTTTATATAAAAAACTCTTTCTACAGACCGATGTTGATAGCAGTAGACGTGAGATTACAATGAGCAATAGGTGTATGTATTCAGAGCACACTGTATAATATGAAGACATTTTTTGCATTGCACTGTTTCGGTTGTCTTCATTACATTCAACAATAGAAGGGTTATAAGCAGCAGGTAAAAAAGGGCCATAAATAATACGCCCCGGGACCGGACTGAAACATAACTAAAACTCCGTTACATTTTAGGAAAAAAGACGTTTTTCTTATCCACTTTCGTTTTCAATTTTATCGTACGCTGCTAACGATGATTTATGATTTTTTTAGGGCTAATAAACCTTTACGAGACCCATCGGAATGGCCGTTCACGCCGCGATATGAACTGTCTTTTGTCTCTTTGCTCGTTTTCGTCGAAGGAACACTCGAGACATGCGAATAAAGTCCATTGATAATAATTTTATTTTCATTACAATTTGTTTGCAGGATTTTTTTTTCTACACCGTAGCACTTACGTCTTACTGAATATATTTGCAATTTAATATACTTTATAATTCCTTCAGATATCCCTCTGGTGTTTACATTAAAATTATTATTCTCTCTTCTTTTCGTGCAACAGAAATAAATTTATTGAAATCATTTCTATACCGCCTAAATCAATGGTAATTTAAGTAGAATTAAATTTCTTTCCTCCCGCAAAATGATAGTTTCATTCGAAAGAAATGCATTATATAACGCACCGTTTCGAAACTCAATGTACATACATTTGTGGAAAGTGCGGTAGTAAAAGTTTTCCTCCGGATTATGTAAATGTCTAGACCGATCCCAATATGAAAATATTTTGGTAGCAGCTACTTTATGACCATCGTAAAAACAGACAGCCCTAATGCCCTAATAATCGTCGTCTTGAAAGGCGTATAAAAAAAGATATTTCGAGTGTGTTCATATAGGCGTGTATCGTATGCAATAAAGCCAGGATTTCGTACGAAAATCCGCTATAATTGAATTCTCAGAAAAAGGAAGTCGAAGAGATTATACCTACGGACTGTGAGGAATAGCCGTAGACGCTGTATGCGTGATGAGTTCAGGCCTTTTATTTAATTATCAGGGGTCGCTAGAGTCACGTCCTTATTTACTCCTTGTAGCAAAACGTCCTAAAGAACCGGAGGTTTTATAATTGGAAGTTTCGCCTGACACTTCTGAGTATAACGAATGCCTTTCCGTTGACGACGGAACATCGCGTAGTCCAAACAGGTAGGTCGTTCACGTTTCGCAAATTAACGAATTCAATTACCGTTTAATTACAAATTAAAGACGTAACGAAACGCTCGATTTTTTCCGTTCGGTGTCAAGGCAATTAAGCGCGCCGTTTGTTTGAAAAACCCCCTCGGAAAACCGACTTTCGAGCGTGCGAGCGCGGCCATTCGGAAAATTATCGAGATCGTTGTACTCGCGAGGAAAAGGCGAGAAACTCCCGGTAAACACGAGCGACGTTAGATTTTCGAAATAATCTAACTGACAGTTAATTATATAGCCGTTAGAAATAATCTACGTTTTAAGTTACGAACTCGAACTTCTTAGTTTCCTTCGAGCTGTTCGCGACTAAAACCGTATCACCGGTGCTTCACTTCCGTACCATTCAACACATCAATTCGCCGGAGTTGAATCGCAGTTGATAACTTTAATGGATTTCCTCGAACGATGCACCCCGAAGTTAACGCCTAAGTTACAAATTCGGCTAACTCGTATTAGTCGTAAAGCAAATACATGATCCATTAGCGCTCCGACTGGTTGCAATCGGTTAATTTAGTGCATTCTGGGTAATTAACGATGCTCGAACGGGATGCACAATACGCAAATCGAGCGATGAAAGGGTAACGACTGGATTCGGATGCATCCTGAAATTTCGATAAAATTAAAAATCGTCTCGTTTACAATTCAATGAGCGCCTAATGACAGCTATTATTCTATAGTTATTGTAAATCTGTTGTTTGTGTCTAATTAGAGTGCATTTCAAATACATTTCATGTCAGCTTCACATTATTTGATTTCAAACAAATGTTTAAATTTAATTATACATTGTCGGTGCATAATATCAATGCAAGTTTACTATTTTTTGCATGCTGTTTCTTCTAAAATTGCCGTTCTTCCAAAAATATCGAATTTAAAAGCAAAATTTTTAGCGCAATAATAAACTGAGAACAAGGCTGTGCCGCGGGTGCAAATTAATTTAGACCTAATAATTTTCACCTACCTATAGCAAGTAATTTCTGTCGGCGATGAGGCGTCGCAAGTGTGCGGTACACACGGGGGATAGGAGGTTGCGAGCCGGAATAAATCACTTTTAAACGAATGCGCAGCGCGAAAATTGACTTTTATCGCAGGAAAATTAATCATTTACAAACCGATTCACACCGAAAACGTGGAAGAGTTTGTTTTACGGCCCTATTACGGCGCAACTTACCGTGGAATATTCATTGTGAAACTATCTATTATTGGCTACGACAGAACGTTTTCGAATTGCCTTCATTTGCAGTTGTGCCGGTGTTAATAATATCTGCATCTGTTATCTAGCAATTCCTGTCGCGGGTTGGGACAAAAAGCTCTGTAAACTCTCTAAAAAAACGGTCCAAATTGTAGATTGATCGAAAACATCTGCGTGGAGTTGACCCGTATATAAAATTCCGGCCTTCTCCGGTTTTATTTATTTTACAGCCTGCACATCCGATACGTCATAATTCAGGCCAAACAGAAATTGGCCGTTTGCAACAAGATTTAATGGATCGGCCGTTTTTTTTTTTGTTCAGACAATATTCGTTACGGCGCTTTCGATTCATCAAATACACCAGCAACGGTTTTGTCGCGGCCCTTCCTAATGCTAATCGACCGAATCATAAAAATCGGGGATTTGTCGACCGTGATTTATCCCATTGTACTTACCCCGATCACGTTTTTGCGCCTCTCGATCGCCTCGAATCGTGAAATTTTTCGCGAAAACCGTATTGCGATCAGAACTCAACTTTTCCAGCCGGATAATTCTTAATCGAGATTAACGCCCGAGCTTTAGGTACGCTTACACCTCCAAGATAAACGCCTCGACATTAATCATTTCGTATCTCGGCATCGGAGCAAATGAGTTTATGGAGTTCCCCCAGAAAGTCTGGCGGCATTGAATCCGTCTCGGCTCAATTCCGCCGCAATCTCGCATTGTAAACAACAAATGAATGCGAACGGGTGTAAAGTCGGTTGTTAAACGCGAAATAATAGAAACAGGTGTTAGGTGTAGAAACGCCTAGGGTTGGTAATGGGCGCCAACCGCCTTCTCTTGTTCCATTTGTTCCATTCGCTATTCGTCATCCGTTGAAATCGTCGAGAAATTTCGCACTTTCTCCGCTTGTTTCTAAATATAAATTCCTATTTTTACCATCCAGACAATAGTCTAAAAAGAGCGATACAACACTTATATGATGAGGTTTACGATTTTTTAGCTGAAGATGCTACGCTTTTAGGACTTATCTCTCCTCTCGAAATTCGCCTACGCTATTTAAAATCCACGAATAAAATTTTTGATCTCTTTTGTTCGCAGATATTTCAAACGATTCCCGTTCCGTTCCGGCTCATCGCACATCGACCGCTCGATGGGATACTTGGCGAATAATCCAGACGCGGGCCAGTAAAGCCGAGGAAAATGGATTGGAACGGTACTTTGCTCGCCGGCGGCCTTTTCGACTTCAACGGCTCTTCGCCGGACAACGTCACAGCCGACGCCGTCGGCGTCGTGCCGTCGACGCCGACGGCGTCGTGGCCGTCGTGGTACGAGGCCGGCAGGATTCAAATACCGCTTTACGCTGTTATATTCGTATTGGCCGTTACCGGGAATCTTCTGGTCATTTTCACTCTGGTGAGTACGTGCGGATTTCGGGCAAATATAGTAGAGAAGGTTGACAAAAAAATTGTTGGTAGATAGACCAATACAGTGATAATAGTAAAGTGTTAGAAAAGTAGTAGAAAGGTCTAATGTTAGACAGTAAAAGAGTCTGAATTTGTTAGTAGATATCCAAAATTTTCATAGTAGAAAAGTCTAAAGTTGAAAGATCTCCTCTGAGAAAAATTGAGATATTAAGAATTCTGAAGAAGGCATCTCTTTAAGCTCTCGAAAAATGTAATAAAACACCTTAAAAACCTGTTGCAATTACCCGGGGAATAACCCCGAACCTTCATATACTTAAAACCCCATAAAATTCATATCCGCCCTCGACGACGGCTCCCGATCTCCGCATTATCCGCCCTAATAAGAATTAATCGCCAAAAATCCCACTATTAATTCTCCGGGTAATAACTCTTACGAAAAACGCACGCCTCAATACATTTCCCTGTTCGCGTATAAATCTTAACTCGACCCTAATTTTCCCTTCTCTTTCTCCGGCACCCTTCGACCTATCTCGGTCTTCATAAATGTCTCATTGTCGCAGTTTCGACGGAAATGTGCTCTGCCGGAGAACGTGCTCTATCGTCGCGGCTCTTAACTCGATAAAGCGAGGAGAGACTGAGCGTTTACACTAGTTCTAATTTTTGGGCGTTATGCAGTTAACAGGCTTCCCGGAGGGTCCGTTCCCGAGCGATATGTTACATGTAGAGGGTGGAGGGTAGTTTGGAGAATTCGGGATTTTCTTTAGATTAAATTTGTATGCCGAAATTTGATGGTTTTTTTTGATAAAATTCATGATTTTTTTCGATCAATTTTTGACTAATTTGGAAGGTGATGTTTGAAATTTTTGGATTTCTTTTGGTAAATTCTGGAGGTTGTTTCAAGTATTTCAAAACAGTTTGATTTATGGTTGATTTATGAGTCAATATTTTATATGCATAATCTGTTTTACAAGGTTTAATTTTTGTACGATATTTTGAATAATTTCACTACTTTTTTATGCAATTCTATAAGCATTATATCTCAAAAAAATTTGATTTATTTTCTGTTATTTATTCGAATGAACAATTTTCGCTTTATATGCAGGAGGAAATCATTATACCACAAAACGAGTAGGAATATGTTCGAAGTATAACATTACATACTGTAACAGAATTGAGAATGTGAAAGTTATTTTCGATTCGGAATTGAATTATCGGATTCCATATACGAAACGCATTTACATTGAAAGGTAATGGAAAATTGTTTCCATTCCTAAAATTCTCCATACGAAACAACCCCCTATTAACATCTCAATGCGCTATTATTTTTACGACTTGGACTTACATAAAGTTAGGAAATTATAAAATTTCCTCTCGCAAAAATTGAAGAAAAAGCGAAAAACTAGTATCGAATTCGACGCAAACGCCGTAAAAACTTTTAGTTGTCCCATAACAATCCGGTGGAAAGTTCGTATTTACAAATAAAATGCTCCGTTGTGTTTCTATTATTCAAATCCGCAGACGGGCGAGAGTTAAAAAGCAAATAGCGCAAGGCCATAAAAACCCTCCGACCCTCGTTCAATTATAACCTAAATTCAGCTTTGACAATTAGAGTGGCCTAGGCGATGCCTAGTTGCACAGCAAACAATGGCCGGACCACCGGTAGAAATCTCGCAATTACCATAAATTTGGATAGAAACGGCCTTTAAGTAGGACCAAAGCTGTTGGATAATTGGACACAAATTATCGCATCGAATGCTCTCTTCACTTACAATCTAATCTTCTCAAATTCTTCGAGCGTATAACTCAAATATCGCCGACGATTTCTTGAAATGATATATAGTATATTCCAGTCGGGATGCGTTTCCGAATAATATTTCAAAACGTATTGTACTCCCACACGGATAAGGAACTCCCGCGCAATTATTTTTAAAAGCGCAAAGTGGAGGCTTCGGGATGTCTTCATCTCCGGCAAACACCCGGCGGAATCAAAGGATGTGATAGAAACAATTTCGCTCGCGTTATTCCGTCGCAAAATATTAAATTTCGAACAGGCGTTCCGCCCGTTAGAAACACACCGAGACTTTCGGCGGGACAATTTACAAAAATTGGGCATAAAGTAGGCTTCGCCCGAAGCCCCAGCGTCTGGGAAATTTGAATTGAAAGCTTTAATTTTCCGCGCGTGTCATCTATATTTTCGAATGAGGAGGCGCCGCCTGAGCGAAATTCAAATTAGTTTTCGAACGTTTAGACGAAAATTGATGTGGCTCGCTAATTCGCGAAAACTATTTTGTTACATAGGAGGTTTGTAGAAAATTTACTCGAGGGGTTATTGCATAAAATTTACATCTACCTATCCACGTTCATTACGCCGAGCTTAATAAAAAACGCCGTACCTAAATTACCCTGATCTACTAAATATTGATAAGAGCAATCTGTTTAGCGTCTAAATAAAGCAGCACGCCCCCTCTTTATTTAGACTCGTAATTCAGAAAGATATCAAAACTCGCAGAGTCTGCTTTGCTTTTTTTTCCTCCTCTCCATTAAGCCCAACAAACGCGTACACGTCGGATGGAAAAATCAAATTAAGCATTTAGACTCCGGTGATTTAGAACTTTCGGAATTATTTTCGCGCCTCCGCAATATTGGGCCCCGATCCCGGGGCCGTAAAGTATCATTAAATCGGAAAATAAGATACTAATGTGCCTTCGCAGCCGGCTCGAAAGGTGAATTTAAAATCCATCGGGCGCTGCGAGAGTATCCCGATGTTGATGGGAGGGAAAAAAATTGCGAGGACAAACGGATGAATGTACTTTTTATTAAGATCCCATGAGAGAGGATAATTTTGCAGGGTGTTTTCTAATTGATTCTTATGTAGTCGGTGCAAAACAAATATCATAAGTAGGCAGTGTTGCTGAATTTTTATAGAGTTTACAAAATCTAGTTTACAGAATCCGAATTGTAGTACAGGCTAGTAAAGTAGAAAAAAGAAGAAGAAATTGAAAATTAAAACTACCGATCGAATGACAACGTCAAATATGCAACTGCAACTGCGAGAAAATAATAATAATTTCATGTACAAACGTTGAATTTTGACAATATATATTTGTTTGGATAATTTCATTCCGTTTTTTAACATTTTCTATCATCTCTTGTTAATATTAAATGAAATTCTGCAGGTATTAAGCTTAATTTATTTTTAATAGTTGGTCACACTGCTCGGCAAGTATGACGACAGCAGTGACGTGCATTGCTGTTTGTTTTGCACCGACAATAGTTGGAGAATAAGTTAGGTATTGTTCGAAAGCGGCCGTGACCTAGTGATAGAATATTTCATTGTCTCATATAGGTCCGGACGTGGCGCGGTAAAAGAACGCTCGATCGCCGATAAAATCCAGACGAAAGGAGCGTTTCATCGGTCTGGAATGCCGAATGAGCCGGAGCGGAGCGAGCCGCGTGCGGTGCAAAATTGAAACCATTTCTTATTTTCGCGGCTTCGCAACGTCCAACAACAATGCGGACCGAGATACGTAAACTTCGTTAATTTTACTTTAAAGGATAATTAAGCGTGACTGTGAGAAATCTCGACCGAGTTTTCGGACTCGGTGGAACATCAATTTGGCGAGGAAGGCGGGCGCAACAGCGCCGGGGATCTTTAAATTTCTCGCAGTTTTTTCTCGTAGCTTCGCCGGGAATTCGGCGTTTGACTCGTTCGAAATTTTAGTCGTAAGGTATAAAAAATTCATCCCCGAGAAGGGTTGGTAATTAGTTTTTTTTTCTAAATTTCTAACTTAAACTTCCATGGCAATCTTGAAATATTTAAGTCTTTTTCATCTAATCTAAAATCTACATAAAAAAATCTGTCCAGTATTTTCAAGTAGCTGGAAAATTCCTGTTTTGGAGAGAGCATTTTTGGAGCCATGAAACCAACAAACGCTATCCAAAAAACCAATCTAATTTGGACCTCAAGATGAAGAGAAAAAATCTGTTTGTTATTCCAGGTACAAAATCAGCGCATGAGGACGATAACCAATTTATTCCTGCTGAACTTGGCAATTTCTGACCTCCTGCTCGGCGTCCTGTGCATGCCTTTCACACTCGTCGGGGCCCTCCTGAGGGACTTCGTTTTCGGATCGCTGATGTGCAAGCTATTGCCCTTTTTGCAAGGTAAGTAAGATCACAATTATTATTGGGAATCCGTTTAAAATGTTTCAATAAATCGGCGAAAGCATATCAAATGTACCCAGTGAAAAGTTGGAGTGGAAAATGTTTGAGATAAAGCGACCGAAAGTTCGATAATCGTAACAAATTTCAGCGAAGTTGAGGAATTTTACGAATATGTTACTGCATAAAAGTTTCGAATCCGAGCAAATGTAGTTTTCTAAACCTCTTTTTCATCCAGTGTTAGAATACATTAAGCGAACGTCCTTCAAATCTAACGACAGTTCAGTGTCACAAATCAAATAAAAATGTTTCTAACTGTATATTCTTCTGCTTGGTGACGTGAAAGTGCAATGGATGTCGCGCAAGTCGCGTTTACAGCTATTCCTGTCGATCTGTAGGTACCTAATTTTATTAATACAAGGTGCATAATTAAGGAATTCTCTGAATGTCGACAAAAAATTATTCACTCCAAATTAGTTTTTTTAAACAAATTCCCGACTTTGTCATCACTTTAATTTATTTGGACAAATTTTCATTAATTTGAAATTGAAGGAAAGTTCGTGCTAACTCGTTAATTAATTCGAGATTAATTAACGAATTAGCTAAAGTTTTTGAAATTAGATGATAATCAATTACACTGTTGACTCCAATTTACAAATAATTGTTCTTGACGATTTTAACGATATTTACTTCGATCGTTCCTTCAAAAACAGGAAAAATAAATTAATGTACCTAATATTTTATTTTTTTTATTTAATTTCTTATCACAAATTAATAGAGCAAACATCTTTAGCAATAATATTTACATTTACTGACTAAGAAAATTAGTAAACAATAAATAATGCGTAGGTACATTCCCCATAATAATAATTAATAATGATAATTTCCTTAATGTTTCTAACAGACACGTTCTAGCAATCGCATTTTCCTGTGCAAACGCAATCCTTCATAGTGCTAGTTAGTGCATTTGCAATCACATTTACCTGGACACCGACAACCAACAAGTTGACCGTCCTTCATTGTGCATTTGCATTTACAAGCGCATCGATCACCGCATCGACAATCCACCATTTGTCCATCCTTCATTGAACAGTTGCATTGGCTTTGTGTAGCTCTTTGCGCAGCTTCCATTCTGTCCTAAAATTGAACAATAAATCGGATTTAGTTGGATTAAATAATTTAATTTAATGAAAGAAACTAAGAATGCGGCTGTTGTATGGAGAATTCCGCGTAGTTAGTTGTTAGTATATCTCGCAATTTCTGGAAATGCCCCTAGTGCTCTATTGCAACAAAATATGCTCCAGTAAACTAATTATTTCTAGCCGAGAAACTGAGAAATTGCCCTCGGAGATTAATACAATTTCGCAGCGACTTACCATCGTCGAAAATACTATGAAACAAAATTGAGAGTTCAGCTTGCACTGATCGATCGCTAATTTTGCTCTTCTTGTTATATACCCAATAGTTTCTCGCACAAGGCAAATTCCACAGATTAAAAGTAAACTATTTACAAAGAAAATATTTTCTACTAAAAGCAACCAGAATATTCCGACGTAAATAACGTTGTTTATCCACAAATCGCTTCAATCAAAACGAATTATTCCATCAAAATATTACACAAAAATGTACAAGAGATTCGCATATATTCAAATATACCAAGTAACCTTTATTCCCATTCTCAACTAAAAAATCTCATGCAGCTTCTACAATAAATTTCCTGCGACCTTTCAAGGTTCAGAACGTGCACGAATTGCGTATTGTGCCACTACGACACTACATTCTCCCGTCTAATCCAGAGCAGTGATATGTAAAATTGCGAGTAGGTGGATTTTTTTGCGGAGAGCTGTTGGATGGATAAACAACAACGGTTTCATTTCCCTCAGCGTACGCGCCGGCGAGAGAAGATATTTCGCGATGAGTTGCATCAAAAACTTCGGCGTCTCTAATAAACCGGCTTCATTTCCGCGGCGCGTGAAAGCCGGGAAAATCCAGTCGCGGCCCTCCATTATCTATCTGAGCGCCTGCAACGCGATGAATAAATTAACAGCGAGCAGGACGACAGGAACATGCGAAAAAATTCGTGATGTTCGAATATCTTTTAAATAATTAAAATCTGGCTGTACGGTGGTGGAAAACCGGGAGAATTTCCTGTTAAAGAGAGCTACTTTTCCGAGTTCATGATAGGTTACAATACATGACGTGTTTGCTTATTTATTAATTGATTAGAGTTGTTTAATGTTTACTATTATAATTTGGAACTAAATAGAATTATATTTCCTGCAATTCGATGATATTTACCTAATTATTTTGCGGATAAATTCTCAAATATTAGCTTTGTTATCGTTGAAACTGAGTCCACCAAAAATTTCCGATGTTATAAGTACTAATAAACGCAGGCATTCAATAAATTCAGCTAATTAGATCGCGCAAATATTTTCGTACATTTAAAATTTTCATTGCATCGTTTATACAGTTTAGTTTGCCCAAAATTCCTTATTCGGTTCCCTTTGTAATCGACCATCGAACGAATTTCAATTCGCATTTCCGACCGGTGAAACAACAACGCGGAAAAAATGTAATTAAACAAAGCATGCATGCAGCTCGGGAGTCTTATTTAACGGGAATCGGCACGATCAGGCTGGATAAGGTCGCATTTTAATTTAATCGTTCCATCCCGAAAACGGTCGACTCCCCGGAGGAAAGAATCTCCCCGACCTCCGGGGAACGGCGACAATTTCGCACTCGGTACTCCAGTTAGGCGAATCGAACGGGATTCAGTTGATTGTTCCTTTTTTTTCCTTTTTGTAAATCACGCCATTCGGGTTAAATTAAATTTTAAAATTCAATCAAACGGTCTGATTGCGTTCGAATTAGGCGAATGGATAATTTTTATGTAAAAACTGAAAGGAAATGGGAATTTTCCGCATTTAGATGCACTACAAAGGGTCTCAAAGGAACACGCATTTAATGCAGTCTTTCATTGCAGAAGTTAGAGTAACAAAATTTTTATGCGAAATTTCGTTATCGGATTAAAATTCAGGTATTATAAATTCGGTCGAGTTCCAGTGCGACCGAAATCAGTGGAATTAAAGGAATTTAATTAATGGAATCGGTGGAAAAATATTTTGTAAGCGAGGGAGATTGTATAGAGTCTGATCATTAAAATCTGTTGCGCTAGACTAGAAGAGAATTCCAATTTTGCGGTAACGTTATGCAAATGGAGCGGTTTTCGAAAGGCCTTAAGAGCCCCGTCTATAAACAACAAAACACTTTCAGAAGTGAAGTTTGTTAAGGCGTCTCAATTTACAGGGTTTTTACCAGGTGTATCCGAAGCGCATCGCTCGTTCGGCTCATTTTCTTTTATAGAAACCTCCTTATTTTTACCCGTCAGAAACGAATTCGCTTTCACGTCGGAAACTCCATTGTCCCAAAGGTGGAAAGTTACTGAAAGATTTCAGTGTCAGTCGTCCGGAGAGGATTAATTTATTCTGCGAGGGAAACTTCTACAATCGAAATTAGTATCACGTATTTTTTTTGTTTCTTTCCACAGAAAAATAAAAATGGAAAACATGTAACGGAGAGGGCTTATTTGTTCGGATATGTGTTGGAAAACTTCCTAAAAGTGGAGTTTTTTAAACTTCTACGCCATACACACTCACATAAAATAAGCCACAATAATATTCTCTATTTTTGTGTGGTATAGTATTTCCAAAGTCAATTTAATATCTTCTGGTTAAAATTACGATTAGTGCTAATTAAGTTAATTATACATTGTAATAAATCTCTAGACTCAATTGCAAGTATCGATTTTTCTTGGGAAAATTGTAAAACATTTTAATGCCCTCCCATTGGCGTTCTAAGTGCAAACCCCAGTGATTGATACATTCCGGGATAGTAAATCCGGAATTTATGGAGCAATTCCAAAACTATACGGTGCACTGGTATAAGTTTTTAACGATTTATCGACAATAAACTTTTTATTGTTGCAGTGTAATGTTACAATTTAAATGAGGGACTTGCTCTAATTAAACACGCAATTTTTTATAAACCATCTATACAGGGTGTTTCTTGTCATACATTTAAAAATTCAGTAAAACAGCTCTTACATCAAATCGAATCTTTCAAAAATTTAGAGCGATCTGTGGATTAGAGTATTCGCTGTAAGTGCAGTTTTAGAGACGAGCGATTTAACGAGAAAATTGTCTTAAAACGAGTATTTTAAAACGAATTTATAGTCACGTACTGGCGAGCGAAAAAGCCTCTCCAACTCCATCTTTCGCCCCATTTCATTTGTCAGCGATTCGTCTGTTTAGTTCTGTTAATAATTGAGGTACATCTCCCGGCGGATTAAAATGCTCTCCTCGGAGGAATAGTTCTCTTGGAAACGTTCGTGCCTCGCATATTTTAAACTACCTACTCCGGTTATTGACCATTGTGCGAAAATCGCGCTCGAAAAAATTTACTTTTCTTTAAAAGAAGGCGAAGTTGAGAGTCGAGCAACCATCAAGAAACGCTCAAGTTAAATAATTCATTAACTGTTTCTCCTTCGGAGCACCGGCTGAATTTAATTGCGGTATTTCTTCGTAAAGCAAATGTTTAATTGAATGAATTTTCTATATATTATTTTTTTGCGAGGATCGGTTATTAAGTTTTCGATTATAAGAAAATTGCGTTACGAGATTAAAAAGAGATTGCTTCACTGTTATTGAAAGGTTCTTTTGACGAGCATTTTTCATGATAGAGGAATAAGAAAGATGAAATAGATTTGTCACTGATGAGTTTTTAATATACTCCCATTGGAGATTCGGAAATTGAAATCGAGTTAAAGAGAGCGTTTTGCATGGCATAAAGAATTTCCCGGCTCTTTTTTAAATAAGTCTACTACACGGGATAACGTTCGCACTTTTTATTCGAATACAAAAGTGTCGGAAGTCTCGATGAGGAGGAGCGAATCGGAGGATCGAATCGATCGAATTTTTCATTCTCCGTAAGCAGCGTTTCAA